GATGTCGCCGCCCCCCTCGAAAAGTTCACACATTCTACTACATAAGTATCCACTCACACTAGGATGACAAGTTACACCACATCACGAAGAGCGTCAATATCAGCGAGCCCATAACACTCTGATTGAGCAGACTGGAAACAGTGAGAATATTTGTAGGCACAAAGGTGTGTCTCTTTCTGTCTTTTGCTTCTCCATAGTCTTTGCTAACAAGACATCCTTCGGCTTGCCATTGTAGCACAGGGTAGACATTTTGAGTTTTTCTAATGACTGGCCCTCGCTCTATTTCTCGCTGCCGCCTATTCATCTCACCCTCCTTTGCAACAGGAGCATTCGGTCTCCCAGCTGTGCTACACCTCCGTGTACGTTACCGTCACCAGAATATCCGGCCTCACTTTTATATATTTAGGCACACGTTAAAGGTCACCGTCGATGTACGTGGAGAGTTCAGGCTTCACACGGGTCACGAGCGGCATACTTTAGGCAATATGTATATTAGCAGTAGGATAATTGTACTCAATTAACATTCTCATGGTGTCCAAATGATCGAGAGCAGCAAATGGAGGTGGTTCAGTGGTAGTGCTCGCAAATCACCATTACATTGATAGCGAAACACATCGTGAAACATTTCTAAATGGTAGTGAATTTTCGCTCCACCGTTTTGCTCGGATGCTGGTGAAATTGTTGTCCATGCAGCGAAATCCACGGTGTTTCTTGATGGACTTGACCTATTCTGCACTCAAAATGTGTCGTGAAAACCATGCTGCAAGAGGGGCTCAGTGACGTTCACTTGAATAACCACATCGGGACAACACTCTCACGCTTTCCATGGCCCAGCCCCCCACGCGGGCCTACCCACGCGAGCAAAAGACCTATCGACGTCTTCACCCCCCTCCTACCCCATTTGGAAGCTATCAAGTCCCGCGCGAGCGCGAACGCTGCGAACTCTTCCCGCAACACTTGATTCTTATGTTTTCGTGTGCATTCATTATTTTCCCAATTTTATTCTCCTTCGTGATCTTTCAATCCAATTGCATGGTCTATTTTCGTCCCTGCTTTGACATAGCGCGACCTTACAACCTGGCCGATATGAACTACAACATGATAACTTGAACGCTTTGATCTAAGGACCGAAACAGAATATGATTATGACAGTGGCACTGACGACTGGGAGGATGACGGTTAGTTAGTCCGTGAATCTGAATCAGACGAAGCAGACGAGTATTAGTAGCGGCTTACATGCCAATGGGGATGAGGACGGCTGCTGGAATTGCTTAAACGGTTGGTTATTGCAAGATCGCGCTATTAATGCTGTGGTTTTATTATTTTATATTTAATGTGATGATGTGTTGTGTCTTTTGTGTTCTATGAATCCACTCATGAGACACTTAACTGGATCTACGTCGTACCTCGTACATGACAGCTGGCCTAAGAATCGCGACGCTTGTTGCGTTGGTTTTCACTTAATATTATAGATGCAACGTGATCATTATGTCACGCTCCAACCAATAGGGACCAGGTGGCGCCCGGAGGGCAAGTGTATAGTAATGAGAATCGTCCTGAATCGTCCCATCATAGCCCATCATCTCTTTTTTTATCGTTCGCTGGTTCGACACGCCCCCGGAAACAACCGAGAATGTGTGGCGCGTCTGTCGATGTGGCACAGTGTAGCACTATGCAAGGCTCGTTCAATGATGTGCTTCGTCGCAAGATATCGTCCACGCCGACCAAATATTGGATGGCAGGCGTGTATAACAGAAGGAGGGGACGCATTTTATATTAAATAAACTGTTCTGGAAAACTAATAAGACAGCCAACTTCCGCCCGGGACGAGCTCGAGTGCCACAAATGATACGCGTCAGTATTTTACCTTGAATCTCTCGTTTCAAAGTCTTAGAAAACAGAACACACGCTCTAACTGGTTGCATCTCATGAATGTCCTCTTGTGCGTTTGACACCGAGTCACTCCTCGAGTCGGAAGGAAGGAAGAAAGGTTTATTCGAAAGAGGTGGGAGATGAATATGCTGAAACTTGAATACACGATGCATCCTGGTTGACTCGACCACGAACGCGAACCTAACCTACTTACTTTCTCGTTTCTCTGTCTAAGGCCTTGAGGCTGACCCAGAAGGGTCTTAGATAAGGGTCTCCATAACCTATTGAAGATGATGGAGTCAAGACAAGTCAGAACGAACCGGCAAGCGCGCGTCGTCTATGAATTTGGACGATTTTTCGGAGCCGGAAAATGCCCTGGCTCAGCCACAAAATGTAGCCACAAAAGCCGATCAAGCTTGTTCTCTACCCCCACACCGACAAATTTGCCCTAGACTTTTTGTCTACCTCTACCTCCTTCTCCTTCGACAAAAGCACTTGAATTTATCGAAACCCCTCTAATCATGGCTACTCGTACGTTCTTTTTCTCCATTTTGTCCGAGTCGCATGATGCTCAAAATATTACAGGTCTTCATTTCGAAGGAAACAGCGACATCGGCGTCTTCGCCAAGCTTACAAACAGCTACTGTCTTGCGGCTATCCAAGGCAGCACAAATTTCTACTCTGCATTCGAAGCAGAGCTCCAGGATGTGATTCCGATCGTGCACACCAGCATTGGTGGTACACGGATTGTCGGGCGTCTGACTGCAGGTGCGTCTGCTTTTTTTCGATGTGGCCCATCCATGGTTCTCATATACCCTCGATACAACTTCATAGGAAACCGTCACGGTCTTCTTGTCCCCTCTACCACCACCGATCAGGAACTCCAACATCTTCGCAACTCCCTCCCAGACGCCATCGCCATCCAGCGTGTAGAAGAGCGGTTATCAGCCCTCGGAAACGTCATTGCATGCAACGATTATGTCGCCCTTGTCCACCCAGATGTTGACCGTGAAACTGAGGAGATCATCGCCGACGTTCTCAAAGTCGAGGTGTTCAGGCAGACGGTAGCAGACAACGTGCTAGTGGGGAGTTATTGCGCGATCACGAATCAGGGTGGCCTCGTACATCCAAAGACGAGTATACAGGACCAAGATGAACTGAGTAGTTTGCTTCAGATTCCATTGGTGGTGCGTTTTTCTTCTGCTTCGAGGTGGCGTACTGGAGGTTAAACGAGACATCGCGCAGGCTGGTACCGTAAATCGCGGTTCGGACGTGATTGGCGCTGGGCTTGTGGTGAACGACTGGTGTGCCTTCACGGGGACGGCCACGACAGCGACGGAGATCAGTGTCATTGAGGCCACTTTCAGTACGTCCAATCTGTTCTCTCAATTCTCCCCCTCTAACCGTCTCTCTCGCACAGAACTCCAGGGCCAAGACTCGACCGCCGTCATCGGAGAGATGCGCGACACCCTCATCGACAATTGGGCATAACCGCTCGAAGCCTACCTCTTCACCTGCTCGTCCCTTTCCCGTCCCATCGTCCACCTGTACGCCTTCATCAGCCCCATTCGTCGCTCTCGCCAGGTCTCGTTCGCCGTTGTGTTTTGATTACAAGACATACCCATCGTCCAAGAAGTCTAAAGCTAAAGCATTGTTGCGTCGTCGCCGCATCCATCTGTGTTCTCCTATTATTCGGGCTCACGCTTCATATACGGCCGCATTTGTATTCTGCTGTATGTATCAATACTATTTTGCGGATTGACAAGTCTACCATTGTCAGTCGATGTTATCACGTCCATTGGTTACGGTATAGAATGGGAGGGTGTCGTCTCGGTTGTCTCACGGCCTCTGACGGAGGCCCGACGCCACACATTGTTTATCAATATGGCCATCTGCAGTCTTACTCTAGTAATTCACAGAAGTTTCTTTTCAGCCGCTCCGACAGGACAACAAGAGCAAGAGGCATGGTTGCTGGTCACCCGAAACCCCGGGAGGCAGGGAACGACCTTGCCCTTCCTCATCCGAGCCGTCCGCGTCAACGTCGTCGATATCTAGTAAATTTATTTTGGTTCATGCCCTGCGCCAATTTCTTTTCGTACTGAGGCGTGACTTTCGGAGGGATAGTCTCTTCGATATGTACTAGGAACAAGATCCGCGGGTATCCACAATCGCTATATAGACAGCTCGAACCCTTGAGAGACTCTGGAAAGTAGTTGTTGAACCACCCTAGTTCTCCTGCAGAAACTGACAGCTCGAGGTGCCACAAAAAATGATGCAGTCGTGGCGCGGCAAATGCCGATCCGCGCCGAATTGTGTTTTAGGCAGGCTTACACAAGTCTTCAGCAGTGACATATAGTGAAGGTTTGCGTGTGGGAGACGTACGTCTTTCCATAGACAGGCAGGCCGACTAATCTGAACGGTAGGTATACACTAGGTAAGTACTCTTCTCCCCGTGTACCACCAGGGTACTCGGCTCGCTCTATACGGCTTTTAGTTTCTGCCATCGTCCATGCCTTCTCCTTTACCCGTGCATTTGCTTATTTACATGCTCGGATATCTAACAGACTCGGATGTCCCTACTATCTCTTCCCAACGAGATTTTGGCGGAAATCGCCCAAGAATGCAATCACGAAGACAGGTCACAAAAACATTGCTTGTCTTTGCATACCACCATGCAAAACATGTGTGCAGTCAACAGACGCCTCCGGTTGACCTGTCGTCATGTTCTCTACCAAAGTGTGGTCGTATGCCCAGACCATAAAACACTCGAAGCCGTCAAGTCCTTTTTGTTGGCTCATCCAGACGTGCCGTCGTTTATACGGTTCGCATCCCTCTTTACTTCTTTTTTTTCAGGCATTGAATTGTCCGCGCCTTCAGACATATGGTGCTATCAGAGTGTCAAGACCGGATACTCAACTATTCATTCACATATCTCACTGCCGTTGATCTACGTCGGATGTGTAAAGCGATGTTGAGACTTCTGCCTCAACTTATCTCCTTCGACATCTCTAATGTCAACCCGAGAATGCCCCTATCAGAGAGCCTTCTCACACATCTTAACGCCCACCTATCCCTACAGACCTTCATCGTCCACGAAATCGATCAACTCTTTACTCTGAGCACCGCAGTTGACCACACCACCCGTTTCAATCGTCTAAATTGTCATCATCTTTATCTGTCCGCACGTCCGGGGGCTAGATATCCGAAAGAAAGGCTCGAACAACTATTTGCCCCCACGCACGGCGTCCGTCTCAATAGCCTGGCCCTTTGTTGGGATTTCTCCATTGCCGATTTGGACACTATCTACTTCAAAGGCCTGTTACGCTTAAATCTCGATCTCCCCGACGGCCCACCCTCTCTTCCACCAGCCACGAGGTCATTTTTGAGACGTCACTCCTCTCTCGAATACATCAACTTTAAATTCGGCTATATCCTCCTGTCGGCTCTGGCAGCGCTTCCCATCGTCCACGAAATCAGCGCGCACATGAAGGCTGAGGGATTAGACGAAGACGCACTTGGGTTGGGCGGAGTGGCTCTGCAGAGAGTTAATCCATGTTATAGGCAAGCCACCGACTGCTTGGATCCTCGGGACTGGTACATGGATCGTGTTGAATTAGTACTTCACGCTGACGGCGCTCGCATACTCCCGCTCTTCTTCGAATACTGCTTTGACGTGGAATCCCTCGATGTAGACCAACGACAGCAGCACAAGGACGTGGTCACCCTGGTACGCTTTTTCTTACCTTGCTCTATATCTCCAGATACGGCGTTGATATGTTTACTGTATCGTGTCTCCGCTGCTCAAATCATAGGCCGAATTCTTCAACACTATTTGGTGGTATCGTAATCGTTTTGGAGGACTGGCCGAAATCACCCTATCGGGTTTCCCTCTTTGGAATATCGAGGACGACTATCACTGCCCCGTCTCAGATGTTCTTTTCGACCTTCGAGAGTTCAATTGGAGGGCCCACGCACTCGACCCAGATGAGGAGAATGACATCGATCATGCGTGGTGTACCCTTGTGGACCGCCTCAAGCCGTACGCAGATTCACTCTGCAAGGTCTTGGAACATATTTCAGATGGATTTCCTATGTTGAACGGGCTCGAGTACCATGGACGTCCAGGTGATACACCGGGCGGTGAGATCTTTTTGGAATTTACTATCGAGAGAGATGCAGACGAAATGGTGGTCAAGGATGGAACGTCGTATAAGGTGCATGTGGTTAAAAGTACGTCGCAGGATAGACTGTCTCGAGATGTGCATGTTGACTCATCTTGCTCGTTATACCAGATGTTTGAGATCACGCAAGCGTACGACTATGTTGGATCTGGCGCGGGGTTGTCTTGCATGTATCTTATCTCGCGTTTTGATAGAGAACACATCGACAGGTATTCGATATGAACGATCTTCTTCAATAATTCTTTGGGTTCGAGTGATGCACATTCATCTCTAGCCAGCTTCGTGCCATTGAGTACTTCTTCATCGTCAGTTTGCAGTGCTCACCCTCTGCGACACGCCGCACGTAGGCTTAAATGCCACCAGACTTAATCGGTAAGTACAAGGGTATGTATACAATGGGCAGTCGATCGGACGAGCGCAAGTCGAAATAGTGCTGTTTGTGCTAGGGACCCCACGACGGCTCAACAGTATGTTACGGCTTTGGATAGTCGGGCTGAGAGCAAACGAGCCAACCTACTGTACGTCCATCACGAATACAGACTACAGTCTCATCCTCCAGCTTCCCATGGACACCGCTAATCGCATCATGTCATCCAACACCAGTCCATCTCCCGCTGAGGATGGATGAGCTTCACGGCCGTCGAAGAAGTGGCCCCGATCGATCTCGCAAACGGTCTCCTGCATGGGAAGCGTACCATCTCTGAAGTAAGCTCTTTTGATATTTGCCATGCAGAGGGACAACGAAGTCGAAGAGACATGCTGCGAAACAAGAATGCGTTAGAAGCAAAACACGACAGGACTTCATTGGTGATCGTACTCCGACGCCATTCTGAATGACAAGTCTTGAGTTTTCCTGCCCGAACCTATTGTTGACTGTGCGAGCGTTGACAAGAGGTGTAATGGGGTCGACCTGTCCACGAGAATGTACTGTGAGTCTGTCGCCAATGGAGACTGTAAAGTCGAGCACGTACATTGTTACTCATAATCAGGATCGGGTTCTTAGGCGCACGGTCCCATGGCCCCGTAAATCTCTCTGGGGGAGTAACGGGCCAGTATTCACATCCTGAGTCTGCCTCTAGCGCGAAAATGGCCATAGCGAATCTCGAAACGCTGGACAGAACGTCCAAAGTCTCGTCGACCACGTCTGTCAGGTTCGGCTTCGCAATCCCGGCGCGATCGTTACAAGAGACCCCAGAACGCTCCAAATCGATCTCGCTGCTGTAACGGTAATGATAGTCAAGTATCCACGCTGCGTCTCCTGCGAGGGCCCGAGCGAGTCTTTCCGCAAATGTTGGCCAGAATTGGGGCACTTGAACAGTGATAAAAAGTATATCTAGGAGACGGGTGAGAGGAAGTGGTCAGCGTGAAGGGATGTTGTAAATGTCAAAATACCTGAGCTTACGGTGAGCATGACCGGTAGTTAAAATACCGGGAATGGAGTAGTTTGTGACTGGCATAGGGTTCATAGAGAGAGATTGGACCCAATCGTCGACGCGTTTCTGAATATCAACCCCACTGGTATCTTGCGGCCGTACGAGCGGGCAGGACGATAATCCAGCCTATTATAATAAATTCAGCCTTGTGTTCAATATAAAGTACCGTGTTACTTACCTGGTAGCACTCTTCGAAGAAGCGTTTGTATGCTTCTTCAGAATCTGTCAGCCAAGTGCGATAATACGTATACGGATGATCGTCTAAAACGTTTGTCAGTATCTCCCCTCGAGCGAATAAAAGTAAGAAAGTGGCATACTCGGCCATGGTGCTGGGTCCACGATTCCGTCGATCAGGATTCTACCTATGCGATCTGGTAACCTGTGCGGTGGTAAACATGAAGGCCACACAGGATTCCATCAATGGCTCACATGTTGATGAGATATTGTCCCAAAATCGTTCCATATGATTCTCCGACAAAGTTGCTATCGCGGACCAGGGTGAGCAGGACGACGAAAGCGCCGACAAAGTGACGCTCACATCAGAGCATCCTCGCCTTCTAGAGTTCTTGTGATGAAGTCGATATCGCGAACAATGGTGGTCGTGCCCATGTACTTCAACTGGTCGCCCATAGTCTGATAACAAACGTCGAACTGAGTCTTGAACAATGCTTCGGCCTCTCGATGTTGATAGATAAGGGACTGCCTGGCAAAGTCATCGGATACGTTCAACGGCAATTCGAACCCACGATCCAGGACTGTGTTGTGCCTAAAGAGGGCCCTGCGATTGGGCGACTGAAAACAGTCTGTCGGCGGTCTGCGATGCGTATATAAGCCCATGTTCATTAGAAGAAGAAACCTCACGTACTCTGTCTTTCCGATTCCTCTGATATCAAAGCCCAATATATCGTAGTCCTCGCCGGTGAAAGTACGTTGGTAAAGATCTCCGAGATTGTATGCCTGAGGAGTACCAGGGACTCCAGGACCGCCTACGGTCGAAACGAAGGGGCAGATAAGTATTCAAGGTGATATTTCCTTCGCAGGAGACCTACCAGGGTTAAACATCACCATACCCTTCCTAGGGAATTTGGTAGCGCGATATCGGGCAAGGGCCACTTTTGTTGTGCCCACCGTCGGGTCCGAATAGTCCAAAGGAACTCTTTTGTCATACGTTAGATACTTATAACTACGGTCAATATGTTCGGCTTCACTCACACAATGTAGCCACATTCCGCGTCCGGAAGACTGCTAGGCTCGGTGCACCTGTGCCATTTGACAGTGCCAATGACTTCTGAATGAACGGCTCCCGTGCCCCTTGAACCGTCTGACAAAAGGTCGTCGGTGGCAGGGAAGCAGTTATAAATGACACTTCCGAAGAAGAGGAGTAGGACGAGGAAAGACAGTGAGAAGAAGGAACGCGTTAGAGTACGCCTCAAGCGGGGGCGCGAATTTAGGCCATCATCTTGGTTCGGAAGATCTCGTTGATCCACAGGCTGTAAATCGGAGTATAGTGAGACTGCTCTCTTTACTTTTTCATTCGGCATCCTTTACGGCGGCACTCGTCAATGAGGAGTTCTGGTACAGAATAATCAGGGTTTACTATTATTAGTGGGCGGATACTAGCAGAGTACTTATCACAGTTGCATGCTGCAGTGAGGTTGAGAGGCTTTCAACATACCTAGAACTCCAGACCAAGGTTGAGTATGGATGAAGAAGAATGAGCATACCCCGAGACTCATCTGCACACACTCATATCTTTGGTTTTATTGGTGACGGTCAGGTCTCTCCGTCACGGTCGACGTGGTCTCGGAAGGCTTGCGTGGCGCTCCCTCTACGGTACACACGGCCCGATACCTGACGCTATCTTGCAGTGGCACTGTGGCCCTATGAAGACGAGAGTGGTATACTCATACTTATGTGGAACATTGAATATTGAAGCTTGAAGGCGCGATCCATTATATTTGTGCACGGAAAGTCAACACATATGTAGCCAGAAATGAAATTGCAGGGTCAGACACAACTACACTATGGAACCCCTCCATGTCTCAACGCGTTCAGCGTACCAGCTACACGCAGCATCTGATCTAGCCTCTCCTCTTCTTCCGCTGAATATGTCTTGACCCTAGAGTTATCGGGGAAGGGAAGCATGTCAACCTCGCAGACATGCTCCTGAGGTGGGAGGGTGCCATCCGCGAAATAGCTCCTTGTGATATCTGCCGAGCAAAGCGAAGGGGTATTGATGGAGCAATGCTGGAGAAGAAAGATTACATATCCATTATGAGAGAAAGTAACAGCAGTATAGCGCACCCCAGAGCTGTTTTGAACCGCAAGCCTAGCGTTCTTTGGTCCCAGGATATTGTATACAGCGCGTCCATTCACGATGGGAGTGACCGGGTCGGCCTGAAGTAAGGTGTGAGCTGGAGTGTTTCCACAGGTGGAGAGGGTCACTCACGATATTGCTGTGGATCAGGATTGGGTTCCTCAACGTGTGGTTCCAAGGGCCTGAGAACCTCTCTGGAGGCGTTACGGGCCAATACTCGCAACCCGAATCCGGCTCTGCTGAGTACACACCCATACCGAACCTTGACACATGCTGAAGAACATATAATGCCTCATCTGCTACGTCTTCTGAGTTGGGCTTCGCACGAGGTGCTTGGTCGTTACAAGAGACAGCCGAGCGCTGGAGATCGGAACCTAGACGCTGATAGTCACTGTCTACGATTTCGGTCGCGTCGCCGGACATCGCTTTGGCGACGACCTTTGCGCCGTATTGCCATCCCATGGGACGTTGGAGAATGCTGAAGACATACTCTGCCTGACTTGAGCAGGGGAAACGTTATTATAAGAAGATGTCACTCACTGCTTGCTGCTCCAGAAGTGAGAATGCTTGGCATGGTGGCGTTAGGGACGGCCATAGGATTCATGAAGAGATCATCGAGCCAGTCTTCCAGACGATTACGAATGTCAGAGGGACTTTCGTCTTTGGCGTTTACCAGGGCGCACTCCGAAGGTCCTGCCTGTAAAAGCGGAATCAATCTCATCGTTGCCGTTCTGACGACGAGCTTCTTACCTTGAAGCATCCATCTAGGAACATGTTGTAGGCGTCCGTGGTGTTGCTCAACCATGTGCGATACCATTTATAAGGAGGCTGACCTAAGTAATAGTCAGTTCCGGAGACGCAGAAGGGAACGAAAGTTACTTACTAGTCCAGGCAACAGCATCAGCGACACCGTCAATGACGACGCGCCCTAAGCGATCGGGCAACCTATAGATAATGAGAGAAAATAAGAACTCGAACGAAACGCCGTGGAAGTAACTGACATGTTCACGAGGTATTGGCCCAAAATCGTGCCATATGATGCACCCCAGAAGTTACTACCATTTGTGGAGTGAGTAAACGTTTGTCTTTAGAAGATGGTGACCTACATAAGCGCATCTTCCCCTTCCAAGGTACGAGTAATGAAGTCTATATCACGGACGACGGTACTGGTGCCCATGTACTTCAACTTGTCGCCCATAGTCTGCGCACACAGCGCGAACTGAGCTCGATACAAAGCCTCGGCTTCCTGTTGCTGGTAGACTAGGAATTCACGAGTACGCGGATCGGTAAAGTTCGGAGGGCTCTGGAAGCCTCGTTCGAGGACCGTGTTGTGGCGAAACAACGCTCGACGGGTCGGCGTCTCGAAGCAATTGGTGCTCGGTCTGTAGGATTTTATAAGTTAGATAGCATGATGGACGGAGAGGCGGGGCGATACGCTTACTCTGTCTTGCCAATTCCGCGAGGATCAAATCCAATGAGGTCGTAGTCCTCACCGGTGACAACACTCTGGAGATCACGACCTCTAACAGTGGCAAGAGGCGTGCCTGATCCTCCGGGACCGCCTGTCAGATCATGAGTCATCTTGAAGCTACTATACGTGATGAAAGCGCAAAGACGAACCGGGGTTCAGCAGGACGATACCTTTCCTGGGGGAGCGAGTGGCGTTATATCTTCCTAGAGCGACCTTTGCGACCCCTGCAGTCGTGTCGAAATAGTCGAGAGGAACTCTGTGGGTGCTTGAGCGGCAGATGTATTGCATAGAATAAAATGATACATACATGATATGGCCACACTCAGCGCCTGGGAGGATTCCTTCCCCTTCACATTCGTACCATTTGACGGTACCAACTGGTCCAAGCAATGACAGATCCGTAGCATCCTCTAATTTGATGGAGTTAGTATGGATTAACCCTCGGTAACTGCAGCCTTTCGATAGGAAGAGGTACGACAATGTTCCGATGACGAGAGCCAGACAAGCAGCACGGCGCATTACTGTCTTCACGGCAGAAGAGTGGGATTTACACTTGTGCGTTGATACATTCGAAAAGCTGTGTGCACTCTTCACGTCGGCACACATCCTGAAGACCTACGATCGAAGCTGAGACCGAGCGGCGAGGATAGCGCACAGCAATCGGCAGTTCAGAACAAGTTCAGAAGGTTGGAACAGGTTGAAACCCACCAGGGTGTCAATGGTCCCCGGAGTAAGACAGATGTCGTTAAGAACCAGCAAGGCTTACATAAAATGTTTCTAGCTTGTGATTGGCTCAGAAACCTCTCGAAGCCTCTGCAGCCAATCGCGAGCCAGGATAATTTTATGTAAGCCTTGCTGGTTCCTGACGACATCTGTCTTATGCCGTCAGTTTGAAGGGCCGACCGCGGAGCAACTGTGGGGTCGCTCTTGCATGGTATCCACCAGCCGCATCACCCGGCGTCGAAAGAACCCTCTGTGGCAGCAATCGAGATCCCCAAGAGTCTTTTTCTCATGGTGTATACTGCTTTAAAATCTCATCCAATTGGGACCAACAGGCCTGAACTCGCTGGAAAAGCCATTGCCAACGACCAACCTCCTAATACTTTCTTTCAAGGTCATAGTCCACCCTTCCCGACCTGTACATGGTGGGTCGGCTACGCTGCAGGAGAAGGCGATGCGTACGTATATGTCCTTGATATGCGTTTTCTCTTGTTTGAAATAGAGATAGTATTTGTGCAGGTCCTTTCCCATACGAGACTTGCTTGGTGCCACATGGAATTAAATACGGCATATCCACTACTCGCCAGTTCGACGGCACATCGATCAAGCAATTGACCCAGAGTGATTGGTGTGCTAGTTTTATAGAGCATTCTAAGAAATCGCGCGACCATAAGGCCATCTGCTGGGTAGGTGCCTGCTGGATATTCAATATTCCTTCGTATTTTACTCCTCACCATAGGATACACAATCCGTGGCCCTCCAATACTTCACTGGGTTGAAGACATTGACGAGCTATCTGGTGCCGGGCTCGCCATATCTTACCTTCGTTTATGACAATGCGACCCCCGTATTCATCTCCGAACAAGGTCCAATCGTCTCCTTCAATGACAAACCACCAGCCAAAGGTGGGATCACGGCCAAGTTGTCTCGTATCACTCGTCCTCACCATACAACCTCAGAAGGCACCCTCGGAACGAAGTTCAAAGTAACAACGCGCATCGGCACCTATATCATATACTCATTATCCGGTCCCATGTCTCTTTCGGCATCCCAGGACAAGGTTGTGGCTTCATCTCCGTTCACCGGTGTCATTCGCATGGTCAAGCTCAGTGATCCGGCGCACGAACGCATCCTAAACGACTATGCCGGTACATATCCCAAATCCGTCGACACAGGTTTTTTATATTCGTCGACGGATTCCACCGCCATCCTTCGTTTCACTTGGTCGGTAGTGGGGAATCCAGCCGAACTGTTGATGATGACTTGGCCACATCACCGGTACGCGCTGTTCGTCGTGATGATTTTGACCTCGTACTCAGCGAGATTTGGCTTTGCCGTGCACCCACAGAATGAAGATGCAAACTCCGACGTTCCCTCCGGTCCATGCACTCAGTTATCTCACGACGAAGGGATACATGTATCCCGCTCTTGGCAACGTCTGGGATCTCAATTACGACCTACCTAATATTTCTTGGAACGCTCCACGTCTGCCAGATGAGTCATGCATTCCTGCCATTATTCAAGGATTGGAGTACGAGATAGGTCAGCTAGAGGCTGCGAACGCGCCTGTACCGGGAGACTTTTACTTTTGGGGAGGAGCAATCGCCGCGAAGGCGCGACTCGCGTCAGTGACAACTTTGATATCCTTTCTTCCTTCATCTGGAGGAGTGTTTTATCTTGATTCTAATTGTTCTCTGTCTCTGAAGGTTGATTGCAGAGCATGTGGGCCGCCATGATCTCATACCCTATGTGGTCGAATATCTCAAGGCGAGTTACAAGCACTGGGTAAGTTTCGCAGGGATATCGGTATTTTGATGCTGGTCGGTATACCTATCGGTGCCGTGAATTTTAGTTCGACAGTTCTTCGCCTATCCAAGCTGCATACGAGACAGCTTGGGGAGGCATTATTAACAAGAGTGGGTATAACAACTTCTGGGTGGATTTTGGTAACGGATATTACAACGACCACCAGTGGGTACCAGATTTTCCGTGAAGTGGATGCCTATTCAAGCCATGTTCTGCTAGTTTCCACTATGGATACCTCTTCGAAGGCGCTGCGACGATCGCTAGGTATATATTACGGGGCTCCGTTTTGTCGCAAGCCCTGAATCTCATGAACCTCGCAGGTACGATTCACAATGGATGTCGGAATACAAGTCGCACATCGACTGGTTTCTTCGAGACGTCGTCAATCCCAGCATCTCTGAAGACCCGTACTTTACATTCACACGACATTTGGACATTTTTGCGGGCCACTCTTGGGGTACGTACAGTCTCATGGAACGCATTCAGCTCGCGCATAGAGCTAATTAGTGCGAATAGCATCTGGCATAGGAAACGGAGCAGGTTCGCGTGACCAGGAGTCCATCGGCGAAGCCGTGAATGGTTACTACGGCGCTATGCTCTGGGCGGAGATCACTGGGCACAAAGACATCGTCGAGTATTGTCGACTCCTCATCGCAATGGAACAACATGCGGCGAAGGTGTACTGGCACCTCTACCCGGAGAGCGATGGAGAAGCCCGTGATCAACCGTATCCTGAGCCGGAAGTTAGGAGTCTCGTCACTATTGGTATGTGCAGTAGCCGATCAGTTGGCGATGATGCTTACCCGTTTGTGACCAGGTAATGTACAGGACTGGCAAGCTGGAGCGTGGTTGTAAGTAATTTACTCTGTCGTTTCTTATCAGAAGCTATAGCACAGTTTTCAGGTTCTGGGGAGACCAGAAAGTTCAAATCGCCGCCATACAGATCCTTCCGGTCCGTATTTCTGATCAAATAATATTGCATGCACTGATCTCACCTACAGGTCATCCCCGTGAATGAGTACATGTACGACCCCGCGTGGGCACGCAACGTCCTCGCCTATACGTCCGGAGAGCTTCACGACCCAGCCATCAGTGACGACTGGAAATCCCTCATATACTGCGCCTACTCCCAATACAATCCTCACAAAGCCGCCGAACTCTCCTCCCTCCTCATGGCTTGGGGAACCGGCAACACGTACACTAACCAACTCTATTTCATCTCCACTCGGCCCAATCCTTCCCGCAGACCCATATTCTACTCCGCTGGCGCAAACCCTACCGGGAATTTCATGGTCCAATCATGTACCACGGGCCGATACGTGACTTCGTCACCCAGTGCTTCCGATCTTATTGTGTCGGTGGAGACACAAGAAGAGGCGGAGGTGTTCGAGTTTGCGTTTGCTCCCAACTCGGGGACAATGAAGGGTCTATCGAGTGGGATGTTCGTGACGGCCGATCAATCAGGTTCGGCAACGCTCGCTGCGAGTCGAGGGGTGGCGCTGGCTTGGGAGATGTTCATGATCCGTCCCAAAGAAGGGAAAAGAGATGAGTATTGGATGAAAGCAGGGTCGAATAGGAAGTTTATCACGGTTGGCGCAGATGGACGGCTGGTCAACAACGCAGATTCAGCTGCATCCAGCGCTTCCTTCCGATTTATTCATCCACCTTCTTCATGGAGTCCCCCAAAGCCGCGGCACGACTATGCGACACAATCTGCTGGGATTAGCGAGGAGGAGAGGCTTTCAGCTTTGACGAAGTCGAATCCTGAAGGCAGGTTTGTTATTCAGGAGGCTTCCACGGACCGATATATCGTCCCCACCGCCGAGCACAATCTCCAAGCATTGTCGACCTCGCAAGCCGATGCCGAAGTCTACGTTTTCAATGCAGGCACTATAACCGCTTCTTCCACCAGATTGCTGGTCACCGCCGATATATCTGGTTCTGTCCCTCTCTCGGCTTCTCGGTCCACGGCGCTGGCCTGGGAAATGTTTATCGTCAGCCCCAAGGACGGTGGCGATGGGCTATTCACAATTCGGGCAGGATCAAACGGCAAGCATGTTTCTATGCGGCCGGATGGTTCTCTGGTCAACGATGCCATGACGGAAGCTGGGGCAACCGTATTTCGCTTGCTGACACCCCATCCTGCACTCCTGGCTCGTAATCCCGAGGGGCGATTCATCCTGCAAGCTACAGGAACATCATGGTTCATTGCATGCTCCCCATCTTCCCCGACTCTCACCGCATCCGCCTCTTCTAACTCGGACGCCGCCGTCTTCGAACTCAGTAATGACCAGGATCCGACGTCTGAAGGTTCCACAGTGGCACAAGGCGGGACTCTCAAGCTTTTAGCCACACAGCAGTACGTCACCGCGGATATTTCAGGGTCATCTCCCCTAGCAGCCGCTCGTCACGCTGCTCTGGCTTGGGAATATTTCACGATACGGAGGAAGGTCGAGGAACAAGGTGGGGAGGTAGTTCCAGTGGGACAGTCGGTATATACAATCAGGGCAAGGTCCAATGGCAGATACGTGAGGGTGGCACAGGATGGCAGTTTAGTTAACGATGGAAAGACGGCGGTAGACGCTGAAGGGTTTCGACTTCATCAGTTTGCAGAGTGATATGTTGACAGTTTTACTCTGAAGCTACTTGGAAGTAATGTATCCTTGAATTGGATGTGACTACGATTCGACTAGAATATTCTTGGGCCGATATATGTTGTAGGCGGGGTGAAAGAGATGATATATTTTCAATTGGACACGAATGCGTGGAAGTCCGATAGAACTAGCACGGTGAGAGATGAGCACAGGGTCCCACAAAAGTGATGATGACAGGGCTGCGTGCTGTGTCTGATACGAAAAGCAAGTCTGTAGATAGTCGATGCTTGTACCTCAGAAGATTTAGATATCCGGGCAGACTGTCGTTGAGGGTTATGCCCAATACGAAATCAAGTTCTGCGGAAAGGAGTCAAGTCGATGGACTAGCAAGAAGCTGATGATCGACATTATTGCGAGCCGTGACGATTACTTGTACCGGGACAGATTCGTGGGACTCACAAAATACCCACCCGTTATCAGCCGAGGTAGAAATTGTGGCGGCGGTGCGCGAGCGGCGTCATGCAAATACAGGTCTGCATAAAAAGTGCCCGTGACCTGAAGAGAGAACGAAGCAAATGCATAGTATATTTGCAACATCTCCGTAAAACAGTCATAGTACACAAGAGGGAGCAATTCTTCAGAGCTTCGGTATTCAATCCTGAAAAGATCGTCATCAGCATATATGGGACGACAACTCTGTCAGTGCATACCTTGTTATTCCCTTTCTCTCAACCCTTAGCGCGTGTGATTAAGAAATTTACTTCTTTCCTCCCGAAGACTGGTGGGACTGTCCACTGGGAGAGGTATAGTTCGAGTAGCCGCTCCCGCTGTTGTAGTAGGTAGACCCGTTCGGGTTGGAGTAGTAGTAGGATCCATCACTGCACGGGCCAACACATATCACTAAGTTAGAAGTGCAGATATAAAGCGATAACGGGGCGAGAGTGCATAGGGAAAGGCTCTGAACGACGTACGTGTTGGAGTAGTGGTAACTGTTCGAATCGTTTCCGTAATCGCGAGAGCAGTAGTGGTTACCCTGTCATGAGGACCGCAAGCGTGCCATACGTCCCAAGTCAGTCATTCGCAATGAAAAAAATGAGTATGACTTTGAGGTCCAGGTATCTGAAGATCTGGCCATTCCGGTATTGATGTTGACGAGAACAAAGGCCATCAGAGCATAAATAGGGGCGACATACGTACCTGGTCATTGGTACCAGAGCCGGTGTAGCTGTAGCCAGAGTTCGAAGAGTTGCTGTTGGATTTCCCTGACATGGCGGTGTTATCGTGGTGTCGGACGGTGCGAGGTGGAGGGACAGGTAGAGGGTCAGAAGAGAGTTGAAAGGGGAGAGAATAAAAGAGGGCGCACATTTATAGGGTGGCGTGCACCCCCGCGAAATGCCGGACGGGGTGGGCACGATCTTATCTTATCTCAAACGGTGAACTTATCCCCCATCAACTCGAAGTTCGGAGGCCTCTCCTTGACCGTCTTTTTTTTTTAACTCTCCACGCGAAGATACTCACTAATATTCATCATTGATCAGGCCTCGTCTCCGGACACCATTCCGAAACCGAGTTCCCCTACCTGAACTGGTCATAATTCCATGCCAGTCGCAGAGCATTGAAGTGCTATTCAATGACGACAACTTTTGATACGCGTACACACACATATATATATCACATTATTGAGTTAGTACGCCTCATGAATCCAGCCTAACATCCGCTCCGCCTTGGTACAGTCGTAGAAACCTCTTCTCCGCGGCACGATACTCCTCGCAGCCTCTCCTTGTACGATGTCCCCCGTGCAATCCCACCACCCTTCTCTGACTCTCGCCCCTGGCCACCACGTCTCTTTCAGCGACATTCCGTCGACACTCTCGCCTTGTGGAAGATCCGTATCAGCGACGTTCAGATCAGGAGCGGCGATATAAAATGCTTCGTGGCCTGTCCATCCCGTCCCTTTTAGAGTTGAGGCAGCCTCTTCACCACCCCCACCAGTCGCTCGGACACTGAGAGGTAAAGTCATAGCCAACAAAAATGCTCTAGCGCCTTCATCTTCCTGCACCCATCCCCATAGATCCTTCGCAGCCGTCGCTTCATCTATTCGTACGCCTCCAGCCTCCTGGTCGGTTTCCTTAAGATCGGGGACTTCAAAGGCACGACGTGCAATCAAGCGGAGCGGGACGGAACGGTGGAGACGGAGGGAGGCGATTCGGAGGTGAGGGTATCGACGGATGAGTGTGTCGGCTTGCATTTCCATTATTCTGTCGAAGTTGTTGGACCAAATCACATCGATACGAACAGTGAATAGCAAGGAGGAAGTCAATTCATGCTTTGAGCACACTTCGAGTCGATCGGGGGAAAGATTCCGAGGAAAGTGAGAGAGATTATTCGTGCAGTGACGTAGAACAAGGAGGTAAGGTTGAGACGAGAAGAAGTTTGGGAAAGAGCAAGAGTTTCGGAAGGATCGAGAAGACCTATACGTGCAAGAAGTAAGCATGAATAGATGGACGTACATCTTAGACAGTCCATAAGGCTCATCAGGCTCACATGGATGGTTTTCATCGATAGGGAGGTATTGAAAGTCGTGAGTCTTGCCAAAAATTCCGCGGAGAATATTGATACTTGAAGCTTGTGCGATTCGCGTTATCCCTAACTGTTAAAATGGAGGGAATCCGGAAGACGGAGGAGGAAAACGGAGACGGAAGGAGAGGAAGAGGAGGGGAATGCGAGAACGAAGGAAGAAAGCAGGTAGAGCGAGAGATTAGTGCATTGTGGAGAGCGTGGTCGTTCAGAAATTTGAACCGTATCGTACGGAAGGTCTGTGACAGTATGGGTCTGGTTTGGGTGGGCAGAGAGCTTAAGACAGAAGGGCGCCACACAGAGTGGCGTCAGGGGCTGGAATGTGGCCCAGTTGGTTGGAGATCGTTGATCCCGAATGCATAAACCTGTGTCAAAGCTCTGTTTGACGACGGCATCGTCCTATTTCTCTGCCATAATATGACCATTACACTCTCTCCACTTGAACTGCCATGAGACCGAGATCGCGACACAAAAATCCACGCACCTCAGCACAAACCCTCAATAAATTCCACGAGATGATCACATTCCTGCGGAGACGCAATGAACAGAGCGATATTAGCACCAATACAGTCCGAGCTTTTCAGATCAAATGGGTTCTTGGTCGAAGGATTGAGACATACATATTATGAGTGCGAGCAACTCCATCTCCCATATGACTTATCCCAGCCAAATTCGCCAACCCAACCTCATCCTCCCCCTTCCCGCGTTTATCCGGATCCAAATCTTCCTCGCCCACCTTGTCGCTCATTCCCAACCATACTCTCAAAACCCTCTCGATTTCCTCGTACTCCCTCAGATCCACTCTCTCAAACACATACCTGCCATCTTTCTTCTCCTTTTCAAGGTCAACATCAACATCATCTGGAGTGTCAGGCGGAATCAGATGCCGATAAATCGAAGGTAAAGGATGAGGTGCAGAATCGAGACCGAGGACGCTATGGTGGTCCGGGGATAGAAGAGCGAGGCGGACGAGTCGTTGGCCGATCGAGCCGTGGGCGCCGGCGACGATTATCTTCATTGTATGTATGTACGCTGCAGTAAGAGCAACAAGCAAATGATACGGTGCTGTCGGTGAGAAGGGGATGACGGGGATGAAAGATGATGGGAGGGTAGAAGTAAGACACGAGATAGTTCGAGAAGCAGGGGCTGAGAGGTATTGTATCATTGTACCGAGAATGCACGAATTTTCCAATATCTGTCCACCTACCGCAAGATTGGCGTTGGGAATAGAACTTCGTTACTTCCGAGTCAAAGTCCCGGTGATTCGTCTGATTGCTGCAATCAATTGACAATCAATTGCAGTACGGTACCTTCTGAGCTCTTCTGAGTCCACTTGCTCACCACGAAGCCTCTCGCGCATTTAGAAGCATTCGAGCTCAAGGATCGCTCGGACCGCTATGCCACCTCCTGATCATCTGTGTATCGTCTTTGAAGCTCCGAAGTCGATATCTCACACCTCACCGTCCCCACTCGACTGCGAGTCTACTAATTCGCGGCATGCACCCATCCCAACATCCTCTCCGCCTTCTTACAATCATAAAACCCTCTCCTCCTCGGCTCGACCCTCCTCACCGCCTCTCCTACCCACCCTCCTTCACCATGACGTCCACTGCTGTTTGGCGTGTCAACTTCAGCACCCCACCACCCCTCCCTGACCTTCGCAGCAGGCCACCATTCCTGTTTCAACTGCATCCCGTCCACAACCCCCTCTGCTGTATCCAGCATCTGTAAATCCGGGGCAACGATATAAAATGTTTCGTGGCCTTTCCATCCCGTCCCCGTCGCATTCCTGCCCACACTCTCATCACCGCTTTCGTTCCCTTTCTCCTCGAAGTTGCTTGGTGAAGACGCATCGACTGTCAGAGGAAGTGTAAGGGCCAACAAGAACGCCCTGACACCTTCGTCCTCCTGTACCCATCCCCACAAATCGGCCGCTGCTTTCGGTTTATTCGTCCGTATTGAATCGGATCGAGTAGGTACTGACCAGTGCAGACGGAGGGAGGCGATTCGGATGTGTGGATATCGTCGTGTCAGGGTGCATGCTTGGGTTTCCATGATTCTGAAAACACATCGACATACAAGACACATATGGTCAGCGTAGAATCCGATATGTTTAAAGATGAGTGTCGCGTTGTGAAGGGTCACCAGGAGGAGCGATAATGATTGGACACCCGGGCGGGAGACGGTAAGGTGGGTGCAGAATAAGTCGAGCTCTGAGGATTACCGAACGAGAAGAGAAACACACATCTTTGATAGCCCGTAGGGCTCGTCAGGTTCACACGGATGTTCTTCGTCAATCGGAAAGTAATGGAACTCGGGTGTTTCGCTATATACGCCACGCAGTACATTAACGCTCGAGGCTTGTGCAATTCGGTTGATACCTAGCTATATTTCAATGATTTGAGTCAGTATTACTATTGAGCCCGCCGAGTTGGAAGAGACATGAAAAGCGGCGAATCGGACGAGATGCGGTTGTCGGTAGTGAAGAAGGAGGAGTCAACAGGTGAATGACAGGCGCAACACCACTTTCGACTCTCCGGATAACTTACCTCGGCACAAGCCCTCAACAAATTCCACGAAATCACGACATTCCTGCAGTGACACACGCACCACGATCAATATCCTGGCGAAAGAATTCAGTCCGCTAAACGAAAAAGCGCTCACGTATTATGTGTCTTCACAATTCCATCACTCGGATTCCTTATCCCGGCCAAATTGGCGAGTCCCACCCCGTCATCGACTCCTTCGCCCACCCTATTCCCAATCCACGTCTCCATGACCCTCACCACATCCTCATACTCCTTCAAATCAATCTGCATGAACGTGTACCTCCCTTCCTTCCTAGCCTCCTCGACATCATAATTGATCGGTGGCTGACCCAGATATGGTGAGGGCGCAGGATGAGGCGAGAAGTCCAGTCCGAGGACGGTGTGGCACTCTGGGGATTTGAGAGCGAGGTGGACAAGTCGTTGACCGACTGAGCCATGTGCGCCCGCTATTATTATCTTCATGATCTTGACTGTTAGATATGGTGCTTTTGGGAGTGGTCGAGAGTTGGACACTCGGACGGTGTCACGGTGGTGAGAGAGAGAAGAGAGTGAGAGCACCGACTGTTATTGGTAAGAAGCGATAGACCGATAACCCACACATATGTACATTCGCCTACCTACACCTAATTCAGGCCACGTACGCCGTAGCCCCCAGTCGACAGCAATCACGAGTTCAAGGCCTGCGAAGGACCATGATTGATAATAATGAATCATGACGCAGCATCGTCTAACTTGAAGAGAGCCGTGGTACTGTCTGGGAGCCGAACATACATGCACATGGGAAACTAGTGCTTAGCTAGCACCCGCAATCAACATTTAGTCGAGGAAAGTCTTGAAGGATGGAGAAACCATGGGGAAACACTGACGATAGGCCCTCTGGACCAGAATAAATTGAAGTACATACTTGAACTGGTAGAGGTTCGACTTCGCGGGATCGATAACGGAAGCAGCGTGGAAATTTGAGCATGCTGATAGTAAGAACTCGCTTGTACTGGAGACAGAGTAATTTGTGTTCTGTCGACGGAAATCAAAAGACCATAACATCACGGATTTCCGCCGAGGCTTGCAATCAATTGTACCGATAAGATGGTAGGGAAAGGTTGCCGGAGATTACTTACAGTTATTTACGACATATAAACGCTTATTAGCATTAAATCAGCTTGCGAGCCCGAAGAAGCATGTAAAATCTTGCATTTGATTGGAATTATTCCATATGAAGGCCTGCCGAGGTCGGCCGGGGGGAATCCGCTCCCGAAGAAGGCGCAGTTTGGGGCTCAGCGTGGGACCTGCCAGCGCGCACATTATTTTCTTCGGTGGCTTGAATTCCTTTCGACTCGTACCACCATCTTCGTCTTCCTCACTCGTTGGGCCCTCCTTCGTCCCTCCTTCGTCTTCGCCCAGCCCATCTTTTAGCGCTGTACGAGTCTTCTTTAACATGGTGCTCCTCGACGGTCTCGGGGTGTCTACCAGAGGAGCGCGTGTCGACGCGAAGGTGGTCGATATAGTTCGGTGTCCGTTAGCGTCGTTTGGTTCGTTTCGTTTGGTTCGTTTCCTCTTCGCCCTTCGCAACCAATGTAGTTCCTTCCCACGTCCCCTCCGCACGAGACGAAGCAGACACTGTGCTTCGTCTTCGGAATTGGGGACAGATCATCAAAGTGGTGCAGCGCGAACATGGCCGCATGTGCCATATCGTGCTGCACTGACTGTCGCATGTGGGCTCCTTCACACTTTGTCCTGTATTATGCACACCGGCCATTGCGATTTTCTGTATCCCCCATTGTATCCTCTAGTATCGTTAGATATCTATACCGCTTCGCTCTGTACTTGCAGTTCGTACCTACGTTCTTCTTTGCAATCAAGAATATCGTTTTCTCACTTACATTTAATTCATGGCCTGATTATGTGGTCCTCAGGAAGGGTTCAATTGACGGGTGAAGTGACATACCTTGAACAGATCCTGAGAGCTTGTAGTGTTTTACAACTAATTCCATGCCTCCGTTGTGGACCTTGCAAGAAGTGAATGAGCACGATAACCCCTTTTACTTGTTGTAGCAGTATTTCAGCAATTGCACCCCAAATATGACTTTACAATCGCCGTAAATGGTTTTACAAGACTCGGTGGATTTCCGTGATGACTCAAGCAGAGCAAGTGAATGTGAGGAAGAGTGGAAGTGGCACTCTTAAGGGCCACTTCCTTGGCGCAGCCATGGCAGTAGGTGGGTACTAGACATGAAGATGTCTCACAGCCAAGCTGTTGATAGGGTTCAATGGTCTAATGGTTATGATTTCTGTCTCACATGCTGCAGTACGTCCATACTTAGTGGATTGATCCGCGCACAGAAGGTTCCCAGTTCGATCCTGGGTTGAACCATAATCTTTTTACTTTTTTCCTCTGTGCGAATCTCGCCATCAATGGACCACGTTCAATGAGTATATTATTGCTTTCACAGGGGCTAAAGTACTCGTATCCTTCATGTGCCTTGCCTTGCCTGCGTCAAGATCGAGCTGAGTCCTGACTTTGATCCTCGACAGGCAGGCAGGCACGCGAAAATAAACTTGGACTTGAATACGGGTCAACACGCAAAAACCAAGTCCGACTACGATCCTTGACCGCGTCCTTCAAACGTCCTCACCACCAACAAAAGGCCACACCGCTCCCTCTCCCTCCCCCTCACCTCCCCCTCCGTCGCTCCCTTCCTTCTCTCCACCCCCTCCTCTCTGTTCCCCATTCACCTTGCCCACCTCCCCCTCATGCACCTCACCCAGCCCATCCGCCACAATCCCCAAAACCCGATACTCTTTCCCCATCCCCATCTTATCGACCAATCTCTTCGCCGCTCCTTCGATAACATCAGCTCTTTCCTTCGGCGCACGTTGTTTCAGGGCATTGAGACGGATATCGAGGCCCATGCGGGTCAGGAAGGTCGATTGGGTGATTGAACCTAGAGTGCGGACTGTGATAGTGGATTCGTCGTGGTAAACAAAAAGTAAGCATCCGAGGCGTAAAAGAGAGGCAATAGGAGTGGGAGAAAGAGGAAAGCGTACCACCCGTCCCCTTCATTGCCTCCTTCAAATACGCGAAATCGACGTTCGCGGTCAGGTCGCACTGCCCAGGCGTTAGGAGCGGATCAACAATCTTATGGTCCTTGAAGGCCTGCATTGGTATCGTATACAAACCGCATATGGAATGACTGCTCGTTAGAGTTTGACTGAGAGAAAGAACGAGGAAACACACCCTAAACGACGCTCCGAAGACCTTCTCATCACCATAATCAACAATCAACCCACATCCCCTCTTCCCTCCCCCGTCTACTTTTCCCACAGAATCTCCAGCTGCCGCCGCCGAACTGGCTGGAACTACACCTCCGGCTAACCCCGCAAGCTTCCTGGCGACCTGAAACCCCGCCGCACACACTTCGATCCTACTCCCGATCGGTAGGCTCGCGAAGCGAGGTGATGAAGAACCGAGGAGTGTGGACACCGGCGAGGGCTCGGGGGAGAGGACGGGGCGGAGGCGGGGTTTACTACCTGAAGTTGTTGATTCGCCCGTAATGGGTGTGGAAGAGGCTGATAAGGTAGAGACGGAGGACGGAGTGGTGGAAGTGAGCGAGGAACGGGTAGTGTCGAGGTCGAGATTGAGGTCGGAAGGTCGGAGGACAGTCCGTGTCTGTGCGACGGGGTCGGATAAAGAGGTAAGGAGGACTTCTTTCCAGCCTTGTGATGTTTTCTACAGTATAGGAGTTAGGATAGGCCACATGGTAAATAAGAATGGGTGGTGGGGAGAACACAAACCTCGAGCAAATGAACAGGCAGTGCATCAAAGAACTCGTGCGCTACGAGCATCGTGTACACGTTCTCTTCGACTTCACCTTCCGTCGAGGGGATATCATCGATTGAGTCGTGCCACGAAATGTTCACGGTATGGGTGTTGGATTGAGGTGAGGGTTTGGACCAGCGCTCGAGTTTCTGCTCTTGGATGACGCGAAGGGCGGAGGACGTTTCGACGAGGTGGACTTGTTTGAGAAGCGAGCGGGAGGCAGGAAATTGCGATAATGTCTGAGGGTTGAATCAAAATGATACCAATTAGGTCAGAATGGTGAAGGGGGCGTGGTTCGTAAAAGCATGGTGCCGAAGGGTGCTAGTCCAACGGATGTGGCGCGCCACACTTCGTTCCGAAACCCGACGAAAGCCAGTGGGAGCAGTAATAGTCAGGGTAACTGAATGAGAAACTCACTCGGAGGATATCATCCATTAATGTTCCCCTTCCAGGTCCTAGTTCCACGAGCCTGATCTTTCTCCCCATACCGCTCGCCAAGTACTGCGAGAGCAACCACACGCCTACGAGCTGCCGGAACCATCCCGCAACATAGTCCATAAGTTCAAATTTTCAGCCCAAGATTGCAGCAAGTTCAATGTTCCATCCGGGTGAAAATTCGAGGTCACTAGAGGTTGGTTATCATTCGTATTCTCACCTTGCGACAACGTTAACCAACGAGAGAACGTGGAAGCACAACACACCTCGCCAAAAACCTGACTGATCTCAGGACTTGTAATGAAATCTCCTTGAGCTCCAAACACTGCGTTCGATGGGTTCATATAATACCCGTGTGTGGGGTGTGAGAGACAGAGGTTGATGTAGGTGGCGAAAGAGATTGGACCGTTCGCCTAGTCACGATAACAGGGGAGTAAGTAAGAGGAACTGAAAGAGAAAGAGATGAATTCACACACTTTTATTGTGTCGAGAATGATTTTCTCTACGGGTGTTACACCGGACGGAGAGGGGTCAACTGCCGTTGCATATTTTCGGAAAGTTTGCGATATTAGACTGCGGGATGCGTAGGGTCTGTAGGCCGCGTGAAGTGCAAGCCGATGACGGACGACTCGACAAGCATGCATGATTATACTTCGAGTTAATGAGCCTCAATCGCCGAAGACGAAAGTAAAGATGCTGGCCGTCACTTCCGAAGTTGTGTGGCAAGCGAAGGCGACGTCACGAACGCGTCTGTCACAGTGTTACGAATGTGACTTAGCGTGATGTTGCCGCCTGACGCGAACGACCGTCTCTCTTGCACATCCTCTCATCGAAATTGCTTGACCCTCACAGTACGCGTCTTTGGGAGAGCTCTGTACTCTTGCTGTATAGTGAAGCACATCCCTGCTGGAATTGCTCCTTACTTCGGTCTACAAGTTCTAGCAGACTGGACGACTTTTGGCTCTCACTTGAAGTTGATCACAGACCCCTTCGGTTCATCATGAAATAACTCTCGGTAGCTCATCGAGTGTTGGAACCGTATATCATGTCTGTCTGTTTACTTGTCTGTAAAATTTGCTGCCGGGGCGCTTGACGCGCTTCATGCACAAATGTCGAAACGGCGGAAGCCCACTCATTCATACAGTCCAACTCTATGTAGGATAAAGGACCTCTCGCCAGTCGGACGGGAAAAACACTAACACCGTATAATCAAACTACCTGGTCCGTGTACGTATATCAAATATCCTGGTTCGACCCTTCAGGCCGACCAAGGTTCTCGTCAATCCCTTTTCACCTTGAAATATTGACGATGAAAGACATCGGACCATATCCTATCTCTCTATAGTGTTTGCGACTAGATATGTCTGTTGAATAGGGCCAAAAATCATAATAAAAGTCATCCCTTAGTCGTTTGCTAGATGGTCGATTCCGGCCCCAGCGATAAAGACAGTCGCACATGCGAGGGCCCACCCCAGAAGTCCGTGGCTCGAATTTCAAGCAGGCGACAGTACGCCTGATTCAGCGCTCGATATCGCCTAGACCACCATATCCCATGATTAACATCAGAGTAATTGATCATCAGATCTTCGGGTTTCAGGTATGTCAGTGCTCCCGAATGGGCTCAAGAACGATTTGCCCCAGGGGATTCATGCGACTCGGGGGCTTCGAACTCTCAGGTATAAGTAATGTATAGTGGAGCTCAATGGTTGGAGGCCCCATTTTGTTCAATAACCCCCACTTTCTCTTCCACCCCTTCAATCATGCCTGCTCCCTCCACAGTAAAGCTCCTCCGTTCGAAGGACAGCACATTGATATTTGCAGAGGCCACGGGAGATTATTCAAACCCTCACGTCGTCCTACTTGCCGGATTAACCTTGAGTGGCTGCGCTTTCGATGATTTCTGCTCGGACCAGCGTCTCCTCGATGCGTTGTATATCGTATGTGCTCCGTTATACGGTCGATTGCAGTTGATTTATCCTGCTGTATGACTCGATTAACGATCGACAGGTTCGCTATGATATCCGGGGCCACGCCAGGAGCGGCCAACCTAACACACCAGAGGCATACGAGTCGAAGAGGTTTGCGGAAGACTTCGAGGCTGTCGTGGATGCTTTCGAGTTGAAAAGGCCGATCTTGGCTGGATGGTAAATTCATTTTAATAGTGATATAGCGCCGTGCTCATGATTTCCGTACATTCACTTCTTGCAGGAGTATGGGCGGTATGTTGGTAGACGAATGCAGTCAGGACTGGGTGGACTAACGATTCATCTTCGTCATCAGCTGCCGTTGCTACCGACGTCTGCGCTCATTTGCCTCCATCCACCCTCTCGGGAATAATCTATCTCGCCGGAGTCCCAAGTACCGGCCTCGAAATCGCCCAAATGGCCGCCCCACCCCTCATGGACGCACTCCCCGGCCTCATATCCACCGACGCCGTCTGGGCCTTCCGATCCTCTGCTCTGATCTTCACCGAGAAGCTTTTCGCCAACCCGCAGGACGTTCCGTACGCCCTCAAATGCATGTACTTGGGACATAGCTTATCCCCCGAGATAATGGGGCTGAGTTTGGCTAGGCAGATGGAAGTAGAAAATTTATGGAAGGCAGGAGGAGAGGGATTGCCGCTTCTTTCGATCCAGGGGACTGAAGATCAACATAGGAAGGGTGCGCAGAAGGATGTGGATGAGATGATGAAGCCTCACTTCAAGGACTACGAGATGGTTTGGTTGAACGGTCGAGGACATGCATTGTATTATGAAGCTCCGGACGAGATCGTGGACTTGATGATCCGTTTCGCGAAGAGGGTGGGCGGCAAAGTGAGTCAGAGTCTTCATACTTACGGAAACGGATGCTAATGTGTCCTCAAAGGATTACTACACAGCCTAGGTCTGAAGGAGAAGTATTCTCCTCGACGTTCCCTACCCTGAATGAAGACTGATTGGGATATAGTTCTTTGTCGTGTCGTATTCAGTCGACTCATACCAATCGCCTTCCTTAGCGTCTCTCAGATGTCTGACAGCATGTCTGGTCAAACAGACCGTACCCTCAGAGACTAAGCAAGACGGACAACATCTCCGTTGCGTACCTATACCGCGAAACATTTGTGCCGTCATCTTTACGCAGCTGACACGACCCTCAGCCAAGAGTTTACTGAGTCACTCGGACTGCTGTTTCAAAAGGAGCCACGAGTCTAATAGTAAGACCATGAAGAAGTTACAAGATTCACCGATTTGCAAACTCGCCGGGTATGTTGCTCCCTTCTTTTGTCGTGCATCATTCGGCTCAACAGTGACATACAGAAAGGCAGTAAGCAGAAGTGCCTCAACAGCGACGATACGACTCCCGCCGATCTCTTCCATATGGGTTTGTGGTGAACCAAGCTGGATTCGATATCGTCACGCAGAAGCAGAACGTTGCCTCACCCCACGTATACGTAGTTGGAGAATCCCAAACACATTCTAGCTTTAAGTTACATGCTTGCGCATCGCGAGAGAAAACCACCCGTTGTCACAAGAAACACAGACTTACAGCTCCTCTCATCCTTGGGTTTCACGCCTGCGCCCCAACAGCAGGTGCGAACCCCATCCTCTGATTCCCACTATCCCAAACCGTATACCAATGCTTCAACAAACTAGCCCCCACGATCGAAAAATCGTCCACCGCATTGATCAACGTCTGGCACGTGTCCGGATCCTCTTTGAACGGCCCCACACTCAGCTCTGACGTGGGAATGGTGAGGTTGAAGGGGGTGCCCTCGGTAGAGAGGAATGTGTAGGTGATTGTTGCGTTAAGGGAGGGGATGAGGGAGCAGGGGACGCCGTAAGTGCTGGGGAGGGGAGCGAAGGGTTTGATTTCGGGGGAGATGAGGGCGTAGATTGCCTGAGTAACGAGTGTCGATGGCGCGAGTACACAGACCATGAATCAGCGTGCGCATACGATAGTCACAAAGAAGTAATATACATACCTCGGTGATATTGGTTGGTAAAAGCATGTTCGACGTGCCCGAGTCGGCGATTTGTGTCAAGTTTTGGCTGAGGATATCGACAGTTTGGCCATTCACAAATATGTGGCTGCTCGTGATCGTCCAGTGAGATTCGTCCAAGATTGGGGTGTACACTAGTTCGCCTGTGATACCAGCATCGACATTAGCAACCAGAGCAATAAACTGAAACGGACGTCGTGGAAGACTTGCCGGTGAACTTGGTGTCATCAATGCCTCCGAGGGTGAGCTCTGCGTTTCCGACGTCGATGGGGCTCAGATACGTGGAGAACAAGGCTGTACGAGCAATCAGAACTAGAATCTGGATATACAAAGTCAACTAGCTCTGCGTACCTTCCAGCCCTTGTTCGACGAACCGTCCGAACAGACTTGTCCCTTGACCAGAGCTCGTAGAGCTGAGGCCTGTTATGTATATGACGGCCAGGTTAGACGAAGGCGGTCGACTTATAATTTGAAATGTGTATCTTACCCACAATGCCACTAAACCAAGGGTAATCAGAGAAGGTGACTGTTTCGTTTGTGATGAGGGTGAGGGTGATGTTGGTTGTAGACAGGTCCCCGATGCTGATGATATCTGTGCCTTCCTGTACGATCAGAACGCAAGGCTGTCGTTCACTGGTTAGAATGAAACGTCGTCGTAGAAAAAGAAAGATGAAAATGAGCATACCTCTGCGTCCGTAACAGGTCTGACGCCAAGACATGTTCCGACTTAATCCCAAATAAAACATGAGGTTCAGGACTGCCAAAGGAGACAATGGCATCTACACACAGTCTAGTTCACCCGTCTCATTTTCCGAAACAAAGGTTGAACTCGCCGAAGGGTCGAAGAGGAGTTCAGAGCCGCAGTTATCGCAGAGCGTACTAGTTAATTCGATGGCGCTGCTGCCTGTATCGAAGATAACCTATTCATAGAAAGGGAAGAAAGTGAATTTCAGAATGACCATGGTGGCAACCAGACCTAGTGAGACGCACTGGAATCATCTGTGGCGGAGTTCCGACTAATGTGCCGCGCTTGTCAGTACGGACTCTGGTTGGAAGACACGGTTCACGACGCGACCGAACCTGAGATATTTCCAAACCACCTACACAATTAAACGGACGTCAACTGTATTTCTACCTCAAACTGCAGAAATAACGCACTGGAGATCTGTTCCATTGAAGGCATCGCTTAGCGGCACATTGATGGGAGAGACGGCTCTCCGCCCAGCACCCGAACTTCGAGGACGGGAAGACAAGGAAAGCTTCTGTGGAGCGATAGAAGCTGCATATGCGGTCGTTGAGAGGCAGAGAGTAAGGAAAGGGATCTCAACGCGCATCGTTGCTCCAAAGGAAGGCAGAGACCAAGCCGCCTATTGACGGAGCGTAGGGAAGGGGAAGGGAAGATCCATCATGATCGCTCAGCTACTTATACGAAAGTCGAGCGCCAACATCGGCGACCACGTTGAAAGTTTGGAGGCAGTGTGTACACGATCGGGTAAAGAAGTAGAACGCATGGAGGCAACTCGCATGACTCCTGTCCAAGTATACATCGCTATTGTACCCTTCAAGGTCTTGCCCGAATAAGAGGATTATGCATATGGAATAAATGCAATCGCTCCCTCCCGTTTCCATGCGTATCAAGAACCTTCGGAACTTGGAATTTATAGTCGGGCGGAGGCGATCAAAAATCTAGGGGAACTCCCACTACGGGTGCTATCCCCGCTTGGGCACAGGCATAAACACTGATTGGTGAGCACGTAGGCTCCGTGCTTTTGTAATTGCGTTGGGGATGGAAAATTGGGTGTGGAAGGTCAGTGAAGAATGACAAAGTAAAGAAAGGCTACTCGTTGACGGTGGCGATGAGATGATGGACGCTACCACTCGATAATGGTCGGAAACTCGCAAGGGAAATATCACGAAATATCCGGAAACACGTCGGGTCACGATCACGTGGTTCGTGACAATGTTTCTTGTGGCCGTTGTGGCGCAGGCGATCCTCTTCGCCACCATCTCCCCTCCTCGTCGGTACTTGCACACAAAACATAACAAGAGTTCCTTTTATCTGCCTTTGACTTTACTCTAACACTGCTTAAAATTGATCATGCGCTTTCGGGCCTCCATCCAGAACGTGGACACTTTTCACCGTGAGCTTTATTCCACTTATACCGTGATCGCGTTTTGACTAATCGACAAGGTATTTTCTTCTCTTTCGCGATTTTATTACAACTCGATACAAGGCATCATCCAAACGGTTGAAAAACTGCAGAAGAAATGCATCGTCAAGTTCACCGAGAGCGAAATGCACATCATCTGCAATACGGACGAAAGTGGCGTCCAAGTATGGTCGTGCGTCCCTTTCCTGAATCGCAGCCCCTTCCGTGTCTGATAATTGTAAAGGAACGGCATACTGACAGCATGGCTGTTTGCATGCACATAGACAAATACGCGTCATCTCTCTCTTCGCAGATTACCGCATTCAATCCAACGCCAACAACGAAATTTCCCTCGCCCTCTCCACCACAGCACTCTCCGCTGCCCTCCGATCCGCAACCTCCAATTCCTCATCAAACCCATCCGGAACGAGCGCCGAAGAGGTCATCATGAAGCTGGCGAAGAAACGAGATGCCGCGGTACTGAGTTTTGAGATCTTCGGGGCGAGCAGGATGGGGAGACGAGTGAAAGTGGAGCACGATGTGAGGATTGAGGTTTTGAAGCCGGCAGAGGTGGCGAGGCTGAGTGAGCCCCTGTGTCCGGAGCCAGATGTGAGCAGCCCTTTTCTTCCTTCCTGCTTCTGCTAGTGTGGCGTCAATTGCAGTGGACGAAATGGTACTCAATGTGGCCCATGTCAGATACATATTTTGCTCCCACCCTTGCTCAAAATACGAACGATAGTCGAACGACTACGACCGCTCGCAGACGTCATAGCTGTCCGCGCCAATAAATCCGGAAAGCTACAGATCTCAGCAGCGACGGAGAGTGCAAAGATGGACGTTGTCTGGGAAGGGTGTGCAAATCCAAAGATGGGTGCGTCTGATCGTTTCACATATATCCTTTTCTTTCGGGTTTTCCTATCGTACTTTTGGATATCTGGCTGATAAGTGTTGCACGTCGAATAGCCCAGCCCAACCCCTCACAATCACAGGCGAATACAGACCCAGACAATGAAGACGACGAAGCCGAAACAGACCCAACAAAACTATTTGGTGTACTCGTCCACGTTCGAAGCTTCCTCAAATTCTTGAACTCCCATGTCGTCTCAACAACAACTATTGCCTGTACGTCTCGATTCAATATCCTTCTGACCCTTTTCCACTTTGCAGTCCACGTGTGCTCACGGCTACCATTCAACGTGATTCTTGCTCGTTCCTCTGGCTGAATACATGCGTCATAACTACCACAAATACGTGCTCTGATACGGCGTCTGGCCTTGTCCCAGGTATATGCCAGCACCACTGCATGATCCTCTACGTCTACATTGGAGAGGTGGCCGATGCAGGTGGGGTGTTGACTTTCTATATTCCTGCAGTGCAGGAGGACTAGTTCTCTTCTCTTGGTGATTCGCTCTGCTGCCCCCTGATCTCGTTGCTCTCATCTCTGTCTCTCGCATTATCTTGTAACGAATATATCTGATGTTTTAGGCACGGTTCGTCGCATGAACCCCAGGGTTCATAGACGTGTGCGATTCAGTACCTTGTGGTTGCGGTCTTCCCTTCAGTACGGCCCCAGAGGTCAAGAACTCGCCCAATCAATTCGAACATAGATCAACTTGGGCATCTGGGTAGGCATCTATATCATCGATATTCCTCCTCTTTGTTCCCCCCATCAGTCCGTCCTGTCGCTCATGCACCGTTTCCGCTAGCCTTCCAAGTCAACATGTTCGTGATATCGTTCCACCACCTACATGTCACAACCGAATAACAGCCACAAGTATGTCTGTTGGACGAGTACCTTGCCGTGTGTTTTGAGTTGGGTGAGGTCTTGGACGGGTTCTTCGTTGGTTTCGTTGCCTCGCATCCTGCGCACGATTACGCATTGTCGCATATCATCGGGATCGAAATACGGGCTCCTGCCTGAGGGTAGGTGAACTGGGTGGCGGTGGCGGGCGGGAGAGGAAGGAATAAGGAGAAAGATGAGAGGAGCGAACGAAGAGATCTCAATCGACGCGGCCTGTTCAAATGCGGCATACGCCTCCAAGGCGGTGGTCAGGCGTTCCCTGCGAGGCGTATTTCTAGGCGATGTTGACGAAAATGAGGTTTCTGGGAGGGACGGCATAGCGAATAAGTGAAGGGCGGAACAGAGCAGGAAACACGCACGATGGAAGGAACTTGGCCGAAGGCCTCAGTCTCTATCTCGACGTCAACCAATCTTCCACCTTATCGATCACTCTAAGGTCCTCACCTATTAGGATGCATGGCTCCCATAGCATATCTATGTCGGGAAACGTGGCAGGAAGCAACCCTACACCTGATACTTGATGTGCGAACAAATGCCTCAAAAGTCCTACATGAGTCCCGGGCCTTCTCGGGCGCAATCTCAGGAGTTAGGAGGATCTTCGAGACCCTACGTATGTTCTGCGATACTGTCTTATCGAAGAGGTTCTTGATAAGTTCGCTTCCCGTTTCTCACGCTCACTCAACATCTCCAAGCGGTTCAGAAGATCTCGTAGTTCCTCGACTGGTATCTTCTCTCCTCTCGGATTGATCTTCACCACCAGCATGGAGGTCGAAAAGTCGACATCTACTCCTCAAGGAATCAAGAGCGTCTTCGCGGCTGGATTTCACCAGCTTTTGCATGTTGACCAGTCTCATAACGAAGAAGCTGTTCGACATCATGTATGGAGTAATGGTTGGTCTCTTTGAGTTCTCTCTTGTACGCTTGATAGATGCCTCGCTTACGAGTTCTGTAGACGACCTTGATCCTACACCTCCTAGTAGACGAACTTGGACAGCGTGGAACTTCTTCGGCTTCTGGATGGCTGAAAGGTGCGAATACGCGTCCATTATGCTCCCATAAAGATTAATGGCTGAACTAGTCATATTTTCCAGCTGGAATACGTCTGTGTGGAGTGTGGGAAGCTCAATGGTCCGCTCAACATCTTCTTTGCTCGTATTCTACACTCAACGATCGTAACAGGTTGCTTCAGGTCTCTTGTGGTGGCATGCGTTCGTAGCTGTCCTCTTTGCGCATCTCATAGCTAGCGCTGTGACCATTATTCATGGGGTGCGTACGATGTTGACCGCTACAAGCCTTAGAATGCTGAGTCAATCTATCTTTAGCGAGCGGGCTCCATGTATCACATCGGTGACCGACCCCGATCCTCCTTTACACCATAACGCCGCCTTACATCCCTTCTCCTAAACATCACAGGTTATCCTGTCCAGGTTCGGGCTACTTTTGGGATGTGGGGTTCATATTGGGTACGTCGATGAGCCTATTCTTCCTTCACAAAAGAGACTGAGGACGCTCCCTAGCCCGTTTTTTCGCGCTCTATTCTTGCGGTAATCTGGTTCAGCGTCCAGTCGTACTTTCTGGGACAGTTCATCGACGTCTGCTTCCGTTGCGTCTTCGGCAGCGGATGGACTAACCTCCACAACGGTCTATCGGCATCAGCGGGCATCACCACAAGGGAGTTTGTGGCCTACTTTCTGGGCTGGTTGATGCAGCTTCCCTTGTGCTTCATCCGACCTCATAACATCGTGAGTATGTCATATTGGAGTTAACCCACACAACGAGTGCACTCAACTATTGTCTACAGAGATGGCTGTTCAGTGTCAAGGCCGTCGTGATGCCCTTTGCTTGCTTTGGACTCTTTATTTTCACTGTCGTGCGAGCGAAGGGCCCGGGAGACTTCCAGCTTACCGCATCAACGGGGGACTCCACCGCGCTGGCTTTCGCCATTCTTAACGGCATGAACTCTGCTATCAATGGCGATTTTGGACCTCTTATTACCTCGGAGCCGGATATTAGTCGATATGCCAGACGACCCCGTGATCAAATCTTGGGTCAAGCTTTGAGTGCCCCGTAAATTGTTTCTATTTATCGCACGAAATGATCGCTGACCTCTTTCGGTAGCTGGGCCGTATGTGTTTCTCATACTTCAACTCTTGCCCGGGACTGAAGTTCAGATTAGAACACTGTCGTTGCGCTTCTGGGGATCATTGCTGCTTCAGCCAGCGCCAAGATCTACGGTACACCGTGAGTTATGGCTCCTTATAAATTCAATAAACTATAACTCAAGATACCTGCAGCTATTGGAATCCGTACCTGCTTCTCGGCGCAATACTCGACGAAAATCCAGTACCCAAGACCAAAGCTGCCGTATTCTTCTGCTCGTTTTCCTTTGCTTTCGGCCAGCTCGGGACCAACGTTTCCGCTAACCTCATCCCGTTCGGTGCTGATGGTTCGGCGCTCTTCCCACGATACATCAATATCGTTCGAGGACAATTCATCTGTGCAGCCGTGGGCTTCGCCATAGTTCCGTGGCTCATTCTCACTTCAGGAGCTACGTTCTTGCAGTTCATCACGGGGTATGGTATTTTCGTTGCAAATATTGTCGCCATTATGATTGCAGGTGAGTCGCCTCACTATTATCCAGTACGAATAGAAAGGTTTACCCTTGAGCAAGATTACTACTTTATCTCCCGTGGCAACATTGTCATCAGCGATCTATACACGAGCGATCCGGCTGGACGATACTGGTACACTGGTGGTTGGAACTGGAGAGCTTACGCCTCCTATTGCGTCGGTCTCGCACTCGCTTTTCCGGGACTAGTCGGGAGTCTAGGTGTAGAACGTCTTGCCGTGGTCACAAGCCCTGCCTACAAGATGTTTTCCTGTGCGTTATTCACATGCTTTAACATTCCTATAGACTTGAATGTTCCCTCACTGACAGTGAGTCTTTTGTAGTCGGGTGGATCCTTTCCTTCGTGTCAGCAGGAGTTGTGTATACCACCATCAGCAAGATATTTCCTCCACAGGCAGCTATGGAGTTCAAGACGCTCGGTTTCGAAGAACTTTCTCCAGAGAAGGGACATGGTGGTCAGAGCGGGATCACGGATATGGTTGATGCAGAGTCTACCTCCGACATCGGGGTAGACGCGAAGGGCCGGGGGAAAGCGGGTGACTTTGAAACTACCGTCCACGCCGTACAGTAGTGCATCTTCTACGACAGCTGATGGATCATATTTCGTTGTAACTGCCTTCCTCAAATTTATGTACATCATATGTTTCTCTAGAGATCGAGAGCCTTCAACCTTTCTCCTGTAAATAAACTTTTGTCCAGGTCCTTACTCCTTTGGAAAGTCCGAGCTGTTCAAGCACCATTTTCAACAGCCTTCCACGACGGCCTGCTCGTGATATCTTTCCACCACCTACATTATTGACGAAAAGCTTGTTAGAATCGTAGTAGAGACGCTAATATTTCCCTCTGAAGCCCATCAAATCGAATGAAAGAAAACTCACCTAGCGACGTTCGGCTTCCGAGTCATGATATCAAGTCCAGCTTGATCGAGCATGGTCCCATACGAGAGGTGGAACAGGTCGGCAAGCGTGATCTGCTCTCCAGCGAGATACTTCTGCTTAGAAAGAAGCTTGTCGTATGCATCGAGTTTCGCGTCGAGTTTTGTGGACAGCTCCTTGACACGTTCCTCGTCGGTTGCGAGTCCACGTGCTCTAGATATATCGGTCGTAATATCACAATCAGTGGCCAATCCTACGCCACAGAGAACAGGAGGATAGGGAAGGGCATAGAGAAAGGGCGAAAGAGAGCTCAATGAGGTGAACTCACGGCTTGAATATCTTCTCGTCTACAAGTGCGGTCGCGAATGGATCAAAGTTTGAGAACTCGATGGACGCGGCCTGCTCGAAGGCGGCGTACGCGTTCAAGTCGGTGGGAAGGAGTTCTTGTGTGCCTTGCGCAGCGTACTTGCGCGCGATGTAGCAAGAGATCGCGCGAGATTCGAAAAGAATGAAGCCGTTGTCGTCCTGCGTCGGCACATTGTAAGCTCGTTGAGTCGATGGACAAATGCTAAGAAAAATGGAGCAAGGGGAAATATACGCACAATGTAAGGAACTTGACCAAAGGGCTGCTTCTCGAGGAAATCAGGCGACTTGTGTTCACCCTTCATCCAGTCGATCTCGACGAGCTCATAGTGAACGTCTTTTTCGCGGAGGATAGAGGCGACACGGCGAGTGCAGGTCGATATACTGACACCGTAGAGCTTGAGGACCATTCTAGAGTATTCAACGGAGGTGTCGGAGAGGGGGCTGGCTCAGATGGTGATATTCGGTGATGGAGGAAGGAAAGAGTTAGATTGATGGGCAGAGGAAGAAAGCTCTTATACATCGACACCGAGCTGCATCTCGAGAATGTGGATTACCAATGTCGGTGAGTTGGCTGACCGAGACACATCGGTGAAAAATACGAGCATTGGGCCAACAACCTCGGTGCATCCACCTGGAAGTGTACCGGCTGGTGACCTAGTGAGTCTGCTACGCGGGAGAAGTGACGGCTGGCGCGAGCACCTCTGTGGAAGTTCACATTCTGCACGGCTGAAGTGCATGCTGAGTGAGCATTGACGCATCAGGTGATTAGTACTATAGCCTACGAGGATCAGAATGCCCGACGCCCGTCGCCCGTACTATTCCATTGCATACCTATGCGCAATCGTCATCGAGTGCGAAGGCCTTGAATATCACAGTTATGGTGACTTGCCGACGGACGCGAAGTATGCCAGAGATCGACGAAGCAGCGAGTCCCGATTCGCCTTTGGATTGAAACCTGAGAGGTGAGTACTCTTTGTGCAGTCGACTTCAAGACAGGATCGCGGCAGTTTGGCTCCATGCTCGGTAAGGACGTCGACGAGACGTCACGCACGAGGTAGCCTGTAGACAACGTAACTTGAAAACTTCAGCCACTGGCTGATCATGATTCAGAGAGGTTGCTTTGTCCCGTATACGTCAAGGAGATGCAATGGCTGAGACCTGAGAGCTAAGAAACGACATGATTATAGATGATAATCGTTGGCCGTGGGAGATGGTGAGCGCAAGCACTACGGTGGCGGATCGAATGCTTACAGACACAATGACACGTGGCTGGCGATCGGAGGACATCGTTGTGGCGCCAGTGATTGTGGCACAAGTTGGATCGTCACACTTCGCCGCTTGCTCTCCGTATTTGGCCTCCGGCATATAAAAATGATGCCAGACCCCCACTAAGGGATATTCAAAGGAGGAAAAAAAAAATAAAGAATTCTGAGCTCTCCGGTAGGGTACTCAACCTCAGGGACTTCTACTTATTTCTAGAGCGCGTTCCTAAGATCGGATGGGCAGTGGTTGAATTTTGGTCTTGATCGATTTCAATGAGGTCGAACAGCGGTGATACAACCACTCCGTAAGACTGACGGCGGCGAGAATAGAATTCCGGGACGTACTTATGGGCTTCCAAAAGAGCTCGAAAGAGCGCGTGCCCTCAGGTTAATCAGGAGCTAAAGGCTCGAAGTTTCAAAGCGCCGAAAACAAGAGCTGAAAACGTGAATGGAAGGGTACAGCAGGGACTGATAAAATCACATATGGATTTATTGATAGTATATAAAGCGCTTCTTGTTCGTACGTTCAAAACAACATTTGGACACGCTCGTCACTATATTTGCGTTTCGACATCAGCACCCTCGAGTGGCCTTAGTCATTCAAGCGCCATTTTCGACAGCCTTCCACGACGGCCTGCTCGTGATGTCATTCCACCACCTGCATTATAAGTGAACCATCAATTATCAGCATGAAGGTAGCGATGGTCACTCGTGCAGAACATAATTTGAATAGCAGAAGGAAGACTAACCTTGCAACGTTCGGTTTCTGGGTCATAATATCGTACCCAGCCTGACCAAGCATGAACCCGTACGGAAGATGGAACAGGTCGGCAAGCGTAATCTGGTCTCCGGCGAGGTACTTCTGCTTTCCGAGAATCGTGTTGTAGGCGTCAAGCTTAGCTTCGAGGGTGGCGTAAAGCTCTTTCACACGCTCTTCATTGGTTGTAAGGCCGCGCATCCTATATCCGTTGTCCCATCATAGTAAGTGCTGGTTCTATGCTGCTGAGAATGGAACATAATGGAAGTGTACGGAAAGACAGTCACAACAAGAGAAAACGCACGGCTTGAAGACCTTCTCGCCTACAATACCGCTCGCGAAGGGATCAAAGTTCGAGGCCTCGATCGATGCGGCTTGCTCGAAAGCAGCATACGCGCTCAGGTCGGTAGGAAGAAGCTCTGGTGTGCCCTGCGAGCTGTACTTGCGGGCGACGTAACGGGCAATGGCCCGCGATTCAAATAGAATGAGGCCGTCATCCTCCTGTACCATCACGTCGTATGAGCATTGAGTCGACAGATAATTATCATGAGAAAAAAAAGGGAGGCGTACAATGTAAGGAACCTGACCGAATGGTTGCTTCTCGAGGTAAGCAGGCGACTTGTGCTCGCCTTTCATGAGGCTGATCTCGACGAGCTCGTATGGTACATCCTTCTCGCGGAGAATGGCGGCGACACGGCGAGTGCAGGTCGACAGGCTCATTCCGTAGAGTTTAAGAACCATATTGGACTATTGAACTTAGAGTGGTGAAGAAAGAGGTGATTTGTGGGTTGGGTTGGATAGTAGGTTTCTGAGGGGGTCAGTGAGATATGGCTTGATGGAGAGATACGACTCTGAGGAATATTGCCTTTATATATCGTCGTGGTCGTAGGAAGTAGACGCCTTTAGAACAGGCGTGATGTCCCCATGGGACAATCGACCATCCCTGGAACCCGTTTGTGGCGCCCCTATCAGATCAACCACATCCCAACCGCTGAAGACGGAGCGCCTAAATAGGACCATGGGTTAATAGTTGTGGGTAGTTATCAGCTAGATTAGGGATACCCGGGCGCGGTGTAGATGGATATGCTGACCAGAGCATCGTCAGCACATTCACATAAGCTGCATTCGTGCCAATATTGGCAGATGTGCTGACTGGCACGACTGCAAGGCATCAGATCCTCCAAGCTATTCGCGTCCGGAATGAAAGGAGAAGATGCATGCTGGGAATGTCATAAAGGGGTGTTGAGCTTACTGCCTCGTTCGTTCATCCAATCAACATGCAATGGTACCAGCGCAGCGCGTACATATGCGTACGTGGAGGTCAATACTGTATTCTGAGCGTGATCAGACGCGCACAGAACGCGCATGCTGAATGAGAATCAAAGAAGCAGCTGGCGAACGTTCCGAGGAATGCTGTCGTATATCGGTGCGGTCATCATGGAACGTGAAGGCCTCAAATAGTTGAACTCGCGGTTCGAGGAGAGAATTTTATGGCGCATTGCTAGATCCCGAACGGAGACTTCGACAGGCGATACCTCCCTGGAAGAATCCGTCTGACCGGCCGCAGCTCGACTGTAGCCTTATGAATACGAAGAGTCCCTTTCTCCGCCTCCCGCTTTGGAAAATCATCGCACTGCCACCTTCGAAGTATTTCACGATACAGCTTGGGGCGTTGAGAAAGTCTTCGAAATCTGCGACACCTCCGCGTTCAATTGCGAGGGATCAGTATTTGGCGACCTGACCCCATGTCTCTTCAGTCCAAAAGTCTTCGAACACAACATGCTTATGTCACAAGTTTCGTACTTGGCAGGCTACACATATCGAACCTATTCTAGAACACAAAAATTGAGTAATCTTCCGTCCAGACGAAGAAAATATAAGGTCCTTACATCTTGTCCTGATCATGCAATTCCGTTCATCACATCGGCAGCGCTGAACGCATCTCCGAGGTTCACAAAGTCCAATAACACAAAGCTGGGCCATCTCCCGCCTCCAAGCGACGAGCAGCCGTTAGCGTTCGCTATGATCCTGTCCGTGAAGACCAGACGTCAGTTTCCACATTCAGCGAGCCTGGATCGATGAATAGAGGAGGTAGCAAGGGATATAGATGACTATGGAACGTACGAATTTACACCGTTCGTTGTCCCCGCAGCTTCGGGGTCAGAAATCAAGATCCCAGTTCCCAGTACGTTGATGTCGAGGAAGTGGTTCAGAAGGTACATATGGTCCGTTGTGGCCAGAGGTCCTTCTGTGCGGTCCACAGAGCACGGGAAAGTGTTGTCCGTCGAATCGTAAGGTGGTTCCCAGATCTGTACACACCATACAAGGTATGAGTCCACGAGCCTTCGAAAAGCAGAAACAGAAAAGGTCGACTAACCATCTCAAACTCTGGTAAGATATAATCCACACCACCTGTCTCAGCGCCGTAATCCATGAACACGACCAACCTCGTCCCAGCATCGATTAGCTCTCCCAGTGTCGGCCAATCTGCTTGCGCTAACGGTGTTGTAGAGGGGACGTATGCTTGGGAAGATAGGCCAGCGGCTTCAAAAAGAGGAGCCCAGACGTCCGTGAGCGATACCGATTCGGGGTTCGTCAAAAGGAGGGTAAGAACTTCGGTCGGGTTGGCAGAGAGAAATGAGGCGACGGTTGCGAGATAGGAAGCGACTGTGCCTCCATCGAAGAGTGCCTTATTGCACACATTGGGGAGATTAGCCTCGTAGTGAGAGATGAAAAGGTTCAAAGATGACTTACACAGCCTGTGGTTAAACAGAAGAGGAGTCAGCATCCACCAAACTGCTTCAGAAGACATGAATTGAGCATACTGGTATGGCAGAAATGAAGCACCCCATTCTCCCTGTATGGTTCAACCCCCGTATGAGATCCTTGTGCCTGTTGTGATACGGAAAATCCTCCAAGAGAAATGCGTACATATGTGACTGTGCCTGAAGCATTCGCACACCGAGACCCAGCTGACTGGAAATAGAGACTTCCTGATCTCTTGCCACTAGAACGTATCCAAATACGTTGCTGTCAGTGAAGCTATACACGTGATATCCTGGTTGCTGCCCCACTAAAGTGGAAGAGAAACTTACGTGCCAGCGGGTCCGAGCTGGTTGCGTACGAGTCGTGCGCTATAAAGAAACATATGACAAAGACACGAGGGATGAGGACCTGATCTACAAGGCTCTTGACCGAGAGAACTGACCACCGATGAAGGTGATATTCCCGTAACTGCGATCGCAAAGCTCTGCATGGCCGTTACAGACCGTCGCCCTGCCAATATCCAACAGGAACAATCAGTGACCAGTATCGCAAGTAAATGAGTATGCAGAATGAATCGTACAAACCTCTTGGCGGGAGTTGCAGCAGCATGAACACAGAGTGTCTGAGCGAGGGCGATCAAGCCAGCTAGAGCACAGAAAACGCGCATCCCAGTTCTTGTTGCTGAGGCTGATGAAAACGTGAATCAAGGTCGAACTACCGAATGCACGCGGACGACAGCACACAAGGGAAGAGAAGAGGGCTGCGACACGACGTCACAAGCATCATTCGGTAGCCTTATATACTGTAGACTCGCCATGCCTCGGTATGAGTATAGAACGCACTTCCGGCCAACAGAAGCGCCACAGAGAATCTCAGAAGCATGTCGAATGCAGGTGGTCCCGTCGCACAAGGTACGGAAATCAGTCCAAAACGCGATCATGCAGTCCTTATGCTGGTCGTGATGATCACATTTACCAAAAAATGGTAGAGCAAAGGAAGAACGTGTGCTCATGCAAGCGTGCGTGCGTTGCCTGGCAGAAGCTAAGACCAGGACCCGAAGTTACCTGTTATGGCAGGTCTCCACGTACAGTCGGCTTTGCATGCATCATCACGACGGAAGGCCCATTGAGAAAGCCAAGAGAGTTGTGTTGAAAGATACACACGTTGCCTCGTGATATCACCAGAGATCAGAACTACTGCATGCCGCGCCTGAGATTCGTTTTGGATCATGATGATCATGCCCACTTGGACACGCCACCGCCACTGACCATACGAAGATAACAGTCGGACTACGACCAGCACTTACGACCAATGGAAGGCAGGTGCACTGTTGAGGCATTGCACTGCACAATAAAAGTTAGTCTCTCAACTAGGGAAGAATATAATCGTTATTCTCGTATACACGTGCGTGATAAGAGAGATGCCTACCAATATTATCACCTGAACGCTGTTCCTCAAGGTTTTTCTTTTCAACTTGTGACGTCGTTTTTGCAAGAAGATATCAGGTGCTTGAGATAACATGGAAGCCATATATGCAAGTTTTGACGAAACACTGGTAGGCCAAAGAAAAATTCAAGCAAAGCCGTTCATCGTGTCCGCTGCTGTGAATGCGTCGCCCAGATCCACATAGTCCAGAAGCACGAAGTTCGGGAATCGACCCCCGCCCAGTGCTGCGCACCCTGCCGCATCGGCCAAGATCCTGTTGAGATAAAATAGAGAACGACCATATAATATCAGTACAAAGCTTGAGGAAAACTAAGGAAACGAGAAGATAGCACAATCAAAACGTACGATGGAACACTGTTCGTAGTTGGCGCGTCGCCGGGATCACTGATGAGCACGCCTGTGCCAAACACGTTGATATCGAGGAAGTGGTTTAGGAGGAACATGTGGTCCGTCGTCGAGAGTGGCCCTTCGATGCGGTCGACTGAGCAAGGAAAGGTCGAATCTGTTGAGTCAAACGGCGGTTCCCAGATCTATCCAATATTGCATTTACGCCATTCAGTCTAGGGCGCGATTAAGAATAAGTATGTGAGGAAGAGATACGGACCATCTCGAATTCCGGTAAAATGTAGTTAACACCCCCGGTCTCGGCACCGAAGTCCATAAACACAACTACTCGTTTTCCGCTACTGATCATCTCGCCCAGAGTGGGCCACTCGTCGAAGGCCACTGGGAGAGAAGGAGGGACGAACGCTATGGTTGCGATACCGGAGGATTCGAAGACGGGAGCCCAGACGTCTGTGAGAGACAACGATTCCGGATTTGTGAAGAGCAAGGTGACAACCTCAGTGGGATTGGCGGCGAGGAAAGTGGCAACATTGTCAAGATAACCTGTTTGAACACGTCAGGAATCAAAAGGACCGGAGAAATACCTCAAAGAACGGTGTGGCGTACTTTCTACAGTCCCCCCATCGAAAAGTAACTAGAAAAGACTCGTCAATATTAGGCATGCTTAGCTTGTACAAGAATAACGGTGATTTACGCAGCTAGTATGACAGAAGTGAATAACACCGTCGTTCCTATAGGTAGGCAACATTTTAAGATGCGCTTTCAGGAAATAGGACTATTAGATAAGGCGTACAAGTGAGCCTGAGCCTGAAGCATTCTCACTCCGCGCGCCAGTTGTGTGGGTACATCAATCTCTTGATTCCTCGAGACTTGATCGAGATGGATGTCAGCCCATAATGAAATACATCACGATGAGGCATGGTGAGTGAGAACTCACCGATGATGGGGTCGGTGCTCACAGCATACGAGTCGTGAGGTGCTCGGAGCAGGAAATATCTGTCAGCAGAGGGTCAAAGTCAGTGTGTAGAAGAACCAACCTCCAATGAATGTGACATTCCCGTAGCTCCTGTCGCAGAGCTCTTCCCGACCATTGCACACGGTTTGTCTGCATCGGCCGGATTCTCAATCTTCCAAAGAGAGAGGGCAATGAGAGAAAGACAGACCTCTTCACTAGTACGGATGCGCCACGAACAAAGACGATGACATACACGATCGCGGCACACAGGAGGGGCAGGACTTGCATCGTAGGAGACGTCTCGAGGTAGCGCTACGAACGGGGGACAGAGATGAATAGAGACCTCTGGTCATCTTGACCTTCAAGATTGTCAACCTGTGAGAGCAAGTTGAATAAATAGCATTGACACGCACGAGCGATACAGCGTGGCAACCAGCCCAAGATCTCCGATGGGAAAATAGTGCAGAAAAGGGATTTGTGCACTTTCTAGCGGAAAGATGGATCTCACCCTGGCGTGTACTGGGCTCGGATCGTCACCGAAAATAATATACCTGTCTGCGTAGACAGGTACGCTGCGAGCACTCAAAGCAAACTCAAAGAGTTGCACTGTTTTCAGTGCGATCAAAGGCACAATAGGGCTATCATCGTCAATCGCTTCTGTCCACATCCAGTCAGACCACAGAAAACGGTGATCTCTTCGAGGTAATATCTATATCTGAGAGAGAAGAGATGGATCGCGTTAGCCTGCAACCACGGACATTGAAAGGAGGCTCACCACGCAAGTTGACGAGTGGACCGTGTCGTGTTCAACCTATGGACCGACAGTAAATCGCTGGCAGACGAAGTACTGAGCTAAAACTGCTGTTTGACTGAAGAGTCCAGATCGTGTCAGAAGTAAGTACACGTTCATACGTCAAAATGAACTTCAGGACGGAAAACAAACGCGAGAACGTTTGGATAGCGTCACGTGGTTCTAGGGTCCGACAACATGTTTTGGTGGCACTACTAAGCGCCGATCACTTTCAAGCCTTCATCGTCGACAAGGTTCGTAGTTCTGCTTCAGTGGTTCGAAGTAGTAGGTCACATCAATACCTATAGTAAGACCCATCTGACCTTGTAACACCCAGGGCTTCCCGAATCTCCGGAGAGGTGTCGCGGAGAGGTGTCGCGGAGAGGTGTTAGGAACCTTGACTCAGAGTCCCCGCTCGTTACCATACGTACCACCTCTGTGAGTTCGAAGACCGTCTCCCTTTACTGACTGATATGTCAACCGTATATTTCGACGCCGATATAGCTAACGATATGATTACCATATCAATCTATCTTATCATAGGATTCGCCGCATTTGTCCTTGTTCGGCGCACTGCTGTCTGGCTCTACACTCATGGCGTCTACACCTGTTGATCTAATCAGGAAACCTAAGAAGAGGAAATCAACTCTAGGCGTGGAGAGCGAGTAGTATGAGACGAAGAGACATAAGACGGTATAAGAGGGAGGGGCGACAGCCAGAGAACCCGATGAGGTTCGACACCGCGCTGTGGTCCGCGACAATGCCATTAGGGAGTATGCAGCTCGTATTGGTGTGGATTTATCCGAAAAGGTGGACCTGAAACTTCGAGGACGATGTCAAGCTCTCGACTGTGGGAAGGAGGTAAGTGTGGCCTGTTCATCTTCATTTCGTAGTTAGCCCGCTAACATTGTGTCGTGCACGTTCACTGTTGACTTCCATAGCTTATGATGTGTGACAGCTGTCTCGCTGTTGTATCCTGCCTTGACCGAAGTTGCGTCGGATCGAAGCACGATATCCTCCGATTTGCTGTTAGCGGGGGTAAGACTCTTTGTGGTCTATGTTACCGTGGCGCATCCAAGGTCCTGAAATGTCCGTCCTGCCATCGTCTTGTCTTCAACGTCGATCTGCGCACTTGTCACGGCATCGGACCGCTCGTCACTCATCATTCCTCGGGGAAACACACACTCGGACCTGGTACCCACACGCCCAAATATTTCGCCTGTGTCAAATGCATAGGCTCGCATGTCGGTCATAATCTGAAGTGTGCAAATCCTGACTGTCCTCGCCGCGACGATGTACGATGTTCGCTTTGCGCTAGCCGCGGGGAGAGGTGTGCTGCGGTGCATGCCCATCGTCGCGATTGCAAGGACACAGAGTGGTGGTGTTATGCATGCTCCGACAAAAATCTGAAGACATCCAGGATCAAAAACCCGGAATGCCCTTCGTGTCGAAGGCCCACCTGCCCTCAAGATATCTTCGCCCGGTGCGACAAGTGCCACCAAATCGACTCATGCCGAAAGTGCCGCGATAGCCGAAGTTCCGCGACGCTCGTTGAGAACATGCGAGTCGACGATCCGTATTGCGATATCTGCGACGGCTCCTGGCACTGGTGCGAGGACTGTTGGGCAGTTGAGCGTCACTTCTGTGGCATCTGCGATGCTGTTACGTGTTCGGGGTGCGGTACACTTGTTAGTGGATGCTGTGCCCCCGATTGTGACCCAGGCGAAGGATGGATATGTGGTCCGTGCAAGGCGGACACCCTAGAAAGGCCAATTTGTGGATCTTGCGGGTATAGACCGTGTGTATGGTGTGCATACGATAAAGGCGGTAACTTTGGGGGCTGGGATGGTTGGCAGGGCTCAGAATATCGGATTTGCGACAGCTGCTGTGGAAATACGGGGTTTCCAGAGGAATACTATCGAGACGATGATGACGAAGAGAGCTCGGATAGATATAGTTCTGATGATAGATCTTGCGGTGGAGATTAGTGTACTTACTGCGTTCTTCAGAGTTTGCTTCCCCTGGTGATCTCTCATTGTCTGAATCTCGCTTGATCAGCTCCGCTTTCAGTGCTGTTGTAAGTGCCAAGATTCCCCCTGATCCCCAAAGATACCTACTATCCAACTAATATCACTCCCCACAGTCCAGTCATGGCATGTCACTTTGACCTCTCTGAAGCTGCCGTCCAAGTGGCGCGGTTCGAACAGCTACGTAAGTATGCCACAACCCCATTTGGAAACCCCATGAATTCCAACGTCGCGACGTCCAAGACCTCGAGGCGACCAGCACCTGCCTGGTCTTAAGCGACAAACTGAACTTTCACCTTATACTTGCCTTTTTACTACGATTTTTTCTCCTACATAATTTAAACTCTGCTTTTGAAAAACGGTACGCTCGAGTCTCTGCTACATTCATTCTTTAAACGGAGCTGACCAGGACAAGATCAGGATACTAGTAACGTCAGTCCATTGACGTGAACGCTTCAGGTGTTAAAAGCTCCATTTATCATACCACCTTATCATCTGGACACTGGCTAAACGAGCTCCGTAGGTTCGTCGGCATGGGATCGCCATGGGAAGAAATTACCCGTGAGGTATCTTCAGAGACCTTTCGGTCGAAAATCGTGGCCTGTACGAAAATCGTCTGGGATTCGCTTCCAAGCGAGGATACTCGCAGTCTCAAGCCTCCTTGCTGGAAGCATATTCGCATTAATTTTCTGCCCGCTGACGGCTCGGGCAATATCCAGCGCGCAGTCAAGGCTCTCACTCTTACTCTTTGGGAGCCCGCCCTCGACATTCCCCATTTCACAATCTTCATTTCTCCCCCGCATGGAGCCAAACGTCTCCTCGAAATCTCTGATCTCGAGTATTCCGACTCAGAGCCAGCCAAGAGAGACGTACCACCTGAGTGCCAGTCATGTCTTGATGACGTGGCAACCTTTGTCAAAGCTCTACTTGCTCGCCGTGCTAAGGACTCAATGAAGCGTGGATCCTCTCCGACTAGCCATGCGCCGGGTAGCAGCTCTCAACGGAAGAAACAAGATGTACTCTCAAGTGACATCAAGTCTCAAACCGAGACACTCCCCGAGAAAGCCATCATCGCAGCTTTGCACTACGAACATAGGACTTTTGGCGAGGACCATAGCTTCGAACAAGGAACAAAAGTGAGGTTGATCAAGTTGGGATGGTGCCAAGTCCTTGAATGCGGCGAAAAGGTAAGTCGATGCAAACACAGATGCTTCTTTCTGCGTCTTATTCTCTGGCCTGTTGCTTTACGATATATTGACTGACTGCCCATTTCAGCTCATCAAATGCGACAGCGTGAACTGCGACGTCATGTCCTGCCCAGACCTCTCATGCGTAGGATCTAGGTTGGAAAAAATACAGTCCTGCTCGCCTAACGGATGTACCCACACGAAGAATTGTCCTCGTATCTGCTCGACATGCCGCGCGCTCCCTAACGCACCGATTGCGTCCTGCCCTTCCTGCAAAGTCATAGTCTCCCGCTCCGATCTTCGTATCTGCTCGGGGCTCGGCTTCACAGACGACTTCGATTTTCTCGATAGACAAAAAAGACCAGTGACCCACAGACCTAATAGGCCATTCGCATGCAAGCTATGCATTGACAACTATCCGTCCAAGGATGTACGTTGTGCAAATGTCGATTGTCCCCAAAGTCGCAGTCATGGCAGTTCCAACATCCTCTGTGAAGAATGCGTTGGACGTGGGAGGACATGTCTTACCTCTGACGATGGCGAGTCTCCGATCGATACTCGTGAATGGTGGTGTCCCGAGTCCGAGTGCATAACGCTCAGCATCCGGTCTCGATATCCACGTATCATCCATCAATGCGATAATCGCGTCCACCATTGTCGCCGGATCCGAATCACCCCCGCACTATCCCTGGGTCGCATACGCATACGTCGCTGCGAAACTTGTCACTTCGACTCCACTCTATGTGATTCATGCTGGGTCCAAGGGCATGGGAAGTGCGCGAACTGCTTCAAATTCATATGCACGGCCGCCGATTGCTCCTACCTCGCGAACGGATGCGGTCTTCAAACCGTCAAAACTGAGCCGAACCAAGATCATAACCAGGATGTTGAGAGGGACCCAGACGACGACGGCGGCGATACTCGTACGCCCGCGTGCTCCCCACGATGGCTTTGTGGAGGGTGCTGGAGAAAGAGGCCGGTTTGCGCCGTATGCAGGTATAGGCCTTGCGAGCAATGCGCGGACGAGGTCTCTAATCATGGGTGGACGCCGGGCAGTAGTGAGAAGTGGCTGTGTGCGTACTGTGCAGGCGATGAGGATGAGTGGCACAAGTGGCGAAAAAGGCGGTTTTGTGCCGTATGTGGGTATAAGCCTTGCGAGCAGTGCGAGCATGAGGATTCTTGCCATGGGCGGATGCTGGAATGTGGAAAGAGATGGATTTGTGAGTATTGTTCGGGCGACGCGGATGAGATCGGTGAATGAGTGGGAGGATTGGCGCGGGGTAGCGCGGAAGTCAGGGTCGTGTGGCGCAAGGAATAAATGCGATGGGGGTCGGACTCCATGGACCTATATTCGAAGGAGTTCAGATAACACTAAGAGGTATCTCTTCTTGATATTGCTCGAGGTCCTAGATTATTTGTTGCTATGGTTAAGACATATATTTCATCCTTGAGCAACACCGCAGAGGGTTGGCTAGATCGCGAACTACAAACTGATCAAAACCCTCGCCTTCAACCCAATCACACCTCCGCCTCTCCCATCCCATCCAGGCAGATTCGCTCTACAAACCGGACACCTGCAACCGTCCAAACAAGACCGAAGTCAGCAATAGTATACACGCGACGTCGACGAACATGAATGAGACACGAATGAAAGCGATTTAGATAGCGAAGGAAGCGATCAAGGCACATGGATGTAAACCAGATAGAAACGTACCTCGCACCCAAACCCACCGCCCCCGTCCTACCCACTGCCACCCCAACAGCAGTAAACAAACACTCCCCGCACATAATATGTCCACAGGGCGTGAGAGTCGCGTTAATGGGTGGCGAGAAACAGATCGGACAGGCGTAAGAGGAGAGGAGAGATTCGGCTGCGGGTGTTGGTTCGCGCGGACGAGATTGAGTGTGTGATTTTGTTTTTGCCTTTGGGTTTGACATCGTTGACGGATTGGGAAGACGAGATTGGGAGGAGGATGCGGAAGGTTGGGAGGTGCCAGGTTGAGAGGAGGCGGATGGGCGCGGGCGTTTTGTAGGTACAGACGAGGTTGAGGCGTGCTCATGTGGCGCAGTGCTTGAGGAAACAATCGGTGAGTCGAAACCGAGCCCTGGGTCCGGCAACTCGATGACTTCGTCATCTGAGTCCACGATTCCACCCCTTCTGTGTCTTGATCCACTACCACTTGCCACGCCACTGCCACTGCCACTGCCACTACCAATCGCCACATTCATTCCTAGACTTGACCTCCCCGCCTCGCCTCTCCTTCTTGAGCCCCTTCCTCTACCTCTGCCTCTCGCACGCACACTGACGTGATCTGTGCGAGCTCTATTCGAGCTGGGGCCCGCCAGAGGAGCCATAGGACTGTCCTCTTCCATCCCCATTGTCAGCCCACTGCTGCTCATCCCCATGTCCATACCCGAACCGCTCGCCGTACCTACACCCGCGTCCATACCCATCCTATTCGACGAACTTTCACCATTGAATCCATCCATCATCATTGGAGGAGTGGACGAACCCTCAGTGAAAGGGTTTGGCGTAGACGCCCCTGAAATAGACGGTGTCGTCGGTCCAACCGTGAGGAAGTTCGTCCCTGGGACAAACTTTCGACGAACATTGCGTGGTTCGAGGAAATCTGGAGAAGTCGACATCAACCCGAGACGAGATGGACCTGCTTCGGCTGGGGACGCGGAGAGACGAGAGGATCTGCGACGGGGTAGGGAGTGGAGAGGAACGCTGAATGACGATGGCGAAGAGATAACGGTGGGCATCTGCGTTTGGCCGTCTGATTCTCGTCTGGTTTGAACGGTCGATTGAGTTCCGTTCTGTATGATAGTCGCAGGTGCAGATGAAGAGCCTGAGGACCCTTCGACGAATGCAGGCAAATTAGACGGCACAAATGGAGCAGAGGACACAGAGGGGTTCACGTCTGTAGACGGGCCTGGTGCGGGGCGTGCGACGGGTGTATCGGGGTGAGAGGGAGGTGGCGAACTGAGCGTCCAGCCAGTGTGGAAGTCGTAAATCCGGGGAAAGTCCTGTAATTATGCGAAAATTGTTAGTATTAAGTGACGCTGAAATTCCACCTCTACGTTCCTGCAAAAGACGAATAGACGGATCGAAGGGTTGGTGAACAATTGGCTCACATCGAACGAAACATTCTCAGAACCGCTCATCCCAACGCCGCCACCAAGACTCGAGGATCCTTCGCCAAGATCCGTACTCAGACTAATGCCTTCCGATTCCTCCTCTGCCCTGGCCTTCTTTCCCTCCCTTCTTTCACCAGACCTTTCCGCTTCCGCCGAAGCCTGTAAGGCGTCGTCCTCGTCCAACATGTCTCCCACCACATCTCGATCCCCCTCGTCCTCATCTTCATTCTGGCCCTCCCTGCGTTTCATCCCTAATGTTGTACTGCCAAGTCCATACGCAGTCCCCGTTCCATGATCAGGGTCGTTAATCCCCACCCTTTCGCCCGTTTCGACCGAGGCACTGGGTCCCTCTCTGGTCAAGCTGGGTACTCGGGATCCTACCGCACTCGTACTAGCACTTTGACTTCCTCGTCCACGCCCAAACTCTCCCAAAGGCACACCTCCTCCTCTCTCCCTGCTCAGTCCGGCCTCTCTTGCTTTTCCCACCGCCCTTCCCCGTTCGCTTAGCACAGAGCCTGACCTCGAAGACGTCGCTGAAGATCCCACATTGGTTGAACCTGACCTACTCCCACCTGCTCTTATTCTCGATCTCGAACTAGGAGTCGGAGAATTTGCTGCAACAGCGCGAGGACGGAGTGTGCGTGTGGTCATAGGTGCAGGAAGAGGAGGAGCTGGTGGAGATATCGTCAAGTCAACTTCAAGAGGTATCTTGGACTGTGATGGTCCTGGTGGGGGTACCCTGGAGGGAGTCGATGGAGATGACGTGTTGGGTAGCGATTGTGAAGGGGTGAGTGGAGGAGACTGCGACATGATATGACGACGTCAGGCGTTATAAGTAAAGCTGGATAAATTCAGATAATAGTTGATATGTTAGTATTTACATGCAAATACAGGATCTCTTGGGGGCTCATACTGGTTATTGCTTGTATCAATATGCTGAGTGCAATTGGTCGTTGCAAACAGATTCTCGGGGAACCAACGGGAAATCCTAGCGCGAGGGCGATGACGCGCATTGCTGAACAACACGTGCTCGATACGTGAGATCACGCTACCGCGACGCGTCGCGTCGCGTCGACATGGGCCACAATCGCAGCGCCTGATCCAGTTTTCTGCACGCTCCGAACGCGTCCGTACAAAGGCAATATGTGTTCTTTGATGGCAGAATTTAACTGTGATTCATTTCTGCGTTGGTAGAAAAGAGGATCCTGTGTTGTGAATTAAGTATGGGTCCTTGTAGTTGACTGTAATTAACCACAACACAAGCAGGGGCAGCGTCGGCGCGTAAGCACATTTCACTTTAGCCTCCTCGCTCCAAAGATAAGTCAATATTCTCGTAAAATAATAGTGAATTTAGTCAGAGCAAGAACATCCATAGTGAATAAAGAAAGATCATCCTCGTCATGAAAAACTAAACCATAGACTCCTTCCCATTCCGAAGATCTCCTTCTGAATCACGATCAGATACCACCTCTAACGTCTGAGTGCTGATTTGAACCTCTATCCTCCGATCCTGCAAGTCACAACCGACAAGAACCATTAGCCTAAATTGCCTCATCGGACGGAGCCACGATATAAGAGCTTACGATGTCGGGATCCGTACGATAAAAGCCGATTGCTGTTACCGCTGCTTGCGTGCTTGTGTTCTTGTCCTGGCTACGTAACGCGGAGCGACCGTTTAAACTGCCGTGATAAGTACGGATCTCAGTGCGATAGATGATGAGCGACATCTGATAGTTGACCTACGAAGCAAGGAGGGCATTGGAATAAACTGGAAATTTAACGATGGGCTACTTAGTTCCAGGTACGCATTGAACCAATAAGTTGCGAACGTACTTTTCGTTCCGAACGATATTATCGCCAAATAATACACTGAGTGAAACATATTCCGTCCCAGGTTTGAAAATGACGACATAAGTCTAATACTCATGCCGAAGACATCGACGCCATGACAAGACTCACATGTGTTTGGCAGGGTGATGCACTAATGCATTCAATACCGGAGTTTCGGTGAGAGAGGATCCACCCTTCGAGACAAATAGAACTCACGAGAATGACTTCTACCGATGTGCATATTCTGATGTACAACGCATTGTTGTGAGCGTCCGCGACATCCAGTAATGAGACAGTACGTGTCTCACGAAGTGATCATTCCGGTCTCTATTATAGGACATTAACCACGGTCAACTCAACGATGAGGGAAACATGTCTGACGCACCCACTGTCCACAAAATCAGGGTGTCGACGATCTTTTTCGATCTGTAACGCAAGGCATATCGCACCGACAGATCAGGGATGCAGGAAGTAAGTCCTGGTAGTCCCTCAAGTCTCGGGGAGTTACGTTACCTGCGGAATCTTGGCTGGCTCTTCCATAAAAACCAACACAAAGCTAATGTGATGAGGATGTCCGTCATAGCGCCTACACCGAGACAGACTATGGGCAACCACTTGTAGTTTTCGATGAATTTGGATGCTTCGACCATTTCCGTGCTTACGACTGCAACGGCGAGCGAAGAACCAAGACGGACCAGGGATCCTAGCCAGGCTACCAGTGTGATAATCCATCGGTGCGAAATGCAATAGATGCGCCAAGCAAAGAACGCCTAGTGTTGCATGCAGTCAGCATTAGTGTCGAGACAGTGAGGTTGAATCAATCATCACGATATTATGCCGGAGAGTGACTTGCCTGCACAATACCAATGGTAAGCCTAGCAATGGGAAAGGTGGAGTTCGCAGTCCAAGTCGGGACGTCGATCTGAGTGATATCCCCAAAGCTGGTGATCGTGTGTTGGTAGATTGCTACGCAGATCATGATCGAGTGCAAGCTTTCGGTCGCTCTGTATGTACTTATGGTGTCAGAATTGCTTTCATGATACGAATCATATGGAAATATAAAAAGACCAAAAGGTTACGCACACGACGAGCGGGACCTACGTCCAGTGCACAGGTCAGGCTAGCAGAAGGACCACGATATGAACACACGTACTATGATACGGACTAAAAATCTATCTCCAGCAGATCCAGAGTTGTAATATGACCACGTTTGGGATGCAAGGACGCCGTAAAGAAACATCATAATCATGACACCGACCTCCCAAGCTCCAAGGGTTGAATCGACGAGGCTCGGGGCCATATCGAAATCGAAGACCTGTGAAAAGCCGAGATGGTCCCTGGGAGTGAATGCGACGAGTCTGACTTCGAGGCCTTTATACGATCAGCTATCGGGTAGTCACATCACGGAAGATGTGAGATGCTTACAACGACGGTGATACAAGCAAACGAATGGAGAAATACTGCACGGCCTCCGTCCCCATAAGGATCAAAAACGCTCCCGTGCATCACGACAATAGTTCAGCGTCTAGCGTTAGCTTTCGTGGATTGTATCTGACTCATTTAAGGGGTAGAGTCAGTGTCCAACGACTCGTTGCGTTCTCTTTGACGACGACAACGTAAAGGTATCTGTGTGGTAAGTAAACCTCATAAATTGAAGGGAATTAGGGAAACAATGGCTGGTGCGTAACACGGCGGCTCAGCATGAGCCGCTTACTCCTAGCGCCATCATAGCGCCTACTACATAGGGAAGCGCTCTTGGGGAACAGTCAGTGGCTCGATTCGCATCATCGGAAGTCAGAAGTATAGGCGGAAAAGATGCCTCGAGGATTCCCGTCACCTTGGTGTTGGATCTTGTACATAAGTCCGTCATGGAACATACGAGCTCAAAGAGTCATGCGAAACCAGACGGAGAGCAGGGGACCTAGCCTGGTTCAATTTTATCCGTCGTACGGGCGGATGGGCAGAGGGAGGATAACCCGTCTGAGGGAATTGATGAGGTGCGATGGGTGAAGTTGGCGGAGGATAACAAGAGAATAATGACGGTGGTATATAGCGTAGTCACCCGGCATTCGAGAGTCGGGACACATGACCTCCTTGATCAGGGTCGTACTCAGACATTTCTCCACCTTTCGACCCGGGGTTTCGATCAGAACCCGCATCCTCCTTGATGAGGGCTTCGTTAAGGAAGTAGATGTCATCGGGGTAAACATCGAAGAGATAAAATCTCATGGTTGTGTTGATCATGGTCGAGGGCGTAGTGCGACGACGATGGGATGAGGATCAGACATTCGAGAGTGCTCGGCGGCCGTCAGTCATGCGAACGGGAAGAAAATAGCTACAGTATCGAAACGAAAGAAAGTATGAGGAACGTGAAACAGAAAGAGACGGGTATCCAGACTCACCTCCCGCTCACGATATTTGCCCTCCCGCTAGACCACTGATTCGCGAGTTGACCGAGGCGGCACAGTTTGACGGTGCGTAAGGCGAAGCAGTTGTTCCTTCGGTATCTATCGAGGGAAGGGCTGCAGCGTGAACGAAGTGGCCAATCATGCCGTTGAAGACAGCTCATGGGTGCGACTATTCGTGTTGTCGCTGTTGACGTGAATGTTGGTTGTGGTGAATTTGGGCATCGCTTCCAACACATGGATATCGGACTATAAACCTTCGGGGAAGAAGACGGAGCCCGGCCTTATTGGTCGAGGAACTTGATGGTGTCACAGTACGAGAACCGGTAAAATGGCGTGCGAACATGAGTACCGATGCTAAACAACACAAGAAGAGGGATGAAGAAAAACTCAACGCTTCGGAACACAACAAGAGGCCTGAAGCAGAACAATGCGGAATCAAGGCAGAGAAGATGAACAGATGTGAAGACTAAGGATACATGAAACAGACCTCTTAACCCGAAACAGACACTCTTACACCTTTAAATCCTTCTCCAACGGGAGGGTACAAGAGAAAGTAGTTGGGATACGGTGCAAGACGGCATTGATGGCGTTGGTTGACCGAGGGAATGAGTTAGGGATATACGAGGACAGGGAACGAGAGACAGAACAGAGTGGTAGAAGGTCTATCAGAATCAAAGTCAGAGGGACGTAGGCGGTAGCCTCTTTTACAGGAGGAATTGTCGGAGCATCTGGAAGACGGAGGTGCGAAGGTTCACGTCGACGATGGTGCCACGGAAAGTCCTCGATTTAGCTTGAACTAGGGTATTCATTTGCAAGCTTGACAGGGTAAGTTGACTTCAGCCTCCGCCGTCGAATCCTCCTTACTTCACAAGGACCCAATCCATCAAACTCATACCTGCCTCAGTACCTCTCAAGACAACGAGCCTGATCCTTCACTTCATCGCCTTCGCCTTCGCCTTCGCCGCCGCTTCCTCCTCCCTTGTCGCCTTGGCCTTCTTCGTCTTAGCCCATCTCTCGTGTCCATTCGCCACGCTAACCTGTCTCTGCCTCAACATGCTCTTCACAAACTCATTCACACTCGACGGTCTCTCTACCCACGGTCTCTGTTCCGAGACAGGTTGTAAACCCGTGCGCGCAAGAGAAGATGTATAGATATCTTCGAGTGCGTATGCGAAAGACACGTCTTGGTATGTGATGCCGTCGATTCTTGTCCACGGTTTGGGGGGTTTGGAGGGAGCAGGTTTTACTTCGCCGGTGAGATAGTAGGTGCTGACGACCTTTCTGGTTATGTCGAGAGCGTGGCGAGTGAAGAGGGAGACGGTGAGTAGGGCACCGCCGATTGAGTGATGTAGCATGGCGATTTGCTTTCGTAGGCGTGGAAAAGTTGTGTCAGGGAACCTCCACCTCCATGTACCATAACAAATTGAAGCGTGAAGGGAAGAGACTCACATCAGGTGACTTATTCAACCTTGCCGCCTCGTTCAAAAATCTCAGCAACTCCATCGAGCCCTCACTGACGTTCTCCGGGCTCGGAGCAAATACGAACGTCTTCCTCAGGCATGATTGATCCTGTCCACTTAACCCTCGAAATCTCACGCCCCAGTTTCGATGATAGAGTGGAGCGATATAAGTGTTGAAGTCGGCGCCCCGGATGAGATGGTTCGGATTCGTAGGGGAAAGGGTAGGGAGTGGATAGTCAAAGTCAGCGGGCGCTGGTGGGTTTTGGTTTAGAGCACTGGAGGAATTAGTTGATGTGGAAGGTTTAGAAGTACTTCCAAGAGAATCTAAGGAGAGACGTCGGCAGGGAATTGAGCTAGACGTTAGTACCAGAGGTCTAAGGGACAGCAGGGAACTCGATGGGCGGCTGATCGTAAGCGCGACTGTTCGAGCTAATCTTGAGTACATTGTACCGCAGGATTAAGCAAGTATTGCAGCCGTTAGATGGAAAGTATAGATTGCGGATGTGCTGCTTGATATTGTCGACTTCCAGCTCGCTGTAGAACGCGGTGAAGGTTCCGAACTCGCTTCAATCTCGGCGGTTCACGGTTCACGCAGCCCTGTGACCGTGCGAAATTATAAGTGTGGCGCGGGTGTGGCATTAGGATCGTGTTTATCGCTTGTTATATCTAAGTACTTTGGTATCATTCTCGAGTCCCTAAATCGTTTACACAGCACTTTGAAGCTGCGACGTGTAATTTTCCATGCTCATTACACGGTCCTAGCTATGCTCAGGATTAATATGCACAATGACTGGAGACCGAGTAGCGAACTTCAACGGTGTCAAACCAAACTGGCATTAAGTAGTTCACGCCGCTACGAGGAGAATGCTTATACTGACTTGTGGTGAGCTGATTTCGAAAGCTCCAGAGAGACCAACGAAAGATAAGTTGACCGCACGCTCTCGTTCTCGGAGAGTAGAGCGCCCATTGAGCCTACGAAGAGTATTCGTCAGATACTCCCTGCGGGGCTATGAAGCGTAAAACACCGACAATGCGAGGAAAGAGTTCGAGTATACTGTTCCGGGACGTTAGAATGCCATAGTAACTATGGCGATCAAAAGCGTGAACTACATACGTTTAGTGTAGAAGATGGTGAGAGACCCCCCTATGTCTTGAAAGTATTCGATCAGTTGCGCTGGTTGTATGAACGTGCCTGGTGGTTTTGGTTATTGAGCTCACATGTGCGCGGAGTCGCTAGAAACTGTTATTATATGAGTTTCCCAACTGAGAGTCCAATGGGCTTCGCATGCGCAACATGGACACTGACATACGATTATTAGCATGGTCATGGCAGCGATAATGATAGAAGATTCAACAGTGTTAGTCAAGACGTATTTGTACGATGAATTTCTCAGTCTTACCTGGTAATGAGACCGGTGTCTATGGCGTGGGTTTTATATCATCTCGGGGACAACATCCGCATGCACATAATCCGGGCGGACTCACCGACTGTCCATAAGATCAGCTTATCGACGATGTACTTCGTTCTGTGAAAGAAACAAGGTTCATCGAGCACTTTAACTTGCATAAGTTAGGCGTATAATACGATTCACAATGGAAGATCTCTGCGCCTCCATAAAAACAGCACCATGCCCACAGTATTGATAACATCGACAAAGAAAGTGGCGGTGAGTGTAAGGATTATACACCACTTCGAGTGCTCCTCAACTTCCGATATAGACAGCTTCGGAGTAATGACAGCAATAAAAATATTTCCCGCCAGCTGAAGAATACTTCCCATCCACGAAGTAACGGAGAGTGTCCATTTGCCGGAGAGTGCATGGATTCGGTATGCAATGTATATCTGGAGTCGAATACGCGCAGAAAGTTACTTTAGCACGATGACCAGCTCTGAGAAAAAGAGACGTACTTGAACAATGCTCGCTGTAACACCGTTGAACACAGGGGACATCCTTAATGTTACGGGTATTTTTGCGAGACCTTGGGGTTTGGAGAAGTCGATGACTGTTAGGTCGTAGAGGCAGGCCCAGGCGACAACAGTATGGGTTGTTTCTAGAGCACTAGATCTCGCTGCTGAATAGCGAAAACAACCATCAAAAAGCAGGAAAAGATGATACCAGACAGTAATAATCTGTAAGTAGATTGAGGTCATTTAGATGCGGAGAAAAACCCACAATTACTTACGAGTAAGCGCAACCAGAGCGTGTCATTGAATGTCCTTGTATAATATATGTACAGCTGCACAATTATAATACCCAGTAATACGGAGCTGAGTAGAGTTGCGATCTCCAAGGTGCCGAGAGTAAGATCGAGATTGGTACTCATTCTGACTTCACCGTTATCAGGGAATAGGACAGTGAGAGCGCAACTCTAGGCAAACTATATAACCGTACCTTAGGGCTGTCCCCCGCTGTATTGGCCTTCCCTCAATACACATTTTCCCGCTTCCGTCTGGTCCGGACTTCCATTGTAACTCTAGATGAAGGTGGTCTTGACTAAATGACCACTGATGATCGCAAGGGGGTGCAGATATCACGGACGGAGGAACGGCGACTACTCACAACACCGGCGTGACGGCAAAGTATTCTCTGCGCAGTGCCAATACTCTCCATCAGAAACAGTGTTGGCGTAGAACAAAAAATGTATGATACTTCGATATGGTCAAGCCGTAAAGCATGTGCAACACATAAACGAAGGCGTCAAACAGTGTTACAGCCTAGATGTCGCAGTGATGAGGCCTTGATGAGGACTAGCGGTGACGCCAAAATTCACTAGTACCAAGGAGCGTGCCTGAAAGCCTCGTCTATATCAAGAATATGGACGCTGCTTAGGATCAGAACCGCTAAGTGCTGTGTACGGAACAAGCGGTGGGAGCCTCTGAGAGGAAGCACATAACTGGTAAAGACACCGTAGCGGAGCTTGAACGTTTCAACTCGTCGCGGTGTGGCGCGCCACTTCTCCGTCGTTGCCTCGAGCACGACTCGGACTGAGTCGGACAAGGGCTTCAGTAACTGGTGTAACGTTGAAGAGTACAGTCCCGTAAGATATTGAACGATGAAACGAACCAATTTTGATTGTATGGATCAAATATAAGAGTACACATTCTCGTAAAAGACACTGGAAAACTTGAACTACCCTCGCAATCTCGGCGCAACTTTTCCTCCATGAAGACGTGCCAACATCAGGGCTCGGTATATAGATCAAGACTTGTCCTATGCGTCTTCGTAGTCACTGGAGAGTCATGTACTGTCGTCTGTTCCGAGGCAGTTAGCATAAATACACGTCAAATGAACCTGAGCTGACCTCCTCCAAATCTCGTCCTGAGGGGGTGTTAGGAGCGAGCATAGTATGAACATGCATTGACTGTGAAAAAAATGAGTTTTTTTTTGGTGAATCAGGTGCGTTCTTCAGGTGTTGTGGGGAAGTATATCATCTACTCACGCGACCTTGCGGAACACTGATCTCAAATGGTCTTGAAATGCCGACAAAGGACGGCCTGACTTCTGTGTCCTGGAGCGAGGAACGTCCGTTGAGTCTGTACTTGGGCATCCATTCAAGATAAAAAAAGCCGTCAGACGAGTGCGTCATTTGAGAACCACGATAATTAACGAACAACGCGAGTAAAGTATTGGAATACACTATGAAGGGAGTGAACGAGCAAGGTCAGCGAGTATAGGCACGGAATCCAAGCTGAGTACTGACATTTGGCGTAAAAGAGTGCCACCGAGGCCCAGATCTCTGCAAGTGAAAGGGAAAAATGTACCCAACAGTCAACTCATGACAAGCTCAAGATGAAATCGGATATCAACCTGTATTTGGTGTCGCAAAGTACTAAGAGAAAAATGTAAGTCTCTGACTGTATTCTGGTAGGCGTCATAGGTGATGCCGACACACCAGAATAATGCTGACTATTGCGGTTACGCTTTACAAAAAAGCCCATAGTCATTATGTGCGTCAGCCGGGTTTTATAACAAAAATAAAACGAACGTGGTAATGAGGCCGGTTTCTGCAAGGCAGTTGATGGCACTTTCAATATTTATGCATTGCACAAGAAAGCAGGACGCGGGTGCTCACCTATCGTCCATACAATGAGCTTATTTACCAGATGCCTTGTTCTTCGGAAAGATGAGGATCAGTCCGTGTTGTATGTAGCATGTGTTTCAGATGAAATGTACCGTGGGAGTTCGTTCTGTTTCATTTGGCGGTAGAGAAAGACGGAGAGCCCTGCAGTATTAATGGTGTCGACGACGATGTCGAAAGCAAGTGTGGTGTATTCGGACCATTGAAACTGGTGACGGGCTTTTTCGCCGATGGATGGATCGTACTCGAAGACAACTTCTATAAGTGCGCAGAAAAAATGTAGAGTACTCCCTATCCATGACACGATCGGGAGGAAGAGTTTTCCGGAGAGAATATGTATCCGGTAGGCATAGTATACCTTGTAGAGAATATTTAGTTGGAAGAGAGGGAAAGAGAGTTGTATCGGACATGGAAGGCACTGACTTGAACCATCGTGCTGACAATATCGATCATTAGACTCGAGAGTCCGAACGTCCAACGCTTTTGACTGAGAGAGTCGGGATTTCCAGCACTGAGAATTGTCTGATCGTAGATATAAGCTGAGCTCAAGAAGGTCTGCGTTACTTCCAGGGACCTAGCGATTCTCCGTAAGTCAAAGGCTGGGAATGAAGGAATAGAACGCACCAGATGACGGCCACCTGAAGTGTATGTCAAATAAACGGGCTTGGCAGATACGAAAGGACAGCAAAACGCACGAAACAACGAAGCCACCATGGATCCTTGAAGTTCTTCGAGTAGTAAGTATACAATTGAGCTGTCACGATGCCCAAGAGGAGTGCATTGAAGTATGCTCCTATCTCCAAGGCGCCTATGGTGTGAACGATGTCGACAGACATATTGCGGATTGGTGTGGGCTGGCTACGATACGATGAAGCGTCATTTTATACGATAGTGACTGCATGTGAGCTCAATGACAGATCGTGTATGACTGCATCTTAAATGCACTCAGATGGGGTGCAAGATGCCAAGTACATAATGGTACGGCCATGTTCTGAGTGCAGAGATCATGAGGGGATAGAAAGGTGACTGCGATACCGGTAACTCCAATGCCGGTATCGAGTGCCGATGACTACAGAGATCAATTCATGAGGCGTCGCATAGTCTTAAGCAGACGAAGAGCTCTATGCCTAGTTGGAAATGAGTGTCAGTGAATGGTGTGTGGCTATATGCAGTTACGTGACAAACCTAACCTCCTCAATGTGCATGCCGCAACAAATGGGCGAAGGGAGGTCATCTTACACACACTGATACGTAGAGCGCTGCAAGTAGATGTCGATTATCGCACCGTGCCGTTGAGAAACAATGCGCTCAATAATTATGGACATCCGCTTTCCCTAAGAAGATGTATTATGTTGATATATTCCCACAACGCCTCCCGACTCGTATACCTGTGAGCCCAAAGTATCGTATATCAACAGGTTTGTTAGCAGCACAGTATGGCGGAGTGGCTGTGGACTGACCACGAGCGTGATCAGGGCGCCAACAATTGTTTGATACTGAATGACTCGAGATCCACGATGTCCATCGTTGCGCCCGCAGGTCTCGTGAATCCTCGTTCAAGGGCGAGTCCCGTTGATGGCCACGCAAGTGGGGTCACGATACTTCCCAGCAAGGAGTTTGATGCGAAAGTTGCCACCGATCTCGGTAATGTGCGAGGAACCTTCGGCCATTGAGCGGGAACGTTGAAGAAGGGTGAGGACGGGATGACTGTATATTCTGGAAGACCTTCAGACATGAAAGGAGACCGTAAGATCATAAGGCGGAGGTCGCTATGTCGGTGTGAAGAAATATACATGAGCGCGCTCGCTAAGTTGTTGACGGCACTTGGAAAGAACGTATTTTTGAGTCTGAACTAAGATGCAAGGACCTAGAGTAATGCATCCCTGGAGCGAACTGGCTACGGGGTTAAACAACAAGATCTGTCGTAAGCGTAAGCACCCCGAAACTTACCAAGGTGTATCAATCATGGACTCCACTGACCGCAGAAAGCGAGACGCTGACGGTCCAGATGACGGAAACCGCTCAGTGCAGCCTATTCAAAGGCCGTCATAACGATCAAATCGCATGACGGAAGTCGAGAGGGCCCTTGTGGAGAAGACTATTCTCTGCGGGAAATCAGAGTACGCTACCATTCTGCAGACCGATGGGGTAAGTAGGTTGTCAAACAAAAGGGCAGTCACTCGGCGGGTAACGGACCTTCGCTGCGGCCGCGACGAAGAATCAGTAAAATGTAGGCGTCGTCAGTGAGAGACTGACGGACAGCAAGCAGGCCATATTGAGACCAGCTGAGGTTTCCGTATCAGTGCACATTCACCATTGACTCAGGCAGCTAATGTGCCAAACAAAATCAACCATGAACCAATAAATAATCCTTATAGACGAATGTTCCCTTCGGCTACTTACACGTACAACCCAGGCCACGCAGCCACCTGGCCAACCAAGAAATATGCGAAGGAAAACTCGATAGCTGTCATACTCACACATACGTACATTACGACCGATACTCAGCCCGCCATGTCGCACGATGCCTTGAACGACCCCCGCGACCCCATTATCCCACCGCACACGCCACAGTTCCCACGCAACGTCCCATTCTTCACGCCCATAACTGTATCTTCCTCACCCTCCGTTAATGACTTAATCGTCCTTCTTGCCCCCATTCAATGGACTCCTCGGGAATGCCCCGCTCCCCGCTCCCGGCGTCGGCGGGAAATGCTGATAATTCGGCGACCCAACACCAAGACTAGCCGGACTCTGCACCGCACTCCCCGGTCCCCAAACACCACTTCCCCCAGGCGTACCAGGAATGGGGCTCCTCGCACTCGTAGGTCCGAACGAACCGCCCGAGATCCCTAGACCTGGGAACCCTCCAGCGTTGGAGGAAGCAGGAGGAGGTGGAACGTCGTGACCTGCTTTTTGTGAGCCGTTCGAAGGCGTGCGTGCGCTCAACGGAGGCGGGGGAGGGGCATGGTGTTGGGATGGTGGTGCAGGAGAGTAGGGCGAGTAGGGCGTTCCGACGTTACTCGTTGGTGTGCCCATGTAGCTTCCAGAGTAAGGGCTTCCGGTACCTTCGACGACCCATGAATTCCCCTGCCTAACGACTCTTCCGATCGAGCCCGGCCTCGCTCTTAGTTGTCCACCGACCCACTTCGACCTTAAGCCAGTAGCGCGAGCGGTCTCTTGTGGCGTAATCGTATCCTCGTCCGACGAGCCAACGACGACGGTCACGGCTTTGTTGGTGATCCTCAACGCCCAAGAAGTGCATACGAATACACCGCCAACTACACCCGCCCATCGGACGAAGAACTGCGCGAATGTCGTCGTGCGTTGGTGCTGGATGAGTCTGACGGGTTCGATCTCGAACTTGAAGAAGATGCCGGGTGCGAGACCGGAGTGTTGTTCGAAGGTGCGAGTGTAGTGGGTGACGGAGTATTGATTCGTATTGAGCGGGGCAGAACGAGGGGCGACGTAGGTCGTGGGGACGACGCGCATAAAGTATTGGTAGGCCGTGAAGTCTGATTATGAGAGGGTGTTAGTGGACTAATCTGATGTGATGAGACGATGCATATGAATTCGTACGGTCGTGAGTGATCTCGAACGAGTTGTCAAGGGGTTGGACGATGTCGGGAAAGTGGGGACCGAAGGAGAATTCAGTGATGACATGCGACATGTTTATCTCTGTGGCGAGTCAATACAGACCGGACGATAGAATGGGGGTCGACTTACTCGTATGGTCGACATGAACCTTGCTCGCGTAGCCGTGCCCGAGTGATGTGATATGCAAGTTCGCTACACTGTTAATGAGTATCTGTAAAGAACGAATATCCTCGCAAAGCACCCACCCGTGACTTTCTTCACCTCTAACGACCCATAAACCCTGCAAGCACTTCCATCTGCCTGATAGTTGTACGTGGGTTTATATATATCTTGCGAGCGACGGAAAAGGTCGAAGAAGCCGCGAGACTTGCGGGATTGGCGAACCGCCTGGCGTGTTGATAAAGCCTTCGCGTGTTCCCTGGGTGATGTGATTGGTGACATGGTCCTATGTTGTAATGAAAGAACCTAACGACTTACTTCAAAGCAGTGGCCTGTCCGATGTCAAACAAGGTCTAGGGAAATGTCAGTACGGCAATAACACTGGTAGAAGGCAGTAAACGCACTCCGTCCCTGCGGAAACCTTTGCTCAAAAACAATCTGTCGCCGACCACGTCTCGAAGGTCAACGCTCAACCCTGTTACGCTTGAAAATCAGTAAAGACTTTCTTCAGGGTACGGGTAGTAGGTGGAGAGGAAATCGATTGTCAGGGGTGCAGAAAGGTTTGTGTATGAACCAGTGTAGTTTGATCTGCAATGTGTGGCGTGATCGGTGTGGCGTAGCAATCTACTCGAGGAATTAGGCCTCAAAGTCCTAGACCTACGCAACGAGGCGGTGATTCATATCCACAAGCTGTATAATTCACTTCTGTAGAAGCAGAGATGACCTCGTCGCGCACCGCTAGCTCTAGCCTGGCTCATGGACGATCGTTACACTCCGACGGCCGTCCAACATTCAACTTTCTCAAAACAACCAGGTTTCCCCTTGTATCGACACAGTGCCAATAGACCAAGCCAAAAGCTCCAGAAGCAGAGGACTGGATGGAAATACTTGGGGAAATAAGGTACTCACATCGGCAAGGCATGTTCACTACTAAGTCCACATTGACATTCATAAAGCTCGAATCGTCTCTATCCACTGCGAATTCATGGTCCGGCCATCCCCAGATAAATTCACCGATATCGTTTAATACCAGGAGAAAAGCGAGAAAAGCGACGAAGATGGTAAGGAATCCGCGAGACTCGGAGCGGGACTTGTACGTCGCCGGGAGTTTTGGGAACGCGTCGAAGCTTTTGATGGACTCCGGGGCGAGAGCGTCGAGCTTGTCGAGCAAAGACTGGTCTTCGCCGTCCATGGCAGCGACGTGATGGTGGTGGGCGAAAGGAAAGTGGTGAAGAGCTGTGCGCTCTGACGAGCAGTATAGAATTCAAGTGCCAGCTGAGGCGTCGACGACGTGTCAACTTGTGCTGCACCCCGCCAATTTCTCGGAGTTAAACCGCGTGACGTGGCGGCCACGCGACCGATATCGCTGAGTTTTTCCGCCACCGCCACACATCGTTTCTCCACCGCGCCAGTCCACACCGCGATCCACATTTCCGCTGTTCTTCCAGAGACAAGATAATTCCTTCGAGCAGTTCCTGACCTCTCTGTGATGGTTCAACGTCTTCGAACTTGCGTTTTGACGACCACATGTTCTTTGGCCATTCCTCGCTACGTGATCATGCTATTGAGACCATCACCGCTTGAGCGATCTCATCATGCAACCACAGATAGGAAGCTCGTACCTTCCCCTTCTTCAGACCGGAGGCGCGTTTATAGGTGGGAGCCAATCGAACTGTGCGAAGACCTATAAATTGGAGAAGGACCATCGGAGGCATCGGGAATCAAAGACAGAGCAATCGCAGAAGGGCTCTGGTACGGGACGCAGAGGTATGTTTTGAACTTTTGTCGGACTTCAGACGAGCGGGTATGATTCGGATGTTGGGAAAGCCAGTGACCTCTGAGTGTACTAGGCGATTCGCTTGTGAAACACATCGCACATGTCAGGCTTTCTGGGTCACCAAATTACCATAGTGCTATGGGCGACCGCGTCTCTGTTGTGGCCTCGGAGCACCTTGATCTCGACAAACTGTGATGCCATGGTGTAAACGGACTCAACTATGACGCTTTGATTATCGCTGGCCTCCGATTTTGGCCTATAGTCACGTTGACCTTAGAATGCAAGTATGAGCAGAGTCTAGTGCGCGATTCCGTGTCTTCCATGCCGTTCTGACACACAGGACTTCATTCTGCAAGCGCAGAGCACAGTGTCGCTCAGTTGATCATACGCGACCCGTGAACGATGCTTATCGTATTTCTTTTGGTAATCTCTCTTGAATTATATGAGGATTTCATTCATAAGTTTTGTATTTGGATGCTTCTGGCCATGGAGGCATTCTGTGTTGCGTTTCAGCAACCGCTGTACGGTACGGTTTGCCCCATCGTTGTCCTCGGTGTCTCATTTTATATCGTCAAATGAGCGCATGACACATCTTACACCGTCGCTTTTGTGAAGGGTTACTATCTCACTCATAACATGTCCCCGATTAATTCCGAGGTGAGCCACTTTGCTCTTCAAGTCCTTGATGAGTATCATGGAGAATCTGATGGGCGTCATACCTCTTTATACCAGTCAGACGCTGCACCTTGCACTCTTACGGGGCCTTCTGACATTTCAAACAACTTTCGCATATATTGGTCAGCTATCTCGTCCTCCACTTTTCTAGGTCTACTACCCATAATTTGACAGTTGTCATAATCTCGGGGTTAGCGGTCGCATTCCAATCCGGCCGATCTCTCAGAAATATTAGGAACCCAGCTGGTCACCTTGAATATGGCCAATCCTCACATGAGGGGCGTTGAATGAAAAGACTTCGATGCATAAGATGGGCGCGAAAGTGGGCGTAATGTTCACTGCTCGTTCCGGTCGCAAGCACATACTCCTTCAGTCATGTTTATCCACCGGAGAGTTTTGTATCACAAACTCTGTGCTCGCGTGCGTACGGCTCAAATAATAGAAGCCGCACAAAGTCAAGGTTTTTGCCTCTTCTCCAGAAGCACAAATGTTCCATGGTTCTGCAACTCGGTGGCCCGTCAGGGAAGGGCAGGTGTAGGGGCACCTTTGATGGACATCTGTGTTGGCAATGCAGGCGCCGTTAGTATGTAATATTGTCTTCCTTCCTCTTGTTCCTGTCAAGCATAAGACGAGAACAGGTTGAGAATGTTAATACAGCGCAGTAGTCCGAGTATCACGCCATCTTCCTTGCTCCTGCAACAAGTGCGGGCGCATACCTCCAAATTAGGTGTCAGTGTTAAAACTCTGGATTAGAATTCAGTAGGTGAGATATTATGCGACAATGACCAGGCAAAAACATGGCTTTTACTTTTCATGTTCTTTACCTGAAAACCCCGCAATCGCCTCCGCGGACTTGAGCGGACTATTCTCCAGTGGCCACTATGCAGGATCACAAGTCACAAGCTAACGGTGAATCGATTCATGTTGTGGGTCGCCGCCCACAGACATGGTGTTTCAACATCAGACGCTGATTTTATGTCCCTCGTCAGTGCGTCGTCGAGTTGTGGCCTCAATGCATCAGTCTTGGAATCGCACACTAGTCTATAAAGCTGACTACTTAAATAGATGGCGACACAAGGACCTTCAGATACGACAAAGACGCCGCTGAGCAGGATCCGGTATTATGCTGTGGAACCTTGAGCACGACATGTGTCTTCACCGAGTCACATGTACTTAAGGAAGATACTAGGAAGATCAGACTTGGAGACCTAATGAGTCCGAAGTTTTACTAGTTTTTATAGCCATTCATCTCGATATAACTCTACACTGGGTTCATTTGGGGACACGGCTGCTTGGGAGTAAGCATATCCAGTATTGACAATGGTTGACTTCAAGTTCAGTCTTCCATACAACTTCCATAGAAGACTTCTCCATTTTCAACGGTCGGAAAGATAACATAAAATCGAGTTTCAAAGTTTTAGAGACGCATCGGAGCATTTTCGAGATAGCTTGAGTCAACTTATGGTAGAGGTTGTAGTTCGTCGTCTGCAAATAGGCTCGATGTCTACAACTGCGGCACCGCCGGATACCAATTGCGACTTGTGGTGGGGTAGGTCGACAGAAATGCCCACAGTAAAATGATAGCGAGTGTCCAACTGCTCATCGCAACGCTCGCGCGTTTTTCATTTCTAGACTCAAGCTAGACCAGCCGTAAAAAAAACAATGAGGGCTGCTGCTAGGCTGCATTGGCGCCCAATGGGGGCCACTCGCTTGGCAGTGACGCGCACGTGATGTGACCCCACGCGTCAAGCCTGCGTCATCTTGCCACCGCCACCGTTGTTCTGTCCTTCCCACCATCATCGCGAGCTTTAGCTGCTTCTGGCCATGGGTATCTGTTCACTTTCGTTTCTCACCTTGCTACTGGGCGGCTACCTCTATTAAACTTGGGCTCTGCTACAGCTTCGGTGCTACGATGACTTTCCTCACGGAGCTCAAGTCCTTGATGGTCCCGACATCTCTTGATACTGCACCAACTCCGACTTCAGGCTCTAGAGCCCCATCTAACGACATACTTGCCTTTCCAGATCAGGAGGGGAGGCCTGTGATTATCACGTTTCTTCGGCACTGTGGATGTCCGTGTACGTCTTACTCGTTCACTCTTGCCTTTGTGCATACATTTAACTCACATTTTCTATCGTATGCACAGTTGCGGAGAAAACGTTCCGCGTATTATACGAGGCCGCAAAATTGCATGAAGACATAGCATTCATTGCAGTTTCTCACTCCTCACCCTCTCATACTACCTCCTGGGTCGATTCCCTCGGTCTAAAGGACTCCGAGTTGCCCAACCTTCGAGTTATCGTCGACGAATCTCGTTTCCTATACGCTACCTGGGGCCTTGGCACATCTTCGTTCTTTCACTGGATGTCGCCATCGTCCATGTGGGGGGCTATCAAGATGGGGCGGGAGGAGGGAATTTGGAATAGGCCCACTGAAAGCGGAAGTAGGTGGCAGACGAGTGGAAGCTGGGCTGTTGATGCTGAGGGTATAGTGAAATGGGGTGCATCGAGTGAGAGGGCGGATGATGAGAGGGTATGGAAGTTCGAAGAAGCGTTGAACGCCCTGACTACTTGACGGTAACCCATTAACCACGTTCACGCTGTTCGCATTACTGACGTGCCGCGACTTTTGAGCAGGTTTGATCGTGGGATCTTCATCTCAATCTCTATGATCACCTTTCCTTGTCCCCTCAGGCGTTGAGGGTGTATTTTCTTCTTACTCTGGTGAATGAGTAAAAGCGATATGCATCCGATACGATTTCTAGACTTGTATCTGTCTAGGCCATGACTAGAAGTTAATATGAGAACGTTTGGGGGAGGCACCAACCTCGATCTTCCGACATTCGCTAAACGCCTTCACATCAATCTTGTCCCCGCTATGTTTTTGCTTCGTAGTGAGCAGCACAGATTGGCGACCAACCACTATCGACGCATGCTGCCCCAACCCCTGCGAGCACTGCCTCCAGTCGGCGTCACCGTCATTATGACCACCTAGAGTTTATGTGGTTCGGCTTGGATCGACTCAGGCCGTTCTCCTCTTTCGGTCCAAGCACCCTCTGTTCGCTGAGCGGTTCGTTTTGGACTCTCCTGCAATATAAGGCAGAAAACCCTCTTCCGTATCGCCTGGTGGTAGTGCTACGGAGAGACCCCGCTCCTTTCACATAGGCTCGAACAGGATTCTGCAGTTCGGCTCCGCTTTCCTCGCACATATGTTAACACGGTGCGAGTTTGCTCCGATAGGTTTTCTGAGTAGGGTTTGATTGCATTCCTGTCACTGGATTATGGAGCTTATTTATAGCTCGTGCACTGTCTGAGCTCGATATATATACTGTGTCGATGGCCGTCAACTCGATAATCGACACGACCTCCCTCCTTGATCCCCATTCTTCGAGTTCATTTATCGGTCTTCTCTCAACAGAAATATGTCTGAACCCTCCAGCCATCCCATTACGCCTCTTCGACGCCTCGCTTCCATCATAGTCTCCTCAATCGAATCTCTCGAACATCGTTTTGCTGTCGAATCGATCGAATTTCCATCTCTGGACGAGCCGTTTGATCCCTCGTCAAAAGCGGAGGAAGTTTTACTGGAGCCCGATATGACGATGAACGTGTCTGTCATCGTAGCGGCGGCAGCGCAGGTCAATCCCCCCTATTCATTCCGATAAGTATCCTTATTGATCTGGTCAATCGGTGCATCATTATCGCTTTCTACCTAGTTAATGGCGACCGTAAGGAGGCCAACTCAGACTGTCATTGACCATGGATTATCAGTGGGTCTCGCCCAATAGTCTGCATTACGGGTGATAATCAGTTTACCTGTTCTAGTTCAACGACGCCACTTGTCTTAGGGTCGCAATAGAGAGTAATCTACCTGAGATTGTGCGCGAAGCAGGTCCTAAGGTGAGACAACGGACGATCCTCTATTACTTTCCGTAACTAACAATTCTCATTGTGATATAGGGCATTCATGCCAATGAAGTGGCGGTAAAGAGCAAGACTGATCCGCTCAAAGTCGGTCAGTGGACTCAAATTACCGTCATTTCGTCATTCAGCATGGGCTGACCACTGCTCAATCAAGTCCGCATCCTTCGTTTCCTCGCCAACAACCACATCTTTCGAGAGCTTTCTCCTGATGTATTCGTGTCCAATCGTCTGTCGTCGGTCCTTGATTCGGGCAGGTCTTTCGAAGTTATCAGCAACAAGTGAGTCGTCGTTTTTTTTTCGATTCTCGCCACACTTACTGCGCTATTGACGTCATGATTTTCCAATGCATTGGCAAGGCCCGAGGAGAAGTACATCGGTATGAATGGCGTCGCTGCTGCGATCACTGTGTCGTACGTTCTCCAATTCCTCTGAATTCCACTGACTCGGAGCGTCAAAAACTTGAACAACGTATTTGTTATGTTCATCTGCATAGAGTCGATGAAAGCATGAAAGGATGCACCGTCCTTCCCGATATGTTCATAGACCCTGTAACGACATACTCCTTCGCACCCGAGGATAGTCCTTTCAGCGTAGCGCATAACACAACCCTGCCACTTTTCCAGTGGTACGAGCTTCCGGAAAATAATTGGCGCTCTAGCAGGTTTGCCATTGCCATGACGGGGACGGTTGAGATGGAATCCCCCAGTTCGATTTTGAAAGGTAAGACAACCTCACCTGTGCCCTAAACTTCACGGGTACACATGATTCTGAGCTCATATCTTAAGCACTATAGGATTCCGATGGCAGGATCTACCGGAGGGTGCCAAGGTCGTGGATGTCGGCGGTGGAGTGGGGTCTTCATCAATGTTAATCCTGCAGGCGAACCCGCATTTGAACGTTGTCGTCCAGGATAGGCCGGCGACGATCGCGGACGCAGAATCGGTAAAGATGCCCACAATTACTCCAACTGTGTTCCTTCCTGATCTGAGTGTCCGATTACTTGTAGTATTGGAGCGAGAGGATGGCAGAAGCGTTGAAAAGCGGGCAGACCGCACTTCAAGGTGTCCGAGACCACCCCTCTTCACCCGATACCAATATTAATCATCACTCTTTACGCCACAGTTCATTCGTTCTTAGAACCTCAACCGATCCACGATGCCTCTGTCTTCATACTCCGCCACATCCTTCATAACTGGGCGGACCCCTACTGCAAAACTATCCTCAAGCATCTTCGAGATGCTGCGTCTCCGGAGACCAAGCTCGTCATTGTAGACCCTCTCATACCCTACACCTGCCATGGAACTAGTTTTCTAGAGAATATTCAGGGTGCCGAACTGTCAGAGAATATTCCGAAGGAGTTGCTGCCTAGTCTAGGAAGGGCGAATAATTATGCGTTCCAGGTTGATTTCCAGGTGAGCGTCCATCAAAACCTTTTTGTGCTTTGTACCTGATTATCGGGTGCGTACGTCACAAAAAACGCTACAGATGTATGCCTACTTCAACAGCCAGGACCGGACAGTGGGACATTTTGTTGATCTTGCCGCCGCGACTGGGTGGAAGGTTGTGCAGGTTCATCGCATCCCTGGAACACCAATAGGTCAGATTGTTGCGGTGACTGCGTAGAGAAAATCCGAGGAAGATGCTTGCCTGTTGGGCCCTGTGCCCTTTGATTGTATCTGTGGCAGAACCAAAATATCCCTCAGCGATGAGTTGACGAGCGGACAGTAATGATCGTGCTTCAGAGTTGTCGAACGGTGTTTCATTTATAAAACAAATAGATGCCACGCGGCCACAAGGCATAGATGGGTAATACTAGATCGGAAAAGCAAGAAAACAAGGTATAAATAATTATCAGAACAACACTGCAGTTAGCGATATAGATAAATTGAGATAACGAGACATGTTGCGAGAAGAATCCAGAGTGAGGAAAGACGGTAAGAAGAACAAATAAAACGAGATAAAAAGTTCGACAACAAGGTCAGTGAAATATGTATCTCGTTCATCCTCAATCCACTATATCCGCTGTTTAGCAAGGCTATCTAAAGAATATTTATGGTGTCCACCGTAGTCGACATTTCCATGGAGCGTGGTCATGTATTTGTAGTACTGCTCCCGGTAGTTCATCCTCCAATAGACTCTGACGTTCGTCGTCCATCTAACGTTCTCCAACTGCGCAAACCTCCCAGACCCCATCGCTGGACCGTTAAGCCACATCCGCGACTCCATCATGTTTGTGAATAAGTTGTAGTGGAACGTCTGTGGCGTACAAGGGTATCCTTGAACGCGGATGTCCACCAAACGGAGGTTCTGTGGGTGAGGTCCAGAGTACAGTTCGCCGGCAGGATTGATAAGGAGAGTGAGATGCCGAATGACCCTGACTGTGTAGGCAGACGACGGCAGACTAAGCTCGGTCAAGTTCGGGAGGATGCGGAGGATGCGAAGGAGTAGGATTTCGCTTAGTTTGCCGGTCAGTTGGAGGCTGCGTAGAGTAGTAGCGCAGATCTTGATGAAGTCGTGGAAGGCGGAACAGCAGTCATTTTTGCTATACGTCCAAATCTCGGAGTCGTCGTCCTCGTCGATAGGCTCGCCTGGCCTCCTGACGGAGGTGTCCAAGAAACGGTCAGAGTGCAGCTTGAGCACCTCGAGTCTGGGAGTTTCGATCGTAGCGAAAATATCGAAGAAGAGAACGTTATAGAGGTTCGTATGGATATCGAGATAGGTCAGAGAAGGTAGGGAAAAATTATCCATAGTTTCGGCGAGCCATTGCATCTGGCAATTCTTGATCGTGAGGCTTTCCAGCCTAGTCGTGGCTCTCAGCCCCTCCATAAATTTGACAGCATCGACATTCCAGGCAATGGAAGAGAAGACAATGTGGGTCACTGAGCCCCAGGGCATCTTCGACAGAAGACCGGGGGTGAGGTCCATGGTGAGGTGACGGAGATTCTGGGAGGTCTTCAGAGCGCGATAAAGGATGGGTTTAAGGATGGTTCGAGCACCAGAGTCGGAGAGGTTAAACGTCCTGAGCTTCCGTAGTGCGGGCACCCAAGGTAACCGAATGTCCAGTCTGGTTTCGTCCCCCAACGAGAAGTATAGATCTCTCAGCCGAGGTGCCTCAGATAGTATCACCTCGAGAATGCGGTATTGATCCGAATGTGTATCGATGATCTTGCTGGAGTCTATGTATAGGAAGATGGAGAGAGGCTCGTCTCGAGATCGAAGTAGCAATGTGATGAACCAAGTCGCATAGAGTGCCCTCGCCTCTCTATCGGTGGGGACGTCCGGGATGTGTAGGACCGTCCATAGGGAAGGCAGAGTCTTGCAATTGTCTCGCCATCTTTTGCAGACGCGCAATAACGAATGAGGGGCGAGACTGAGCACATCTTTGGCCCTGACGTCGCGAGGAATTCGTGTAGAACTGTCCGGCGCGTCGGGTAGGGCGAACTTGAAGATCTCTTGTAGTATCTCGTTCGGAAGCATTGTGGTGAAGTCATTGTTCGAATGCGAACGCCGGACCTTGAATAACGCGCGTGTGTCAGATACATGGGCCGCTCAGATGATGTAGCAGCTGAGACGTACCGATGGCAAGACTCGCACTGCAGTGCCGTTGGCAATCTTTCGTCGTTTCATTATTGAGAATTCGTAGGCGAAGGTAGGAGGGACTAAATACGAGGGTGTGCGCAGATGCTTGGCAGACGCGCTTGGACTGGAGAGGAAGATGTGCGGAGCGTTCAAGTGGAAATTTTCCCGCGTCAAAAAAGGTTCGACGCCGGCGATATCCGGCCCTCCATCGATATCGCGGCCGCGGCAGACGTGTTGCGACGAGGTCCGCGGGACGACAGACTATGTCCTCCGAACGGCGTGCCATCAAGACGTCTTTCAGAGAAGACTGTGCAGACATTGTGGTGGGTCAAGGTGAGTGCAAATTTTGGACGGTACACCTGAGAGACAAGACTTTAGTCTTACGTGTGGGCCAATCGTCGCAGACAAGACCAATGTTTTAGATCGGCGCTCTCAGGTGACTTCTTACTGGGGCCATCTGAAGACTCCTGCTCTCGGCGCTGGGTCGTACTTGGTATCACCGTTTACCAGTATGTGTACGACATTTTACCCAATATGGTGGAGGAAAACATATCAGATGCCATCGTGGCGAGTGAGAGCAAGAAAAACGCCACCTTCAGAGCCAGCGCCACTGTGGCGAATATCAGGTCGAGAGTTCGATTCCGAACGACTACCCAACGTGACGGAACGAAAAGGTTTTATATATAGACAAAAAGGTGGGTAGGTATACAGAGGCAGGTTATACTGTACTCAGAACCTATTTCAGGCCTATATAACATCACAGGCGTGAGCACTAATATCGGATGAGAGGTGATGAGCAAAGCACACGATTCGTCCACCTCTAATATCTTCTCCTGAAGACCTGTTTTATCTGCCCATTGCACAAGCCTAGTTTGGGCTTCATCCCGGCAATAGCACCTGATCCCGAGACTGACTCATTCGTGTGATTTCTTGATTTTTTGTGGACGCTGCATTGGCCTAGATATCGACCAGTATCACGCCGTCCGCGACGGTCTTCAGTTTCTGTCGGTCAGGATTCGTATTGTAAGAAGAGGAGTTGAGCGAACTAAACCCACCATGCGAACGATAGCCATTGTGGTGCTTGAAGGTGGGGCATACAGTTCGTACGAGGGCGAGTGCTAAATATTAGGCCCGAACGCTCACTTACAAGGCGTCCTGACGGTCTTACATGCTGAATATTCTGAACTCCCTGTTGTAGCCCCTATAGTTGGAACATAGAATATATAGCACAATACGGAGTGCGCGAGCACTCCTCATGACTTAGCCATTGGATGTCTTGAAGCTGCGTCTCACCTTGGTCTGACCAAGATATCTTTTGAACTAGCCTAAGCGTTTGCCAGTCGTAGATTTTATCAAGTTCATGTTCTGCCAGATCATAGCACAAGAGATATGGATATCCAGCCAGAAGAGAACCAAGCATCTGCACGAACCGGTTTTCACCGCCGACTCGGAAGTGGATGATGATGATGACCGTCGAGAATTAAGGTTTACGCCGTTGTTTCGGATGCGGGCGGCGTCGGGCTGTTGGAAGCGAGCGTTTGATCCGGGTATTTGGCGCACCAGATTCACATTTTTGGCGGCAGGCAACTCCAAGGCAACTCGCATGCAGCGTGGACGGTCTTCCAACTTGAAAGCAGTATAACACATAGCGAGAACAATACAAATACATATACACAAATAGTCGACACCGACATGTCCCTATGTCCTCCGATTCCGGGAATAAGTACTTAACTCAGTTCGGTCCACTCCATCTCGGGCCCAACATTCGAATCCTCCCGCGTATCGAACAACCACTCAACACCCAACACCCAACACCCAATACCACACACATCTCTAACACCCACCCAAACCCCCCACTCAAAGCTTCCCCCTTGCCTTCTCCTCCCTCTTCGCCTGTTCGGGATCCCTAACCCTAACAATCGCCTTCCCCCACGTCTTTCGCTTCTCGAGATCGTCGAGGCCTTGAGCGACGGTGTCGAGGGTGTAAGTTTGGGAGTAGACGACAGGGGTGACGCGTTTGGAGGCGAGCATGCTGTTTGTGTTGGTTTTGTGAGCGAGGGAGAAAGGGAGATAGGGAGATAGGTGGGGAACGTACTCGAGGAGGGCTTTCCATACTTCTGTGGCGTGTTTCGGGTCTTTCTCTACATATGACGAACATGACACAACCAGTTCGTCAGTTTATTGAGAGCTCGACCGCGGATGTCAATGGTAAGAATAAGGGTGAAGGATGAGGGAGAAACGTACGGAAGTACATCCCCCAGTGTAGGCCGACTAGTGATATGTTCTTTAGTAAGACGAGGTTCATCGGGACCTATCCGAAATGAACGAATATAGTTGGAGATAAGGACACATTGTATATGTAAACGAATAAAAATTGGGTATCTCGAGCATACCTTCTCGATTGCACCACCCGCAAAGCCGATGACCAACGCCCTCCCACCCCACGCTATACACTTCAACGAATCTACACACCGTATACGTATCAGCTAACAATGTTCTCCTTCTCTTTCCAGAAAGAGGGAGGAAGAGTCAGGATCGCACGCACCTTTAATCATCCCGACAGGATCGTAGATGACGTCCACGCCTTTCCCATCCGTGATCTTCAATACCTCCTGTTGCCAACCAGGTTTCGTATAATCGATCGAGAAGTCGGCGCCGCCGTATTTTGTGGCGATGGAGAGTTTGGAGGGCGAGGAGGCGGCGATGACGCGGGCGCCGAGGGCTGTCGTGGGATAGATCAGTGAGACGTCAGAGAGAAAGGTCACAAATGAATAGGGTGAGCGTCCAAAGAAGAAGATAGAGTGCCGGTATGAGAGAGGTGCGTTTCGGGGCGGTCGGAGACAAAATGTGAAGATTCATAAAGGACGGACAAACCTTTTGCGAGCTGCACGGCGGCGATGCCCACGCCGCCTGCTGCTGCCGTTACGAGCACCCATTCACCTTCATATATCGATTCGTTAGGATATGTTCTCTACGGGTCGGTGGGATACAGAAACGGACATACCGGGTTTCAGCTTCGCCCGCCCCACCAGTCCTTCATACGACGTCGGCCACGTAACAAAAAGCCCTATCCCGCCACGACACACCAACAATCAACGCTCTTGAGTTTCACCTCCTTGTTTATGAACTCACCAGCTCCCTGGTCATAACTCAATGCATCCGGCAACGGCAATAAATGCTTCCAGCTCGTCGCGACCTCCTCGCCCAACGCACCCTGCCCGCTCCCGAACACTCTCTGTCCGGGCTTGAAGGGACATCCGGGTGGGAGGATTTGGGATGTTGAGATGCGGCCTGCAAATTCGGAGCCGAGAACGAAGGGGAAGGGGGGTTTGTTTTGGTATTTTCCTTGGGTTTGCAGGATCTATAGAAAATATAAAGGGGGAGGGGAGAGGAGAGGATGAATAGGTCAGTTTTGTATGCGGTGGACACGGAAAGAGTTTGAATGTAAGACGAGCAAGACAACTATATAATAGCTCACGTCGAAGAAATTGAGTCCTGCAGAATGAACCTCCACGAGCACTTCGTCAGAACTGGGTTTGGGCTTCGGTTCGGGGAAGTCGTGCGTCAATGGGATCTGTGAGTGGTGGGCAAACTCTTTGACGACGAAGGCTTTCATAATTCTGAATTTATCACAATTTCCTAGTCGCGGCTAGAGACAGTGCTATATGGTGGGTGGCTGGAGAGGTAAGGGAAGCGGAGAGAGCGACTACAAGTGACGAATGCGGGGTATATTTGAAAGAGTGCGAATGAGGGGAACCAATGATTGTTTCCGGGGACCTCGAGGAGCGAGATCACCGATTGGTCGCCACTTGCCGGGCACACGTGAAAGGGGCTTGTGGCGTAGGGCCACAGTTCGTTGTACAGTTCTCAGGGAACTTTTGCGTAGAGATCCCGGGTGGGATATTACAACAATATGCGTACAGATAAATATGACATATAAATATACTCACACATATCGAACGTCCAGAACCCTCATCTCCTATCCCAAGAACGCCTCCCACCTCCATCCACGCTCCTCCCACCCGCAGCCTTCACATCCCTCCTCCCATCCCTCATATCATCATCCCACCCTTTCTCCTTCCACCCATCCCTCCTTTCTCCGTGCCCCTCACGCCCACCAAACTTATGTCTCCTCGCCTCCTCCACCTCCTCCCGATTATACATATCGCTCGTCCCACCATGCACCGTACTCGGTGTCCCAGTAACGCTCGAATTACTCATCATCTCCCTCTCCCTCTCTTTTTGTTTCCGACGAAGTAATTCTTGAGCCCGTGCGCGTTCGGATGATTCGCGAGTAAGACGGGCTTCAACTGTGTGTGCTGGTGGGGGTGCAGGGGGTGGTGGCATTGTGCGGTCGTGTGAGGAGGTGGAGGCTGTCGAAAGCCGTGGCGGATATTTTGAGGGACGTGAAGAGGACGAGGACGACGATGGGTGAGAGGTAGAATTCAGGAGATGGCGGGGTATAGACGCGAGCGGGTCGTGCGCTGATTTGCGCGCTTGGTCGCGGCGTCTGTACGATACGAGGTCGGCCTCAGCAAACATATTATATAGATAACGAGGCTGAGAAAGCAACCCACCGTCGGTCATCGCCCTTCTTCCTCTCTCTACAATCTTCATCGTCCGCTACATCACGGTCAGCCTCCCTCGATCCCTTGGAAGAGTACCACGGATTCAGATCTTTCTTCGTAGGCGCGAGCGCGAAGCCTCTGTCCTCCGCCGTCACGACCGGTCCCTTCTTCGACGCACGGGCGGCGAGAACCGCAGATTGCTAAATCATAAGAAAAACATGAACGCATGGATTTCATGTCAGTCAGAGTGCTGGGATGGTGTGGTGAGGTTGTGAAGGCGTACCTGCTCCAGATCCTCAAACAAGTTTATATGTCTACTCGACGAATTCGACAACGAAGAAGAAATGGGTACTTCTTCATTAGCCAGTGTTGGTGGTCTTGATGGTCCCGCGGCAGCTTCGTCGTCGTCTCTATGTGTATTCTCTTCGCCAGTCGATTCGACCCGCTGGCGCAGCGCATCCAAGCGTGACTCGGAGTCCTATACATCGCCAACCAATTCGCATCACACCGTGAACAACCGAGATCAATAAGATTAGATGTTTAAGTAAGGAGGAAGTGAACGTACAGCCAATAACGCCCTATCTTCCTCCTCTACACCTTTCCGTCTCGCCTCTTCTTCATCACGCCTGACTCGGGCGATGTTATCTTGACGGTAGGGATGGTACGATTTGTGGTGCGCTATGTTTAGTTTTCCCATTGTGATGTAAGAGCGCTCCTGTAGTAGAGTATAGAGAGAGATCGGGTCAAATTGGAGGTGGATGTGAGAGCAGAGCAAGTGATTGTGGCGGCGAGTGGCACAGGGTCTATTGGGTGCCGATCTGCTGACAAAACGGGATTTTGAGCCAAAATGCGACACACATATGGTCAAAATATGATCCACAATTGACCAGCAAAGCCGGTAAACAAGTTGCCGGTCTTTGTTCTCGTCCTTCACCGCATGACCCCTTCGACTTGAACATGAGAATAATCGTCGTGGACTGCATATCCTCTCTGCGACTAACAATTACTTGTACTGAGTCCTGGGCAGCACTATTGCACTAGGCCGATATTCTTGACTTCGCAGGTTGCTGCACATACTGGCTAGCTCTGAATAGGAACTCGACTACTGAACTCGAGCTTTAGCATCTTTAGCCTTGCCGACTTTTGACTATTCTAGCCAGTGAACTTGAGGCGCCATGACTGAATCTCCGTTCGCTTCAATCAAAGGTATACCACCCGCATCATCATCCTCACATCCATCCCACTGCTTCCTGCCGGCCGTACTTATCGTCCAAATCTTCACCACTTTCCCTCGTCCAGATAAAACCGACACCCTCCTCTCAACCCTCATCCCCGCCAATAATACTCCAGGCGCGAACTTCCTCGCCCTCTCGCGCGATGGGAGCACGATCTATGAATCTTCGTTTGGTGTGAGGGAGAAGGGTATGTCTGAGGTTATGACGGAAGATACCGTAGGCGATTTTTTCTCCATGATCATTCTCTCCTTTTCTCAATGTATCCTTCCTTCTTCGCGTCTCTTCATACTCGACGACGCATGAAAGCCATATTTACGTCGATGACGACCTTACTAACTTGTGAATTTCACAACCGCAGGTCTTTTGGCTGGCATCGTGCTCGAAGATCCTCACTTCCCTTTGTGCTATGAAGTGCGTGGAGCAAGGGCTCATCACGTTGGACGAGGATGCAACTCCGTATTTACCTGAGCTCGCGAAACAACCCGTGTAGGCCTCTCACGCTCAGCCCTCGTCTCAGATATCATGTCGCTTGACTCTCATCGGCCCGAGGATGTGACTTCACGTATCTCATTAGTCCTTCATCTATAGCCGCCAGAACACATCCACAGGCCAACCGACTTACATCCCTCGCAAAGTGCCTATCACACTCAGACATCTTTTGACGATGACGGCGGGGACGGGTTACCCTGGCTTCGGCGTCTCCCCGGAAGTGGCGAAGACCATATCGACGAGTAGGGAGCCGTATATGGTTGCTGAGAGGGTAAGTCTCCACGAAGACTTATTCTCCAAAATGTCTGCTACGGATTGCTGATGGTCATGCGTTTGCTTGTTGACCTTTAGAGGACGCATTATGGTGGCCCTCTGCTCAGTCAGCCAGGAGAGAAATGGGAATACTCGGTGTGTTCACTTTCACTCGATCATCACTCACGGACTCTTGGCACTGACGACGGGAACGGTTGATGTCAATGGTAGGGCGCGATTGATTGGGCGGGCGAGCTCGTCGAGGTTCTTTCGGGGATGCGTCTTGGCGATTATTTGAATAAATATATATGCGAGCCTTGTGGCGTTAGTGGGATCACGTTCGTCTCGTCTTATGTTACCTCTCCGTCCCTCCTCGCCTTCCTTGCCATTATCCTCTTACTCAACTACACTCACTTGACCACAGGTTCGATCTCACTCCCGACCAACGCTCCCGACTCGCAGGCGCACATTTTCGATGGCGCGACGGTTCCGTAACAGCCCGCGGGAAAATTATAATGGACGACGTGGTCGACCACTTGGGAGGTGCGGGTGCGTTTGCGACTGCGCGGGATTTTGCGAGTGTGCTTTTATTGTTCATCAATGAAGGGAAACACCGTACGTGTAACGTCTCCCCACCCTTCCCTACGCCCCCCAAATTGGCGCGCTTTGTTGTTGATCCACTCGTCCAATTACCCCTCCAACGAACTAAACGCTAAACAGCGGTAACGGAAAACCAAGTCCTTCACCCCTCAACGATCCACTCGATGCTCAGCCCCCAACTCACGCCCTCCCAAGCGAAATGGCTCGATATGCCTACACCAGTCAATCGGGGTAAACCGCTCGCGCCGGGTGTGGAGAAGCAGTGGGGGTTGGGAGGGATGATTATGTCGCAAGGATTGCGGACGGGGAGGGGGAAGGGGTGTTTTACTTGGAGTGGTGCGTTTTTGTTGTTGGTTTTGTGAGGGTTTGGGCGAGCTAATCGGTGCGTGCGGTTGGTAGGTGTTGCGAACACGCATTGGATGGCGGATCCGGAGAAGGGCGTCGTGGTGCGTTTGCAAGTTCATGTTATATTAGGGCGCGTTCGGCTGCCAGAAACGCTGCACGCGTGAGCCATCGGGAGGCTCAAGAACTGCAGCGCTTCTCCGTGTTTTGGCGGAACAACGCTGCAACGTTGATGGCAGCCGAACACATCCTTGATACCTCTGTTCTGGTCGAGCTCTGTGTGTCTGATCTGACCGCTTCTTCCTTTCGATGTAGATGGTCCTCTTTGCTCAGATGTACGCCTTGGCTTCACCATGACATTGTACCGTCCGAGTCTAACCTCATTGCATTGATTTGGCTTATCCCTCGTAGCATCCCGCAAGAAGACGCCCGCATCATCTCCGTTCGGAGTAAATGGGAGGCCATCGTCTATGAAGGTCTTCAACGTCTTCAAACCCCAAAGTCAGGTCCGGACACGGGAACGACTGCAGATGAAGATGAGAAGCGGACGATATCGAAGAGTCGGCTTTGACGCGGTCATTCTCTAGGAGCACAGGGTTCATTCTGTCCGTATTTGACACTGGGGCTGATAGACACGGATAACCCGCAATGTCGTTTTGGCTGCATCGGACGCAGAGTCTGTATTGTATCGGTCACGCTGGATTCGTTCACGATCAAGCAGAGCATGGCAGTGACAAAAACTCCACAGGGTGCTGTTCGCATCTTTGATCCATCGATGGATACATTGCATTTCTCGTTATTTTGTTGTTCGTGCCATTGACTCTCGCTGCATCTAGGAGATGCTGAATTCGGTTCAAGTGACCATGCATTGACGGTGTTTCAGACCTCCTTGAGCCAATGAAACTCTTCCGAGGGTATATGTTGCTACTATCTATAGGTGTATCCGACGCGGAGAGGGCGCTGCGACCTGGTGAGGTATCCTTTACTCCATACCCGCTGATTTTTTGGATGAAATAGGGCATCGGCGCTGGGTTTACTGGCCATGGGATGAGCAAACACGCAGTACACGGCACAGGTATGTTCACTTGCTCGATAGTCTGGTCATGCACGCCAGAACCGACCGACACCCCATCATATGTCGATCTCTATCATTCTCTATAAACTCAAGCAGTGCGAATCAGATATCACGGTGGATCCTTCAGCGCTCGCGCTGGTCACTTGGAGGGAGGGAGTGCATCGCATCTCTTGTATTCAGTCTGTTTTCGTTCGTCTTGACCTCTCCTTTGATATTAGTCGCATCACAATCATCACAACGAAGCTGACCGTGCTCGTTGATTCTCCACAACTACACTGCAGTTTCTCCACCGGAAAGTTCGGAAACCATCCAAAGGAGGTGTTGTATGTGTTGAAGAGGACGCCAGAGCTGCAATCTCTCTTCCTTTGATGCTTCCATTGATAATTATCGGCATTGGGCATCCGATAGGCCAGCACGTTCGATCCTATTGTATGTATTCTCTCTGTGCTGCCTGAGCGTAGAGACATCCCAACATCTTTGAGATACCTCCGTTCATGCCTCAATGATACATTACTTTCGAGCCACCAGATCATGGAACAACGGCCTACGGTCGCCTAGGGCGTCATCTCTGGCGTTTCTAGACGATGCCATAGCTGCAGCCGTTGCGGGGTATGTGGCCGTCGTTTGAACGATGATGCTGGTAGTATAATCACGGGTTTCTATGCCGTGTGCCGACGAGCGCTCAATGCCTGCTTGGACCACATATAAAAAGGGTGCCGTTTTGAAGTCTCAGAATATTCCTCAACCAGCTCTCAAATCACCTTCTCAGACCATATCCACATACAGAGGTAGGTATCACCGTCGTCAGCAAGGAAGCCCTCGCCCCCCTCCCTACGTACTCCGGCATTGAAGCTCACGCCCTTCTCATCCAACAGAGACACAACGATGAAGTTCTTTGCTCCTCTCCTTGCCGTCCTTGCTCTCACCACTGGAGTCACGCTCGCGCAACTCGGTCCTTGCTACAACCAGTACGTCCTTACTTCTTCGCACTCTGCGATGTATCGCTCACTCGTCTTCTCGAATTCTAGGGCGGACCCCGACAATGGCATAGGCAACTACTGCTACTGCGAAGGGGATGGACTCTGCTGGCCTGATGCCCCCAACGGCTGCAACCCGCCGCTCACTGGATCATTCCCCTGCCCTTAGTGGAGTTAAGACGTGGGGCGGGAAATCAATGGGGAGTGTGAAATGATGGAGTGGAGGTTGTAAATGTGTAAGGAGGAATTGTTGCAAAAGGAGGTTTCATTGACGCTGCGTGTGCATTCAAATATCCGCGATCTGTAAGAATCAACTATCCAACTTCAAGGTCACAACAGACCGTGAGCAGGGTAGTAATATAAGTCATTTCTTGGATATATATGGGCCACACGCCCACCTATGACTCTGCTAAACGGAAAACAGGTCTTAGGTGGGATATGCACGAGAATAAATACGCCTTGAAAACGAAATGGGATACAACGTCGATTATATACATAGAATATCGAACTCAGTCAAGCGCAGACGTTTATGGCATTATATACGGACACCTGACGGACTCGAAGTTTGAAATCCATCACGAAAGAGCTGAAATACTCGCTCGACGGCGCTTAGGCTTAAAAGGGTACCGCTTCAATCGCCTGCAAAAATGTGCTGTCCCCACCCTCGTGGCGATTCACTCTAATGACCTTCCACCCGCAGCCACGCAGAAGATCATTGAAATGGCGGATCGTTCTCTCCTGCGAGTTAAACAGCAAGAACATCTACGGGTTACCAGCAAATCAGCGTATGTCTTATCTCAAAGGGAGGGGAAATGCACACATCGATATCGGCGTTATATCCCATCAGGTTGGTATGGCCGTAGTTTGCGAGCAGTGGGGCAGGGGCCTCGTGAGGTACTGCGCCTGGGATTTCGTAATTATCATCTCCCTGGCTATCGTGGCACGCGAACGGCATGATGCTCTCGATAAGCAAGAGAACCGTGTCCTTCGTGGCGGCCTCCCTGAGACGGGCGAGCAATTTGACGCAGAACTCGTCGGACCAATCGTGAATGATAATCTTGAGGAGGAACACGGACGCGTCGTTGTGAGGCTGTGGCTTGAAAAAGTCGTGTGCTGGCAGCGAAAGGTGTTCAAGAGGACGTCCATCAAAAGATCAGGGACAACGGATCGACTTACCCTCGAGTTGTACACGACCCGACTTGATGGCGTCTGGGTGCTTCTCCGCCCATATCTTCACACAAACAGTACTGTGAGATTGATTACCAAATGATAACAACACGAGAGGAACGCACAGTTCTGCCTTCCTCGATGACACTAGGAAGGTCCTGAACGACAATATTGAGCTGAGGGAAATGAGTGGCGAGCGACATGGACGACGTTCCAATGCCACCTCCGACGTCGACCACTAGGGACTCCGCCGGAAGGCTCTTCCAGTTGAAGGCTTTACACAAGAAATCAGCTCGCTATTCATTACAGATGATATTGACTTTCTTACCACCAAGAATGGAATCGGGAGGCTGGAGCGCCTGAACCCCGTGCATACCAATAGAAAAACGCTGGTGACGGAATGATTCTTCCGGTCTCTCATAAAACTCCCAGAGTGTCTGGTCAGTGTTGAGAGCACGAGAAAATGGAGATGCGTGGGGATCTCCGGATTTTCTCGTTTTCGGATCCTCCAGTACCTCCCACGACCATGCAGCCGCCTTGAATGCTTCATCGAGGCTACGAGTCGTGGTCAGGGAGGAAAGCTCGTAGACTATATAGTATCTCAAACTCACTGGTGCGAAAGAAAGGCGGGAAATCCAAAAGTCCCGATATGCTTGGATTCGGGCCTATTATCACGAGCGGTCAGCACTGTGGTAAACATGCAGGTCTGAGTGCAAGACATACTTTGCGATAATCTCTGTGCTGGGCTTCAATGTGTCGAGCATACTGGAAATGCGTGTGTTTGTAAACACGTCCGGTGATACCTCTCGGTATACATGGTTCGTGGCCAGGAAACGGAGGAAACGGCCTGGATAAACAAATCCAGTAAGCTCCCAAATGACGACTCAGCACCAATAATATGACCCCTCACCGAGTTTGAGAGGATCCTGGCCATTCTTTGCCGCGATGTCCTTGACGTGCAATCCCTAAGAAATCCGCATGTTGAGTACTAATCCGCCCTAGATCAATACGATTACTTGCCTCAGGTCCAGCTTCGCGTAGAATTTCGGTTATGTTTGCTGTGCAGTCGTCATCGCTAAGTGCAAGGGGAGGGGCGCAGATAGTAGACCTAACTTACACTCAAGGCAAGCACGAATGGCCGCAGCCCTAAAATGCTGTATAACACACGTAAGAGTGTTTGACTCACAATGAAGATGCGATGGAGATTGGAAGAACGCACGCCGCCGGCAAAATGATAAAGGGTAACTTGAGGAGGTGTGAGGATAGCGGCGAGGTGAACGGCTGCAGCACTGGCGATGTTGGCGGCCTCTGCGACTTTCGGGTCCGCCCTGAACGCTTCGGTTGGTGGAGAGAACGGCTCATTCAACTCAGGCAGCTTCGTTCCATTGGCGGCGCAAGTTTGCTCAATGACATCGAGAGATTCACCCATATGGGCCAAGAGTTGGCGTGCCACTTGTATAGAGGTCATCGTTGCTTCGTGGAGTGGATAAATGTGTTGAGAGGAGGGATCACTAATTAGTGCGTCGGGTCCTGGGCGGTCGAGGCAGAGTTGAACTTATAGGCAACCGACCATCATATAATCCAATTGATTGAGAATGCGATTTCCAGCCGACAACGGTCAGACGTAAGAAGGGTGTCTCCACTAGTGAGGGCCTCGGTGAGCGAGGATCAGTTTTAGACATCGTAAGGGACAAATGGGTAGCATGCAGGGGGGGCTGCGCACACCGAGGTTGCCAGTACGTGCCTGGAACATGGATCAGACATGTTTCGCATGAACATCTCCAGGTAGCGAAGGCATATCGATGGATTGGCCGAGCCGCATACCCGAAGCAACGCTGGGATGTTGGTATAACTTGAATCCGAGTCCATGGTCACAATCAGCCACATGTCTGACCGGAAATATAGCTTTCCTCAGTTCATTTAATTATACGTTGAAAAGCGAAAGTCTGCGAAAGTTCTACCTGGAATCGCGTGCACTTATGAGCGCATAAGTAATAGCATAGCAATCACTGTGAGGCGAGGGATACATACCCGTAGTACCAGGAGGCCCGGGTACTCGCGCCAGCCGTCCCCCCGCGTAGTTATCTCAATGGAACGACTGTCTTCCCGTTGTATAGATCTGACTGTGGGAGACTACCGCGTAGTAGAGTACTTAGGTCAGCAGTCTAACGAGGAGGAGCAGGGAGGAGCCGTAAGTTGGTGGAGTGGCGCCGGAGTCACGGTGTGGGGAAGCTGGCGGGCTTTGAATTTCAATTAGTCAGCCAGTCGTTCGCGTGTTCGCTGCTCAGGCCGTTTCCGCAACGTTTCCGAGTCCCTCGTCGTGAAACTTCAAGTGAAACTTTGCGTCAGGTTTTCAGTTCAGTTTTCATACGGTATCTCTCATATTTTATGCATATCGTTTGATCTACCATGCGATAATTTCTCGCTCGCACTCCTCTGTGCAGCTGACACATCGGTTAGCTTTGATTTTGCATCGAAATCTTGGACCTCTGCTTGCCCATTGATTGGTCCATCCGTATGGACCACCATTGGACCTTCCACTTCCGCCTGTCGTGGACTCTGCCCATAGTCGTGTCGCATGACTTGCTCGCGGAAATCGTTGGTGGAAAGTCTACTCTATGCACCGGAAGTGCTGACCAATGGATTGGGATGAAGTTTTCCATCCTAGTGGACCAAATAGCCCCGGTCGTCACATCCGCGAAGCTGATAATGCCTTGACAAGGGGTATATAACGCACGCAGAAGTTGCTGTTTCTTGACATTCATTCGCCTTTGACCCGAACAACAACATGAACGAGAAGACACTGCGCTCTTTGGAAAGTACGTCGTTCTCTATCAATCTACGTCTATAATATTGGTTCTCAGCCTTGTTTGCTCAGCTGAATGCGACGACTGCCTCGAGGCTAAGTTTGGAGACACAGGCATACCTGGGGCCATATTTATTGCTCTTGATAGGGACGGGTCGACGATCTATTCAAGGAACATGGGAACTAGGGAGGTCAACAGTGCTCAAGCTATGACCGATGACACTGTGAGTACTGCTAGTATATCCGCATATGTACTATGGACGAGGGACGCTTGCTCATGTTATCTGCAGATGTTCTGGGTAGCTTCTTGCGTGAAGGTCTTCACGGCCATGTCCGTCATGAAATGCGTCGAACAGGGGCTCGTTACTCTAGATGCAAATATTCTAGAACATGTGCCCGAACTCGCAAAGCAGCCTGTGTACGTTTTTTTTTTATCTTGTTACCTCTGTATCTTGCGCCGTGAGAGGTTTTAACCTCGGATGACAAGACAGCCGGCAACCCACCGATGAACCTGGAAAACATACATTTAGTCCTCGCACGGAGCCTATAACCCTCCGAATGCTCATGACGAACACGGCGGGTGTAGGCTATCCTCCCGGTGAACTTTCATCCCCAGAGGCACTCGAGGACCTCGCTACCGGCAAGGGGCCATGGGCCCAAGCCAAAGTGGTACGCCTCCTTTTGGAACAGAAAGTCACCACTGTTACGAAAGCCGTAAGTGCTAACAATCTCGGACTTGTAGGAATTCCACGCTGGCGGACCCTTGAAATTTCAACCTGGAGAGAAGTGGGAATATGGTGTGCGTTCTTGCTCAGTTTTTATCTATCTACGCGAACGCTGATTATGTCATTACTGAGTAGGGATCTATGGAGTGGGCCGGCCGTGTTGTCGAATCTGTCACAGGCCGGAGGCTAGGAGACTTTATGGCTGAACACATTCTTGAGCCGTCTGGCGTTCGCGACATCACGTCGGTCATCTCCTTTCACCTCCGTGTCCAATCGTGACTGAACACTCATATGGGCGTTCTTAGCTTCGAGCTGACGGAGGATCAGCACTCTCGCATGGCCGCTTCTCACTTCCGCTGGCCAGATGGACGCGTGAATGCTCGAGCGAAATTTTACTCGGACAATGTTATCGATCATTGTGGCGGTTCGGGCTTGTACGCTACTGCGCCAGACTTCGCTCAAGCATTGCTCCCCCTCATCAATGGTGGTGTTCACCGTAAGTCTTCTTTTTACTATATATCCTCCTCTCGCCTGGATTGCACACTAACCAGGCACGGATTCCATGCAAATAGCGATCACCGGAAAGCGTATTTTGGAATCCGAGACAGTCAGAGATATGTTCGCTGGACAGTTGACCCCAGAACAAGTTCTTTGGCTCGATCGTCCAAGTTTGATCTCAGAGCACATATTTTCTCCAGGCGTTGAAAAGCAATGGGGGCTGAGTGGTCTGTTAATGCCTAAGGGGTCTCCCACTGGCAGAGGCGAGGGCACGGCGACCTGGTTCGGTAAGCTAGCCAGTTGATACTTCGAAAATAGACAGACTCTAATCATGGTCATGCTGGCTATGTTCCTCCCTTAGGAGGTGCGAACACGCATTGGATGGCCGATTCTACGAAGGGCATTGTCGTAAGTGGGCAGTCCCATGAGATTTACTTCACTGTTCAACTCGCTCATTCCGTCATAACGCAGATGGTAGTTTTCGCTCAAGTGTGAGTCTGACTAGTCTTATCAGTACAATCATCCTTTCTGATCTAGTGATCTCTCAGTGTCTCCATGCCGTTAGGAGATGAACGGCTTCTGACTCTAAGAGACGAGTTAGAGAAGAGCATCTACCAGAGATTCTGATGTTGTCAGCAATCGTACCGTGCGCCCAATTTACGGGGTACGAAACATCTTCTGCAGCAGTTCTCTTTCCCATTGCAGATCTCTATGATTCCATCTCGTTGTCTGATCGGATCTCCACGTATGCCGTCCTCACGTGAAATGATCTGAGTGGTATCTTCTCTTCTGTTGGTGTCCGCATTCGGACCGGCTTTCACTCTGAGCCGAGTGCTAAGCCCTTAAGCTAGCTCAGGCTTCAATACTGTCCATGACCGGGATCTGAAAACTTGTTTTCACTTCTGTACTCTGCTCTCCTAACTCTCTCGATCTCCTTCGGCTTTCACACATGCAGAGTACAGGATGTCCGCTACAAAACTAGCAAGTCTGTAATTTTTTTGAGAGCGAAATGTGGGTCAACGTCGCTGCCGGTGACGAGCACGATTTTGCCGCGCCAAATTGGCGCGAGGCACGGTCGACGGTCGACAATGACTGATACTTAGTACTCCTAATGCCGTTGCCACGACTCAGACTTGGGCTGAGTCATGTTCACACGATTCCCTGCAGGACTAGTGTCCAAGGCTCCAAATTGGACTCCGGAAGTTCGATTCGGACTAGGTTTGATGACTGAGGCCTCCAACCTGTGCACTCATGGAAGACGTGGCATACACCGGCCCCCCTGTTGAAAAGGCGTAGCTCATCATGTACTCGTTTCGTTGAAGAAGATTCCTGACGTGGAACTTGGACGTCGTCAGACCTCGGGTGGGTTCCGGTGGGATCTCCAGATGTTGCCCCTATTGCTAGTAATGCGGTTCCTTGGCTGGCCTATATAAGCAGTTCAGACGATAACATCGCCTCGCGGAGATTTGTCCCTTTTCACATCCGACCGAGACCTTTAATCATTCTTGCCGCCGAGATGAACGACGAGATGTTGCGCTCATTGCAATGTATGTCTTCCCAATGATTTTGTTGCAGATCATTCATTCCGAATTTTGTTTGCTTAGTTGAATGCGACAGACTCCTCGACGCCAAGTTCGGAGAAACAGGCCTACCTGGCGCTCAGTTCATCGCTCTCTCGAGGAACGGGACGACACTTTACTCGAGATCGTTAGGAACCAAGGCCATCAATAGTGCTGAACCTATGACGGACGATACGGTGGGTAGTATCGCTTCTTACATTGGCAAGAGCCGTTGATCGCTCATTGTACCAACTTGTTGATCTGCGAATGATGTAGATGTTCTGGATGGCGTCATGCACGAAGATCCTCACCTCCATGTGTATCCTGAAATGTGTCGAGAAAGGACTTGTCACGCTCGATGAGGATATATTAGGGCATATACCCGAGCTTGCTAAGCAGCTTGTGTACGTCCGAATTTTCCTCCGACCGCCCCTTGCAGCCATATAATGACATTGACCGCCGTTGTATATTGGTAGCCGTCAAGATACGACCGAACCAGGAAAATTTGATCTCGTGCCTCGCAAAGGACCGATAACCCTTCGAATGCTCATGACGTTCACGTCTGGTGTCGCATTCCCTTCTACAGACCTTACTCCGGAAGTTATAGAGTTTATCGCGACGAGCATGGAGCCGTATGTGCAAGCTAGAGTTGTGCGTGTAGTCCGTTTTCATTGTTGAGGAATGCCGTTGCTGTGGTTTTGGTCTGGGAGAGCTGATGGATGCGCTAGGAATTTCATGGTGGCGGACCTTTGAATTCGCAGCCCGGAGAGAAGTGGGAATATGGAGTGAGTAACGATCCACGACTTCTCTGGTGTGCACTCGAGTGATGACGGCACACTTGTGGGATAGGGCGCTCTTGAGTGGGCCGGCCTTGTTGTCGAATCCATTACAGGCCAGAAGCTGGGAGATTTCATGAAAGAACAGATCCTCGAGCCATGTGGCGTTCACGACATCAAGTCCGTAAACTTCCATCTCTACCATAGACCCACATTAATGAGCCCTCATAGCTTCGAGCTGACAGAAGACCAGCGCTCCCGTTTCACGGGTACACATTTCCGCTGGCCTGATGGAAGGGTGACTGTACGCGGAAAGCTCATATCGGACGACGTTGTCGATCATGTTGGGGGTTCGGGCTTGTACGGGAGGGGAGATGAGTATGCTCGAGCGTTGCTACCACTTGTTAACGATGGTGTTCATCGTACGTGCCTACCATGTCGTTCACCGTCCATAACACAAGTTCCATCTTCCATTCTTCTTTACTCGTCTCATTGCGCTCGTACCCTGTGCTGACACAAGGCCGCCACATTCACAGCGTTCACAGGAAAACGAATCCTAAAGCCGGAGACAGTTAAGTCAATATTCGAAGGCCAGCTCACCCCAGATCAGGCCGCTTGGCTCGAACGCCCGACGATAGCAGCGGGAGGTAAAGTTTTGTTTCCAAACATCGAGAAGCAGTGGGGGATGGGATGCCTGTTGATGCCGAAGGGGTCTAGTGTGACCGGAAGAGGGGAGAGGACGGGAACTTGGGAAGGTGCGCTTTAGTGTTGGGTCAGGTTGGAGCATGTGATTTCTTTTACTCACTGACTGTTTCTTTGACAGGCTGGGCGAACACGCATTGGATGGCTGATCCTACGAAGGGCGTTGTGGTGAGTCATTGTCAGTCAATGACCATGGTTTACTGACTCACGAGCCTGATGCTGTGCGCAGATGGTGGTTTTCGCTCAAGTGTGAGTGTTGTTTCTTTGGATTCATTAGAAATATGGAATGAGCTGACAAGGATCCAGTGTGCCTAATACGGACGAGAAGCTGGTCGCTCTGAAGGACGAGTGGGAGAAGACGGTTTACCAAGGATATGATCTGTTTGTCAAGGGAGGCGCATAGTTAGTGCAGGGGATGATTGTGGAAAGGCAATGACGGTTGCATATCCATACGAACGGTTATGGTCCCATTCGAATTCCTAAAGAGCGTCTTGAGCCTGAGGCATGGAAGGTGTGTGCCACGGTGGCCCCGAAGAGAACTTGAAGAGCGCAAGAAGAGCGCGACAGGAGCGCGAGGGGTTCATTCATTGATCGAAGAGGTTGCAAAATTGTTCGATCAACAGATTACCTTGCTTGACAAGGTCCTTCCAACCCCCGTAATTGCACTCGAGAACGATCCCCCACACAAACATACGCAAACAATGATGTGTGGCGCTGTTGCCACACCGCCCTCCCTGTACATTCAAGTTCGACCACATCCTGTGCGTTGCTCGAGGTATGTAGTGGCCTTCTGAATGACGGTTGTAAGCACTCATAGTTAACTTTCAGGTGCTTGGTACTGGATATCTTGCTCTATGTATCCCCTCCATTGTTTTTTTTTTCGCTGTTCTTGTCGCGTTCTCCTAGGTGGCGGTACAAAGGAACATCAATGTGGACCATGCTCAGCCTTCTCAGTTGTCTGAATGCTTGGCTCATACGGGGTATCAATTGTCGAGGTTACTCTGGCCCACGATTGTACTAGGTCTGTCCGCCTGGAGTCCTCAAACACACGGAGTCTATCTCCACCCTCGACTACCATACAAACCCTCCCTCTTAGGTCTCTTCAGCGCAATCACGGATGTCAAGGCCTCCCTGAAGTCCATAATGCCCTGGGGTCTAGCATTCTATCCGCATTATACCATTCGGTTAGAAGACGACTCCAATATTCAGTGCAGAGCAAATGTTCGAATGTAGGATTGGTGCCACCAAATGTCAAGAATCCGAGGCCGCACAAAGTAAGTAGTGGTCTAAAAGAGACGCTATGGTAGCAGATATATTGAGAAGAACCGTTTTGCGCGGTCTGGGACAGAGCCGCGAACCCACAATCAACCAAAGGATTCATTGGCCCCTCTGAGCGATTCGCAGCAGGAATAGTGTCGCCAATTGAATGTGAAGAATTGAATTTGAGAGGCCGCACAAAGTAGTGGTCCAGAAGAGGTGGTATGACAGCAGGTATATCCCGAAGCACCGTTTTGCGCAATGAGACACAGCCGCGAACCCATATATTCTATCAGGCCTCCGAGCGAGCCGCAATGCGTTCGCCGACGATCTCAAAGTCCTACCCTGAGTTTGACTCCAAGAGGCTCTTTCATTGCTCTTTCTTCAATTTCTCTGTGAATGGTTGTTCTCCAATAGCCGTTGACCGCATAATCTATACCAGTGAGAACGGGGGAGCTCCAAACCAGTTTCCCAAGCAAGGTGGCTGGTGCCGAAGGCAACGCTCCCCCAGTAGATGTACTTCACTTGGAAAAGAGATCTATTCCGAGCTGCTCTGCTGTTTCCTTGCAAAACGGTTGGCCTTGTCCTTGCAGGAAGCCGAAACAGGAACAATAGCGGCACGCGACACCGAATCAGGCACTGGCGCATCGGCACCGGCGGGATAGACAAACAGAACCAAACAGAGCGCCATCGGAGCGCAAGCTGGCTTCATCATCATCCACGACGACGACGACGACCTTCAGCTCACTGTTCAACACAACGTGCCTCCCAGAGACCTCTGCCTCACCATCTAGTGCTTGTAAATCTCCAGCTTTGTCCCGTAAGGCCGTGCCACTCCGATGCGCGAGTCCAACTTCGCCTTCCCTGTCCAGAACAGGGCTTCTGTCTGCATCTCATCCCAGCTCTACGACAGACGAGGTCAGCCAAAAATCCCGGCAATGTCGAGGATATTCTGCGATGGGGACGTTATTAACGATCTTTGGTTGTAGCACTCGACACAAATGCGCCTCTCCCACTGTTCAACTCGCTTACACATCTTACCTATCTCACCGCGACGTCGCCCCGCATCCGCGAGATCATGACCATGGATGGCGGCCTCGAGCGTCTTGTACGCCTGTTACACGATTTCTGTATCTCACCTCCGCCACCCGAGAATCCAGCTATCTTATACGGCCTTCTGCCTGTCCATCACCACCCGCCACAGCCCCAACCAACCCTGAACCCCAAGTCTTTCGACCGACACGCAGCCTATCGTTTCTCTCTCGCATTTCAATGTGTCGTCAACATCGGCGTAAGAGGCTCGGAGCCGATTAGGAGTAGGGTTGTCCAAGCAGGCACCCTAGATGTCGTCGGGTGCGTTCTCGAGGCATGGCTCGCGTCGAAGGGTTTTGCCACCGGCCCGAGTTCGAGTGCCAGTGGATTACCGAGGGAGACCAGAGAACAGAGAAGTGCGAGGAGAGCTGCTCAGAATGAATTGAGGAACAGGGAGCAGGCGAGGGAGCAGGCGGCGGATTTGGCGAGGGCATTGGAGAGGCAGCAGTTGGAGAGGCAGCAGTTGGCCACACGACGGCGTATAGCAAGACCAGATGAGGTGAGTCATATATCTCTTTTTTTCTGGAGAGTTTTGTTCCTCGCGTTTCAATCTCGTTATATCTTGCCTACGAGAGTTCTCGTGCGCTCTCTGTCATCGGCCGGCGCCATTGCGTGCCCAATCAGAGTGCCGGCATTGCCCTGTGTACGCCACAAACCCAAACCAATTGATTTTGGCAGAGGGATAGCTGGGCTACTGTAGTCATGTTGTCTTCAGGCTTGTCGCAAAACCTGTCTCATGAGTCGAGCTTAAAGGCGTCCGCCTTGTCCTCCTCGGAGCCTCTTCGGCCCAATCTCTGTCAGCAGTCGGCATCGCGTCGTGCGCGTCCCCTTCTGTACATCTTTCGGAATCGGTTGAACACGATGCTAACGTTGACTCCATTGCAGGATGACGATTCCATGGACGCCGAGCAGCCACCCGCATCTCGCACTCGTACTGCACGGCCCACCGATGTGACTCTCGCCGGCCCCTCGCGCCCAAGTATTACCACCACAACCGTCGACCAACCTAGCTCCACCGACACTTCTACCGAAACATCTACGAACTCTACACCTATAGGCTCTAACACTCCTACCGGCGCCGTCGAGATCCCTGGCCGAGAGCGCAGCGGGACTATCATCGCCCGCCCCGTTTGGGATCCTTCTCGCCGCCCAACTGTCCACACACGCCATCGCGAACGTGAAATACCATCAGCTAGCACGAGCGCCGATACGAGCGCCAACAATTCGAGGCCTGAGACGGAGACAGAGGATGATGGTGACGGGCTTGAGGGAGACGTTGATATGATGGATGGCGAAGGCGAGGATCGATCACAGGGTCCACTCACTGACACATCACCATCGCCGGAACCAATGGCACGTACAGCGACTCAAACATCACCGCACACTACGAGACGGGCAGTGGGCATCGTATCGGATACGACGCCGACGGCGGCTTCGCTCGAGGTCAACGCGGACGCACATATCATCATTAATCGTGATCAGGAGATCGGCGTCGGTGGTGTAGGCATGAATGAAGGCGTAGGCGTGGAGGAGGGTATCGTTAGCCTGGAGCCAAACGACGATTTCGCGATGGGTGCACCACCGGGCGCTCCAGGGGCTATTGAAACTACCACCATCAATATGACTCGGACGGGGACCATTCGCAGAGGGAGGCATGGCGTCGATGTCACACCTCGGGCTGGGAACGTTAACCTGCCGATTGGAACCCCACGCGACAGCGACGACGGCGATACAGCGGAGGAGGGAACTGTCCGCCCGAATGCCCCGCCTCATCGTATCCATCCCCTTCCTCCCATCGCTCGTCCCAACAATCCCGCTCCTCCAGAAACCCGTCCTGCTCCCCTTCTACTCCCCCGAACTGCCCACGTCCATCACCATCACCACCACCACCATCACCGCCACGGTAACGGAGGCGTTGAGAAGGATAGTGATGGCCCGTATCGGGACGAGGACGTGCTGCTGAGCCTACAATTACTTGCCTATCTTAGCAAATACCCTCATGTCCGACAAGCGTTCTACAAGCCTCGGGCGAGTTTCCACCCAGCAACAGTCGGACTTCAACGCGCACCTCCGTCAACGTCGAACGCTACTGTTGCGTCTTCCGCTTCCAGTATCGCTCCATCGCACAAAGAATCCACCAGCGGTTTCTTCAAAGCGTTCGGCCGTGGGAAGGAGAAAGAGCGTGCACACACGCCTGCTGGGCCATCCCTCTCACCGGCTGCTGCTGCGACCACGCCATCGGCGCCGCAAAGGCAGACGAACGTCTTTTCCCTTGTGGAGAGGTTTACGTTCAGACCTAGCTCAAGCGAGAGTGACCTGCCAAATCCTCCCCCTAGTTTACCGCAGGAGATTCAGTATTGGGCTGGTGTCATCATGCGGAATGCTTGCAGGAAGGACGATAGCAGAGGTGGCATTCGGCAATGTGCCAATAGTACGTCATCTTCTCTTCCACTTCTCTGGTCGTTACCTTTGCTCACTTTGGGCAATCGTCTAGTGCTGTGCGGTCGATGGGAGTCATACCCTCGAGAGTTCGCGAAGTGTCGACGCTGCCGAAAGGCGAAGTATTGTGGTAAAGAATGTCAGTCGACCGCCTGGAGCGAAGGCCACCGTTTCTGGTGCAGCGCCAAGGACGGTGATGACGAAGCCACAGAACAACCGGACGCCGCAGTCCCCTCCGCCCGTCCATCTTCTTCCCGTCCAGCAGCTGAGCAGCTCGCAGAACTCCTCGGTGTACGACCAGACATGGGGACGGGACTTGGTCTCACACCGCCCGGGCCACCGAGACCCGCACGGGTCGATCGCGAGCGAGAGAGGGATCGGGAGCGCGTGAGGGAAAGGGTCGTCGCTACTACCGCCGCTGGAGTCGATTCGACACAGATGGCGAGAGCGATGGCGCAAGTGTTTCGGAATATGGACGGCCCCAGAGCATGGACAGCGGCCTTGAGAGACAATGCGGACGAGCCAGCAGCCAACCCTAGGAGGCCAGGCGCACCCGCGCCTGTTACGTGGAATGCGCGTCCTGGAGCTGCTGAGCCGGGATGGGGAAGGGCGGTCTATGAGCCTTCGCCGTTTGGGGCGACGGGTGCTGGCCCGAGTGGTCAACAAGGCGGCACTGTTGTACCGCCACAGGGCCAGGTTCGGGAGAGGAGACGTGGTGCCGAAGATGAATTGGATAGGTTGGCGGTTGGTCATGGGCGGAGGCGGGCGGAGACGATGCCGGGTGGGATAGGTTCCCTCATCGATGCTATCGATGCTCCTACTCCTCTGACTCACGAAGAGATAAGTCGTTTCTTCGCACAGCCGCGGCAGCCTGATGTGGCTACTGCGGCCCCTGGAACACAAGCGGAGAATCCCAGGAGGGGGCTTGAGGTCGAGGTTGCGATTGCAGGGCCATCAAACGCGAGGATCATGGGTATGCGAGGTGACACTGATGTCGGTATGGACGATGAGTCTTTCAGGATGGGAAGGGACGATTTTCCCATGGACGTCGATTGAGCTCGTTTTCGTCTGGCCCCATCTGTTTCTTTCACTCGTTTCGTGGTTATGGTTGCTGTGCATGGTGTGTCAGTCATTTTTTTGGATGTGTTTGTTCGCTCGGTCGATATGGCGATGGAGCAGAAATGTCGATACTTATATCCCCTTCTCGCGATCTTCGTCCGTGCACAGACCATTTCATTCTTTGACATATCTGTCCATTTGTTCCCTGGGGTTCATTTGTCGACGCGTTCGTTGTTTTCTCATTTATGTCGCATATTCTTTCATTTTAATCCAACCAGTGTCTATATTTGCACTCCACTGTCCTTCGTTTTTCTCTATGTCTCACACTTCTCTCGCACACGTCCTGTCATCCCATCCCATCCCACTCCATCATCTCATAGTCTCTTGTCTGTCTGTCTCCTTGCCCCACATTCACACCACACACCCTCGCTCATTTCTTCCGTGCCTATCTTGTGTTGTCATTATATCTTAAGCGTCCATCTGCGCTGCACATCCACATCCACATCCACATCCATACCACGCTCACTGTTCACTGTCTACCGCCGCTGTCACCTACGCATTCCCATCCCCATCCCCATCTCCACCCTCCTCAGATCCTCATATTATCTCTTGTTTGTTTGTTCGTTCTGTTTTTACATTTTGAGTTGACTCTGACAACACAGTCTCGCTTGCATCATTCCCCATATATATCATGTCCTAGCCCCTGTCCTTAGCTTCAGTCTTCGCAAACTCCTGCAATTCACACAATTTCGCACATCTCTACTTCGTTCTTCTGGTCTTGGTCTCGGTCTCGCCGTACTTGAGCATCATGAAGGCACACTCGACATGGACTTGGGCGCCCGAAGGATCGTGGTAAGCAAAGGCGCGTCGCCTAGATATACAGTACGTTGATGATCTGGATCTTATCCACGTTCTTGAAGCTACGATGTGCATCTTTTCCTTCACAAGTAATGACTCTGCTGCACTAACAGGCCTCCTATCCTCCGAATCCTTGGCACACGTTACACGGCCACAGCTTATTTGACCCCCAAGCTCATGATGCTCATAGGGGACCCACACATGGTATATCGGCATCTGAGGTGTGGACGATCCCAGGCAGGAGACGTTCAGGAAGGGGTGCGCATTTGTGAAGGATTCGGTGCAGGAGAGGACTCAGATATGTCCAAAGAGGCTGAAACGGAAACGGAGTTGGTTCGAGCTGCTGCCAGTGGGCATTCAAAGTTTCGCGGACCTGTTTCAAACCTGTCTGGTCTTGTACTCATCCATGATATGTTCGCCTGCGTTTTCACATCATGTGGCTATTGTGATGTAGATTGATTACTGCACTTACTGTACAGGATAAGTGCCAGTCCGAACATGCCCCCCTCGAGGCAAACCTGAGGCGAACCGAGCTTGAACCGAGCTTCTTTGTTCTTGATGGACGCCCTGTTCCAGGAATCAGTCCTCTTTGCTTCGCGTGAACAAAGCACCCAGAGCAACGGCGCACCAATGACGATATTCCTATTCTCGACGTCCATCATCAACCCCGGCTACCCTCCCCCTGGCGATTTTTCCGTCTTCCCCCTGCAGATCTCCCATTACATGGCCTAATGCTGATTTTCTGGATAGCGTGTTCACAATAGTTCGCGCATCTCTCTCGATAAATCTGCCGATCCCGCGCATCCCCTAAACCATCGAATAGCGCCCCTCCGCGGGGCTCAAGCTCGCGAACGATATGTTCCACGTTCGTGAGCTCTCTCTTTTGTGTTAATCGTTCATTATATCGTGAATACACGTCTTGGAAAGGCTGGGCTCACACGACATTACTCAAATAAACCAGTGGTCGTGGTATCGCAACAAGCCCACTAAACGCTGACACGGGGTCCTCCTCTCATGGTCCTTGTCTGCGCCTCGCTAGAGCATGCTTTTATCTCCAAATGTCTCTGACTTTCAGAGTGGAAAATGATATGAGCTGAGAATGGTAGCGCCCATCTCGGTCATGTTCAGAAAGAATCGAACGCTGATAGAAGAACTTGTGGATCGGTAAGTCAATATAGGAAACCTGGGTATGTCCCCTCCTTCCTTAAGCCTGGAGTCATTCACTGATGTCGACAACGAGTATTAACCTTGCGCAAAGGCCCTCTCAACGTGAACGAAGGATTCAGGCTCTGGAGACGCTCATCCACAGCTGAGCTGCAAAGAGGCTAGGTCAGAATCCACGCTTCCGAAATGCCATCCCTTGTTGAACTCTACTACTCCCCTAGGCTGGAAAGTTTGCGCCTGTATAGAGTCAATGCAACGAAAAACATGAATTCACGTGGCTTGGAACAAATAGTTATGCCACGAAAGAGGAGCATGTGCGGAATGCAGCCGGGAAGGCCTCAATGAGGACGCAATAGTGAGGAAATGACACTGATTCGACTCAGAGACACTCAAGAGAGTTCCGCAGGCTCACACTTTTGATAGGGATCAGTAGATCAGGTATAGTGTGCCATGAACTGCTTCTATCAAAGTCCAGGTTTGTGACGCCGAATGAACATAGAGCTTGTGTCGGGTGCACTTGGGTCAGTCTAAACTACCCCCCATCGCTCATCGATCTCTGTATATTAGGCTGAATCATTCGTCTACCCAGAAAATTCTCTTCTCGTCAGTGAAGGAAAGTTTTAGACCACCATATAATGTGGCACTAAGTCTAATGCAAGGAGGCGTATATGCGCCTTTTTTGTCTCCACAAAAACACTCTACTGTGGCCAGATAGGTATACCCTCGTCTTTGTGCATGCTATGAGCCACAATTTCGTCAAAGATGACAACGGAAAAGACAACACGACCTTTTTTTCCTGAGCTGATTGTTTGAGTGGCGTGAGCCCCCGGAGACCTCTCCAGCCCCCATCGTATCTATGCCCAATCGCTGACCATAGCGACACAAGGTTTTTCATTCCGAAATATAAAGCCCTGACTACTCACCTATTTAACCGTTGCAGTATCTTCGATGCGCGTCCCCTCTGACGTCTATCGTCGAACACTGTATGTTGATGGCACTAAACCGCGTTGCGTTTCTGCGTGGGATATCGATGGCGCGCCGGAGATCACCGACGCGGGTCCTTTTGCTCGTGCACGCGCGGAGAATCGAACGTCGCCTTTCTCCCATCATCACCCCCGCGCCATCTTCCTCCCATCCTCCTCCATCTCAATGGGAGCCCTCAAGCGAGCCAGGAATGCGAGTCATTCAAGACCAAGATCAGTATGTCATATATGCACTATGATCTGCGCTCCTTCTGACACTTAGATTATCTAACAGAAAGCATTCGAAATCCAACGCCTCCCGGTAGAGCTTCTCCTTGAGGTGTTCGACATGGTCGCGTCAGTACCCATCTCTCGTTCTGGGCATCGTCGAAATGTCCTCGCAGAGGCTCCGTACAACTTGATGCATACCTGTAGATACTGGCGGGACCTCGTACTCGCACAACCACATCTCTTCTCTAATGTGCATGCCCCCCTTATACTTGAGGACGCCCGCATCGGGAACAAGTTCCTTCGGTTCCTACGCAATTCGATACGCCGAGCAGGCAGCCATCCCATTTCCATCTTCCTCGAGATCGATGCCGGCAAGCTCAACAGCAAGAGATCAATCCAATGGCATGTCCTCGATCAGCTACTCTCGGTGTCCACGCGCTGGGAAAACGTTTACATCTACGCAGGCGATGTTCTTCAGAATCATGTTCTCCGACCATTGCTTCCTGGTGCTCTTGCCAACCTTACAAGCCTTTACCTCGCAGACCAGTCCGGTCCCATCTTCCTACCGTTGTTCAGCGAGGCCGTCCGGTCGTCCGGAAGCCTGCGTCGCCTGAGCATCCGGCTGGAGCCGGATCTCCTGGACCACATACCCTGGGCCCAACTGACGCATCTCCGCCTCCTGTCGATCCACGGAGACGTAGACATCTCCGAACTCTTAAAGTTTTTTAGTAACTGCGTTGAGTTAACTAGCTTGGAGATATCGGCTTGCGACGCTGAGCCTCTACAGCCGGAGGGTCCGGTACTACCGATATCAATCCCAGCACTTTCCTACCTTGAGATTGGCCAAGTACTTCATGTCGAGTGTCTCGTCGACCTCGTTTCTCTAATACGATCTCCCGTCTTGCGAGTTTTGAAGGTGAGCACGAGCGACGAAGAGGCGCCCGATGTCGCAGAATCACTGGAGGATGACGATGACGAAGACGAGGACGATGAGGACGAGGACGATGAGGACGAGGACGATGAGGACGATGACGAGGAATATGATGGCGAGGACTGGGACGAAGACGACCTGGACCAGGACCTGTCTGCGAATATCGGTAGCTTCCTCTACGCCTGTGCGGGAACTCTCAAAGACCTCCACCTGTCTGGACACCTGGGTGTGGAACTGGCGCTCCGTGCTCTCGAAATCTTTCGAGACACCACTATCTACGTCAATAACCTTCGCTGGAACGTCTCGACTCTTTAGAACGAACACCGACGACGTGGAGATTGTTTGGGCCACTTCCTGACCGCCGACCTTCAAAATTTTTTTCAAGGCAGAGCGATGGAGGATCGGGGACGTATGGGCGTTCGGAGGGGGATTACCGCATCAGGTGAATCTCAAGAGGCGGGATAGAACTTCAGTGGCTTGCACGTTGGGTAACTTCAAGTTGACATACATTCATCTTTCCATGCCGCGTCCCTCTCTTCCACGTTCGCTAAGACTGGGTGTTCTTGTGAGACACAGGGCATGAGTGCTCTGGAAGAGTTGGGCTCTGTGTAGTTGTCTCACTGTTTTGGTCGCGTATCTCCTGTTTCTCGCTCTGTACTCTTATTGCATTGTTTTAGTTGCTATTTACGGAGTCCTCGCTTCGGGATATCTAGTTACTGTCGAGATCTCCTATATATGTCCTCATGCCAATTCATTCCCAGCTGTTATTCACTTCATTATCGGTTTTGAGGGGCCAGACAAAATCTCGCCACAGCAAGGGACGGGGCTTGGACGGGGCTTCACCATGATGGCCTTGTACTAGCAAGGCACGGGTTGGGCTCGGGACACGATCAAGGATGTTTGGCAGTCTGCGCATTTTCTATCAATGATCGACCCCGTGAATATCTTACAGTGCCAAGGTTCTAAAGAAACGCCGCTTAGTTGCCGCCCAACCTTTGTTCGCCGCTGGCACCGGAAGTTTCCGGAGCCACGGTGTCGCCAACACGCGGCATGTTCGTGTTCATTTCGTTCATCCGTACTACACATCCTCGATCCGTTCTGCCTCGACCCCTCCCTGCGTACTATCAGTTTGCGCAAATTACACACAACATACTGGCACTTCTGAATAACTACTCATTAGGGCTTGGTGAGCAAAAATTTCATCATTCGATCGGGATGGCGTGGCCATGGAGTCTCCACTGTGCCGTGCTCTTCACTGACGCAGAGCGTGTCGCCTTTGTCTACAGGTCGAATTATTGCCATATCAAGCAGATAAAAGAATTTTGAACCGTGTCCGCCCAGTACAGCCTCTTTGAAAATCTATCTTCCTGCGACTTGACACGACAACGGGTAGAATCCCCCCTTCACCTTTGTCCGACACCGTTCTCGCATATATAAACAACTGAATATGAGTGTACGTCCCTCCAACAATCTTCTCTCATGTCTTCCAGTCCCCACAAGCCCCTTACCTCCGCGCAGAACTTTAGCTCGGCGACCAAGGACTCTAAGTCGATCCGTGCTGTACTCCGTCAGGAGCTTCGTAACCGCGTCCAGTACAATGATGCCCGCGTGCTCCAACGTCTGAGGACACATGAGATTGACGACGACTTCGTATCTTGGTGCCTCGCATCCTTCAATGCTGACCCCGGGGTGCAGTCTTCCGTCCGGCACCTGCAGGAGTTGGAGAGGATCGCAGAGACTAGTGAGCGTCGTGACTCTCCCGACCAGCGCAAGAAACAGGAACTCGCTATGTATCATCACCTTGTAAGTGATCTCATTAACTTACGCATGCACAGTTTCTCATCGTACCCCAGCAAGTCATCTTTGATTTTATTCAATCATTTCCAAGGCCCTACCACGCCGCCATCACCACTCCTCGTCGATTCCTCCGTGTCGATACCGTGCGAAGTCCTATCCAGCACTATACTCTCGGTTTCCCAAACACTCGTCCCGACTTCTCGCTGATGGCTCCGGGTGCCAATGGGGATTCGACCGACTGGGGTGACCACGACGGTTTCGCCGAAATCAAGGCCACCAGCAAGCAAGGTCCTCATCCGCCTAACTCCAGGGATGAGACTATCCAAGAGATCGTGTATCAATCAGCAGACTTCGCTCGGCTCCATCTCTCCTCTCGACCTTTCATGCTCTACTCTGTTGGTCTCATGATCTATGGTTCCCGATTCTCCGTTGGCATCTTCGATCGCGACGGCGTTAGTATCTCTCCTGAAGGAGGCATGTGGACGGACACAGAGTATTTCATCCGTTTGGTTTGTAGTTTGACGTGGAACGTGACACCCACCGAACTAGGGGAGGATCCTACTGCCCGTAAGTGTGACCGCCGTCTGATGGATACTCTGGGGCTGCATGGCGAGGACTTTCCCTCGTTCATCATCGAACCCATCACCCCAGGGGGCGATTACTGGTGCACTATCGGTGAGCCCATGTGGAGCTCACTTTCCTTGCTTGGCCGGGGCACGATCATTTGGTGCGTACGCCGTTACGATCCGAAGGATAAATGTCTCCTTGGGCCCGAAATGGTCATGAAGACGTCCTGGCGTCAGAGCGGTCGAAACTCGGAGTCCTCCATCTATCGCGCCGTTCGTGGTACCAGTCACCCAGCACTCGCCGAATTCCTCACCGGTGGCGACGTCATCGACCCTCGACACGATCTCCTCGACTATATTCCAGCGCAACACATTATCACTGCTCACTATCTCCGAAATAACCTTACTCCCGTTGACAATGATCAGTCTCCCGTTCTGCACCGGTTGGTGTTGAAGACGATTGGGCGTTCAATCTGGACCTATACTTCGGACCTCGAGCTTCTTCGTGGAATGCTTGCGGCCGTTCAAGGTATGTATGATGTTGACTCATCCGAACTAGATAAGTACAGCTAACAATTCGCGTTGACACAGCCCATCAGTTCCTGTTTGAACAAGGCATTCTGCACCGCGATATAAGTGCGGGAAATATCCTTCTAGCCAAGGACCCTAGGATCGTCCAGCCCGGACGTGAGGGCTTCCTCTCCGATGTGGAGTTTGCTCTTGTTGAATGTGAACATCGCTTTGAACTGGAGATGTCACAGGCAGAGGCTATACGGAACCTGCGCGATGTGTCTGGTGACGAGGTTACGGGGTCAACTGCGAAGCGTGGAGCGACTATGACGGTATGCCATCTATCTCTCGTCATTATTTTTCGTAGATGTCACTCACCATGATGAATCCAATCACCCAGGGCACTGTTCAATTCATGGCCATCGAGATACTAGAGGCCATCGTCGAAGACAGGCCCATCGAACACAACGTCGAACACGACATCGAATCGTTCATCTGGGTCCTTGCATATGCGGTCATGCGGAAGGTCCTGAAGGTCACCGAAGCTCCTGAGACGGCGAAACATTCGGCCCGGAAGCGACTCGACGATGACTTCAAGAGGTCGTTTGGTAGCTTGTCGGTCGCAGATATCGCATCGTCTCGTACGAGTCTCTGGCCATTGGAGTTCATCATTCGCAAGACCGAGGATTTCTTCTTCCCCTATCTCTCCCGCCCGCTTCGTGATGTCCTCTTTCGTCTACGAGCGGGCTTGCGTTCCAGGATCGAAGCCCCAGGCTTCCAGAAAGTTACAACCCTTTTTGACGATGATGAATCACAAACTCCTGAAACGGTAGCACTGACACACGCCTGGCTCATCAAGTACTTCAACGGCGCCATTCGTGCGCTGGAGAGCGATCCGTCGCTGCAGAGATGATTGGTGTTTAGGCAGAACTGCTTATGGAAGGCGAATATATGGCTGAGGTCTTCTATGTAGAAATATGTTACCCTGTTCTGACGATCTGAGCGAATATATATATGTTTATGCGTCGTTTCTTTTTATTGCTTGAAAGGCGGGTCCCGCGAAATCAATGCTGTACCTGGTGCATGTGCATCGCTCTGGCCCTTGGTCCACCTTCCTTGTCGTTTATCTTCTAGGCTGATCATACTTCTCATCCATATTTCAGCAATCAATGATAGACCAAGAATTGGGAGTGCGCCCGGCTGTCTCTTTTTGCTTTATCTACCTCTACTTATTTCTAGGACAAGAATAGTCTCGCAGCGAACGGCGATGATCGGAGTGATTATTTTGGCAAAGCTCGGCTCGGCTACTTTTCTAGCAACAACCGTACCTTGATCCTTCGACGACATCGTAGGTCATAGACCGGGCAAAGGTGCCGAGAGTACGCACTCGACTCGGAGGTAGGATCGAGCTCGACGATTGGGCCGTGCGGACGATCGTATAGGTCACCAAGGACATGGGAGGGGATATTAGATTATATGTTGGATTATCCCGGAGGGGAATGAGAGGAGAGACATAACGGCGTGTTGTACTTGGACGTTGTGGTCGGAAAGGACTGACGCTACGTGTGTGGCGGTGGCGTCTTCATGAACCGAACGTCAGCCGCGGAAGTTTCCGGCGACTCTGTGCCGCATCGACAATGTTCGTGTTCATTTTGTGCATCCGTACCACACATCCTCGATCTGTTCCGCACTGACTGTCCCTCCACCCCTCCCTACGTATCATCAGTTTGCGCAAACTACACGCAACATACTAACACTTCCCGAAGTCACCTGTAAGGGCATGAGCGTGAGCAAAGTTCCATCATCCGATCGAGATGGCGTCAAGTTCATGGAGTCTCCACTGTGCTGTACTCTTCACTTAAGCATAACGTGTCGCTTTTGTCTACAGGCCCAGTTATTTCCATATCAATCAAATAAAACAAAATTTGAACCGTGTCCACTCAGTAAGTTCAGCCTCTTCGAAAACACTTCTTCCTGCGACTCAACACGAGGACGGGTAGAACCCTTCCTTCACCTTTGTCCGACACCCTTCTCACATATATAAACAACGGAATATGAGTGTACGTCCCTCTAACGGTCTCCTATAATTCTTCCAGTTCCCACAGGCCTCTAACCCCTGCGCAGAATTTTAGCTCGGCGACCAAGGACTCTGAGTCGATCCGTATTACACACCGTCAGTCGACAGACACAGAGTCCTGCATCGGCTTGGTCAGTAGCTTAACGTGGAACGTGACATGCACTGAACTCGGGGAGGATTATACTGCTCGAAAATGGGACAGCCGTATGACTGATCCTCTGGGGTTGCACGATGAGGACTTTCCCTCGTGCATCACCGAACCAATTGCCCCGGGATATCACTGGCGCACTGACAGCAAGCCCGTGTGGACTTCACTCTCCTTGCTTGGTCGTGGCACGATTATTGGGTGTGGATGCCGTTACGATGCTACGGAGAAACGTCTCCTTGGGCCCGACATGGTCATGAAGACGGCTTGGCGGCAGAGCGGTCGAAACTTGGGGTCCTCTATCCATCACGGCGCCCGTAATGCCATTCACTCCGCACTCGCTGAGTATATCGCTTGTGATGGCGTCATCTACCCTCGACGCGATCTCTTGGACGACACTCCAGCACAACGCGGCATCTCTGCCCATCTCCTCCACAATTCTGCTCCCGTAGACGAAGCTAAATCCCACGTTCTCCACCGGTTGATGTTGAATACGATCGGGGGTTCTGTCTGGACTTATACTTCTGACCTAGAGCTTCTGAATGGGTTGCGTTCGGCCGTGCAAGGTGAATTGTGTGAACTCAACAGAAGTAGGTCTATGAGGCTAATGATTTGTCTTTGCATAGCACACCAACTTTTGTTTGACCAAGGCATTCTGTACCACGACATAAGTCCGGAAAATATTGCTCTCATGAAAGACCCTAGAAACCTCCAGCCTGGACGTGAAGGTTTCCTCTCCGATCTGGAATGCTTTCTTGTCGAAGGTGACCCTCGCTTTAAATCGGAAATGGATCATGCAGATGCCATACAGAACATACGCGATGTGTCTGGCGATGTGCCTCCGAATTCTGTAGCGCATGTTGGGGCTATTAGGACGGTTAGTTACACAATTCTCGCTTTGTGGCTTCGTAGACGTCGCTCACACCGAGTTCGCTCTATCACCTAGGGCTCAGTTCACTTTATGGCCATCGAGATACTGGATGCTATCGTCGATGAGAGGCCCATTGAATATAGCATCGAACACGACATAGAATCGTTCATCTGGGTCCTTGCATACGCAGTCATGCGAAAGAGCCTAAAGGTCACCGAAGCTTCTGAGGCGGCGAAACATTCGGGCAGGAAACAGCTCGATGCTGACTTCAAGCAGTCGTTTGGTAGCTTGCCGATCGCAGAGATCGCACTGTCTCGTAGGAACGCCGGGCCCTTCGATTTCATCATTAACGACAAACAGAAATTTCTTTCTCCCTATCTCTCCGGCCCCCTTCGCGATCTCCTTGTGTTTCTACAGACGACCATACGGGACAAATTCCATGCCCCAGTTGTCGAGTCGATTAGGACTGTTTATCGACGCGGCGGGGTACGACCTCCTGAGACTGTAGTACTGACGCACGCTTGGCTCATCGACTACTTAGACGACACCATCCAAGCTCTAGAGAACGATCCGTCGCTGCAGAGATGATTGATGTGTAGATCCGAAACTGCTCATGGGTCCCAGTGTGGGGCGAATATAGGGTTGAGGTCTTCTATGTAGAAATATGCTTCCCTGTTCTGACGATCTGAGCGAATATATATATGTTCAAGCGTTGTTTCTTTATACTGACCTAGAGGCGGATCCCGTGCAAGCCACGCTTTGAATGATGCGTGTGCATTGCTCTGGCACGTGGTCCACTCTTCTTGTCGTTGATCGTCCAGGATAACTATGATTCCCGTCCATAGATTTCAGCAAGCACCGACAAACCAAGGATTGGGGGTGCGTCTAGCTGTCTCTTTTTGTTTTATCTATCTCTATTTCTTATTTCTAAGACAAAGATAGTCTCGCAGCGAACGGCGATGATCAGAGTGATCATTTTGGCAGAGCTCGGCTCGGCCATTTTCTAGCAACAACCGTATCTTAATCCTTCGACGACGCCGTAGGTCATAGAACGGACAAAGGTGCCGAGAGTAAGTACTGTGGTTTTTCGCGCACAAGTTCATGTCCCGTGTCCCGTGGGGGTCGTGAACGAACTTGTGCCCCGGGACCGTCTCGTACCGCCGACCCGCGATGAACATGCAAACGGGACGGTACACAAAATTTCAAGAAATCTGAATATATTATATTGCGTTCAATTTGGCCTCACCAAGGCGTCTGAGGTGGAATTTTGGGTTAAATTTTGCTGTTGTGTCACCTGTTTGCACAGATGCATAGGATGCGTAGCCTTAAAGTTGTTATCGAGCGCGATATCCCCGAAACGTGTTGAGGTTCATGAACATCGTCCCTTGTCCCGACCTGCCCACGAACCGGGACACAGATGGATTATGTCATCACGGCAATTCCCGAAGAGCGCTGGCGTGAACTTGTGCGCGAAAAAGTACAGTACTTACGGACTCGAGGGTAGGATCAAGCTCGACGATTGGGCCGTGCGGACGATCGTATAGGTCGGCAAGGACATGGGAGGGGGATATTAGAGATCATATGTTGGATTATCTCGGAAGGGAAGGAGAGGAGAGACATAACGGCGTGTTGTACTTGGACGTTGTTGTCGGAAAGGACTGACGCTACGTGTGTGGCGGTGGCGTCGTCATGAACCAAACGTCAGCCGCGGAAGTTTCCGGCGACAAGGTGCCATCGTGTTCATCTATGGATGTCGCTCACACCTCACACGGAGAACAGAAGTAGTAAAGTATTGGTTGAGTATATTAAGCAACTACTTTAGCAGGGGTGGGCGAAAGCCCGCCGAAGGCGGACCTCCCGAATCCGGGAACTGACCCGGCCCGCATGCAGGATCCAAGCGAGTGTGGATAGGGCGGGCGGGCAGAACAGGGTGTGGTGCGGTGGGTCCTACAAATGAACCGGTAGTCAGTACCCAGAAACAAGAAAAGATATATGGATTGAGGGTGTGGAGGGTGGGTGCAAAAAGGAGGAAGCGGCGAGGTAAAGCAGAGTGGATTTGCCGAGCGAGCCGCCACAAGAAGAGATGAGAGGAGAGAGCAAAAGGCGTCTCTCCTGGCATCGGCTCCCGCTCATCCATAGACCACCCATCAGAACTCTTGGAAATCCCTGACAGGCCCTGAGAAGCCCTGAGCGGCCCTGACGATCCGTTCCGCGAAAGCCCGTGAGGTCTCGAGAGCGTGTCAGGGCCTGTCAGGGCTCTCAGGGTGCGTCAGGACGGTCAGGACGATTCTGGCCGTTGTGTGGCACCCAGCAAGGACATGAATTCATTTAAAAAATAAGAGTATATACATGGGAATTTTGAGCACCGCACAGATCTCGAAACAGTCACTCTCCTTCTTAGAGTCCCTACAGAAGCCGCAAATAATTCGATACTGTATATACCGTGTCCTGTACACATACCCATATCCCCGATCCCGACTTACATAGACCTACGCTGGCCAACGGCAGGGTGGATATCGCAATTGTGAATGCGAGGTGGGGAAGCGAATGTGTTGATAGGGGAAGCATACGTTAGTCGCGACGAGACTCTCGAAGGTAAGAGCATCAATACATAACCGTGTTCACATATACCTTTGTCTCGTGAGTTGTCGACAGTGCTGGTTGCATTACAAGGGCACTGTTTCTCTTTGGAAAGTCAATAACAGCACAGAGCGCAAAAAGATGAAAAAAAAATGTACCTGTCTCTGTTTGCTCTGATCATGGCAACAGGGCAGGGTGAGGCACAGGACTGACAGCACTGCTGTAAAACACCTTGTTGAGTTAGAGAACGATGCACAGAACTGAGAGATGGAGAAGAGGCTGATGAAAAAGGTGAAAGGAAATGGTGAATGGTATGCTGGCGCGGTGGATATGGAAACAGACATATGACTCACAGAAGACATCATGTCGACCCAACATGCTCTCATGTATCCTTCGAGGGAAGCCTGCACTTCACCAAACCATGCGAAGACAAGAAACGCACCTAGGCGATACGAACGGCCGAGTCCCGACGGTGACTACCACCCTTCTCTGTTCGCAACATCTTTTCGAGTCCTTTTCGGCTGTACACCACGAGAAGTAATTCTGGGTTCATTGGTTGTCACTAAGTCTCGTCTTGAAGACTCTCCGCAGACTGTTCGAAGGGGGGTGAGCTTGTAGCGGTGATTGCTCAAGGTTAGGTCGGCATTTGCAGCGCGGAGAATCATAGTGCGTACCCTCTAGCCTCTTTCAACATCGGAAGGGTCATGAGCACATATCCTGTGGCAGAGCGGGCAGAAAGGATAATATAAACGGAGCGCAGAGAATGGACGAAGAGCGAGCAAGTGAAGACAGCGATAAGGCCCAGCGCGCCAGAGTTGAACAGAGGACAAACAAGCATCAACAAATACGACGTGGCTGTTGGCGAAGTGTCGAATTTCTTACCCTCCTTCATCACACACCGTCCCACGTACTACGACTACGCGAACGTCGATTGAATCTTCGAACTGTCATACACCGGAGCATTTGAAGTTTGTGAGTGCGAATGTAAATGAAGGTAATGCTGGAAGCGTGAAGGTATGTCTTCAACTTGTAATGAGGTATGGCGGCTGGTCAGGCAGGCGAACGACGAGCACGGCGTGGGCGCGAGCGAGTCTGAGGTGCTGATGATCACGGCGATACTGATTTTTGAGCTGGAGAAAATCAAGATTGTCGTGCTCGAGTGGGCATATGCGACCACCTGGATGCTAAGCGTGCTCGTCGATGTGCTTGCCTCGGCCGATTTGGACCATCAGGCGATTTTTGGGCACACGATGGAGGATATCGTGAGGGAGAAGGTAAGGATAGCCAGGAGGGGGAAGCCGTTCGTGCACGGGAGGCAGCGGTATGCGGAGATGGTCAGCGCGGTGAGGAAGGTCGCGGGCAACGTTGTCGATGCGTATCCCGTGCGTCAGCGGGAGTGGGATGCCAGTGTGGACGGCGACGGCCAGCGGATGTCTGCTCTCGACGACTCGTTCTCCTTTCGAGCCTCAAAATCTACTCAGCCACGACTGCAGGCCGTCGAGCTCGTCCTGCCCTGCTTCGTGCACCCCATCGAGGCGCTCCTGCTACTGTACGCTTGGACTAGATTCCTTCCCCAGACGACGATGGAGGCGGTGGTGGTCATTGTTTGCCAGACGACGGAAGTAGACGCATGACCGTCCTCGCAGACGACGCACAGAACCCCGCATCGTCAACTACCCTCGCATCCTACACCTCCCATCTCTCCATCGCCAATGCCACCACCTACACCTCCAATCCCCACCGAACGATCCACCCAACCTACATCCTCGCTATCTCCGATTCTCCACCCAAAACTCCCCTCCAAACGCTCTCTCACCTGCTCCCCCTCTCTCCACCTTCCCTCTACCTCTTCCTCGCCAATGTCTATATTTGCGCCCCCATCCGTCTCCTCCACGTCGTCCTTGAGTACACAGACTCCAGCGAACATTGAACAGCGTCAAACCTCTCTCGCTCTGGCCGGGTTCGTCTTTGTCCCCCTGCGCGCAATCCGGAATCGTGACCTTGAGGAGGCCGGGGAGCCGAGGCATGTCTCGGTGCTGCTACAGTCGCAGTCGCAGTCGCATGCGCAAGCACAAGTAGAGTTGCAGATGCAGGGGCTGCAGAGATCACGACTGACGTCTCCGAGGCCGTTAGTGAAACCGACAACGGCGATGGCGATGGCACGACAGCGTGGACGGCGTTTTATTTCCACCGTCTCATAGCTTGTCTGGGCTTTGTGTTTCATGAAACTACTGTAGTGAATGGTAGTCGTAGAGTCTTTGTTGTAGTCTGTCGGAGTCCCCATGTATATCCATTTTTTGCGAATATAAATATTTTCTGGGTGCCACACAACGACCAGAATCGTCCTGACCGTCCTGACGCACCCTGAGAGCCCTGACAGGCCCTGACGCGCTCTCGAGACCTCACGGGCTTTCGCGGAACGGATCGTCAGGGCCGCTCAGGGCTTCTCAGGGCCTGTCAGGGATTTCCAAGAGTTCTGATGCCCCTCTGTGACGGGCCTCGTTCCTCAGCCTGTCACAGAGTCACATTTTGTGCATCCGTAACCGCTGTTATGAACTTTTTGTAGTACTATAAAATATATTAATATTCTTACCTACAAATGCATGAGCGAAAGAAAAAAGAAAACACCCTCGCCACAAATGCCGCGGTTGAGTCAAATCAGCGATGATTTGACCCGGCTGCCGGTCCGGCGTTCTTACTTACGCCACTTCGCTCGGGCCACAGTACTGATCTCTATCGAGATCATCTCCTCCTCGTTCCTTATCGTCCTCTTCGAGAGTTCTCTGATCTTGTGCTGCTCTGTAATGCTCACATGATTATTACTGTACTCGATTACTGAGCCATTTTCTTATCCTTGTCTCTCTATTCGTTACTCTTGAATATTGCTTAGAAAGCTCTTGATTTTATTGGCTAGCTTTCTATATCGCGCAATTATTCTCTCATTGTTCTCATTCATTCGAGTCATTCATGCTTAGGTATTTTTATTAAGTCTGAATGTATATAAACTCGTAGATAATTACAATAAATCCCCAGACTTGTTCTGGTCTGTTTCCTCCCTTAGCCACCTCTTCAGCTTAGTCTCAACAAGTCAAGCGCGACCTAGAGAACCCTAATCGAGTCGTTGACAACCGCACATCCTCGATCCGTTCCCTCCCTCCACCCCTCCCTACGTATTATCAGTTTGCGCAAATTACACGCAAGACACTAACTCTTAAAGTCACCTGTTAGGGCAAGAGCGTGAGCAAAGTTCCATCATTCGATGGAGACGGCGTCTTCATGGAGTCTCCACTGCTGTGCTGTACTCTTCACTGCTCTTCACTTACGCATAACGTGTCACTTTTGTCTACAGGCCCAGTTATTCCCATATCAAGCAAGTAGAACAAAATTTGAACCGTGTCCGCCCAGTAAGTTCAGCCTCTTCGAAAATACTTCTTCCTGCGACTCAACACGAGGGCGGGTAGAACCCTTCCTTCACCTTTCTCCGACACCATTCTCGCATATATAAACAACGGAATATGAGTGTACGTCCCTCTAACAGTCTCCTCTATTGTCTTCCAGTCCCCACAAGCCTTTTACCCCCGCGCAGAACTTTAGCTCGGCGACCAAGGACTCTGAGTCGATCCGTATTGCACACCATCAGTCGACGGACATAGAGTCTTTCATTCGCTTGGTCAGTAGTTTAATGTGGAACGTGACATACACTGAACTCGGGAAGGATTATACTTATTACTGCTCGTAAGTGTGACAGCCGTATGACTGATCCTCTGGGGTTGCACGATGAGGACTTTCCCTCGTGCATCACCGAACCAATTGCCCCGGGATATCACTGGCGCACTGACAGCAAGCCCGTGTGGACTTCACTCTCCTTGCTTGGTCGTGGCACGATTATTGGGTGTGGATGCCGTTACGATGCTACGGAGAAACGTCTCCTTGGGCCCGACATGGTCATGAAGACGGCTTGGCGGCAGAGCGGTCGGAACCTGGGGTCCTCTATCCATCACGGCGCCCGTAATGCCAGTCACCCCGCACTCGCTGAGTACATCGCTGGGGGTGGCATCATCGACCCTCGACGCGATCCCTTCGACGATATTCCAGCACAACACGGCATCACTGCTCATATCATCCACGGTTCTGCTCCCGTAGACGACGCTAAGCCCCACGTTCGCCACCGGTTGATGTTGAATATCATCGGGCGTTCGATCTGGACCTATACTGCTGACCTCGAGCTTCTTCGCGGGTTGCGTTCGGCCGTGCAAGGTATAATTTGTCTGACTTCACCCGAAATAAATCTACGCGGCTAACGATTCGTCTTGGCATAGCACACCAATTCTTGTTTGACCAAGACATTATGTACCGGGATATAACCCCGGAAAATATTCTTCTAGCAAAAGACTCTGGGGACGTCCAGCCCGGACGCGAAGGCTTCCTCTCCGATCTGGACTTTTGCCTTGTTGAAGATGAACATCACTTTAAATCGGAGACGACGCATGCAGATGCTATACAGGATATACGCGATGTGTCTGGCGATGTGCCTACCGGTTCTGTAGCGAAGTGTGGGGCTATTAGGACGGTTAGTTACACAAGTTTCGTTTTGTGGCTTCGTAGACGTCGCTCACACCGAGTTCGCCCTTTCACCTAGGGCTCAGTTCACTTCATGGCCATCGAGATACTGGATGCTATCTTCGACGAGAGGCCCATTGAACATAGCGTCGAACACGACATAGAATCGTTCATCTGGGTCCTTGCATACGCAGTCATGCGAAAGATCCTGAAGGTCACCGAAGCTCTTGATGCGGCGAAACATTCGGGCAGGAAGCAACTCGACGCTGACTTCAAGCAGTCGTTTGGTAGCTTGCCGATCGCAGAGATCGCACTGTCTCGTAGGAACGCCGGGCCCTTCGATTTCATCATTAACGACAAACAGAAATTTCTTTCTCCCTATCTCTCCGGCCCACTTCGTGATCTCATTGCGTTTCTATGGAGGACCATGCGGGATAAAGTCGATGCCCTATTCGACGAGACGCCTAAAACTGTTTATCGACGCGGCGGGGCACGAGCTCCTGACGCTGTAGTACTGACGCATGCTTGGCTCATTGACTACTTAGACGACACCATCCAAGCTCTAGAGACAGATCCGTCGCTGCAGAGATAATTGATGTGTGGATCCGAAACTGCTCATGGATCCCAGTGTGGGGCGAATAAGTATAGGGTTGAGGTCTTCTATGTAGAAATATGCTTCCTTGTTCTGACGATCTGAGCGAATATATATATGTTCAAGCGTTGTTTCTTTATACTCTAGAGACGGATCCCGTGCAAGCCACGCATTGAATGATGCGTGTGCATTGCTCTGGCCCGTGGTCCACTCTTCTTGTCGTTGATCGTATAGGCTCACTATGATTCCCGTCCATAGATTTCAGCAAGCAATGACAAATCGAGCTCGACAATTGGGCCGTGCGGACGATCGTATAGGTCGCCGGAGGGGAAGGAGAGGAGAGACATAACGGCGTGTTGTACTTGGACGTTGTGGTCGGAAAGGACTGACGCTACGTGTGTGGCGGTGGCGTCTTCTTGAACCAAACGTCGGCCGCGGAAGTTTCCGGCGACACCGTGCCATCGACAATGTTCGTGTTCATTTTGTGCGTCCGTACCACACATCCTCGATCCATTCTGGATCGGCACCCCTCCCTGCGTATTATCAGTTTACAGGCAACATACTAACACTTCTTAAAATCACCTGTTAGGGCAAGAGCGTGAGCAAAGTTCCATCATTCGATCGAGATGGCGTCTTCATGGAGTCTCCACTGTGCTGTACTCTTCACTTACGCAAAACGTGTCACTTTTGTCTACATACAGGCCCAGTTATTTCCGTCTCAGGCAAATAAAACAAAATTTAAACCGTGTCCGCCCAGTGAGTTCGGCCTCTTTGAAAACACTTCTTCTTGCGACTCAACACGAGGACGGGTAGAACCCTTCCTTCACCTTTGTCCGACACCCTTCTCGCATATATAAACAACGGGATATGAGTGTACGTCCCTCTAACAGTCTCCTCTGATGTCTTCCAATCCCCACAAGCCTCTTACCAACGCGCAGAACTTTAGCTCGGCGACCAAGGACTCTGAGTCGATCCGTATTGCACACCGTCAGTCGACGGATACAGACTCTTTCATCGGGTTGGTCAGTAGCTTAACGTGGAACGTGACATGCACTGAACTCGGGGAGGATTATATTGCTCGTGAATTTGACAGCCGTATGACTGATCCTCTGGGGTTGCACGATGAGGACTTTCCCTCGTTCATCAGCGAACCAATTGCCCCGGGATATCACTGGCGCACTGACAGCAAGCCCGTGTGGTCTTCACTCTCCTTGCTTGGTCGTGATACGATTATTGGGTATGGATGCCGTTACGATGCTACGGAGAAACGTCTCCTTGGGCCCGACATGGTCATGAAGACGGCTTGGCGGCAGAGCGGTCGGAACCTGGGGTCCTCTATCCATCACGGCGCCCGTAATGCCAGTCACCCCGCACTCGCTGAGTGCATCGCTGGTGATGGCGTCATCTACCCTCGACGCGATCTCTTGGACGACACTCCAGCACAACATGGCATCTCTGCTCATCTCCTCCACAATTCTGCTCCCGTAGACGAAGCTAAATCCCACGTTCTCCACCGGTTGATGTTGAATATGATTGGGGGTTCTGTCTGGACTTATACTTCTGACCTCGAGCTTCTGAATGGGTTGCGTTCGGCCGTGCAAGGTAAGTAGTCTGCACTCACCAGAAGTAGGTCTATGAGGCTAATGATTCGTCTTTGCATAGCACACCGACTTTTGTTTGACCAAGGCATTCTGTACCACGACATAAGTCCGGAAAATATTCTTCTAACGAAAGACCCTAGAAACCTCCAGCCCGGACGTGAAGGTTTCCTCTCAGATCTGGAGTTTGCTCTTGTCGAAGGTGACCATCGCTTCGAACTGGAGACGACGCAAGCAGGGACTATACGGAACATACGCGATGTGTCTGGCGATGAGCCTATGGGTTCTGCTGCGAAGCGTGGGGCTATTATGACGGTTCGTTGCCAACTTTTTGTCTTGCGCCTTCGTAGATGTTGCTCACATCTGTCGGTTAAACTCCATAGGGTACAGTTCAATTCATGGCCATCGATATACTGCAGGCCATCGTCAAGAACAAATCGATTGAACACACTGTCGAACACGATATGGAATCCTTCGTATGGGTCCTGGCGTACGCGATCATGCGAAAGATCATCAAGGTTACCGAGGCACCCGAAACGGCGAAAAATCCATACAGGCAGCAGATAGTAACTGATTTTCACCAGTCCTTCGGTCGCTTGTCGGTGTTGGCTATAGCAAGCTCTCGCAAGAGTTTCGGGCCGTTCCAGTTCATCGTCGACGATAGCGAGGACTTTCTTCCCCCCTATCTTTCTGACCCGCTTTCTTCCATGCTTTTGCATCTGAGGGGAAGTATAAGAGCCAGGGTCGAGGCCCCAGCTGTGAAGAAGGCTAAAACAGTTTTCCAATACGATGGACTACATGCACCTGCGATTCCTATACTGACGCACGCCTGGCTTATCACCTACTTCAACAACGCCATCCGTGCGCTGGAGAACGATCCGTCGCTTCAGAGATGATTTGTGCGTGGAGGCGAAACTGATCATGAGTCGAGGTGTGGGGCAAATATAGGGATCGGGTCTTCTATGTAAAAATGTGCTTCCCTGTTCTGACAATATGTGCGAATATATATACATGTCCATGCCACGGTGCTGGTGAATCTTGACTTGGCTGGTCCGCCACGGTGTCAGAGGCGGATGAGATTGCTGGATGTGCTGATGGAGCATGCATAGGTGTTGGGTTCGATAGAGAAGTAAGCCCTGGTAGAGAATTCGAAGGGTCGGAGGTGAATAATGCGCGACCAAAGTTCAAACCACCGATATTTCGGTATTTCAGGCAAAGTCCTTGTCTTGCACAGAAGGTGGATCCCAGTTCGATCCTGGGTTGAACCATAATAGTCTTGGGTATAGTTTTGTTCCGCGTCCGGCCAGATGGTGTCGAGAGCATTTGACCCGAACTCAGTCAGTGGCAGACTAGCCAGGCATCGCACGACGAAACGAAGAGAGCAGAGACGAAAAATGATCCGCAAAAAAAACTACTTATGATATGTAAAGATCGAAAGAAAAGTATACTGTTACATTATGTATGTGAAGAAATTCTTTTTGTGCGTCTGAATCGCCGTATGGTGTAAACTATCCATGCATGTAACAAACCAAGGTAGAACGGAGAGTGGAAGATCCAGATTTCCAGGCCACGACGAATCCCAAAGGCCCGCCCATTCTGCTGCCTCCCTCCCGAACTCGAAGACGAACCCGATCCGATATCCAAGCTTCAACCAAGACCAGAAAACTATCCATGGATATCGTTGCGTTTCGTGCCGTGCCGTGCCGTGTTGTTGTTATTCCGAAATTCCGATTAATCAGTCGAATTATCCCATGCGACGTCCATCCACCCCTCTATGATCCAGCTTCTGTGACCATCCGCCCTGCCCGCCCGTTGACGACCACCGCCTCCGTAGCCGACTAAGTGGACAGGAAACCAAACGCGTGCACTCCAGATTGACGGGTGTCAAGAAGTGAAAGAAAGGTCGAAGCAAACAAGCAAACAGAAAAAGAAGATCGAAAACATGCCGAAACTATATACCCAAAAAATCCGTGCAGTTCCAAAATCAAAAGTCAAGAGATGGGATGGGAAGCCAACGTATCGCGTGTCATGAATGAGCATCGAGGAACATCGTAGCGTGCATCAAAGAGATCCAAAGTCAGAGTTAACGTATGAGACAGGAAAGCGAACGATGCATGCGTTGAGAAAAGACGACGAGTGAAGATGAATATGATTGAGACGGGAAGGGGTTGAGGTGGACAGACGAAACGAGACGAGACGAGATGAGCAAAAGAGGAGGAACGATGAGAGCACAGAAAGAGAGACGTGGGGACACCCCGAACGACCAGACGGAGTGAGTGTCCCATACCATACCGCGTCCAGGGGATCCGAGGCCTAGGGAGGCCAGATCCTATAGAACCGCCTGTACGCCCGTAAACCGCTTGAAAGTGAACCTACACGCACAAACCACACCATCAGTGACCACATCCACATCCACATCCACATCCACATCCACATCCACATCCACATCCACATCCACATCCACATCCACTCTCCCTCCCCACAGAAAAAAGAAACGTACCCCAAAAACGCCAAATCCCTCTCCGCCTCCCCCCCTCCTCCCCCTTCTCCAACAGCAGGCGGCTCCACCCTATCCAACCCGACATCCTTCAGCTCCTCCGTCGGGAAATAGCTCGTGTCGGTGCTGGAGCTGAGCACGGGCGGGCGGGGCGCGGGCAGTTGCCGGAGGGTCGCGAAGTCGACGTCGGCGAAGAAGGGATGCGTGCGGATTTGTGGGGGCGAGAGGCGGGTGGAGGACCAGGTTAGGAGGCTGTTTGGGTGGGTGCGCGGGAGGAAGAGGGGAGGGGGGTTGGGGGGTGGTAGCAAAGAGGTGAGAGAGGGAGACGTCAAGTCAGTTACAGCATACTCGACACTGGTGTATGGAAGTGAAAGATATGGGTAGGGATCGTAGCGTACCGTCTCATCAGATCTTCGCTCTCCCGACTAAGATGCACACCCTCCGGGAACCGCAACCATTTCTCCCATCCGACGATTTTCCGATACCTACACCGTCCATCCGTCCATACATCCACGCACGCACGCACACCGACACAACGAAAGAGCATCAGCCGAATGGCCCTCCACGACGACCATAAAGGAACTCACGTCTCCGCCGGCGTCTCCGAGCAAAACGGCGGGTATCCAACCAAGCACTCAAACATGATCGCGCCCAGACTCCACCAATCGCATTCCTGGCCGTATCCACGCTGCATGAAGACTTCCGGAGCGATGTAGTCAGGTGTTCCGACGGTGGAGTAGGCCTGGATTGGTGATGATAATTGGTCGGTTGGGATTCGTGGGCGGTAGGTTTTCGTACGGATGGTTTTCAGGACGAAACGAAGAAAACGATCGAGGTGGGTAGGGGAAGAACACGGCCGTCAGCCCCGCAAGCATAAAACAAACAACTCATCCACGTAGAAAACAAGAAACGCACCAATTTCCGCCGATTCTTCTTCCACGTCGCGATCTGCTCCGCGCGCGTCATCGTGAGCTGTATAGGGTTCACCTCCACGCTGTTCCTTGGTACGTGTCCGACCGACGATGTTTGCTGTTACGTCCGTACCGTCCAGTTGGATGTGGGAGTTCGAATATGCGGAGTGTGGACGAAAGGAGGGAGGACGAAAGGAGTGGGGGTAGTAGACGGCGACGACGAACGATGAGTGTGGCGAGCGTCGCGATGAGTATGTGGCGAGCAGACGATAAGCATGTAGCGAAGCATGGGGCGGCGACCAAGCCAATAAATAACACGCACCCTCTGCTCAATATCCAACAACCTCCTATAATGCGACGCGTCCGCCGCGCCCGCCGTCCTATGTAAGCCCGTCGAGAGGCCGAAATCGGAGAGTTTTAGGTGGCCGGTTTTGTCGATGAGGATGTTGTCCGGTTTGATGTCTCTATTTTTGGGCGAGGTGGACAATGGGGAGGAGAGGAGGGAGGGAGGGGATAGATGGGAAGGGTGAGGGGAAGAGGTCGTCAGTGGGTGTTTTTTTTTTGTGAATTGAGCATGGAGAAAGAGCGTGAACAGTGAACCACAGCGAGGTGAAGTGAACCGAAAGGAGTGGCAACGAGAAGGACCCAAGCGAAGTGACACCCAAATCCCAATCCGCCCAGTCCTCCCTCTCCCCCAGCAAAATAAAACCGCCAAAAAGACTGCCACAAAGAAGAAGAAAAAACCAAAAAACCACACCAAAAAACACCACCAAAACCACAAAACCCAAGAACAACTCACCGATGAACGAACCCCAACTCATGCACCGCCTCGATCGCAAGCACACATTCCGCCATATAAAACTTCGTCACGTTCTCGCTGAAGACGTCGTACTTCATCAGCATCGTCATTAGGTCGCCACCTGTGAAGCGATGGTGATATGAGATGGGTCAGGATCTGGACATCGAGAGGGAAGTGGGGATGGGGACGATGGGGACGATGGGGATGATGAAGAGGAGGGCGGGGAGGAGGTGGGGAGGAGGGGAAGAAGGATAGGGAGACGGAAAGGTGATGGGAAGGACGAGGACGGGGAAGAAGAGGAAATTTACCAGGAAGAAACTCCATGATGAGGTAGAGCGAGTGCGGATCCTGGAAGGAGTAGTACAACTGCGTCACCCAGGGCGAAGTCGAAGAGGCGAGGAGATCGCGTTCGGAGAGGACGTGCGCGAGCTGGTTATTTGTTGTGTGGCGTATGTGGCGCGTGTGGCGAGGGGTGGATGTATGCGTTGAAAAGATAGATATATGCGTTGAAGAGATGTGTATATGCGTGTCAGCATCCCAAGCCCCCACCCAAACCTCCAGACCACTCAAACGGAAAACGCACCTGATCCCTCCTCAACATCTCCTCCTTCCTCAACGTCTTCATCGCATACACCCTCCCCGTATCCATCTTCTGCACCAGCCTTACCTCGCCAAACGCGCCCTTGCCAATCACCTTCACCGTCTTGAAATCCGCGAGGCCGATCTTCGTTCGACGCAGCCGTAAGAATTGAGACTGGATCTTCACTTGGCGGCGTTCTTCGCGCGTGAAGGCGGCGCGCTCGGATTCGGAGGTGGAGGAGGCGACTTTGCGTTCGAGTTCGAGGCCGCTGTTATCCGTATCGACATATCAATATATTAACAAATGAACGGATGAGCAGGGTAGACAAGGGAGGGGTATTCACGCGACACAAAAAGTGAAGAGACTGACCGAACGTTGAGATCAATCGCAGTATCCAACGCAAGCTTATAATAGCTCTCCATCTTCACCTTCGCCCCCGCCGCCCTCGTCCGCGCCTCATCGCTCAACTCGTCCGGCCTCCTCTGGAAATAAACGTAATCCGCCGGTTTCTCTTTCTCCTCCTTCACTACTCCCTTTCCCTTTTCACCGCCCTCTCCCTTGTCTCCGCCCTCCCCTGCATCACCATCCGCGTTCTCGTTGTGATCATGATTCGTATAACTCGGACTCGACTCTCCACCCTCAACCGGCCCTGGTACCAGTCTCGACGGCGAAGGCGGGTAGATCGTCAGATGCGAAGGCGACGAGGGCGAAAGGAGCTGTTGTTGCCCTGCTAGTGGTAGTGATGGTGGTGATCCAAGCGTGTTGAGACCTAATGGAGGGACGTAGGCGCGTGCATGGTGTGGATGGGTCGGTTGTGAGGGTTGGGAAGGAGAGGGAGGGGCTTGAGAGGGAGAGGTGGGGGTGGAGGTGGAGGGAAGGGGCGTGCTGTAGATTATGCTCATTTCTCGCCGTTTGCCCGCGATGAGATGAGATGAGATGGGGAGGATGCGAAAGTCGAACGTTCAACTTGCGACCGTGGATCCTATATGCTATAATGCTATAAGTTACGAACGAGAAACGACTGGGATTATGAACCGAGTCGTACTACTATTTGCTCTCACGAGCGCCTATGGTTGAATGCGGTTATATATGTTTCAGGGCAACAGAAGAAGACGGAAGACGGAGACGGGAAATGGGGGCGCTTCTGTAGATATGTGGATCGAGTGTCGAGTGTCGAACGTGTTGAAGATCGCGGGGCAGGGTGTCGTGGGCAGAGTCCGTGACCGTCGTTGCATGCGGTATCGTTGTCGTCGTCGTCGATGGAAGCGAGGAGGCAGGCGCGGATGTGCTATATTCGATAATACTTGGAATGGCGAGAGCGACGCAAAGAAGCGAATTCGAAGTGCAGACGCGGTTGCTACTAACTATAGATAAATAGACGCCTCGTGCGCCAAGAAATATTGACTTTGGACGGGACCGCGGGGAAGGTTCGTGTGGCGTGTGGCGGGAACACACATAACACCACCTCGTTGGTGTATAATGAGATGATAGTGTGTATGAATATCGAAAAGACAACATACATCGCGATGCCCGCAGCGGTGGGGCCACAACACCCTGGCAGTGTATTATGGAACCGACATCCAGCAATTGTTGAGCAGTATTATCACCATTCGCAGTTCAACCATCATACATCCATACATCCAACTGTACATGGTAAAATACAAAAAATCACACCGTCGCGAACACCCTGACATCGTCCATTTTCTGTTAAACATTCCATACATTTCCTATCTCCATCCTCACTCCTCACACGACCGCCTAATACCCACCATCCCCTTTCCCTGCATACGCACCACCCAACCTCTCTCCCGCCTCTTCGCGTCCTTCCATACTAGATCCCCCATACGGGTTCAAGCTGCCAGTTCCCTGCTCATGCGCGTACGTATCCCGCGAACGCCCATCCACGCCCTGTTTCGCGTCGTCGAGCTCGTTAGTGAGCGAAGTTCCGTTCGTAGATTGTGTTATTAGATTTGAGTCTGAGTTGGTGTTGGTGTTGGTGTTCGAGTTGGAGGAGTTTGGGGTGAACGTGCTGGTCGGGGCGTTAGATGAAGGTTTTGAAGCGAACGAGTTGATCGTGGAGCCGTAGCCGCCTGAGGAGGTCGCTATATCGTATACGTTTCAGTATCATTCGACCGTCGGAAAAGCGAAAAGCGAAAGAATAAGGGAACACGTACAATCGCCCTCGGGAGGATAATTCCCCGTCTTATAATCGTCATTTTGACCACCTCCGCCTCCGCCATGGTTACTGCTGGTGTAATCCCTCCCTGTGCCCTCACCGCCTCCGGCGGACGTGTTGTTCATGCCGCTATCTGTGGGACGGGGGACGTAGTCTCCTGCGGCTGGTGGGGATGGTAGGCCGGTGAGGTTCAGGTTCAGGTTCAGGTTCGAGTGGGTGCAAGGGTGAATAAGGGGGTATGGGGAGCGAACGGTGGTGTGGTGAGGTGAGGAGGCGATGAGCAAAGGATGAGTGAGGGACATGGACTTGACATGGACATACATTCATTCGCCAAAGATCCTTTAAATCCCGAGGATGCGTATTCGTCGCTCATAATCGTAGTTTTATAGAGACAATTTTATTCTATTGACCCCAACCCATCGAACAAGTGAATCAGTCAGCTATGTCGACCTAACCAGACACCGTGACTGACAAGTACTCTGCTCACCTTCTTGAAGTCGTTAACTTTGCTATGTTACGATCCGTACAGAAATTCGTGCCGAGAACGAATAAGGTATGATGGTCCGCAAGAGCCACTTCATGGTAGCATTTATATACCATCGCCATCGCTGGAGCGGTGACGGGTGGGTGACGGCGAAGTGGTGGTTGGATCGTTGGAGGGCATGATGTCATTCCCCAACTTCTCCGAGTTTGTTAACGAAGACGCCACCGCCACATTCGGGGACAGCCGAGAGTATGCCATGCGGGCAAGTTTGGGGAAATTTGGGCTTTCTTTCTGTCCTCGTCACTCTCCATTCTCAGACGAACACTTGTGCTTGATATCTGGTTATAGCTTCCCTCGCCGCTGATTCGACTGGAACATTCTCGGATGTTGGAATTGACTGTGAGCGGTGGCATACCGTGACTTTTGGGTGACTTTGCTCTGCACTGACTCGGCACTGGCTTCGTGGCAGGGGTTTGGGAATCTACCGTGACTTGCCTCGTCGGTTGCGAGCAGCGGCCTCTTAATATCGGTACGAAGGGGCTCACAAGTAACCAGTAATCCCGCGTCTCTACGATAAGGTAAGGCAAGCTAAATTAACGTAACAGATGTCTCTTCCTTCTCCGTCAAACGAGGTCTTGCATCAGATCCTGCTTCAATACTAGTAAGCATATTTCCCTCATCTCAATCCTCCTCATCATTCACTGACGCGGATTCTGACACACCACCATAGTATCCAATCAACGCATCAAGCTCGAACCAACTATCTCGAACCAATCATCTTGCATCGCCATATCGGCCCTTCAGGGTTTCCTTCTGCCACCCTCGTCGAATCAGGTGCCGATTTCAGCTATCCATGCCATCTACATATATCGAATGGCATTCTAAAACAGGATGCGGAGGGAGTACACTACATCCACGATTGTTTTGTGAGGTTTCGTATCACGAAGCCTACACTCATCTGAGGGTATGCACATATCATTTGATTTGGAACGTGTGACCGTGGACCTAGTGGAGGTGTTCATCCTCGTGTAGGAGAGCTATACACGCATCCCTTGAATGATGCAAGCATATATACTTAACCGTCTGTGGTCAGGGATACTCCGAGCTCTGATCCTTGCTTTGCTTTGATTTGTGGTCCCAATTTTGGGTCAGACGGACATCACCTATATACCGGACTTCATCGCATCCATCATTCAGCCCGTGCATGCGCTGTTTCGAAATCTTTCTTCTTTCAACCGGCGTTTGACGGTGATATCTCGAACTGCGCGAGATGTTCCAAACCTGTTAATCGCACCATCGACTGTTGGCCTGAGGGTAAAGCTGTATACGATCAGTTCCCCGGAGTATCGACCTCTCGTCTTGGTAGGAGTAGCCCCAAATGGTCACAACAGTCGCCAGTCATAGCCTCGCAAATCTAATGTAGTCAGTCGAATCTCCTATCACATCGGAAGGTCTCTGATTCTGATTCGACTATCGTTCATCTTTGATCCTGCAAGGTCGTTATCTGTGCAGGAGGGGCCATTGTATCCCAAACAGTCAACTCTTGCACCTTAAATCATGAAGATGGGCTATCTTTCGATGGCGCACGTACGAAAGATCATCATGTCCGTTCTACTGTATAAAGTGACCCTCGGAGCTGTAGTGGCCCCACTCCCCATTTTGCTTAGCCATGCCCTCCCTCGGCGAAACCCTCGGTGCTATAGAGCTTGGTGTCTTATTCGCGTCCATACTCTACGGTGTTCTGCTCGTGCAGGTTTATAACTACTACCAGCGAAACTTCACCGATGGTCTCTCCGTAAAGATCCTGGTGACTGATCATCTTCTCTCGGCCGTGCTTTCCGTTGTCTGATTTTCTTCGTCTATATCTAGCTGTATACTGTGGCGTAAGTATGTTTGACACGCATTTATCCGCGCAGAACTAACCAGTTATGGCTACTCATACGTAGCGTGGTCGAATCAGTTCATATGGTGTTCATAATGGCGTTTATCTTCCATGCCACCGTCACAGACTATGGCGTGTTGGCTCCAGCGACGGACAATCATAATGGGACGACAGAATACGAATGGGAGCAAAGTTTCGTGTGGCCACTGGCATTCTCGGTAACAATAGCTAATATAAGTAGCTCCCTTGTTCAGGTGCGTCTGTCATTTTTCTTTGCTCAAATAACAAGGTAAGTATTGATTGTCCAAGTGACTCGCTAGGGGTTCTATGCGTACCGAATGTACAGGCTATCTCGACGATGGTGGCTCGCGCTTATATCATGGTCTATCACCATCATCCACCTGGGCGCGGTCATAGCTGCTAGCATCATTGCGACCCGCATCGGCGACCTATTTGTCTTTCTCCAAAAGCACACGGGCTTGATGATTTTTGGTCAAGGGTCAGGCCTCTTCGTGGATGTATTCAATACTGTTTGTCTTTGCAGTCTGTTATGGACGCGTCGGTCGGAGTTCAATCAGTAAGGGCTACTTACTTCGCAAGAAACGACCTGTCTGACGGAAATGCTACGAAGGAGTCGACGAGTTATTGATAAGCTCATTATCTGGACAATAGGTGAGTCGCTTATACCGGTACATGGATATTGAAAAACCCCTCTGACAACGAGTATGTTGGTTCAGAGACGGGTCTTATCACTAGGTATGCACAGTGGCCTCCTAAGAGCTTCTTGTCTAAATCCTTGACAGCATATGCACCATGCTCTTAGTAGTCCTGGTATGTCCTCTATTTAGCGGACATCTGTCTCTCGTCCCGAATACAAATACTTATATGTATCCTAGGTAGCCACTAAAGAACACAACAGTTAGTTCGGACACAACCAAGCCAACTTCGCATACTAAACCCGTTAATCCTTTGTCCCTCGCAGCGATATGGATGGTCTTCATGTTGATCAGCGCTAGACGTATGCTTCAACCTCTTCAAACTCTTCCCAAATCGTTATACTTATATTGAAGTATCTCGCAGTGTACTCTAATAGTCTTATGGCGACGTAAGCTCAAGCTAAATTCCTAACCTCTACTCGACATCCACCAAAAGACCTCACCATCCTCAGGTTAAACGGCCGCTCCTCGCTTTTACAATCCGCCAAGATCATCACCAGAGGGGAACTCACCGCTACAGCCCTGCGTGGCGACCCGAGCGCCACAGGAGTGAGTCTTAGCATTTCGCACCACTGCTCATGGATACGTGGCTCATCGATACATTTAAATTATATAGCACGCCATCGAGGTTCATGTCGATATACAACACGACAACGACGAAAGGATGACTGTGAGACCATTTCCAGCGCTGCTGACCCCGAATCGGAACTTCATCTCAAATATTTTCGTACATTATAGCACGGAGAAGTAGGCCAGCATTTCGAGATAGAGCTAGGGAGCCTGCAGAGAGACGATTCGAATGAGGGGAAGTGATGGTTCATACTCGTGAGAACGTCGACGGCGCTATGTACATTTGAATAAGTGTAAGTATGAACGGAGCTGCGGCAATCTCATGCACATTGTATAGATAACACGATTTTCTATCCCTCGTACAAAAAATCGAAAGTTCATGACCAAATACTTAGCTGAGTGAAGATGCTGTTGCCGTTGACTGAGTAAGTACTTGGATTATGGCTATATTGCTCTTGATTCAGGACCAGATACTCTCGACACCGACTGGTCGCATGCGGAACAAAAGTATCAGAATTGATCGAAGACATGATCATGGTTCAACCCAGGATCGAACTGGGAACCTTCTGTGCACAACCTGGACTCACTAAGTATATGTGAGACAGAAATCATAACCATTAGACCATTGAACCATACTGGGGTGAGATGGACGCTAGACAGCGCGGCTTGTGTTTGTTTTTGTAAGGAGGATACGGTGTCGTGGTTGGTGGGTTGGTTGGCGCGGCTTGGATGGAATTTGAAGGGCACAAATGGGAGTGGATGGGTTTGTGAGAACTCAGAAGGAGGGGAATGGGTGGAGTCCTCGTCAAAGTCGTCCGTAGAGTGTCCCGAAGGTAAGAGCGACGGGGACGCATGATATAGTTACTTGCACCATGGCTTTCGAGAAATCCCGCTTTAGGTAAATACAAAGAAGCGACGCATGAAAATATATATACGTCTCTTTAGAATAGAGTAGCATATTTGTACATAGACTCAACACTATATTGGCTTCAGACCATGAGCAGTCTCGCCTCCACACACCAATCATCTCTGCAGCGACGGATCGTTCTCTAGAGCAAGGATGGTGTCGTCTAGGTAGCCGATGAGCCAATCGTGCGTCAGTACGACATCAAAAGCCTTTAATCCGCCACGTCGTAAAACAGTTGTCATCCTCTTGATGGCTGGGGCTTCGACCTTGGCACGTATGATCGCTCGTAGATGCAAAAGAAAGGCACGAAGCGGGATAGAGAGATAGGGGGTGAAAAAGTCCTGGTCGTTGTGCATGATGAACTCTAAAGGATCCATATTCAGACGAGACAATCCGATTTCTTCGACCGACTCCAAGCTACCAAACGCCCGCTCGAAATCCTTCTCGAGTCGCTCACGGGTAGAATGTTTTACCGTTTCAAGACTTTCGGTGACCTTTAGGATTCTTCGCATGACTGTGTATGCAAAAACCCAGATGAACGACTCGAGGTCGTATTCGACGGAGTGTTCAATAATTTTGTTCCAGTCGAAGGGCCACAGCATGTCGAGGGCCCACAGCATGTCGATGGCCATGAACTGAACTGTGCCCTAATAGGTGATAGGGTGAATCATTGTGAGCAACGTCTACTAAGGTGCAAAACAAAGACTATGTGACGAACCGCCCTGATAGCCCCAATCTTCGCTACAAAACCCGCAGCCTCATGGCCAGACCCATCACGTATGTTCCGTATAGCATCTGCATGCGTCGTCTCAGATCCAAAGCGATGGTCACCTTCGACAAGAGAAAAGTCTAGATCTAAGAGCAAGCCTTCACGGCCAGGCTGGCCATCCCCAAAGTATTTGGCTAGAAGAATATTCTGCGGGCTTATATCGTGATACATGATGCCTTGGTCAAACAAGAGTTGGTGTGCTATGCAAAGACGAATCGTCAGCCACGTAGATCGATTTCGTGTGAATCCACACAAATTATACCTTGCACGGCCGAACGCAACCCACGTAGAAGCTCGAGGTCAGAAGTATAGGTCCAGAGGGAACGCACGATCGGGTTCAACATCAACCGGTGGAGAACATGGGAATTAGCATCGTCTACGGGAGCAGAACCGTGGATGATATGAGCAGTGATGCCGTGTTGTGCTGGAGTATCGTCCAAGAGATCGCGTCGAGGGTCGATGATGCTACTACCAGCGAGGTACTCAGAGAGTGCGGGGTGACTGGCACCATGGACGTCGTGATAGATAGAGGACCCCAAGTCTCGACCACTCTGCCGCGAAGCTGTCTTCATGATGATATCGGGCCCAAGGAGACGCCCGTCCTTCGTATCGTAACGGCGTGCATACCCGATGATCGTGTCACGACCAAGCAAGGAGAGTGAGTTCCACACGGGCTCGTTGACCGTGCGCCAGTGATGTCCTGGGGAAATTGGGTCGGTGGAGTCCTCATCATGCAACTCCAGAGGATCAGTCATACGTCGAGCACACTTACCAGCAGTAGCATCCTCCACTTGTTCAGTGAATGTCACGTTCCACGTTGAGCCACAAGCCAAGCGGATGAAAGACTCGGTGTCCTTCGACGGACGGAATGCAATATGGGTCGTCCCAGAGTCATTGGTCGCCGAGCTCAAGTTCTGCGCGGAGATAAGAGGCTTGTGGGGGCTGGAAACATAAGAGGAGACTATTAGATGGACGTACGCTCATGTTTCGTTGTTTATATATGCGAAAATGGTGTCGGACAAAGGTGTCGGAAGGGTTCTGCCCGCCTTCGTGTCAAGTCGCAGAAAAAATGTTTTCAAAGAGGCTTTACTGGGCGGATACAGTTCAAGATTCTTTCATCTGCTTGATATAGCTATAACTCGACCTGTAGACAAAGGTGACACGCTCTGCGTAAGTGAACACCAAGGCGATGCTTGGGCGACGCCATCCCGATGGGATGATGAAATTTTACTCACGCTGTTGCCCTGTTCGAGAAGTGTCAGTATGTTGCGTGTAATTTGCACGAACTTATAGTACGCAGCGAGAGGTCGAGGCAGGGTTGAGGCAGACCGGATCGAAGATGTGTGATAGTACGGATGCACGAATCGAAAGAATAGGAACATGCGACACCGTGTCGCCGGAAACTTCCGGCGTTGAAGACGCCACCGCCACGCGTAGCGCGGTTCCACTTCGACCACAACGTGTTACGTCTGAGTACAACTTGAGTATAATATCCTGTTATGTCTCTTCTCTCTCTCCCCACCGAGCTCTTGCAACAAATACTCTCGAATATCCCCTCTCATTTTTGCGGCGACTTATCTCATCGCTCGTCTAACGGGCCCATCATCGAGCTCGATCCCACCCTCCGAGCTCTCTGCGCCACTAATCGACATCTGAGGTCCATCTTCTTTCCGTCTCTCTACGATACTGTTGGGATCGTGCTATATCGCTCTTATCGAACATGGAAATACACAAGAGTTGTGGAGCTGTTTGACCAGACTGATCCGAGCATTCTGCGACTAATTCGGTTTGTCGCTGTACTTTAATGACACATATCGAGAATGTCCTCAATTTCCATATATCTCCAGACATATCACATTCTGGAAGCAGCCATAGCAGCCGCTACGGACTAGAGAGCCAAAGAATGGTCCTCTAGGTGGTATCTCCGTAGCCGATTTCAACCACCAAGAACTCCTCGCGCGCACCCCATCTCTCCTATCCTTCACATCACAAACCGACGACTTCCACATCTCCAGCACACTGCTCACCACAATCAACACCCATCCCTCCCTGCACACCTTCTCCTTCCCAACCCTCACTCCCCTCCTCCACTCCAGTCTCACACTCCTTCTCACCCTCCCCCTCAACCCACCCATTTCCCTATCTCGCATTCACTGCGCCCGAGTAAAGATAGACTACAGACAATACCGGTATCCCGAATTTCATTGTTTACTCGGCAGAGGAGCCCACAGCGTCTCCGTCACCCGTCTGATCATATTCGCCCGCACCATGCCCTCCCCGGGCGATTGGACCGAGACGACGTTCAATAATCTTCGCACACTTGATTTCAGAGCCGTTTCGGCCGCTTTTGCGAGGAAAATGGATGCTTTTATAGCTAGACATCGCGAGCTCACGGATATCATAATTTCGAACTGCGGACCGAAGGCACTCGAGGATTTCCCGTGTGTGGCAACACTTTATAAAGCTGTCGTGGAGAGGGAGTTGAGCCTGCACTTTCGCGTTGAGTGCGTGCATCTCGTCAGAGGCGAGGAGGCAAGGAAGATTCTAGGTGAGGATGGAGAAGGTGAAGGAGGGAAAGGAATGCCAATGTGCGCAAAGAAGGTGAAAATATACATCGAGGATAGGACCGAAGACGTCATTTCTTGTATCATGGAGAACCTCCCGCCCTGCGCTGAGATGTCGTTGAATTTCGATGGGGACGATGGGAGAGACTTCAGTATCAACGTAAGTTTTCTACTCCCTTCCCTATCCTCCCCCTTTTTTCCCACCTTGGTCGATCGCTCACAATAAGTTTTACGCCCTGACACCCCAGAAAAACCTCTGGTCCATCCTCCTCTCCAACGCACCCCTCCTCCGCTCCCTAACAACCCTCCACCTCTCCCTCCTCTTCGACGACCGTGACGCCCTCAACGGGACGATCCTCCCCTCTCTCCCATACGAAGTCGGTAAGATCCTCCTCTCGGACGATACAGAAGCCATAAAAGACCTCGCAGTCAGACTAGCACCGCGGATACGAGCACTCGTAGATCGGTGTCCGAAGCTGGGGACGGTGTTGCTTTCGCAGCCGATTGGATATGATGAGGTGCAGAAGTTTTTTGAGTTTACAATTGTGCGGGGGTATGGGAAGGGGCAGCGAGGAGGAGGGTATGGGGAGGGAGAGTCGCGGATTGATTGTGCGATTCATGGAGTGAGCGAGTGGAAGGAGATGAGCATGTGAACTGGCCCGCGGTCATGTATTAGTATTTCAGGAATAATCATTTAATTTGCTTACGCTCAACGTATGCCACATTCACACGCTGGAGGCTTTTAGACTGAAGGAGAACGAGGTGGGGACTTCGAGGTATGCATACCCTCAAACGACCGCGGAGGCGACTTCTCTTCCTTAGATTGTCGAAGGAAGAACAAAGTTCGGCTGGGCTGCGTTGGCTGGCGAGCGAGAGGATAAGCACACGGACTTCTGGCGGTGTGATAGTCATGGTATCATCGTTGGTAGTTCGTAAGTACAAGTAGGCGAGGGTATATACAACAACATCATCATCATCCCAGTCAGAATTACAAACAAATACATATCACCTCATATACAACACTCAATACCCTGGACTAGCCAGGTCCACAAAATGCGCGACAAACTACAAACTCAGACTTCATCCCGATAATCCACCACGCAATTCGAAGTGACAGTCCCCCCCTCGTTCTCGTCCGACTCTTTATACGACCCCTTAGCCATAGACTGCGGGAACCCGAACTCTATAGACCGGCCGTCGGCGGTACAGCTCGATGCGCGTGCGAGGGAGAACATCGTTTCCGAGGATGATTTATGTTCAGAGACGACAAGGATGATGAGAGTGGGATAGATTCCCTATAGCGTTCAGGAGAAAAGTCACTAAGAACTTGGACGAACGACGAACAACGAACGAAGGCTGGCCGGGACGTACGGAGATGTTAGGCTGAAACCACTCAAACTCGAAATATCCTCCATATAGCCCAAAATCCCCAATCATGATCAGAACCTTGAAGTTGAACCCATCCGTCTTTCGTCAGCGCAAAATAAAATAATAATACGTGGGAGGGGACTTGGACATACCCAGTAGCCTAGATATATGAATCCTGATTCGACGAGGAGAGCGAGCACGCTTTGGATCCTGGGGCGTGTGGCACGTTGGGTGCGAAGGAATTGTTTGATTTGGCGGCGGTAGAGCCTTTCGAGTCCAGTGCATGGATACATGCATACATCAGATCCCAGATAACGGCAGAGACGAAACGGAATGGAAGTTTGGGAAAGGGAGGACTGACCAGGCTTTGTACGCGATCAACGCAGTGGCAAAGAAGTTCGTGGCGAGGAGCGGTAGAGTGCCGAGCATGTTCTTCTCCAATGTCGTGTATTTATGACCCTCAGCCGTCAACACGTTCAGAACAGCCAGGAATATACTAGTCACTAGATATCCAATGCAATCCGCCTGCCTTAGCAAGTTCGTCGAAAGACCAACTAGACAAAAACTTGTGGTGGAAGATACGCACCCGCAGTGACAGTAAAGCAAAACCCCAACCCAACATAAACCGCAACATTCCCCGACCATATCGCACAAGCCCTCCAAACCACCACCGCATCCGACACAAGATATTGGGCACGCTCGAGCAGATCATTCGCAGTAATCATCCGTGGAAGTGCGTTTGTTAAGCCGGGCGGAGTCGACAGGGCGCAGATGTATGGGAATTGAAGGATGGAGTGGACGAGGGTGAGGATGAGGTGGGCGGTCGAGTCGAGGAGCATGAACGTCGTGACGGAGATGAGAACGATTCGAGCGGTGGAGTTGTGGAGGCCGTGTCGACTGGGAAGAGAGGTGAAGTGTCAGCTGGGATACGGAGGAAGGTGTGGGATAGCTCACATCAATATATGTGTCGAGAGCATGTATAGACACAGGAAAAGTCCTGCGTCCAGGCTGTTGGTCAATGGCACGGCGATGATAGGAATCGTAATTCAGCGCACCATAGGTCATGGCCTCACAGGATGCCTCCAACATCCACATTTTTAAGGATTGCGGCCATGTAGGATCCCACCCCGGACAGAGATTCGGCGCGTCCGAATCCGACATTCTCGCTCGAGAAAGGTGGTATAGCACGAAGGCAAGAACCCGAAAACTCAGAACTATGAGGTCTAGTACTTAGCTGGGCAAGGACGAGAAGGGATCAGCGTCGTCCTCAAGCCATGTCCAGCTCACGACCGACGAAGCGAGAGTATTAGTACTTCACGCATAGGGCTTACGTCGTGATTCCCTGACTGTAATGCGAGCCTCGGTGGCTTGGTGGTTTGCTCCGCTCCCATGTGGGAGAAACTGAGAAACGAACCTGATTCTCATATCGAAATCGCTCGGATCTGGCGAACGAAGCAGGAGGATTCTCCTTCGGTATCTCTACAGGCCAGGGAAACCTTGTTTTACCAAGTGTGATTACGATGTTACGGGGACAGTGTCCAATCGATTTCCGAGCTGGAAAGAGACGAACAAGAGACGAAAGAGCTGTGCTCAGAATATGTTGGGGGTGGGCGAAAAATAGGCCAGTGCAAGAGATTCGTATCGCAGCTAGTAGGTGTCAATGAGTGATAACAAAGTTCAATGTAGCAAAGCAAATCGGCAGACTCGTCGAGAGAGCCCTGTTCACGCGCAGTCAAGACAGAGCAGCTGCTTGCGCATGGGAAACGGGGAAAGAAAGTTTCACACAGGCAGACACTAGATATGATTGCCGATCAATGAGCAACCCTGCATCATCACGGATATAGCGCGCATCAAAATCAGCTTCAGGATCACGAACGCGTTCAGAACGACAAAGTAGAGAGGCCTCGAGAGCGATCTGTGCTCGGAGTCGACTATGGACGTGAAGCCGAGCCACGAATGATGCATGAGACACAAGAAGTGAAGCTCGAGGATGAAGAAGGGAGGATGGGCATAGTCTCACGATAACCCGCATGACGAGAAAGAAGGAATCGCACATAGCGCTACCAGACTTTCCACCAAATACCATCCACCTATCATGCTATTCAGCGGCTGAGTGAATGTTAACTTTCGGTGCTGTGACGAATTGAAGCGAACGCACCAAGCACCGGAGAAGCAAACGAGTTCACGAGGTTTGACTGTGCAGGGCTTCAACCTCTCAGAAAGACGGGCTTCGGGCTCGGCTATGTTCATTTCGCGTGAGATCGTTGTAGTTATCCTCTCGCTCGCCAGACCAACGCAGCCCGGCCCAACTTTGTCCGACCTTCCACTCCCTCAGGAGAAGCCGTCCCCGTCTCTGTCACGACTATACAGTCGGCTCTCTTCTCCACCAGTCGAAGATTGTCGCTTCTCCATCCGTCCCCGTCAATTCACATACTCATCTTCTTCCACTCCCCCACCCCATGAATTGCAGAATCAACGCGCACCTCTCCCTCCCCACCCCTTCTCTCTTCTCCTCCCCCTCCTCCTCGCTGCCACATCCACCCCCTCCTCTGAGCGGTGAACTTAAAAAAACTTCTGAGTCTGATCATGGCCAATCGGCTGTGAAACCAACACAGTCCTCAGCTTCGGACATCGATCGGCGAGTGCTCGTATCCTCGGCGTTAGTCTGACTGCGAGGTCGTTTATGGCTTCTGTGTCGTCCGAGAAGAGGATCTTGCCTGGTTCATATGAGGGAAGGATCGTGCCGGCTTCGACTGAGGGAGGGATCTTGCCAGCTTCTCTGTCGTCGAAGAGGATGGAGAGATGAAGGGTTCTTAGGGAGCGGAGGAGGGGTGTATTTGGAGCAGGAGAGGAGAATTGACCAGAGGATTTTCTGGGATATCGGGGAGAGAATTGAAGTTAGTGATCGAGTAAGGAAACAGGATCGTCCGGGTGATGGTGGTATGGAACACTTACGTTGATACTCTGGTCCCTCCCATCATCCATATCGAAATTCAACCATATTTCGGCGCAGGTAGGGAGGTTTTCGAGTATACAAGAAACAACGTCTTCCGTCCTATCCTCTATGAACACCTTCACCTTCTTCGTGCACATTGTCATCCCATCTCTCCCTCCCTCGCCTTCCTCACCCAGGATGTGTCTCGCCTCCTCGCCTCTGACCAGATGCACGCACCCAAGTCGGAAATGCAGGCTCAACCCCCGATCTGCTACGGCTTTGTAGAGTTTCGAAACGCACGGGAAACCCTCGGGTTCATTCGCCTCGCAGTTCGATAGGATGATATTCGTGAGCGAGGGATGTCTAGCGATGAACGCATCCGGTTTCCACGCAGAATCGGTCGGAACTGCTTTGAACTCGAGCGTTCGAAGTTTCCTGAATGTCGGTACGATCAGGTCGCCTAGGAAGGACGTGTCACGGGCGGAGAGGACGAGACGGTCGACGGAGATGCTGTTGGCGGGGCCGTTACCGAATAGAATGCGCAGGTTTACCTGTCTGAAGAGTATGTGGCCTGAGTTTTCCTCGGCGCAATGAATGCGAGATAAAGAGGGGGCTGGGTCGCGTTTGGTCCTGGGGTGGAGTATAGGAAAGAGGCTGGGGAAGGAGACGGTGTGGAGGGTGGGATGGGCGTTGAACGTTGATCACGGTCATGAGTCTCTGGTCGATGTAGAATTCGTCTGTTTGGGAGGTGAAGGATAGGAGAGACGGGAGGCGTGCGAGGAGGTTTCGGGTGAAGGGGCTGGTGTGGCGGTTTGCGTTGACATTGGGTGCAGAGAAACCGCCGAGAGCACCGTCCGTTGGCACTCCATCCCATTCCTGCCGTTGTGTTCGCTGACAGAATGTGATATGTCTAAGGATGTACGGAATTTCAGAGTTTTCTCTGTATGACACAATAAAGCGGACAACCGAATCCGTCCCGATAGTGTCGTAGAGAGACGGAAAGAAGATTGACCTTCGATTTGTGGCGCAGAGACCACGGAGGGTGGGATCGAGCTCGATGATGGGGCCTTTGATACTTGACTCGGACGAGCGGTCGAATACGTCGCCGTGGACATAGGAAGGGATACTCGAGGGAATTTGTTGGATGAGCTCGGTGGGGAGAGAAAAGAGAGACATAACGGAGTGTCGTGCATCGATACTGTAGTTTTTCGACCATATGTTCGTCACGCATCACGCAGGGTGCGCCGGCGAACATATTTGACCCAATGGTCACGCAGATACGCGGGTCCACGAACAGTAAATCGTGACCAATTTGCACCGAAATTGCCCGAGAATCAATTTTTGTGTCGTACTGCGAACAATTTCATTGGTCCGTCACGCGTGGCCCAGCCAAACGAACCGTGGCCTGGCGAGTGTCACGTCTGACATAATCTTCCCACGAACTTATGGTCGAAAAACTACAGTATCGACGTTGCCGTCAGAATGAACCCACAACGCCAAGAGGGTGGCGGTGGCGTCTTCATCAGCGCACGTTTCTCACGGCCTTTCAAAGTTCCAAATTAATTCAACCAAAACTGAACATCGCCATCGAATTCCTTGTCAGCACTATTCAGAGAACCCCTGATACTAAGAACATCACTGCCGGTACCCAAAATATTCGAGTTCGAAGGTTTGCGCCACAATCGTACGTGGTCGAGAAAGTCGGATAAGTATACAGTATGTCTACCACCATTTGATACATTACTTTTATTCCCGAATCAGAACGAATCAAGTCATCGTGTTCTGGAGAACGAAGGAGACCACACGATGACAGCAGCTCTTCCTTCAAACCGTTCCCTGTCCAACAACATTTCCACCGGATGATGATGCCACAAAAGTGCTACTAAACAGCTCGCTATCAGAAAAATCCGCGGGTTTCTTCGCTCGGTTCATAGGCGCAGCAGGACTGAATTGAATGGGTTCCAGTGGCATCGGAGGAGGTCTTGATACCGAGTAAACGTTATCTGGAGTGGAGCGCTGAAGTGAAACGAGTAGGATGATGAGTGTTGGATAGATTCCCTGTACACATCGGAGGAGGTTGAGTTGGACGCAGTGAGAGTGCATGAGATGTCTGGGTCACGTACGGAAATATTGGGCTGAGGCCACCCAAAGCCAAAGTCGCCAGTTACTCCGAAGTCGCTGAGTAGCGTTAATATCTAGTTCAAGGTATGAGCGTTGAGATAATATCGCCCAGCGCAGAAGTCTTCCACACGCACCCAGTAGATGCAATAAAGCGCACCAGACTCGACCAAGAGGGTGAGCACACTTTCTACTTTGGTTTTTGAGCTTCCTCTGTTGACGAACTCTTTCACGGATCGTCGATACAACCTACCGGGACGAGAGGTAAGTATACCAGCAGCAAAAACCCAACGAAGCAACGCCATACCAAGCCTTCGATGCGATAGCCGCCGTCGCACCAAAATTCGTGAAGAGAAGCCCAAAGGTTCCGAGCATGTTCTGCTCCAGGGTGGGATATCTGTGGTCCAGTTTGAAGGACAAAACGTTGAGTACAGCGAGGAATATGGATGTTACTAAAATGTGTCAATAGTCAGCATCATTGCATTGCGCTAGTGGTAAAGCCTTCTCTGAGGTGTAAGTACCTGCGGTAGCCAGAAGACAGAACGCCAAAGACCCACGGACCCAATGATTCCGTGGCCAAATCACCCATGCACGCCATACAACGATAACATCACTGATGAAATATTGTGCTCGTCCCAGAAGCTCTATCGATTCATACATCCGGTTGAGGCGGGCAAAGTACCCGTCTGGTGCGACGGTGGCGCAGATGTATGGCCATTGTATTATATACCAGAGAAGATGAATGACGAGGTGGGCTGTGGATATGGAGAACATGGTGAGGGTCACAGCAAGGAGTGTCATTCGAGCATAAGAGCCTCGTAGACCTCTGGATCTGAGAGATGTTCAGACAACGGGTTCAAGTACGGATCAGTAATAGGATTTGGGACGTACACCAGGATATATGTGGACATGATGATTAAGCACAGGAAGATGCCTAACGAGACTCGGCGTTCAGTATCGGCTGAAGCATTCAAGGATGGCAAAGTCATCACGCACCGTATGATGCCGCCTCGACCGTCATCGTCAACATTGCCAGCTTGATGCTGTACGGGATACTGTCGTCCCATCCCGGACATGCATTATCGTCAGAGTTGGCCATTGAAGTGGATGTCACTGGGGGAGGAAAAGAAAAGACGCGCATGAGACGCCAAAAGGCCGAGTATTTGTATGCAGAGAGAAGGACGTACGTACACGTTGGAGCCCGAGGCGTAGTTTATCGGAAGCCGCTAGACCATAAAGAAGCTAATAGCACGTTCATTGCACAGATTTCAGGACAATGCAGTAATATTCTGCTATCACGCCCTGGCAACTTGGGGCTGTACGGGTGTGCTGAGAGCAGTGCTGAGATGAAGACAAGAAGGATGTCTCGACGATCCCAATGATGGGGAATCAACAGACAGGTTGTCGTCCCATTTCCGAGACCGGAAACTAGCAACGGAGGATCAAACTGGTTTGATCGGGTTCAAAATGACCGGACTCAAGCGCTCGCCAGTGCCCATAACGGCGTCTAAGTATCAAAATGCGTATCCCTGTGGCCGAACGTGACTCAACTGTTGATGGATATGGGTGAATCTACATATATCGCGCGATCGGAACAAGTGTTAGCATTCTTTGTCGCCGCCATTGGCGAAGTGAGTGTAGGATAGGCTCAAGCAGGGAGCTCGATGTAATTATTGATGCGAGCCTGATTGGTAGAATGAATAGGGGGGGTAGATGAGCGAGACTACCTAGGGAAATGATACAAGTACACGGGAGGGTAGGTGAAGTCGAAGAGCGCTTGAATGAGCAAAGTAAGCAAGACTGAAGTTTAGGACCAAAGAGCACGAGGTACACCATGCAAGCTAATGCATACGCCCCAATCTGTCAGACTGCGTTGTGCTCAGCATCGTGTACCCGGGTAGAGACTACACCTATACGAGTGTCGTTAAACAGGTCTTCTCCTGCTCTTGCGAGTGGGGGAAGCCTCCCTGAAGTGCATAGGTTCGAGAGACTTCCGGAACTCTGATGTATTTGTGAAAACGGAATCGGGAGTCGACCGCTGAAGGGCGACGAGCAGGATGATTAGAGTCGGATAGATGCCCTGGTGAAGAGTGGTCAAAATACGATGCGAAGTTAGTGATGTGGGAGCGATTGCTCCTGGACCATGACTTGCTCACCGAGACGTTGGGTTGGGGCCACCCGAACTCGAAGCTGCCAAACTTCCCAAAGTCACTGATAAAGTTCAGCACCTGTAGACGGATGGTCAGTATAACATAGTGGGGAAGTCAGTCGGAACCTTCATACCCAGTATATACAGTAGACCGCTCCTGACTCCACGAGAAGGGTAAGCACGCCTTCGACCTTCGTTTTTGAGCTCCCGCGGTTAAGAAACTCTTTGACTGACCGCCGGTAAAGCCTTACAGATTCAAAAGATAAGGCCACCGAGAACAACTCGCTTACATCGAGGGAGTTGACGTACCAAGCCTTCACTGCGATGGCGATGGTGGCACTGAAGTTGGTGAAAAGCAGTCCGAACGTGCCGAGCATATTTTGTTCGAGAGCCGGGTACTGACGTACTCCCTGAGTTTGGTCGGAAAGAACATTGAGGACGGCGAGATATATGGACGTCACTATCCAAGTGAATGAGGGTTTCACAGAAACCGGAAGATAAGATGCAATCATGCACATACCTGCAGTACCGAAAAGAGAGAACAGAAGGGACCCACGAACCCAGCGATTGTCGTACCATACGGCCCACGCACGCCACACAACGATGGCATCGCTGATGAGGTACTGTGCTCTGCTCAACACAGATATGGCCATGCTCATATGCCATATTTTCGCATAGTACCCGTCTGGTGCGAGGGTGGCGCAAATTTCAGGCCACTGTATCAGATATAAGATAGTACTGAGGATGAGATGTGCCGTTGAGATCGCAAACATGGTGAGTGTTATGACGAGGAGGGCAATTCGTGCATAAGATCGTCGTAGGCCTTGAGATCTGGAAGGCCGTCAGTTGTAGTAGAATGAGGCATAAAATGGGTGACACAAACACCAGCGTGTATGTGGACATGATTATGAGACAGACAAAAATACCTGGAGAAACGTATTCAGCACCGTATAGTTAACACTGAAAGCAACATTTACTCACCGTAGAACGCCGCCTCCGTCACCGTGATTAGCATTGCGAACCTTATGTCGTGAGGATATTTTGGATCCCATCCCGGACACGGATTGTCGGCCATGACAGTCGTAGGTTGGTCGTAGGCGAGAGGATGGGGATCGACAGAGGTTGATCTGGTTTGCAGACGCAAAGATACAGGAAGTTATGTATAAGGTCGTGAACCAGGCACGACGAGCACGCGTTCATGGCGGTGTAGAGCACAACGAGGCAGCGAGATGCTCAAATGCAGGCACTGGACACAAAACTAACCCGTAAGAAGATGAAGGATGCCTTCAGGGTGCTACACGAAATGATTCGCGAGCGATCTGATACAAATGTACTTGATGGTCTTGGCGTGCACTGGAGCAGCGCGTGATGGACTTGGAGCTGTCGGAGAGTAGCTATAAGAAGTGCCTGCACCTGGTCAAGATCCAATACCCGATACCTAGAAATTATCTACGCAAGATGCAGGTGCGGTACGGCCGAGTTTCAGAAAGCTCAGAAAGCGGCCCAGTATCAGCACCGGCCTTTACGTCATGTTCGAAATCCAAAGGACCTATACAACCCATCAATTTCAAAACATAGCGTGGTGATGGCGGTAGATACGGTCATTGAGGTTCACCGGAGGACGAAGCTAGTCTGATAGTGGACGTTCAACCCACTAGCAAATAAGAAAAGGGGGATTCAGCAGGATTCAGCCTTGAAGAGCCCGCTATCAGAAGCGAGGCGAAAGAAATTGCAAGGGGATCGTTTGGCGGCGAGTCCAGATTGCATCCCTCTGCTCATTGATGTTCTAATAAAGAAAAAGCGGTTACCGCGAACGTGTTTTTGAGAGCCACTGCCGAAGACATGAACATGTGGATCGAGAATGAGCTTTGTGCCCAATTAATTTCTCAGAAGAGCCTAATCGGGCCATTCATCCAGCAACGGCCGAGTGGAAGCGTTCCGCGCGACAGCGTTCAGCGATGTGGCTCCAGGATGAATATGTCTCCAGGCTGAGTTAGAACGACTGGACGGGTATTGGTCTTCCTTTCGCTCGCCGCTGGAGAAGTGCAGGCCAGAAGCAGAGTCAACCATGCAGGCCGCTAAAAACATGCATCGCTGCAAGCGTGAACACTGTCGGATTCACGGTTAAGTTTGTGATAGATAAGCTGAATAAATTGATCCGATAAGAATGGAGAATATGAGTGCGACTTCTTACCGAGGATTCATGGAAAGGACGTTGAAACACTCACCACAGAGTTAGTACAATATGAGCCGAAACAGAGACCGTGAACACGACAGCCCATCTCACTCCATTCCAACCTTTTAGACCACTCCGCGTTCAAAATCGCCGCTGCGAGCAGAACTTTCACCGGTGTTGGTGTCGGTGAAGAGCTCACTGTCGTAAGTATTTCGGGGTCCCTTCCGACTCTTGCCAGTGAGAGAGGCTTCCTTGAAGCGCATGGGCTCAAGAGTCATCTGGTATTCGGACATTTCCGTGAATACGGTATCTGGAGTGGAGCGTTGAAGGGCCACAAGGAGTATGATCAGGGTTGGATAAATCCCCTTGCAGACCAACCGAATACATTTCGGAGTCAGCACGGTACAAAACCCTCTTACAAAGCTATGCAATGTACGTACCGATACATTGGGTTGTGGCCACCCGAATTCAAAGTCGCCAAACTTCCCAAAGTCGCTGATGAAATTTAGAACCTGTGGATTCCGATCAACATAGCGTTCCGGCAAACGTGCGCGCTCTTCGTACCCAGTAGAGACAGTAGACTGCTCCAGACTCTACAAGGAGCGTGAGCACTCCTTCGACCTTCGTCTTCGAGCTACCGCGATTGAGAAACTGTTTGACGGATCGTCGATGAAGCCTGGCAAATCAAAGATGAGACCGTTGAGCGCCATCGTGACAAGGAAGCTGACGTGCCAAGCCTTCACCGCGATGGCGATGGTGGCACTGAAGTTGGTGAAGAGGAGTCCGAACGTGCCGAGCAGATTCTGCTCGAGAGCTGGGTACTGGTATGTGCCGTGGGATTTATTGGAAAGAACATTGAGGACGGCGAGGAATATGGACGTCACTAGTTGAAGATATGAGCGCTTCACGGAAACTGATAGATAATATGAGGCCACGCACGTACCTGCGGTACCGGAAAGAGAGAACAGAAGGGACCCACGAACCCAGCGATTGTCGTACCATACGGCCCACGCACGCCACACAACGACGACATCGCTGATGAGGTATTGCGCACGGGCCAACACAGCTATGGCCCCTCTGATACGGTATAATCTTGCAAGAGGCGTTTCCGGAAAGACAGTGGCACAAAGGTAAGGCCACTGCATGAGATACAGAATCATACTGAGGGTAAGATGCGCCGTTGAGATCGCAAACATGGTGAGGGTGATGGTAAGGAGTGCGATTCGTGCATAAGATCTTCGCAGGCCCTGAGATCTGGATAGATATTAGCTGTGATAGGACATTGTGATAGTATAATGGGTGCCACTGACACTAGCGTGTATGTGGACATGACTATGAGGCAGGCAAAGATACCTGTAGTAACGAATCTAGCGTCGTGTACGCAATTCGAAAGCAATATCAGCTCACCATAGAACGCTGCCTCCGTCACTGTAGTTAGCATTGCGAGCCGTATGCCGTGAGGAGTCGTTGGATCCCATCCTGGACATAAGTTATCGGCCATTGAGTTCGTACGCCAAAGACACCTGGAATCGACGCGGTACGATCTGGTTGTCCGTTGCTAAAATATGGGAGTAGTATTAGTGTCGGCACTCCGAGAACGTGCACGCGTCCGTGGCAGTGTAGAGCAGTATGCTGTCAGGTAACAGAACCAAAGCTAGGACAGCCGACGCATCAACGCGTTTCATAAAATGATGGCCCACAACACGATATGCGTGTTGATATCGTTTGTTATTTCCCGACTAACTCAAAAACAAGCCCGCGTAGGACATAGCCTCGGAGAGTAGACGATTACCTACGCCTGGACAATTACACCGGGCAACCAGCTACAAGACCCCAGATACGATGTGGCCGTGTTTCAAGGGGTGTATAGCAGGAATCAGAGCAGCTATGCACGATGTCCTGCGTTGCATTTGGCGTTACGAAGTTGTATCGTACCGTCAGGAGACATATGGAAGAAAAAGAGCGTCGGTGGCGTTGACCGGCCAATGTAATTAACGCCCATTCAGCTCAGTGAGGTGACGAAAGGTTGCCGAATCGAATACAGCGGGCGCACCAGTTTCTATGACTGTTGCAAGAAACTTATCAATAAAGCATGCAGAACTGAAGAACAGACTAGACAAGCGTGAAAGATTTCGGTAGCTTGTATCCCAACAGAAAACATGACCGTGGACCAGGGCAAGAGAGTCCTTGAGGGAGCCACATATCAGAAACGAAAGGGAAAGGGTATCGCGGCGGAGGCATAAAATATTGGCAGAGGTACCGACCTTTAATATACCAGGCCGCTTAGAGTAGGATGATAACTGTACGTCGCCACCTCTTCCCACGTCAAAGACAACCAACTCCACTTTTCTCTCTTCTTCACCATCTTCCCTATGTCCGATACCCAGCCCTCATAGCCCTCTATAGGCTTGAACACATGTCCCAACAAGACCTTTTGTTGCAACTGGGAGAACCACAGATCGTGACGTGGTTCGGGGACTGGCCAGATGTTCTTCTCTCGTACTGCTTCCAAGAACGAGTCCTTCGTGAGCATGATGGCGCTCATCAAATGCTGATCTATGTCGACAACTTCGAAGTGGCAAGGAACGGTACCGATACACGGTTTGCCAGGAATAGCTCTATGCTTCTTGTCGAATTCGACGAGGTTATTGGCGAACAGGTCCCGTGGCTGTGTCGGGGAGGACGCGAAGAGCATCTCGCGAGGTCGAATTGCGCCTGTCATGATATGAAAGAATCGAGTCGGGTCATCCGTCGTGGTCATCACGAGCTTGTAGCTGATAATGTATATGGTAAGCATCGAAGTCAAAGTCATCGACTTTGTCGTCGGACTGGAAGTCGCAGATAGCGGCATAAGCCGCCTGATGAAAAGAATGATTGTGTGCGTGTACAAAGTCATCGAGGTCTTTCGCTGCAAGGGTGGAAGCAGCGCCTTCGGCACCACGCTCCATTAGGATTGCGTGCTGCTCCTGCTGCCAGAGGCAAAGAGGCCTTGGCACTTCGTTAGCGACCGACCATACTCTACAGCACTTATTCTAGGTGAACGTACTTGTGTTGTCTCCAATGAGACTTCTGACAGGCCTTGTCGCAATATACGACGGTCCTGCAGCGTTTGCAACACCTGTGTTTGCCCGTCGCGGCCTTCGGCGGTGTTCCACAATTCGAACATTTGTCGTCTTTGTGATACATCTTGGGAAGACCAGCATCACTAGTGACTTCCGTGTCCATTCTGATATTATGCAGAGAAAAGTTAGTTTAGGAAGAAAGGTCTCAAGATATCCCTTAGCAGCGATGAAAGTCGGCCTACGCGTATATCGAGCGAAGAGCGTTGCACGAACTCACACAGCCACTTTCACTCTTCGAATACGGACGAAGTTGGCGTAGCCCTGAATCAAGAACGAAAGGGTTACTAGATCTATGTATACCAGTATGAGCAGCTGCGAGCCAAGGTCAATTTCAAGTCGTGGTGGGAGAGAGAGAGAGAGACGCGCACGCGAAGTTGTTGGGACGCGAGAGTTGAACACTAACTGGCAACCGGGTTTACCCGGCAAGTGTGGCGATACAATAGTTCGTGAGCCATGTCTCTTGCGCCTTTCATCGGACACTTCTCCATGAGATAAAATACAACACATGCTCCTCGTCATTGTATATTAGTCGGAAGGGATGATGTCTAATATATAATGCCAGAATACAGACGATGGTACCCGTACTGCTCTATTTCTTCATCCGTAAACGCCACCCACGTCCACTTCCCCTTCGTCTTGACCATCTTCCCAAAATCCAGTATTGCCTTATTCTCCAAACCCTTCATATGATGAAACACATGTCCCAACTCCACCTTCTCCTGCAGCCACTCGAGCCAACGGTCGTGACGACGCTCTGGAAGCTCCCAATTGTTCCCCCGCACATATTTGAGAATATACTCGTGCTTCAGCATATACCCAACGATCACATGCTCGCCCGAGCCCTCAATCGCGAAACAGCACGGAATGACGCCGATACATTCCTGATGATCATCCGGCGCCACAGTACGGTGGTGTTTGTCCAGATTGGCAAGGTGCTGAGGGAGGTCAGCCCAGAAGGTTGAATTCGCAGTGGTCTGCCTATTGAGCAGCACATTGAGTTCCTCGCGAGGCCTGAGGCCGCCTTGAACGACGCGGAAGTATTTACTCGGGTCGCCGCCGGAGTGAGAGCCAGGTCGGTATCGACGGCGGACTTGGATGAGGATGTAGTGTGCGTCGAAGTCGAAGTTGTCGACTTTGTCATCGGGTTGGGAGGCGCAGATGGCGCCGTATGCGGCCTGGATGAGGGATTGCCTGTGAAGGCCGCTGAAGACGTTGAGGTGCCTGGTGTCATTCGCGCTATCCGGCTTGCTACCGGTTGCCTTGGCCTCTTCTTGGTCGGTACGATTTCTTTCTGCCATCACAAGGCAGAACGGCCTTTGGCACGCGAATGGTCAGGTGTCCGGGACGACATGGAGAGGATGAAGAGTAGAGGAGACGCACTTATGCAGTTTCCAGTGTTTTTTTTGGCACTCATCGCTGCAGTACACGACAGTCTGGCAGCTCGTGCACGAGCGAAATTTACCTGTGGTCGGTGGTCTGCGACAGTAGTTGCAGTAATCCTTGGCATATATCTTTGGCACTGATGATGTCGATTTCTTGGTGTCTTCCATGGCTCAAGTTGGCGCTGGGAGAGATAGATCAGTTTATGGTGAACGAGATACGTGATGAACACTGGAAGGTGTCCCTATAGTGGCCCGCCAACAAGCCTCTGTGCCTCAAAAAGACCAAGGGCACTAGCGGATAGTAATGTCGTGCCAGTACGCCATGGCGCCGACACAATGGAGTGATGGTGAAAGACTCACCTCAGAAGTAAGATACAGTTGCGTGGTGCGAAAGTTTAGTTCGATTGTAGGACAGAGACAGAACGATGAGATGGAAGATGGTGAGAGGAAGGAGGTTGGAAGGAAGGAACGGTTTATAAACCTCAAGGTCCGTCTCTTTGACACGCCTCCCACGCCACAGATAATCGATAATCGGTTACTAGGCAATGCCGCGTGTCAATGTGGCACATTGACACTGGCGCAGACCCGCGCCACACTCAGTGGCCCGCTTGCTTTCTTTGACTGAAAACACGGCCTTCCGGGCACCACCTGAGACCGTCCAGCGTAATATTATATCCCATTGCATGAATTGATAGACCATGGTCCACTTGGAGAGTGTATGTTGGATCGGACAAGGGGTCGTCGGGTTACGTTTCTTCCGCCTTCTCTGGACGCTTGTCCATGACCTATGATACAACAAATGCTCTTCGTTATTATCCGTTGGTCAAACGGTGCTATGATGTCTAATACAAAAGTCCAGAAATAAGACGATGATACCCACACAGCTCCAATTCCTCATCCGTAAACGCCACCCACACCCACTTCCCCTTCGAATTCATCTCCACCATCCCCCAAAATCCTGCACTCCCTTATTCTCCAACCCCTTCACAGGATAAAACACATGCCCAAACTCTACCTTCTCCTGCAACCACTCGAGCCACCTATCGTGTCTACGTTCCGGAATATCCCAATGATTTCGGCGCATGTATTTCAGCATATTATCGTGCTTCAACGTATACCCCGTGACGAGATGCTCGTCCGATCCCTCAATCACGAAATAGCACGGAACGACGCCGATACAATGGTCAGGCGCCACGGTACGATGATGTTTGTCCAAGTCCGCAAGATGCTGCGGAAACTCAGCCCACATGGACTTCGCAGTGTCCTGTATCCTATTGAACGGCATATACAGTTCCTCGCGCGGCCCAAGTGCGGCATGGACGACACGGAAGAATTTGCTCGGGTCGCCGCCAGAGTCGGAACCGCGTCGATATCGACGGCGGAGATGAAAATGGATGTAGTGGGCGTCGAAGTCGAAGTTGTCGACTTTGTCGGAGGGTTGGGAGTTACAGATAGCGCCGTAGGCGGCTTGGACGAAGGAGTGTCTGTGGAGGCCGCTGACAGAGGTGTTTGGAGTCGTCGGTGCTATCTGGCTTGCTGCCCATCGCAGCGGCGTTTTGTTGGCTGATACGGTTCCTTTCGATCCATTGGAGGCAGAACGACCTTTAGGTTCAGACGCGAACCGTCAGGAGCTTGGCAGGAGAGGATGAAAGGAAGGGGGGACGCACTTGTGAAGTTTCCGGTGCGTTTTTTGACACTCCTTGCTGCAGTATACGACAGTCTTGCAGCTCGAACACGAGAGAAGTTTACCTGCGATGGGAGTAATTACAGTAATCTTTCGCGTATATCTTTGGTACCGATGATGCGGATGTCTTGATATATTCCATGGATAAATATGGCGCTGGAAGAGATAAATCAGTTATGGTGGACGAGATACGCGATGAGCACTTGGAGAAGGTGTGCGCGAGGTCCTTATATCGGCACGCCGAAAAGCATCTGTACTGGAAGCTCAAAGCCCCAGCGTCAAGGGGCGTCGCACCAGTACACTACAGGGTCGACCCAACGAAGCGGAGATCAAAGACTTACCTCAGAAGTCAGATAGTTGCATGCTGCAAAAGCTTAGCTTGATTGTAGGGCATCAACAGAACGAAGAGATGGAGTAAGGTGAGAGAAAGGGATGTTGACGCCTTTGATGATCGATCCGGGCACTGTGGCACCAATCTGGGCCACATTCGGTGGCTCGCTTTGCTTTCTTTAACTGTATTTGGAAATGATACGCAAAGTGCGACCGGTCCCTCCATTGTTAGCGCGAAGAGGGCTTCCTTGTGCAGCGTCCTTTGCTTTGTGCTTTGAAGACGGAAGATTCCAGCAAAGACAAAGCAAAAGGGACAGGCAAAGTAAAGGAACAAGGTGTAATTTTCGCCGGAAAGGATAAAGAGAATGACAGGCGAAAATGCGGACTTCGCTACGTCGCATTCTTCCCATTTCGAGATGGAGGTACTTGGGAGGTGCCATCGCTGACCGCCGGTGTCAATGAAGTCTGACAGATGGGTGTGAGCTGTGCTGTGAAGGAAGTCGGAGCACGCTCCGAGCGCATTGCACAGCTGAGAGACAATGAGGGTCTACGGGGATAGTAGAGCTGCAGCCAATAGCAGAAGTCGACGGTCAATATCATTATGAGGATCATGTCGACTTGAGTGAAACTCTGATATCTACAGGATCAACATTGTCAATGTAGAGATGGTGTTTGAACCGGTCCAAACACAGGGGTAGACGATGATCGTAGATGCCCCAAGACTCAGACGTTTGCTGGAAATATTGAAAGACAAGGAAGCTGCAGGTCCAGGCGAGCGGTCGTCGCTCAAACCTAGACACTCCCATCGAGGCTGAGCGTAGTGTTCAGCACCGCCATTGAGACCTGTGGGAAGCGATATCATTATTTAGAGCAGCGAACCAAGCAGTCCTAATATCAGGCGGAGAAGAGAACGAGCTAAAACAGATATAGCACAGCTTGTGGCCCATCGTGTATCAGAGAGTGGGTCATTTGTCTGATGCTGAACACGAATCATTTATGACGAAGATGTGTGGGTTCAGCGTATGGTAGACGCCTGAGCACAGCCCTCAACGACAGAGCGGGAGGTGAGAATCGTCTGAGAAACAGAGAAAAAAACATGAAGTAGAGCACGCCAAGAAGAATACCAAGATGGCTCGTATACCTATACGTGATTGACTTTCACTGAGGCTATGAAAAAAAACTGAAAGCAGCAAGGATCCCAGCAGAGCCGTCGGTCGGGTGGATGATCGCAAGGAGAAAGCAGGAGGAAGAGTGTACACTGATGCTTGCACTACCGTTGGGTGCGGTGGCACCAAGCCGAAGCGTGCGAAAGTACTTCCGAAGATGGTTACTGGGCGATGCGAAGCGGTGGGTGCGGTAGCCCCTCACCCTCACAACGGCCCCGCCGTTTCTCGCAGCGCTCTCTCTTCTCCGCACCCTCCCATCCACGACATATATCTCGGGTGTGGATATACACGTACTCTCCTTTCTTTCCCTTTCACGACAAACAACTTGTAACTTGATTCGACAAGCGCCTCCCGAGCATTCATGACTTCCCCATATCCGGCATATGGCGGCTACAGTTCATCCTATCCTCCTCAAGGGACCTATGGAAACCTCGCCTCTGCATCAACTGTGAATGTCAATGCCGGCGCAATGAAGAACGGGATGGGGAATGGGAGCGGAGTAACGATGGATGGCGGGCCAGGAGACTTGCGCGGTGGAGGGGGCAGGACGCCAAGTCCGACGCCGAGCGAACAGAAGGAGCTGGCTAGAGAGAGCATGTTTGACTGGAAGACGATGATGAGTTGGAGATTTTGGTTCAGGAGAGAATGGTTGTGTGCGTCCCTTCCTTTCTGTCTACTTCATCGTCCTGGTTCGCCTGCTGTCGGATCGTACTCATCCGTCCCTGCTCGCCTTCGAACGTTTCTATTTATAGGGTACTATGTTATCGGCACAATCCTCGTCGTTCTCAGTGCACTCATCACCATCTACCACGACCAAATCGTGGACTGGCTCAAGCCAGCCGCAAATTGGATGAAAGAGTACGTCGATATCCACTCATGCGCGTCTATCGTGTGTAAGCTCATGGCTGCGCACAGTCTACCTGCAGGGTGGCTTATTCCCATCGCAATCCTATTCGTTATATCGTTCCCTCCAGTAAGCCTATCATTTTGCTTTGGAAACTTGCGATATCCGTGCGGGGTCACACTTGTATACTCTGGGCGTTCTGAGACCTATTCCCATCGATTGGGACTCTGCCAGCTCTCTGATGCCATTGGCTTTGCATATTGTTCGCTCAGAGAATGCAAGGACCGTATGCATTGCAGTGGCACCGCAATTGTGGCGAGCACAGCCTGTTACCACGTCCAGACCTCGTAGCACGTGGACTGTTGTTGTCTTCTGGTTCTGCGATTCCTAAGAATAGGTGGTCAAGTTCTGTCTTCTGTGATGTGTCGACCGGAACCAATCTCTCGATGGAGAGCGTTCCTGTAACCTGGCATCCGTTGACGCGGGCCACATGTTTGCTTCCGTCAAGCAAGGTGAATTGATTTCGTGGAATGACAGAGCGAATCTCTTGCAGACCCACATTCGGACTGCAATCGTGGAAAGGACTCGGTTGCTTGTTGCGGGTTTATACACATAGCAGACAATAGCCACCGCGCACCCCGTTCTTCATTCCACATACGTCACCACTCTCAGAGCCCTACTTCGCATAGTTTCCGAATACCGTCATACACAAGACAGAACCCTGATCATCATCTCTTCCTTTCAGTTATTCGGTCATGAAGTCGTCGCTATCCTCTGCGGTGTCGTCTGGGGTCTCTGGATCGGTTTCGCCCTTGTCGCAGCGGGTACATTTCTCGGTGAACTCGGCAACTTTTAGTACGTTCTATTTCCATCGGATCCTCCATCATTCTCTGACATGCCTTGTGTGAAATAGCGCGTTCAAATGGTGCTGTCGTGCAAGAGGCGAAAAGCTCGAGCGTACGAGCATCCAGTACGGCTGTCTTGCGCGTGTAGTGAGAGAGGGAGGTTTCAAGATCGCTTTGATCGCGCGGTTTAGCGCTATACCCGGACATTGTGCGTGTTCTCCATCGTATTTCCTCTGTCGCGTGTAATTAATTAGGATATATGACCACAGTTACGACAGCGGTATTCTCAACTTGTGGTATGGGCGTGTGGACATTTGCCCTCGCCGCATTCTTCTCGCTCCCGAAGCAGTTCGTTACAGTCTATCTCGGGGTCCTTCTCGAAAATTCGAGCAGTGAGTACTTCTGAATGTCTCGCGACCTGTGTGAAATGCTGATGAAGGAACTCTGTAGACGAGACGACTGGTCAGAAGATTGCGAGTGACGCGGTGGTGGCGGTCACTGTGATTGTCACGGTCCTCGCGATGTGGTACATCTATAAGAAGATGGGTCAGGTCAAGGCTGCGGTGATCTACGATCGCAGAAAGGCGCGGTAGGCTCTTTTGACTGATCTCGCACGCGAGACTCGCTCATATGTCGCTTTACAGCCAAAACAAGCTCTCGAATCCCTACGGCAACCCATCGACGTCGATGCTCGACTCGTCCGCCTCTCTTACCGGGCCCTCGACGACCGCGTTCAATCCATCGTTACAGACCATCCACGCCGGCTCCGAGACCGACATTCCCCTCCATGCCTCTTCCTACGGTTCCTCGCCCTCCAACGTCCCAGGCAGGTTCAACCCGTCGCCCAACGGCAGACAGCGCGAGCAGACATGGGATGAGAACGGCAGGGCAGTTGGGTATTCGGGTGATCCGCGGCTGTACGCACCGCAACCGCAGAGCGCAGTGCCTAAGTTCAGGGCGGAATCGCCTGCTAATATTGCTGGCGTGGGTGCTGGGCGAAGACGTAGGGATGAGGAAGAAGGTGGTGTGACGTATCCGATTAGTCCGAGGGCGGATGGGAGGATACCGGTGAGACAGGGAAGTGGTGAGAGTGTGGCTGTTAGTGAGGAAGAGGAGGATGCGTATCGGTATGTCACGCAACAGCTGTCACCACCACAACAACCGTATCAGCCTCAGCCTCAGCCTCAACACCGGCCATTCCAACCTCCGACGCAGCCGCCGGCTCAGTCGCAACCTCCGACTATACCACCACCTCCATCGTCGACGTCATACCCGACCAGTGTACGCTCTCAACCACAATCGCAGCCGCATTCGCAGCCACACTCACCTACCGTATCTTACGCGAACCCATACGCCCCTGCGACTTCGCTTTCGATGCAACAGACGTCATACAACCCTACCGCCTACCATCCCCCATCTCAACCCCAATCACCATTCCAACCTCCCGCTCAGATCTCCTACAGCAACTCGCCGACGACCTTCACCCCGCCACCGCTCCCTACGTCCCAAAGTCATCCCTACGCAACCGCCACTCCCGCCTTTTCTCCCCAGATTCCGTCGTTCCCCTCCGCCCCGCAGGCTCACTCGTACAGCAATAGCCCGTATTATGCCGATACGGGGTCACAACCGGGCACGCCGGGCTCGCTGCACAACCCGTACGAAACGGCGTTCGCACAGCAGCAGCAGCCTCAGCAGAGTCCGTATGGAGCAACCGCGTATACTCCTGGTCAGCAGGTACATCCTCAAGGGACGGGCAGCGGAGCGAACGTGACGGGTCCACCGCCAAGTTATAGTACTACTGAGTTACGGTGAGACGTGGTGGGGTGAGACGAGGAGCGGGTGGCGATGAGAGAGGAGGTATTTGGGAGACGGGTGGGCTGTACGTTGTAAGTCTAGTATACCCTGGGCGAAACGCTCTACCTGTCTTCTAGCCTTCCTTCTTTTATTCATCTGCCTTCCATCCTGCTCTTGTTCCACCTGTTCTGCGCTACCCACCAATTACTTGTTTTTTGTATAAGCTTTCCTTCATTCGGGATCGATCTCATCCCTTCCTTTCCATCCACACGTTGAGCTCGCTTTCTCGTCGATCGATGCCTTCCACCTTACATCTACTCCTTCCATCTATTATACCGCCTACAGTTGATGATTTCGATCCCTGGACGTTGAGCGTGCATATCCTTCTCACTTCTCACTTCTCGTTATTCCTATGAATGTGTTCTCTTACTTACGCGTTTGAACATTCAGTCAAAGTGTGTTTCAGTCGTGTATTTATTTAACATTACCTTCCTCCCTCCCTCCCCCCCTACCTTCATCCCTCCTACCTCTCTACCTCCCGTCCCTCTCTACCTACCTACACGCACAACTATCGTACTGCAACACCATTCGGTCCGTCTCCTCCCCGTTTACAGGTTACAGTCAGTCGACTCTCTTATACATACATAAGTTGTATATAGTTGTTTTTCTTTCTAAGTTCTACGTCTTGTGTCTCTCTTTCGTTGTTTCGTCTTTTTGTTTATGATGGAAACGGACTTCTTCTATCGGATTTCTTTCGATCTCTGTGATTCGTGCGTGTCTGGCTTCAAGCTTTCACTGAGGGTGTTAGGTCTTGGCCGTCGGGTTTCAGCGGCCTTGTGGAGTACTTAGCTGTCGGCTGAGAGGTCTTGATGTGGTTGGTATCCGTGCTCGCGGTCGAGGACGGTACCGTGCTCACTCGTCGAACATGTCACGGTGATATACAGACACGACCCTGACGCTCAGATGACGAATGTAAGTAAGGGAAGGAAGGCGACACTTCTGGATGTTCTGGATGTTTCGTATTCTATGTGTTGTGTACAGTTTCCGTCCTCGTTTTCTGCACCGTCCTCATAGGTTTCGGATCTCTGGGTGGAACTTGAGACAGTCACAGGTAGATTTTGCATCTGTCCTGGTTCTTGGAGAAGTCCGCCAAGTGGCGACGATCTGCCTGGATACATAGGCCGCAAAGGAAGCCGAGACGCAAAGAGGACACCAACACCTCAACCTCCCTGTGGATAACCACTCGAGAACCAAGCTACTTCGCTAGGCCTCCATACGTGAAAATGCAACAAACACACTCTAAGTGCGACCTGACTGAGTGTCCTTCACGAGTCCTCGCCTCTGATCTTCCGTGTCGTCCAATAGAGTGGTATCTGTGTCGTCGAAAAAGTCCAGTAGCCAGCCGTGAAGAGGATGCGAAGAAAAGACTCGAAATCTCCCAGGTGCCTGTGGCGGGGGACACGGCGCTCTTCGTCCTCGAAAGCGGAGGGATTGTCTGTTACGTGGGCCGGCGTGATGAGGAACTTCGTTGTGTTAGTAAAGGAGCAGATATAGACGAAGGGCTCGTTACGTTCGACGATATGCTGAATTTGCTTGTTATGGACGATGGTCAGAGTGGCTATGTCCAGGAACTCGAATGCGTCCTGATAAATTACCAGTCGACTCAGTCCGCAATGATCGAAGACCTTATCCTAGGTGAGCACTTTCTGACCCTGTGGTCAGAATCAGCTTTGTCGAGGAAGGTTAGTAACTGTCGCGGCAAAGAGGTTGATGAGCTGATTCGGAGACATACAACAGTCAGCGCCAAGTTCAGTTGAGAATATCCAAAGGTGTATACTTTTCATTAGGGCATGCATCACCCGAAGGAATTCGAGGTCGTGAGTATACATCTAGATGAGCGGATAAGCGGTGAAGCTCTCGAGCTGGTACCGGACGTCTTAGGCATCATCTTCACCGGGCCTTTGGAATACGACGCTACCAAAAGAATAAGATTGCATGTATCATTCGAGACGGTGCAGATTGGGGTCAGGGAGACGATACCAAAAGCATTGCCGTGCAAAACTGGGCCGGCTCCTAGGCAAAGGGTGTCTTCCAGAGTGAGCTAGTCTTCACCGGAAACCGCCGTCGTGGTGCAAACGGCCTCCAAGTCGTAGCTGTTGACGTAACAGGGATGTGCGAAACCGAAGTTTTGAGACGAAGTGAGAGTCAATTGCATCGATGGTAGGGACAAGGTGCCGTTCATACAACCAGGAAAAAGATAGCAAAAGAGAGCAAGACATAACAGGTGAGAGCGCAAAGCTCATTCAACGTCCGCTTGATAGCGATTTGTGAATACAAAAGCGTAAGACCCTCCTTTTGTTCAACCAATCAAGCACGACCATCGGGTCGTCGCGACAGACTGGCAGACACAGCTGCTACAACAGCAGAACAAATGTTCAGGTGGCCCTGTTGCAGTTCGCCTTGTGTCCAATTCTGTTGTCAGGCGTTCGTAAGTTAATGATGAAAGAGGGAAAGAATAGAAAAAGAAGAGGCATGCGGACGTACTTCCAATCCTTGGTCTGGCATTCTTTACTGCAATCTAAGGACGCGGATCGTGTTTAGTCTGGATCATCAATAGTCATGAGGTCGAGAGGATGACTTACACCAAGCCTTCCTGCACCTGCTGCATCGTTCGAGTTTGACGCCCCGTTTACCGCACGAGTTGCACGCATCAGTCGCAAAGGTGAAGACATCCTCCTGGACCATAGAACCATCCTTTTCCAACCTCACGTTCGGCACTGGATAGCTCGTCTTTCTCCCAGGTGCACCACCCACCCCATCCATCCCTAACACTTCCGCCACTCCAAACGCACCGGCCAACTCTTTCACAAGCTCGGCATTCACCTCGTCATTCTTCACCAGAATCGCCAAGTTATCCTTCGTGTCCTGCACGTCGCTCGAGACGTAACGGTCCAACGGTGTACGGGCGCAGGCCTTATCGTTGAAAGGGGCATATGTGGCCGCAAGATCGAGTGCTTCCTTGTACCTCTTCGCCGCCGTCGCGCGATCCTTTCTATCCCAAGCCAGGAGCCCCAGAGTGAGCCCAGCTGTGACCTGCATCCCCTTGAGAAGCGCCTTTCCTTCATCTGTCCTTCCAAACCTCTCGAACCTTCCGGTGATGCCCGCAACTCCGTCCACCTCGACCTTCCCTGGCCTAAACGCCTCCAACAACTTCCATGCCTCGGGCTTATTCTCCTTCGTGAATCCCATGTTGGGGTCCCTGAAGAACCCAACGAAGTTACGCCAAACCGTACCGAGAATCTGTTCGGGGAAATCGTTGGCTTGGGCTGCCATCTGGGTCAGCATGGACGTGGGGAAACGAGTAACGGGGTTTTCGCGCTGAACGATTTGTTTGATGGAAGAGACATACAAATCCATGGCAGCGTGTGCGTTGCCACGAAGTTGGTACTCCATCTCAGCCTGTTGAAAGAGTTCGAAGCCTGTGGGCATGGTTGGCGGGGATGCTACAGAAGTCGAAGAGAAAATGATCAGTACATGGTAAGATCGTGTTTCATAGAGGAGAAAGTTATCTAACAAGCTAATGTTTTCGAAGGAGGTACGGACGCAGGTCAAGCTGGAGGTTCGCCTGGCGGTGACTTATGAAGATGGTTACGGTCCAAGCGACGGAGAAAACTCTCGAACCTAGTGGTGGCTTTCGGGATTTTCCGAATGGACACGCCACTGGGCAAGAATTGGGCCACATTGTGCGCACACACGTAGAGTACTCAGTACTCAACCCTGGTGACTCCGTCCCCACTGTGACGCATACCAATACTGAGTTACAGCGGCTTTCATATCGATAGATAGCCCTCGACTTTCCGCGAGTGCACCAAACATCAATATAGATGAACCAAACAACTCCCGATCCTGCGGGAGAGGATCTCGCAACCCTGTCCGTTGTCAAAGGGAAGCATCAAAACGACCTCGCGTGGGATTTTTTTATCCCAAGGAGCGAGTGTTTGGTCCGTCTATATCAAGTCTATATTGTGTTTGGCGCACTCGCAAAATAAAGTTGGGGCTATCTATCGTTTTGAATGGCGGGTGACTGCTCCTAGCGATGTCATTCAATTTAAGAGAATGTGCAAATATTTATTTTACACGATTCACTGCGCCATGTATCCCAACCCTTGCCCGTTCCAGCGCGCTCCGATCGAGTGCGTTCCACAAACTTGACACCACATCTAGAAGCAGTAATCCAATGATTTCAATACGAGTTACAGGTGTCATGAAATAAGAACTAACCTCCATTGGCCTCGACATGGTCGCAGCCCAAAATCTATCCCTCTCTGTTAACGCAATGATCGTCCCATTCAGTGCCGCCGCCTCGTGCCTCAATGCCGCCGCTTCGTTCCTCAACGCAACCACCTCGTCCCTGAGATCACGCATGGTTTCATCCTGCGCTCGAATCCTCTCCTCCAGGTCGTGCATTCTCGAAGTCACCAGATATTCGAGAACGGAGGGAGATCCAGTCGGCCGTTCACGGTGGTGTTCGTCCGAATTCGCCAAAGCTCCTGGTTGTGGTGGTCCCACCAGATGAGCTACTTCGTACAGCGTGCTGGTCGCAGTATCTAAGTTTGCGCCGTCCCTCTCTTCTGGGGCCCAGCTCAAGATGGCCGTGATGGCGCTGTTCTCAGAGGAGGACGGGCGATCCTCGTGGGAATCGTCCACATCGCGATTGATGCGTCGCTGTGGCGGGTAGCTGTGCCTCAAATTCGTGGATCGTGGATGGGGTGAAGTGGAGGGTATATCCAGCGGGGAGGTCTGGGTACGAAATAGGGAACTATCGGAGACGTGTTTCTTGAAGAGGCGGGCTGGTGGAGACTGGTACGGAAAGATGAAGAATATAATGAACAACTGTGAAAGGTGTATGCGAGTAATGAGAGTAATTACGCTGTTGTCCGCCTCATTCCTCGCATCAACTACTTCCTCTCCCTGGCCCGTGCTATTATTTACCGCAATTTCACCATGATTGTCCACACTCCGGGAATCCTTAACTTCTCCCGAACCAGAAGTGGCGGCGTGCTGGGTTTTCTCCTCTAAGGTGTATCCGTCTTCGTCCGGATTGCGAAGAGACATCACATCCTTCTCGTTTTCCGCGGGTGTGTCTTCGGGGCCAGGCTCTCCGGAGACGATGGAGATGCCACGAAATAGGGTCTCAAACGAGGTCGGGGTAAAACCGTTCGCGAGATCATGCTTGGACGATGCTTCTCCATCAACCTGGCCACTAGATGCATCTTGCGCATTTCTGGGTACGTGAGGGCAGGACGGTGTTGATTCCTAGAACCAGGCGTCAGTTTCACATCGAAGGGGGTTGTGCTGTAGTCTTACGATCTCTTTCGTCTTCTTAGGGATTCCTTCATGTTCCTGGATACTTTCATGATGACGCCCCAGAGGTGGACTCGCCGATCTATCTCGAAAGAGGTCGCCTAGGCTTGGTTGTATCGTGTGTTCGAGTATGTTCTGTATGGGGACTGTAACGTCTTCTGTCCCATCGTGATTTGAACCGTGGATTGAAGGGCATTCAGAGACTGCTGATACAGGAGGAGAGGTAATGACGGGCTGAGATGATGAAATAGGTATGGCCACAGGAACGACCGAGAGGGAGGTATCGGGACTATATGGATCATGTCCTTCCTGACCCGCGGAGTAAGCAAATGGAGAGAACCATTAACATTACTCTAAAGATGATTATAGGAGAGAAACGCACCGAAGACGACGTCCTGCCTTTCTCTGGGCTCTCACCCCGCTCTAGAGATCGACGGATTGCACCAGAATAGCCGGTCTCCACTACCCCACTCTCGGTGTCCTCTTTCCGAGCGTGGCATCCCCGCGATCTATGCATCTGGAACTCTTCGATAGGATGATTGACGATGTGGCGTTCGAAGTCGTTCTGATGATTATCGTGGGAGCGGAGAGCAAGTCCAACGTAAGCACCAAGAGGCAACGTGCGGTCAGTAAAAGTACTGGTGCGCTCGGTATTGAAGGAGTCAGAGCTTTCGCTGGCAGGATGTTCCGAGTCGAGACTGATAATCTCCCTCTCGGCCGTTTTCCGCGAATCGGACGTCGATGGAGTAAGCTTTGAACGTCGCTTAGAGCGCCTTGAGCTCTTCGGTTTGCGCGAAGTAGGCGAAGAGGTAGAGGTGGCAGGTACGGGCATTGTTGCTGGCGATGATGGGAGATTGGAAGCGAGATGAGTAGATGTGGGTGTTGATAATGAACGCGCACGGACCTGGTGCTGGTTTATAAACTACCCTAAGCGAAATTCAAATTTACTATAAGCAGAAGCTCCTTTGTTGCCGTCGGGATCACCTTGCCTTTTGTTCGTGCACGCACTGTTGACGCACCGTCAGAAGTGTTTTGTCCGCCGAATCCGATACAACTGTGTCGAAATACGTGGCATTACTTCAGGAATGGGAACAAGGATCGCGGCACCGAGATAAGTATGCTGCCACATGCAGGGTCATCCGAGTCGTGGAGAAAAGGCGAGCAAGTAGAAGAGCTTGGACCCAAATGCCGAACGTGTGCCTCAAGAACGATAGTGAGGGTTCTCGATCACATTCTTCATGAGAGCGGTCTCCCATTGGCGAATATAAGCCCTAGTGAGACATCTGCATCATCGCTGGTTGTCGGTAAAAGCTAAGCGCTAAGTGGAGGCTGTCGGTGGTCAACGTTGGGTCAGAGGCGATCGGCATTAGCCGGCGGAGGCCGAAATCTCAGTGGCGGGCAGTAGGGAAGTGGCCCGTAGTATTAGGGGTTTTATGATACGGGCGTTTCGATGACCTGGGGCCAGAGTTTTATGAGCCCAGAGATCAAAGTGGCGCTTGGTTCCACACTCCCACGAGAGGCTTCGCGCCGCGCTCTGTATCGAGTGCCCTTTGTCCACTCCTTATTTCGGGCTGTTCAAGTTTTTCTTCAGATTTTTCACGGGATTCTATCCAAGCAGTTACGTTGCCTATCACGAAGTTTATAGAAGATAATAGATGCTGGGGTGCTGTCACCAACATGCGAGAACTAAGGCGGAATAACCCGAACGCTGTTGGCTTCGTCGTATGCGGGGCCGGCGCTCGAGGTGGGGCAATCTCTGGCCAGGCGGAAATGAGCTCTGGGGCCGTATCATAAAACCCCTATTGACCGCCCGACACGGTTCCGGGTTTCAGGAAAACGGTTTACTCACTTCCTGGTCCTCCATTGAAAGTGCTCCGTCTCAAAACTGTTGTACGACGTAACACACATCTACTAAATCGAAGCAATATCGAAGGTAACGCCATTTTTCGTGACTATATGATACAAGTTCAAGTTGCGAGACATCATTTACCTTGCAACGTGTGTGGCATATATCCTGTGCTCATAATTACTGGTACGGTATTTACACCAAGCTTCTACTACATAATCAAAATTTCAGGACTATATCCTGGAGCTAAACATCATTCGAAAATGTCATAGACGCCGAAGCATAGGTCGGGTGTGCCATTATATAACGAAAATGGCATACCTCGGAGTGGTTGCTCTATTTTGTGTAATCCGCATTTTCGAACATAACACTCGTAAATGGTCGGTGTACTATTCTTGTTCGATCATACAAAAGGGGTGCAAAGATGGCGGGTGCCACCACCATCACCGAGTGACCTGCCAGTGGCTCATTCTTCTGAATCGGGAATCGGGATCCTTTGTATTGATACCAGATGGTCCGGTCTTTCTGATGCTCCAATGAAATAGGTGGAAAGATGGCGTGGACTAATATCCAACTGGGGAAGTCGGGTTGGTGCCCACTTGAAAGGGGCCATGGCACGCGGTATTCTGATTCTGTATGAAGGCAGGTATTTTTCCCTTTTCTGCACGTCGTGGAAGCAGTCGATTCACTGCACATAGATGCATGCAGACGTCCTTACACTCTCGCCCGTGACCTTGTGCGGGCAGCGCCGATCGAATAAAGCCCGTCGACCTGCTCTTAGGGAAGTCGAAAGGTTTTCGGTCACTGTTTCGTCACCCATGGTTACAGAAATCAATAATACGTTTCATGTCCTTTGTGAAAGGTCTATCAGGGGATCTTGAAGCCTTAAATATACCCGATAGTCGACTCTGGAATTGCTGGATCGGAACTTGTCACAACAGTAAAGGCGAAGAATGATGAATCGATGAAGTGTGATACTAACTTCATTTAGACTTAACACGTGTGTGCTGTCTGCATATCGTCGCTGTGCATATGACTATATTCGTGCACAAGCAACGGGGGACATTGGAAGAAAAACTGGTACGCAGTTTTGGCTCTTGATCATTGTCGAATGGTGAGGTGAAGGCCATAAACGATAGGCGATGTGCTTTATCCCGCCCAAACATCGCACTTTCCGTGACATGTGCGATCCATGGACGATGCCCTACGTACGTTTTCCATATTTGCTGTCATTTCAATGATTGATGAGGCGCAAGCTCCATGATGTTGATTAATCTGTATGAGAAGACGCGACCCCTCTGTACGTACCTAGCGCGCGCCTCGCATATAAGGCCTACATTACAGTGGTTGCTTTATAGGTAATTTGGACCAGCGTTGCTGATACACACTGTTGAGCCACATCATGTCCGACTCTACTTCACTTCCCACCATCCCTCCGGACATTAGCAACTTGTGTGTGGCCTTGTTTCATTTCGCTGTGCATATTTATCTCATTAGTAAATCACAGAACAATCCCCATGGTGATCCAAAATCATCTTACCATATCTCCTGTCACAATTGACCGAGATCGTTTATACCTGATCTAGTTGGTCGGAATAGTCTTAAATTGGTTTTTATTTGGGATACTCACAGTACAAGTTTGTAAGCATACGCATCGAATATCATCCGCAATAACTTGGTCGTGTTGACATGCACATTTGACAGACATATACTACTCTTCGTTCCCGACGGACAGTAAACGGATCAAGATACTAGGTCAGCATACTCTTTTATCATCTTTGATCTCGGCAGGCACTCAGTTGTACGGTTGCAGTCTACGGAATATACTTGGTTGAGACGGCACAAGCTTGCACGGTCATGTCCGACCTTTGCTTCTGGTTCGCTCAAGGATTCGGAGACTTGAACAAATTGACGGCCACATATATATCTCCAGTCGATACTCCTATGCTTGGAAGTATATCCTCTCTCGCAGTGCAGCTTTTCTACTGTCACCGTATTTGGGTGGTACAAAGGTCGCTATTGCCTCTGAGCATAGGAATAGCCGTGGTACGTTTCATGGCCAATTTCGGTGATCAAAAGTATTATTGATAAATGATGTGGTGTCAGATCTCAGTCGCGCAGACTGCTGGTGGTATCTGGGGGGCAGCATTTGTGAGTGGGCAACATATCGTTCGACGACATTGCATTGAAGCATGCATGTAGGCTTTGAAACGCGGAAATCTTGCCGATGTTACCGGCGCTCGGGGGCCACAATATGTAAGTAACGTTTATCTGGTATGCACAGCTCTCCCATCTCACGTGTGCCCAGTTATGGCTTGCAGGAGCGTCTTTGGCCGATATGATGATTGCAGTAACCATGACGTTCCTGGTACGAACCGGTATTTCTTCCGGATAGTGCGCATACCACTTATTGATTTTGTTTGACAGTTTTACAGGGCTAGGAATGCGGTTCATTCAGCAACCAAGGATGTCTTCGGGAGAATCGTCCGTCTAACCGTTGAGACGAATGCTATCACAGGTGCAGTCCTCGCAGACCTATCCAGTTGGAAAACTGACAAGAAATATTTTCAGCGAGTGTCGCTATTGTCTCGCTAGCCATGTTCGTCTCGGAACAGGTACAATTTCATTTCCTCAGACGTTGGTCGCGCACTGACATCACTAGCATTACTTCTATTTCATAACTCCGTGTGTATTTCGTTTTTGCAAAGACTGTAGTATATCTAACTCAATTTCTCTACAGCACCCTTGTGATCGGAAAACTGTAGGTTCTAGCTCACTCCATCCCCTATTTTGATCCCTGACTATGAAGAGTAGGTACTCCAATGCGCTCCTTGTGACGTTCAACAACCGTGTCGGCCTCCGCCGACACATGGACCAACGCGACTACATCAGTGCGGATATCCTCAGCACAGTCAATTTGCCTCACAATGCTCCCGATTCCAGCAACAGCCATGTGGCCCAGAGACTCAGTATGGCCGTACGAAGGGGACATTCTTTTGAAGACAATATGTTGGGTATGAAGGCACTACCACTCAAGCCCGAGGTTGCGGGAAGTGCGTATACTGCGGATGAGGTATGTTTATATTATCCACGAAATTATCTCTGATACTCAATGCGCGTCTGAGCGACTTGAAGATCTCTGCACACGACGTTTAAGACGCTCTTACATGAGAACATATACGAATTCGTTGTACGAGGGTTGCGGAAAGATTAAGAGAGAGCCTTCTTCCGTCTCCTATGTACCATGTTTTGCATATCATGCTATTTATGAGTGAATCTAGCTCGAAGTGACGCGTCGAACTCGGGGAAGAAGGTTGTATAAGCTGCTCTCTGTCAATCAATTTTTATATTCTGTGTACCGGTGGAATACACCATGGATAACAGACAGTGCTCATCAATGAGTCGAAACCAACTGCTACTGTCCAGCCCATGTATAAAATGAACGATCCGCCTAATACTCATGAGTAATGGCACACATGGGCACACCCCGTACACATCCTTCCCTGACTCCGCAGGACAATGATGGTGCATGCGAGGGTCGCAATAAATAATGCACAAGCATTAAACTGACACCAATAATCCAGAACTGGATGCGTCGCTTCCCGGCCGCCTCGCAGTCCGATGTATTTCTGAAACAATGACTGGAATAGCTACTGCGTCAGAAACAATTGTTGCACTGAGAATCCACAATCAAAGCCTCTCGAGCCTCTCTGCTCATACGTTCGTCTGCGAGTCGAGGCAATGTGGATGGGAACTCGGAGCTTCATAAGCGTGACAAATCACTCGGTTACACTAAAGTCTAGTCTATATTGGAATGCTATCAATCGCCCCCGTTCTGCGTTTGTTGCTCTCAAAGTCATCACTCTCTTACCAAAACCACATACTGCACATAATTCTTCCACTGATCATCAACGTCATCATATAGGAACAGCCTCAATCTGTTGAAGGAACGAACTACTAGGCCTGTAAACGTTCCGAATTTTCCAACCGCTCTCGCCCAACAAATTGACAAAATGACCGATCGTTCGCTCCTGTGAGTTATGCAATAGAAGCATCTGAATGGGAAAAACAGGGTCAGGTCGGTCCCATAGTGAGCGAAAAACTGATAGATGACAACGATGGAAGAGCAGAGTTATATTCAGGAGACGTACCGACACGTCGGTGATGTATTGCATGATGTTTATATCACCAAAGTTGGCTAGCAATGGCTCTGGAGCCTGAGAAGGACTTGCACCAGGAATCTGGGTGGGATCGTCGACGTCACGCGGGGAGACTTTGCAAGCGTATTCAATGAGACTCTCCACAAGGAGGAGCCTCGTATCGGAGGTAGCGACGTCGCGGAGACGAGTCAAGATATTCTTAGCATAGGAATCGGACCAATCGTGGATGATATTCTTGAGAAGAAAAACGGAAGCATTCTTTACGGGTTGATCGGTGAAAAAGTCGTGGGCTTACAGAATGAAACGGAGAAATGTAAATGATCATATGGGAGCGTGGCTGGACGGAGACGTACCTTGCATCCGAACACGATCAGATTCTATGGCTGCCTGAAACTCAATGTCCCACACCTAAAGGTCGTACTCGTCAGATTTTGTCAACGAAACAGAGGCAGTTCCACGCACCCTCATTGCCTCATCCAAAATTGGCTGCTCATCTTGCAAAATGATGTTTATCTGAGGATGCGCTTTGGCGAGAACAAGCGAGGTCGCACCCACGCCGGAACCTACATCTACAACGATATCCCCGGCACGTAAAGTCGTCCAGTCAAACCCTTGTTCAACAAAACACATTAGCATCGATACAATACAGTTCCAGATGCGGTCTTACCGTGCAAGATATCGTCACGTGGCAACATGGAGGCCACTCCGCGCATCGCGTTACTGAAACGCTGCAAGCGGATCTCTTGTCCTGATTGCTGAATGTACGACCAATACGGAACGGTAGCGCCTGTGCTTCTGTTCCATGGCGATGCAGTGGGCTCTTCAGAATATGCAGTCAAAGGATCGAGGAGGTTTTCCGATAGACATGACGTTGCGAGCATCCCTTCAACAAGACTGCGACAGAACAAAATGAGACGTAATCTCAGGCGAGCATGGTTGGCACTAACCCGTGATTGATGATAGCGTTGAATCCAACATTTCTCTCTGTGGGACTGTGGGAAGTGTTTGGTATGTCTGCTCCACGATGATCATACGGAACATACCTGAGACGCAGAGTATCAGTTGACTTGCCCGTGTCGAACACTGATGAAATGCGATTGTTGGCAAAGGTGTCGGGCCTTACTTCACGGAACACTAGTTTGGTCGCGAGATAACGAAGCAGTCTTGCTATGAACAAAATAGTTAAGACCTATCTCGCACGACCTGCATACAGAGCATACGAACCTTGCTTCTTCGAGTCAATACCATTCTTCGAAGATATTTCATCCACATGAAGTCCCTAGAGCACGATTATGTACCAAATTTTTGAAGAACATGCTTAATCTCACCTGTGGACCCGCCTCCCTCAGAATCTCAACCGTGTTCCCCTCGAGCAACGCATGCATTGCGGCAGACTGGTAATGCTAGTGTAATCGTGAGCATAGTCATCACTGATAGCGCTGGACGATACGTACACCTAAGGATATCTGCATGGCAGATACATGAGGAGGCTGCAGTATAGCATTGAGCTGATTTGCTGCGATAGAAATGATACTAATGGCTTCAGAGACTGTGCGATCCATGCGGAATGCTTCAGAGGATGGATGAAACGGCGCATCGAGACTGGGCACGTCGAGCCCTGTAGTGGCGCAGTGAGACTCAATGACTTGGACTGAGTCACTTATCAATATCGCAAGCTGAGCGAGTGTCGATGCCATGGTCTGTGACTTCGAGAAGTCAGAAGGAGCGGATTGGGAGGATGGACGAGTGAGGAAGAAGAGGGACAGGAAAAGTTGGAAAGGAATCCCACAGGAAACTTTACACTTGACCACCCAATAGGACGCGTGAGATCAAGGGTGGTACTTAGCATCAAGATCAAGGTAGGGCTGAATATGGTTTCCATATCGAAAGCCACAATCAGTTTTCTATACATGCGTCGCACCTGATATAGTACTGGACGGCCTTTGGGTGGTTAGCGCGAATGATGTTTTTGATATATCAGCTGCAAGCATGCAACTCTTCCTGATCATGAATAATCATACGCTTGGAGAAGGCGTCTTTCGAAGAGACCCGATAGAGGATGATATTCATCAAGTTAGCACAGTCTAGCACCTGGCCCGTATGCTCGATTGTCTCCGTTTCCGTTTCCATGGATGGAAACCGCCATACCGCCAAGTGACTGCTCGCTTCCGTGGCTACGTTTGATCATCGAGCACTTGACTTCCAAATATCTCTGTAGGCAGATATTCGGTCAGCACGAGTCAAACATTCATAGGAAGGGGTGCTGCTCAACAGCGCAAAAAATGCTGCCCATCCGGCAATATGCTCGTATATGAGTGAGGCATGAACTAACTGGTCGTAGTAATCCGAGTATCAGAGCGCTACCATTCCTGCACGGAGCCACTTGAACGGGAGCTCAATATCATCAGTCTTCCACGCGCTTAGAGAGAGGCGGATACGGTCGACTACACAAATGATCAGGTACGGATGGATTCACGTCAGAGTGAAATGTCAATGATGGTCTACCACCCAGGATGACTCCCGGTCGTCCCATCGACTCCTTCATGCCTCGCATCTCTGACAAGGGTTCGAAGGAGTATTCAAGATCAGCACAGTGAGCCGCGCAGCTCGCTTCTCTGCCTGAGCTGCGGATGAGTACAGCACGCCGGGAAACTGTACAGTGCGTGAGGACGGAGAAGCGGAACGTAATGATTGGATGTAGTCCAAGACAGCGCGGGATATGAAGAGAAGGCCGACGAAATACACTGCGATGATACCGGACGTGTTGCCGAGACTGACGATACGCAACGATTTCCAGATGCGGTTACAGCAAAGATGTAAAATCCGTCATTATAGACAGACTGATGTTTGTGGATATAGACGACAAGGATGCTTCGTGATCTAGAAGACAGTACCCCAGATTCCTTGCAAGCCGTCACATAGTAATAGTCTCCTAGTAGTATACGTCCCGGCGCGATCAGAGGCAGGTAGCGCCCAAAAACAAGGATATGTAGCCGTTAGAGCTCTCCTGTCTTACAGTAGTGGTCTGCGTGGACACGTCTGCGTGCATCACTTCCCAGCAGCAGAGGTCATGGACGGCAAAGGGGCAGGTCATGACGGTAACCACCAGGATCGCCCGTCCTGACTCTCCATGTACTTGAACAAAAAGTTCCAGTGCTGAGGGGGGATGGGTGAAATCACTTCAGGACACTGGAAAAGGACGCGCTAACATCCTTCGCAGGGAGAAAGCACCGCGTATTCCGAAATGGTACCCAGCCAAGAACGTTATTCACGCCGATATACTGGACCGCACCCCAGCATCAGAATCCTCACCAAAACCTTCTCCCAGACAACACCTTCGCACATCAAGGACTCCATGTACAATCTAAGCCTGATACGTCTGGAACAATGGCATCAGCGCCTATAAAATCAACGGAAGACGTGACGAGTTTGGGCGAGATATCAAAAGAAAAGGGGCGAGGTGGTGGAAAGGTAAGAAACCACGGGCGCCGATAAATCTCGCATCTGCTCACGCTCGGTTGTTCTGGGATGTATGTTAAGCATCTAGTCACTCTATGCGATGGTCCTCAGCCACCGTCTCAGTCCTCTCCATCGCGTAACCGTTATTCTTCGAATGTTCGACGAGCCCTGAGTCCCATAAGTAGTTCAGAGGGTGGCGGTACGTGGTTGCCACGACGACGTAGCGCGCAAACAACGAGTCTGCGGGAAAATGCGAAGGTACGAAGCTGATTTCACTTTGTATTTTGCAACTGACAGTATATGCTCACTATTTTAAAGATTTCTGGTACTGAGATAGATAGCGGGATTGCGACGACTCGGAGACTGCAAATTATGGACGGCGAGAGACATCGAGTAGAAACGGTTGCAGTAAGTACATTTCCAGTAGTCTGACGGAAAGAACGTAACGTGGAGGGTGTGGGCTATGACAAGGTTGAAGTTGACAGTGGGGACATGGAGGAGTGAGCGAGCAAGCATCGGATACACAATCTCGAAGGTTGCTCAGCGGCTGAAGCACCGGCGGGAATTTGCCTTTCCACGTGGCTGACATGCCTCGAGCTCGTCGCGTGATAGGTAACTTAGTCAGCATCAGTATCGCATTGTAAGTTAACTTATCGCAGAGAATCGATGTTCTACTTCATTCATGTTTCTGTTCCACAATCACCTACGTTTTATATTTCCCGCCTTCCAAAACGCCTCTTCCAAAGTCCAACCTTGCGATGGGCTCACCTCTGCGGATATGTACATATACATAACCCTCCTTTGAGGTTACCCCGGCTGCTTGTGCATAAGTTCGTACTGAGCGCAGCGGGAACTTTCAGCTGGGACGGCCTCTCCTAGTATAGTACGTCTGTCCAGCTCCATGAACATCGTGAGATGTCTCTAATTGTCGCCTCATACATATGAATACAGTTCTTATTTAGCATCTAAGTATGTCACCGAATCGTGATTGGTCATAGGCATTCTTGAAGTGCTTGTATAGCGAGAACGGCCTCATTTCGTCTCATTTGATCCATCTCGATGAAGGCTACCAAGTTCAATGTCAGAATGCTGTCCAGGGCCCTGTTATTTCAGTCCAAGTATGTAAGTGTCGTCGCTAATTTGGCGTTATCGATGTCTTGGTCTCACCACCATTCTTCCGGAACCATCGTGATGTATGTCGACATGAACCTCTATAGCGTGCTAGTATATCTATCAGCCGAAAATCGTGGAAATACGGCAGAGAACTCACTCCTGTGCTCGGGTTTCCTTGCAAGGCTGCGGCGGTGAGTTCTTTAGTGGTAATAACCTTGACCGACTGCAGAAGCGAAGATCGACCATTGAGGCTGATTGTCATCGAACGGTGAGCATACGCATCGAGAGTCCAGGAAATCATCGTACGTTGCCATGAGACTATTTGAATATACTGTATGAACTGGTTTACTCAATGTGCACTCCGAGAAGCAAGAATTGAGAACTTACATCTTGCAGTGATCAACATGAAGACCGTCCAGATTGCTGGAGGGAGAGTCTCGATGAGAATGCATAAGGGATAGTTGTTTACTGCACCGACCATTTGATAGTACTCTACGTATCTACCCAGAAAGACAGTACATAAGCATAGTAAATAAATGAATATGGATCGAAGACAACACGAGGTAATTACTCACGAGGATGATCATTATTGTAGAGCAGATGCTGTAAATATAGGAAGTTAAAACATGATGTTTGTTTGAACGTCTTAAGATACAATACCTGGTGATCAGACCTGTCTCTGTTCCATGACATCGTTGAACAGATGTAAACGTTAACGAGAAGGAACGCGTACCAATGGTCCATAAGATTAACTTGTCGATGGTTCCCCGGTTCCTGTTTAATATAATGAGCCCGTGCGTTTATCAATCTAGAGAGAGGCCTACTTGTTGGACACATTTTGATGGTACCAAAGAAGAATGCAAAGACAGATGGTGTTGAAAATGTCGACGATAAGACCAGCACTCTGACCCAGAAGAATCAAGAGTTGATGGTCCACGAAAAACGAGAGAAGGTCTCCGCTGCTGGTAGCGACGATGCTGGCAGCAATGGCTCCTACCAATCGAAGAGTAATGAAAGTCCACGAGAATAGAGGGAGGTACCACCGCATAGATAGTCTATACATTCGGTAAGAAAAAAAACCCTGAGTCCCCAAGTCAGCAGTCTAGCAAGATACCCGGACTTCCTATTGAAATCAACACACCTGGACAAGCGCACTACTGAGATTGGCAAGGGTGACCGAGAACGCTAGTGGCCATACATATTTAGTCCAAGCAAAAGTCCCGTTGGCGGAGACCACGCCATAGTACTCGACGGTGACAATATAGACATAGACGGTGATGAATGCCATATGAGTAGTTTCAATCAACCTATGAATGGTCAGTTCATAGCCATGCAAGGGACTCGTCCTTATGTTACAACTTACAGTACTAAATACAACTATTGCGATAAACGAAGACCTCACTGAGATCATATATTGTATGACGCAAAAAGGAAAGGACTTTACCAGACTCTTGACCCATACCCCGTCGTTGAAGTGCTGCTGGTAATAGTTGTAGACTTGCACGAGTAATACTCCGTACAATATTGCTGCAAAAAAGACTCCAAACTCGATTGCACCGAGAGTGTCGCCGAGGGATGGCATGATAGAACGGTGTTGAGGGCGGAAATCATTACAGAGCGGGATATAAAGCACTGACCATGATGGACATCTCGCCCAGCATCAGATAGTATCCCAGCATTCTGATATGGGTGAAAGAGTGAACACTAATTGATTGATGGCTCAGAGCACATACGGAAATTCGAAGTCTCCGCATGTGGACTCTGGAGCACGAAACAATCAATCACTTGATCTCCCCTAACTCCCCGAATCGTTACTTGAAACTGATCTAGAAAGGACATGCATGACACGGAGTATTTTTGAACGTAACAATGATACATATGCAGGGAAATGACTTGCTAAACTTCGAAGGCCACAGCGATGTGCTGTTGTCGACACGTGCACTAAATCGTAAAGACGTGGGTCACTCCACCATGAGTGCGATCAGTTCAACCTGCGTGGTTACGAACACGACGAATAATTAGCATTGGTATCTGCATCTTGTTCCGGGACACACAAACTAAATGAGGCGAACTCGTCAAACTGAATGAAATCAAGTGGGAATTCGACATCACGCTCGTGTACTAGTACGAAATCATACCAGATCGAAACTGGCATCGCCTTCTCCTCATGAATTCAAACAATGGACAGCGCATCATGCCGGCACCATCTCCATCTGGGTGGCACCAATCCGCGAGACAATTTGCGCCGTAATATGTTCAATACCATGATATGAGTCATACTCTATTGTGTCCATAACAAGGATCGTGGCGTACTCACCGACGATTCCAGGTACTCGCGAAGCCGTCACATTTTCAGGCTCGGTCACCAGTCTAGACGATTCCTCGATTTTGGGGCTGGAGAAAGGAGCTAACAATGAAGCAATGATTAGCACAAAATCAATATGTCATGATATAAGAATTAACCCCCATTGACCTCGACACGGTCGTAGCCAGAAGTCTATACCTCTCTGTGAACGCAGCGCTCCAAGGCCGCCGCTCCGTGTTTCAATCCCGCACCTTCTTCCTCAGAACAACCGCCTCCTCTGTAAGACCACGAAGAGTTTTATCCTGTGTTCTCCTCTATGTCGTGCATTCGCGAAGTCATCAGGTATTCGACAGCAAAGCGAGATGGACCCGTCTGCCGTTCATGGTGGTGTTCGTTCGAATCCGCCGTAGCACCTCGATAAGATGGTTCCCCATAAGTGGCCGCTTATGTCGGGGAGCTGGTCGTTCTGTCTGCGTCGTTCCTCTCTTCTGCGACCAGGCTCAAGATGGTCGCGACAAGGCTGCTATCAGGGATGGGCGGCATAACCTAGTTGTAGTCGTCCACGCACCGATTGATGTGTCGTTGTGGCGGGCAGTTGTGCCTCAACTACTTGGGAGTGGACGAGGTCCAGGTACAAAGCAAGAAAATAGTATCGGAGATGTGTTTACTGAAGAGGCGGGCCGGTGGAGACTGGTATGAAAGATGCAAACGATAGATCAACAACAGCAAAATAACTATTCGGCTATCCTGCTTTTTCTTCGCACCACGCAGAAAATCGAGAGCACCACAAGTAACGCTCTCCAAGTGGTTATAGGAGACAAACGCACCGATGACGACGCCCTGCTTTCCTCCAGCCATAACCCCGCTCTAGCGATCGACGGAATTGTATCAGTCTCGTCGGTCTCCATTATCCCACGATCGGTGTCCTCTTTTCGAGCGTGGCGTCCCCGAGATCTAAGTATGTGGAACTTTTCGACAGGATGATTGACGATGTGCCCCTCGAAGTCGTTCTGATGATTGTCGTCAATGCAGAGCGCACGAGTACTTCTACTGACAGCGCATGCGCTCTGCGTTGAAAGAGTCAGAGCTGTCGCTGGTGAAACGTTCCGAGTCGAGACTGATAATCTCCGTCTCGGCCGTTTTGCGCCAATGGGACGTCGATGAAGTAGGCTTCGAATGTCGCTTCGAGCACTTCGGTTTTCGTGAAGTGGGCGAAGAGGTAGAGGTAACAGGCACAGGCATTATTGTTGACAATGATGGGAGATTGGAAGCAAGATGAGCAGATATGGGTGATGAAGATGAATGCGCACGGACCTGGTGCCAGTTTATAGACTGCGCCCTAGGCGAAATTCAAATGTACTATAAGCAGAAGCTCCTTTGTTGCCGTCGGGATGACCTTGCCTTTTATTTGTGCACGCACCGTTAGAATTCATTTGTCCGCCCAGTCTAGTGAAACAGTCGAAAAATACGCAATGTACCCGTGAATTGGAACAAGGATCGTGACAACGATATACGCTGCGACATGCAAGGACATCCTAGTCATGTATAAAAGGCGAGTAGAAGAGCTTGGGCCGGCGAGAGCCAAAAATGTGCCCCAAAGACGGCAGTGGGATCTATCAGTCACATTCCTCATGAGAACGGTCTTTGTTGGCGAGCATGGACATAGATACATAGCTGCTTAATCGTGGTAAGAGAGGCTAGACTCTAGAGGATGCCAGCGGTGGTGGTGGTGGTGGTGACCAACGTTGGTGCGTCAGAGGGTATCGGCGTTTCCCAGACGCGGAAGCCACCAATCCAGTGGCGCACTGGGATGTGGCCCGCAGTCTTCAATAGTCCAATGAGCGAATAAATTCGACGCACGACGACAACGAGGGAAATTTGAGAGAGATGGAACTCATGAAAACAGTAAGCTGTCCATGCTAACGTCCAGGTTGATACCGTAGAATGACACATAGATATACAGCTTCTTGATCGTTTGATTGTCGGTAAAAGCTAGAGAGGCTGCCAGTGGTGGTGGTAGTGGTCAACGTTGGTGCGTCAGAGTCGGTCGGCAGAAAATAATCCAGTGGCACAGAGCGGGATGTGGCCTGTGGTCTTGAACAGTCCAATGAGTGAATAAATTCAACGCGCTACGACAACGAAACAACCGGGACTAACGGGGACAGTAAGTTACCCATGCTGACTTTTGGATTGCTATCGCAGAATAAACATGATTCCAAGTACAGTTCCCTTACGAACGAGTTCGGGATGAACGAGCGAAGAGTAAGTGACGAGGAGTCACATTACGGTATATGCATACGATATCGATAAGGGTAGAGCTCGAATGGTTCTAGAAACAGAAGAGATGATCGCTGAGGTACACGTATAAGTAAGCTCTGGACTCAGTGGATGAGATCATTAAGGGAGAAAGGTACTCGTAATGACAAGTTGGACGTAGTGCGGAACAGTTGTGGAATACTAGGAGCGAGCTTCGTGGCTGCGGGAGCTAGTTTGAGTCATCCAGAGCGAACTGTTTGCCTTCAGTGAGCGAGTTCCACTTAGGACACAACGCCTCCCAGTCCTTAGGTCGTTCTTCTGCATAATATCCAGCCACTTGATCCTCCGGGGCCTCAGCAAACACAATTGCGAGTGCAGCTTCCAGGTGAAAGTCAATGTGACAGTGTAGTAACCTAGGTGATATGGTAAGCGCTTGAGGTATAAAATACAGTTTACAGAGATGATGTTAGCGAATAGAAAATGTTGCGTACCAGGGGCCAGGATTGTCCGTACGGAAAAAGAATGTAGCGTCGTCGCCTGCGTAGCCTGTATTGATGACGTCCCTAAATATTGGTTTGCTGTTGTTTGTGGCGCTACCTGCGCTTCGGATCACCTGAAAGTTATGCTGTGCCACATGACAGCGAATAAGCACTTTATTCACAGTCAAGCAAAAAAAAAAATGAGCAACGAACCCCATGCAAATGAAACGGATGCGGCGCTATCGGCGATCCACCTGGAATCGTGATGCTGATGAGCTTGTCACGAGGAAGTGTGATCACGCTTCCGATAGGCATAATTTCTTGAGCATCGATCGATCCGTTCAAAATCTGAAGAAGAACAGGAACCGGTGGCGGAACATAACGACTTCCATTGACGAGGAAGCGTGTCCCGTTTGCGTCCTGTAGAGTGGGTGTGGAATCAGAATAAGTCTGAAGGCATGAATGGAATATGGCAGACCAGAGTGATATTTAGCGTGAAAGACAAATCCGGAGTTTGTGATGAATACTACTGGAATATGAGTCACATAGAACATGTATAGAGGTAAAATACACCACTGACGTCGGTAGTCATTAAGGACTGTATTTATGTATTAGTTACTGCTGGATGTGAGAAGATTTTATAACATACCTCCAAGTCCTGCTCGCGCATTAGGTTAGTCGCGATTGATTCCGTCTTGGGATCTATTTCCTGCGCGCCGCGATATCGAAGGATTGCTGCGTTGACTCCTACAGTAGCATGAACACATGATGGACAAATAGAAGCTAGTCATGCGAGTACCTACCAGTCGTATTGCTGGGTGAGGTGCCAAGGACGAATGGTGTCGCACGAATCCCTTGTAAAGACGTCAGTCACAACTGAGGATGCGAGTAAACCCGGAGAGCAGATACTAACAGTAGTTTTCTACACTCTGATTCGCATTCACAACAACGGATATGCGCTGACCTATGATACCAATGGATGAAGCGAACACTATTTTACTCTGTATGTCGATATGTATGCATATAGTAAATCCTACCAGGCCACAAAGATACTATATCGGTCACCAGAGGTTTCGTCTCGACGCCATCAACCTCAATTACGGGGAAAGGGTGACGGTCAATAGAGAAGTTGAAGCCTGCTATGCAGGCGGTATTGACGATCCGGAAGCGGTGTCGTAGGCCTGCGCTGACATCGACGACGGCAAGAGGGCTTTGATCACCTCCATCATAGCGCCCGAGACCATTGATAACGAAGGAGTCGGGGTTTCTATTATCATAAGTCATTCGTATGTAGGAAATCTATTGTTATAAAGAGGTGCACTGACAGGAAATTGTTGAACGCCTCTGGGGACACAACGTGAAACCTGACGATGATAGTTGCAATCAGCCCAAATATTTAATAATTGGTAATCGAGATACTTACCAGTCTCCTAAAGTAATCACGGTGCTTTCTATGAAAAACCCGTTGTCAACCTGCGTGAAGGGTGCTCTGGAGGCAGTGGGACACCGACCATCATCGACGTCATAGAGGTACTTGAGCGGATCTTCAATATCTGCAACAAAAAAGAAAGTCATCAGTCTCTGGTATACTTACCGTATGGCTTGGGGACTGACCGTAAATGACGAGAGGGCCTCTATGGGTGAAATACGTGAGAGGATGATAATAACGTCAGGTTCTCATAATGAAATAGTTTACCGGAGTCCGTCACAGTACTGGGTCGTGATATGGGAGTGATACCTGGGGGAAGTTATGTGAAATCGGGGTCCATTGACGAGAAAGGCGTTAAGCGTACCAGTAGGTTCTGAATCGAATGGACAAGGTTAACTATAAAATGTAGAATAACCGGATCAACAGCATACCCTGTCTGCCCGGCTGTATTGAGGACATATCTTGATGTGTAGACTCGCAGTCAGGACCGGATATCTGGGAAGACATGGTTGGCGACTCACTGAAAGGAGTCTCCCGGAGCTATGGGACACTGAGTCACCCATGCAACTCCGTCTTGAGCGGCAGTTTTATGCTCTGTTAAGCCATGCCAATGCTAAATCTGATATGAGCAACTGACAAGATCGGGTACATCTAGAGCAGACTCACAATGGACGATCCTTGAGCCATGGATGTGTCTATGAGTTGATTATCAACGAGGACCTTAATTAAGCTCAGCATAAGTCTTGAGTCTGCCGAAGGTATGGAGATAGTAAGTCTACCCGTAACGGCTCATTCTTTTGGACACTGAGGAGTGGGCCCGGAAATTGCTTGTTGGCCAATACGGAGCTGAGCAATAATCAGGTTTGGAATGGCAATTTGAATAAGTGCGACTCACCTTCTACTAAAACCATCCGGTGCAACAGCTTCGTTCGTGAGTTCCAGCTGATAGCTGCTCGCGCAGAGGCATGGCACCACAAGCCTCATCCCGAAGAAAAGAGCACACAGGCGGAGAGTCCCCATTACAACAGAGAATAGGGAAGGGACGATTGTCTTCACAGGCCTGTCCTTGATAATATAGGGATGTTTCATGGGCGGAGAGCAAATATATTGACTGGGCCGTGATCGCCGGCTAAGTCTGGCTCACATCTGCGACAGGCCTTCCCCGAAGAGGGCTTGGTTTCAGGAGCCATACCTGGCAAGTGTCCCTAAAGATTCACAGTCGTTTTGTTCCATCAGAGGCACACTACGCACCGCAAATATATTTTGATAGGTGGCAGACCCTGATCTTGAGTTTGTATCGCAACATGAGGAGCAACAAAAGAGAAGTGAAATTTTGGAATTACCAAATTGTTGCTGGTAAGCAGGCGTGTATGGGATTTTGATCGTCATGGAGGAGGATAGTCCGACTGCGTTTCGTTGGTTCCGCTCAGTAGCCGGATTCGAGTACCTGTGTTCAGGCTCTTGGCAGACCGAAGACTGATCTTGATTTAGCAGAGCGGTGGACACATGGGGGATTGTGCGGTACTCCATTTGGTGGCAGAATGCCGCGGATCTAGCCACTGAATTCAGACGCAATTCCACTCGAACGGGACGCCTCGTTGGGAAATATAGGCTCCAGCGCTGTCAGTGGCGTGGAAGGCAAGAGGATGGACTCCATGAAGCACGAGATGGAATTGACAGGGACCAGGGTTGATATCTGTTTGCATCAGCAGAGACATGACCCATCGGCGTTCCAACATTTCCGGGATGCGACTATAAATAATACATGGCGGCCTCTGGGCCATGAGCCAGACGTCGGCAAAATTGGTAGAATGAGGTGTACTTAGCCTCAAGGGCGCGCAGGAACGAAAGGTCTGGGGAGACGCGAGGGATTGCAATCTCTCCGCGGAAGAGAATCACGCTGTAGTATTCTGTCAACCTTGCGGAGAGCATATTACGAGTCCCGCGTTGTGTCAGTGAGAAATCCCATGTTGCACTAAATCATGATGAGCCACATTTTGTTCCGTATGTAGATGTGATTGATAGTATGCTCAATCGGAGAGCAGAAACCGGAGAGACTTCAGCGTCCATCTTTGAAGTCCATCACAACGAGTGGAACTCAAGGGCCATCGAAAAAAACAAAAGCGCTATGCCGGAGGAGTGCCTGAAGGTTCCTGTACAGACGTAATATCATGCCTTGTTGGTCCAACCATTTGGACAGCGCTAATTTACATGGGATAAAGGATCAAACAAGCAACACGAATAAATTTGAGCGGTATGGCGGTGAAAAGTTGGACATGGGGCGCGTATTTGATACATAGCACTCGACAGTAAATGATGGGGAGGAGTGAAGGAAGGTTCATTTGCCATGAGGTACAGCTCGAATCACATCACCTTACTCTACCTTCGCCAAAATCAATCATGCTACCCGTGGATTCATTCTTCATGTCATGGAGGCATGCCGATATTCGTGACGGTGAACAGTCCCAGTTGGTAAGTATGATCAGGGCTACGGCTGCGCAGCACACTGACAAAATCTTGCCACATACAGAACGGCCTGTCGAGTGTACAATAGAGCGTTTTCGCAACCTGGCCAAGCAGCTGTCGACGCGACAGCGACAGATCAAGTCGGCACAGGCGCTTCGTGGGCATCATGACGAAACTGCCCTTCAGAAATGCCCCACGCATGGTTCACGCTCGTGTCCCCTACAAACAAAATATTCTGAGCACAGTTATGACCACCAGGATATGTAGACAGTGCAATGCACTACATGCGCTGCCAGTTTTCCGAAATTCTTTAGAGGGAACACGCCGCAGGATACGTGCTCGCCACAAAGGCGACTAAGGGGAGCACTTAGCCGTGGGAAGTGCCAATGGTCTCTCTCCATGACAATTCTTTAGCGATCGAGACAGCTCCACGGACGAAACAGCTGTCGCACTCGACTGTGAAAACGCTCTATGTTCACCAACCAATTGGTTGGCGAATATTTACGTAGACCGCTGCTTGCAGTAATCGCTGGTTTTTGGTAAAAACTAGAGGCTGCGTTGGCCAAAGTGGTGCGTCAGAGGCGATCGGCGTTACCCGGACGTGGAGGCTGAAGCCACCAACCGAGTGCCAAGTGGCGCAGGATGTGGCCCGTGGTCTTGAACAGTCCAATGAGTGAACGAATTTGACACGCGACGACAACGAAAAAAAATGGAACTGATAGTAGGCTATCTATGCCTGATGTGCTGGATTGATATGGTTGAATAAACATGGTTAGAAGTAAGTATCATGACAAACGAGACTTCCAGGGGGATGATTGAGCGATCCGGCCTGCAACTTGAACACGAAGCCTGGCCTTTACTTAACAGAGCTCTGCACTGAAGGACGTTATGGAGTACTATATTCTGTGGCAAAATCTTGCGTATATAGCTGCGGAAATAGGACGAAATTTGAAAACAGTGACACCTCTGTAGGAGATGTGTGCTCTATCAGGGTTAGCTCTTAACAACTCACCTAGCGCTAGGTGAGTTGTTAAGAGCTAACCCTGATATGCTCCAGCGATGCCAGTGGCGTGGAAGTAACAAGAATTATGTCTGTTCACTTCGGAAGACATTTATTACGACTCTAATGTCTGTTACAAAGTCTCTCGATACACGATAAATAATGTCCAAGCATTAGAACAGAGGGTTGGGTGTGTCGCTTCCCGGTCGCTTCGCAGTATGATGTATTTCTCAAACAATGAACAGTTGCTGCATCAGACACGACTAGTGCACTGAGAATTTATAGAAGTCTCTAGAATCCTTCTGTTCACACCATTGTCTGCGAGTCGAGGCAACATGGATAGAAACTCTGAGCTTCATAAGTGCGACAGATCAATTCTTCACACTGAAGTCTACGCTATATTAAAACACTTTCAATCCCTGCCATTCTGCAGTTGTTGCTCTTGTATTGATTGCCATATTTCAAAGACCACATACTGTTCATAGTCCCTCCACTGATCGTCGACGCCGTCGTGTAAGAACGGCCTCAATCTGTTGAAGGAACGACCCAAGAGGCCTGTTGACTTTCCGAATCTTCCAACTACTCTCGCCCAACAAATTGACGAAACGACCGATCGTTCGCTCCTGTGAGTTAAGCAAGAGTAGCATCCAAAACACGAACCATTGGTCAGGTTGGTCATGCAATAAGTGAAAAACAGTCATGTGCGAAACGACCACGATGGAGAAAGAGTGTTATGTTCATGAGATGTACTCACATGTCAGTGATGTATTGTGTGATGTTTATATCACCAAAGTTAGCCAGTGATGGCTCTGGAGCCTGAAGAGGCCTTGCGCCAGGAATCTGGGTGGGATCGTTAACGTCGAGCGGGAAGACATTACAAGCGTAGTCAATGAGACCCTCGACAATGAGGGGCCTCGTATCGGAGGTAGCGGAGTTGCGGAGACGAGTCAAGATACTCTTGGCATATAAAAGCGTTTTTCACGGGTTGATCCATGAAAAAGTCATGGGCTTGCACAATGAAATGGAGAAACGTAAATGATCGTATCAGAGAGTGACTGAACGAAGGCGTACCTTGCATCCGAAAGCGACCAGATTGTATGGCGGACTGAAACTTAGTATTCTACACTTGAACGTCATAGTCGTCAGATTTGTTCAAAGAGACCCAGGAAGTTCACGCACTGTCATTGCTTTGTTTAAAATTGGCTGCTCGTCTTGCAAAACGATGTTTATCTCTGGATGTGCTTTGGAGAGAACGAACGAGGTCGCACCCACGCCGGAGCCTACATCTACAACGACGTTCCCGGCATGTAAAGTCGTCCAATCCCATCCTTGTTCAACGTAAAACATCAACTTCAATACAAGGCAGTTATAAGTGCAGTCTTACCGTTCAAGGTGGCAACATTGAGTCCACTCCGCGCATCGCGTTACTGAAACGCTGTAAACGGCTCTCTTGTCCTGACTGCTGGATATACAACCGATATGGAACGGTAGCTCTAGTACTTCCGTTCCATGATGATGCAGTGGACTCTTGAGAATGAGCAGTCAAAGAATCGAGGAGGGTTTATGAGAGACATGACGTTGCGAGCATCCCTTCGACAAGACTACAACGAAAGCAAATGAGACATAAGCTCAAGCGGACATGGCTGACACTCACCCGTAATTGATGATAGCGTTGAATCTAACATCCCTCTCTATAGGAGTATAGGAAGTGTTTGCTATGTCCGCTCTACGATGGTCATAGAGAACATACCTGAGACATAGCTGGTCAATTGACTTGCCCGTGTCAAACACCGATGAAATGCGATTGTTGGCAAAGATGTCGGGCCTTACTTCACGGAACACCAATTTAGTCGCGAGATAACGAAGCAGTCTTGCTATTAACGATACGGTAAGGCCAATCTCGACCGACCTGCGTACAGAGAAAGAGACGGACCTTGCTTCTTGGAGTCAATACCATCCTTGAAGGCTATTTATCCCACATGAAGTCCCTAGAGCACAATTATGTACCAGACCTTGTGAAACATATGATTAATCTCACCTCCGGACCCGCCTCCCTCAGAATCTCAACAGTGTTTCCCTCAAGCAACGCATGAATTGCAGTAGACTGATAATGCTACAATAATCATGAGCGGTTGTCTTCCCTGGTGGCATTAGACGATACGTACACCTAAGGATATCTGCATGGTGTGGAGGAGCACACGGGCGTACTCGTGTACTCCCCCATATGAGAAGGAAATGGAGTTAGAGTCGCGACTTCAGATCGTACTTACGCTCGATCCGTCGGACTTTCAATTCCCGGTTGACCCCGTTCTGCACCAAATATTACTGGTTTTTATTCGCTTTTCTCTTCGTTTTTCCTTGGACTACTGAGCTGTCCCGTTTGAGCACTTCTAGAGAATCTCAGGCGTCGCCTCCAGCACTCGTAGCAATAGTTTTCAAGTAGTAGTGATCACGGCACGCTAAATCGACATCACTACACCGCCGGAGGGCGGAAGCCTTGTAACAGGGTCGGCCGGGCGGCACGTTGTCACAGGCCAGACACGATACTGTTCCGGGGTTTTTCGGACGGACCCTGATCCGATGTTGCCGGCCAAGGTTGTACCAAGGTTGTCCATGGGGCACTGCGAGGGTTCCCGCCAAGCCGCCAAACACCCAAAATGCTGGTTGCCCGTGGCAAGAATTGAACGCGCGACCTAAAACCACGTTCGTGCACAGAACAAACCTATAGCGAAACCACTAGACCATAGAGGCGTACACAACTAGCGAGAGATCTTGAATACGTTCATCCGCTGCTGTTTTTTCCAAGGGTATAGAAGACGGACTGGACGGACAGATGGTCGAAATAAATACATAGCAGGTATCTACTAAATGGATAGTACTTACATGAGTGGTATATGACAGTCAGTGAGGCGGGGAAGGATGAGCTACCCAAGCAGAACGCGACTTGGGCATATGCAGTCGTCAGAGCTTTCTGAAGGCGGTAGGGAGCGGCTGACTAAGCGGGTACGTAGAGGGGAGGACGTTGCAACCTTGGGACAACCTTTTCGAAAAGCCCTGTTGCACGGGCCGCCGGACAAGCCTGGAACATCAATTTCGAAAATCCTCGTTATGGTATCGGTGCCGGGATCGCACATGGTCGCAGCGTCCCTATCCCGGGGTATTTCGGATGGGGGCCGTGCCGAGGATTAGCACGCCCGGCGGTGTAGCGGACGAAGGGCCGGAGCCATCCGCCCGGTCGGATTAGGAACGGAACGCGCGGCCTCGGACTCAGCCACACTTCACCTCTCCCTCCACCTTGTCCGATTTATTGCTAGCACTTACTCTTCCCCGTTCGCCTTGAAACTTCATACAGCTTTTCAATTATGTTCAACCTTCAGTAGAAATTTGTTTTCCAGTCCGAATCTCATCTTGGTCTCCCTAGGCGACTCTTTGACTCTGGGCCTCACCATTAGTGCGCTTTTTCACCCTTTTATTTGTTTTTCCTGCTTCTTTTAATTTCCACCACCAATCCCTATCGCGTCGACGGTTTATTGACCTGAAAGGAGTGTCTTCCTGTTCGTAACCTTGCGCCGCAGCATGTGGACGGGTCTTGGTGATTGGATTGGGCACCCAAGTCTGCCACTCTGTGTGAGGGCCACAGAGGACCTCCACATCGCTCGCGTTCGTCAATAGCTGCAGATTTCGAACTTGGAGTACTCTTGGATGGTAAATAACACTGTTGACATCTTCAACTTCGCACATGGAACGCTCTCTTTCATTTGTCTTCGATTTTACGATGCTCTATTCCACTTGGCCTCCCCTTCATTTCCCGGACATTCTAATGATGTATCTAGATCTATGATCGCGTTTCCACTGTTCACTAGCATTCCGATGCACTTGTAGCTTGCCCGACGGCGCATGAGCACGCGCGGCTGATCGGGAAGCAAAGTATTCTTGTCACTTATACCGGTGTCCTGCCACCTCTCGAATGCAGGTCCCCCCTCACCGGTGAACTTGAACGTCTCTGTCTGCGTGTCTGTCCGTCAACCGTCTGTCTCCCCCACTCGTCAACTCTATCGTCTGCCTCTCTCTCTCATCGTCCCCCACTCTCTTTATTCTGATTCCACTCGCCTCACCTCAATACCCCCATTTTCTCTATTTTCTTCTGCTTGCTTCCCTCGTCTCGTTTCTCCACCACGTTCCGGCTTATCCTCAGAGAACTCGAGCTCTCTCAAAACCCTACAAGTGTCCGCATTTATTAATCGGGTGCGTGCATTGCTACTCTAATTTCCCCCCCTTTTCCACTCGCTTGATCGGCCTCTCTTCTACCTCTGTAGACCGAGCGACCACGTCCCGATCCTCTCCTCCTTCAACTAGTTCCGTACCTCCACAATGGCAGACACATGAGGAGACTCCTCTATGACTGTGAGCGAATAAGGGTCGATGGAAACATTAAACGCAGCAATGCAGGCTGTGTTGACCAGCCGAAGGCGATATCTGAGACCTTGAGTGACCTCGAGGACGGTCAACGGAGTCAAGGGTCCGCCTAAGTACCTACCCAGCCCATTAACGACCATAGAGTCAGGATTCCTGGGACATTCATGTCTGGTCAATATCATGTTTCGCATACATAAAATTACAATCGATGGCATACAACAGATTGGCGAAAGCGTCAGGGGACACGCCATGATTCCTTGTGTCCATCTGTGAGATTAGTGCATGTACCAAAAGCATCACGACTTACCAATCCCCTAAGGTCATCACATTGCGTTCTACGTGGGAGTATACGTCATAATCACTCGAGGAGTGAGACCATCCGGTGCTCAACGTACCGTCGTCAACATCATAAAGATTTCCATGTGGATCGTCCTCGTCTAAAGAGACGTACTGTTAGCACACTTTCTTAGTTGTTGAGCATCGAGCAAGTGTTACCGTAAATAACCAGCGGCTCTATTTAATACTCAATAGTTCGACTATACCTAAGTCCATCACAATATTGCGTCGTTATGTGCGAGTGATACCAGAACGTTCTGCAGATTTTGCTATGAGTATTTGCAATTCATCCATCCAAATACACGTACGTACCCAGACTGATTTCCAACATCAAAGCTATATCTGCGCCGGATTCATCATTCATATCAAGGAGGAGAACAAGGGACACGGACTTGAACGAGTAGCCTGCGGCAATGGGGCACTGAGTAACCAATGCATCACCATCTTGAGATGCAGTTCTATCCTGAAACATTCCGTGCCAATGCTAGACACATTGGGTTGAGTAATAGGAAGTACGTGAATGAAAGGGGCTCACAATAGACATTCCCTGAGCTATGGATTGATCACTGAGCAAATTGACAACATTGACCTGAAAATGGAATATAGTGAGACCTAATTCTATGGGAGACTTTCGTGGTGCTGACCTCGATCTTGTCATTCTTACGAGCAGTTATTAATGGACCTGGAAATTGCTTGTTTGCGATGATGCCGCTAACAGGAAATTTGAATATGCACTGATGCGATGAATGAACATGCCGTACATTCTGTCAAAACCGACTAGAGAGACGATCTCGTTGGTCAACTGAAACTCGTAATTCCGTGTTGCAGCTGATACAGAGAGACCGGCCGCCATAAGATATAAACAGGGTATGAGCATGGGTATATTAGCGTAAAAATAGCAATACTCGAGCGAGGGACGGAGTATGAGGTTCGCGAGGGTAAGGGGTTGGAAGCAACGAAGGGCTCTGTCTAAATGAGAGAGAGTAAATCACAGCCCTCGCCCAAGTAACATAATTTGAACCCATATGTTTATATGGATGATGCTCGATCATTCCCAATCATAAAATATTGACAGAAAAATCTACACGCGCAGCGCTGACTTTCAGTAGCAGTCTAGGAGTGCTTCTTGACGCACAGAAGCAAAAATTCAAGGCTCTCAGCCAATCAAAAATCGATCTGAGCCTCTTTTCTGTGTTCTAGGCCTCTAGAACGTGCACAAATCCCCTACGGAAAGTCACCCAATGGTGGTCAGGATGTAGTGCGTAGAATTACTGGGTACTCTAGCCTTTGTGCAGAATTCGCGCCGCTCGATAAGTCCATAATCAGACCTACTGTGCGAGCGAGCTACGACGGACTTTGTCGCGAGCTCTGGGTTTTCGTCTTTGAATACGATGCCGCTTGCAGCCTTGCCCGTAGCATGATCAACTAGAAGTTCTGTTTGCGCGGTGGACGTGAAACAGACAAGTTGGCTGGAGCACTGTGACACCGTCTTCCGAGAGGGAAAACACGTCAAAAGTAAGCTCCAGTGGAAATGTGAATGATAGCGAGTACCTGAAAGGCATGCGTGAACGAGAATGCAGCAGTCTATTTATTGGGGAAAATAACATCGTCAGGATGGCGATGGCGGAATCGGGCTCAGCCGAGCGGGGCTTCAAATATTTTTTCGAAAGTTCACGTTCAAGTCCCACGCCTTCGTTTGCCTCTTTACACCTTCGACTTGTCGACGCTGGCGCTATCACACATATCCCTCCATGACTTGGAGTCGTCACATAGAATATTATACAGTCGTTGCACCTTGGTGTTACACATAATAACCCCCGTTGCCGCTGCTAGCGATGGAACTGATAACTGACCATCAAGACCAGATCAGTCCGAGTCGTTGCCGGCTACTCGCCACCCGACGTTCCTTAGAATTTATAGCTAAATGTCAGAATAATTGACTTAGGCGAATATCTCTTCCATGAATGTAGCACAAGGAAAACCCGTGCAGATCCAGTTGCCCCCGACTGACATCACTACCTCCCATTTTTCAGTTAGTAACCTTCGTTACTATGATTGATTTGGCTTTTCACGCCACGTTCGAAAGTCTTCGACAACTTGCGGCCTTTTTCCGTGGCATTGGCTTCCTCTGCAATGTACACTAAACGGTCATACATTCCAACACGCGATACTCAGTGGGTACGAGTTTAGGTGCATGCTCATGTTGAGCTATCAGGTCTCCGTTCGGGTTTGCGGGTCTTCGTCCGGTTAAGTGTACAAGAGCTGTAACGAAGACCAGCACCGTAGTAGATGGGAACGAGGATGAAATATATACTATATATTTTGAATGTACTCTTGATCTCTGGTCAAGCATACCAGGGTGACCACTCTACGTATATTCATAGCTCGCTGCAGTGAGCCATGAATCCTGAAATCAGCTAGATTGTTGCAAGATGGGATGCGATGAGAGCGCCGGATACATCTCGGTGACGTTTGATTTACCATTATGGTGTTGCAAACATGTTTCATTGACAGCTATATTTGATGATCTGGGGTCACTGTTTAAATCAGAATTTCTACAGGATGGTGATACTCTCTATGCAAGCGTTCGCTGATTGCGCGGCATACACGAACATCTGCATCATGATCATGATCCAGGGAAAATTCCCGTTCACGTCGTGCTATGTTTGCCACCCAGATCCCCAAAAGAAGTTCAGGCGAGAATACTTATCTTGCCTTCAATCAAATCTTGATTTGTTATCTCCGCGGCTCACCTACTGTGGCGTTCCAGGAACATGCTCCGCAGTACGAATGGATGCGCGATGGATGCGTATCTTATAGAAACCTGTTGACACTTTCCAGATTCAACAGAAAGCGGGAATCACGCGCGCACGTCCGAAAGAGACTACCTTGGCCATTGCGCCTAAGACCCACGCGTACCCTACTGCAAAATATTTTTTTAAAAATAGTCTTTCGCGCGCGCCAAGTAAGAAACAGAAATATCTGCGTCGAACATGCAGCGGCTCCTCGATCAGTGGGAGAAGTTCACCATGAGTCTAGTTTAGCATGGATCGAGGTCAACGTTTGAACAAGGAGCCATATCAGGTCATATCTGAAAGTTCTAAGAGAAACCCCTTCCAATAGATATACTTACCACAAGCTTCAATGGCTTGTATTTCGGGCGCTGATCATGTTCCTTTTTAAGACTAATCGCTGAATACTCCGTCAATTCTTATGCAATCGCGATGACGTATTCCAGAATCATACATCCGTATAAAGCGCTTACTGTAGACTCTAACGAGTGTCGTCCGAATTCCCACTGATTACCCAGTCCGTACTCTGTTCCACGCCATGACCAGTACCCTTCGCCAGCTCGTATCTGTACTCAGCAGTGCTGTCGATTCACTTGAGAAGACTTGCGCTGCCAATGGAATGAAGGTTCCCGACCTCAACGAGCCATTCTCGCCGCCATCCGAGGCTTTTCGCAAGGATGCTGTAGCTGCAGAAGCCGCTAGCGTCGTGACAGCTGCTGCGATGCAACTTGCTGCTATCGTCACCCCCCCTCAGATCTCCCTTTATCACTGCGCTGGAGGGGTGAGCACTGCAGTGTCGCGCTTTGAACTGATACTGATGGTTGCGCGATGTAGCACTTCCGAGCCGCCGCTGTCAGGGTTTGCATGGAATGTTAGTACCGTCATGACCTCGCGATGGACTTCGGTGAACTCATCGAGCCTTGTTTTAGCCAATGTTACTGAGATTCTTCGAGAGGCCGGCCCGCAGGTACGCCGTGTGCTCTGCTTTTGATGAACTGCGCTTTATGCGTCCTCACTCCACCTTTCAAAAGGGATTGCACGTAAAGGACATATGCACTAAGAACGGGCAAGATCCCGAGAAACTTGGTATGTTTCAGCTCTGTAGTCATATTATCGGACTCTGACATTTTTCCTAGTACGCTTCATGCGCTTCCTTGCCACGAATCATATCTACCGCGAGGTCACTCCGGAAGTCTTCGCGAATACTCGTATCTCAAGCATGATGGATACCCTTAAGCCCAGCAGTGAGATGATTTCCTCGTACGTCAATTCTTCCGAGTGACTTCGTGCATTTCCTTATGATGACACCAATGATAGGCCGGAAAGCAAGCACGACAACACGCACGGAATGCCGGCATTCACCTCCCACCAGTAAGTAACGAGTTCCGAGTTTACCAGGTCCCACCTAACCGTTTGTATGTTTGTAGCTTGGACGAGGGTTTCAAGTCGGCCGCGTGGGCATGGGAGGTCCTTGCGGATCCAACGACGAGGTCTTCGGGTGACATATCGCATTCGCCCTTCAGCAAGGCCTTTAACACGTCAGACTCTATCTGGAAATTCTATGAACATCCCGAGAACCGTTTTCGCCACAAGCGCTTCGGAATAGGCATGCAGGGTGTACAATCCATGCAGCCAGCAGACGCAATCTTGACTGGTTCGTGAAGACTTTTCTCCTCGGTGTAGCTGATGTTGATCCAATATCATCTTTAGCGTACGACTGGAAATCGCTTCCTGAGAAGTCGGTAGTGGTCGACGTCGGAGGAGGTGTAGGCACCTCGACTTTGGCGCTCGCTGGCAAATTTCCGCAATTCAACTACGTCGTCCAAGACCTTCCGGGGACTATCGAGGATGCAAAGACTGTAATGTCACTTCGGTTCATCAAATCTATGCTCCAACTAATGCCATCCTTCTACATCACATCCAGATCTGGGACAATCAAATGCCCGACGCGATAGCTTCCGGCCGTGTCAAGCTCGAAGGTAAGTCGATTGCATGTCATGATATTCAAAGGTGCTATCGTTTAACTTGAATATTCCCATAGCTCACGACTTCTTCAAGCCTCAGCCACAGACCAATGCTTCCATCTTCCTTCTCAAGTTTGTCTGCCACGACTGGTCTGATCAGTACTGTGTCAAATTCCTGTCCAATCTCCGCCAAGCTGCTACACCAAAAACCACTCTCCTCGTCCTCGATAGTCTTATTCCTCTCGCATGCCGCGATTCCGGAGACAATGAGGACATGAACTTCCCGGGTGCGAAGGCACCGGAGGCTCCGGAACCACTCCTCGCTAACTATGGTGTGGCGAACGAAATGTGTTACAATGCGGACATAAACGTCAGTCGTTTTTGCACCTATATATGAAAGACCATTGACTGAAATCTGACGTAACTTTGTACTTTTACAGATGTTCCTATTGTTTAATGCGCAGGAGAGGACCTTGAGGCACTTCAAGCGGTTGTTTGCGTCCTGCGGATGGCGCCTTACGAGAGTGAACCGCCAAGATGGCGACAGCACCTTCATCCAGGCTATGGAAGCTGTTCCTGCTTAGATCGCATGAATCCTCGACTCGAAGGATATGTTTATTTTGTGGTTCTCTCCATTTCCACACCTTGAATGTTGCTCTTTGTTGCGTTGTTAAATGGAAAGATGTTATAAGGTGGTAGATCGCGGTAATGAAGAGAATGCTTGTGTACATATTAATTTGACGAATGCTTCCGGGATTATGTATCATCACAATCGAGTGAGACACGTGGCAAACCAGGGTGAACACCACGACCGTCATTCGAAAATATTCGTGGTGTTAGAATCCGCAGCTTCGGCGCCTCAGCTAGAGCTTGAAGCTTGAAGGCGAGCGACCATCATGAGATGCTCCAAATTTGAAGACTTTGCGTTTGCAGGTGGAACATAGTTCAGCACTAGATGTCCGTCAAAATCAGTCCCCTTGGTCGACTATAATCGAGAATAGGCTCTATCTCGTTGTATGATCCCTCGCGTGTACCCCGCGATAAGTCATACATTACTATTGTTAGCTGTGGTATGTAACAACTCTATATGTGTGCCTTCGATGATGGATATGGTATTTTCGCTTGGATCATATACCATCTGCTGTTGGGGTGTGTGGTGTCGTATTTATTCGCATCGAAACCTACTCTGGTTACCCTCACTGCAAAAGTGACTTCACTGTCGACATCAGCCAAATATCAGCTGCTTAAGCCACAATGATCACGCAGCTCGCAACAGAGTTGGTCCATCAGAATCGGGCTCGTTTCTGCCGTGGATGAATCGTAGGTCGACAGTAGTCATACATAAATATCCTTCCAGTACCGTCACTCCGGCATAGCTTCAAAACGCCGCTGGAAGATATGATTCCAGGTGTGGCGCGAAGCGTGCGGTACATGGCGTTTGATCATGCCCGAGATAGGAAGTGACCGCGCTTTTACTCCTTTCATCTCTTCGCCTTGCCATCCTCGTACGCGCTCTCTACTCTAGCTCTTGCTAGAGTATTGTCTTCGCTCGGTCTGGCTCCTTCGAGCCGGTGGCCGCTCTTGCGTATGTGTGAAAATATTCTGTTTGTCGGTGTCAATGCTCTATCATTGTCATGGTATCTTTGGTTTCCGAATCATAGTAAGGCTGTGCGGATCACATTGCGAGTTGCCCGAGCGGCTCTGCTCGCAACTCTAGATTTCGCCCATGCTTCCGCACCAAATAAGCTTGCCGCGTCATTCCCTCCATCATCTCCGGTGTCACCGACACAACGCAGTACTTGATATCCCTATATGACCGCGACGGCAACCCGTCCCAATGGTGTGTTCTCGCGGTGCATCCTGCACATATGAGATATGGTAAATAATCCCTGCAGTCCCAAGAATTAGGACACTAGTGTCTTTCGGGTTTCACCCGGTAATGGTGCGTGTGATGGAGGGCGAGTGCGCAGATGTCATGTCGGAGATTGCTCGGTGCATCTGATAGAGCACTCGCATGAATGCGTTGTCTCGTTGTAAGGTTTGTTCCCTTTGGGTACCATGACTTCCATTTCTCTCCGTAATCATCATCCCTGTATCTTGTTGGACAGATGGCACTGCCCAAAATCACGCACTACACACGTATTGTGGGGTTTTTGATAGGCGGCGCAGACCAGATTTTGGACGTGAAACCCATTTGGTCCGGGTCTATTTCCGGTGTTTTATTTAGGTCATGGTGATATAAACTGGCCTCTTCCACCCCGCTCACATACTAAGCGTGTCATCGATATCCCTTCAAACTTTACACTCCAAGGGGCTTTTACGGACAACTGATGTCTGACGCTCCGGCCGCTCCTACCATCGATGTCACGATGGGCGCGCTCTTCATCGGTTTGCTGTTTTCGGCATTGTGGGTACTATATATCTTACGATTCTGTTATCACTGATAGAGCAGACCGAATTATACCTGACGTGTTAGCTTTCAAGGCTTGCTTACTGTGCAAGCTTACATATACTACGAAAGCTTTCCCGATGACTCGCGGAAGAACAAGGTCTTCGTACGTTTTTCCCTCCCGCATATTGTGCAGTTCATAACTGTACGTTTTTTCAGGTTGCGATAGTGTGGTTTGTATCCATTACATCTGTCCTTACGCATCACAGACTGAATGGTGTGTTCTTGGAAGGATTATCGATCTAGCACATCTGATCATCGTCGCCCAAGCTATATACTGGTACCTCATTCGTAACTTCGGGAATGGCGAGGCCCTTCTTCAATCTACGACGTCAGAGGATACGCACTTGATTCTCGTAGGGTTGGCCACCCTGATATGTCAATTCTTCTATATTCAACGGTTAGGGAATTCTTCCAAACAACGTTCAATGACGACTTGTAATTGGGCTCATCGAAAACCTTGATCATGGATAGGATTTGGGTATTAAGCCAGAAGAACATCTACCTGACTGGCTTTTTGCTTCTCGGTTGTCTTGCAATTTTTGGTCTGAATATTGCGCTAAGCGTAATACTTATGACGGCACCTGGACATCTATTCTCTATCGTCACCAAATATCCCGGGACGAACATAGCATTGTTTGCTTTGGACGCTGGAGGTAAGTCATCGCTTTCCTTTTGTTCGCTCTATTCGTTGCTTATCTTCCTTTCTTCCATCCTCAAGTGGACATCGTGATGTCATTGCTTATGTGCTACTACCTGTGGAATGCGAAGACTGGATTCAAAAGGTGCGTCGTAATTGCACATATTTAATGCATCTTCCTCTAAATATGTACCAGATCAGACACTGTTGTGTCCCGACTCATCAGATTCACCGTCGCCACAGGTCTTACGACAAGGTCGGTCATCTCTCAATACCTCAACGAGAATCTCGATGCAACTTATTGCGGAGCATAGCCTTGTGGCGGTAGCAGGTGTTGTGTCGGTGAGTTTCCAGTGACATCTTCCGCACTAGCAAAGAAAAAATAACCGTTACTCTGTTCAGTACACTGCACGAACAAATTCGTTCATCTTCATTGTTTGTCATCAGCCCTATCACTGTTGAGTCAAATGCTGACGACGATTTACAGGCATTTCACCTCAACCTCGGACGTCTATATACTAACTCCATACTGGCCTCGTCAGTATCCCGCTCTTCCTCTGTCATCGTGTTTCACTTCAACTAATACATTTCTTCAGACTCAACTCCCGACGAAGTCTCAGGACGTTCGCCTTTGATCCAAAGTCAGCTGGCTCTGTTCCTGACTCGCGGACGGGAGTAGCGCTTCCCACTAGCCTCGCGGGTCTTCCATGCACCTCGGACAATCATTCAGTTAGATTAGAGGGAGACGTCGGAAAGAATATGTTCGAGCTCCGCCCATCTGGTTCTTGGTAGGTTGTTTCACCAGTCAAATTCGTTGCTCTAGCTTCTGATGGTTCTTCTTAGGTCGAATCACCGCTGGGAACTATCAAACACAATGGTGTAGCGTGATCAGGTCAGAATTTGCGGCTAGAGTTTGAAAAATAATCGAGAAAAAGCAAAACTTATGAGCTCGGCCAGTATCAGCTGCGTCAAATCAGGATGATGAAGTGCTGCGCGAGTGCCTCGGGATGCGCAGAGCAATCGCTATTCTTGGAGCCAGAAGTTAGCCAGCATAAACTATTTGTCAGTCCATTGAGTCATGATAGCTGCAATGCCATATGTATTTTATTGAATGTTACCTTTACGAAGTCGCTCATGATGGAATTGGCGGAGTGTCGAAGCTTAACCTTACAGGTATAGGGACTCTATGTAGGAGTTGCAAGCCTCACTGTGCCTCCTGGATGTGGCGAAAGTGTTAAAAACTCCCTGACATGGGATCCGAGAGCCATTTCAGGCGAAGTAAGAGAACTAGAAGCTCAGAAAAATGCGTGAGGTACTACTTTGGCCAGGACAGAAGCTCCAGGTGACACGACATGCTTTTGAGGGCTCTACGATAGGGGTAGCAAAAGATTCAACAGAGTCGATGCTAAACTGTTTCCCGGTAGTGAGTGAGTTCCACTTCGGACACAAGCCCTCCCAATCCCGGGGCCTTTCTTCCTCGTAAGGTCCATGACGTTGATATTCGGGTACTTCGGCAAAGACTATGGCAAGCGCTGATTCAAAATGAAAATCGAAATGACAGTGTAGGAGCCTAAGATTTAGCCCGATCGTAAGTGTTCGTACCACCTTGATTGACCCAAGACGACGGTGAAATATATTACAAAGGTCCTGGATTGTCCGTGTGGAACAGAAATGTGACATTGTCGCCAGCCAAACCTGTATTCACGAAATCCCTGAAAATTGGAAACCGATTGTTCTACATGACACCGGCGCTGCGAATTATGTGAAAGTTGTGCTATTTATTACGACGGGGATGAAGTTGGATCAGATGTTTCGTGCTAATATAAGGACAGTATGGAAGGAAATGACGGACCCCATGGAGATGGAACAGGTGCGGAGCAAAAGAAGATCCTCCTGGAATGGTAACACTGTCGAGTTTCTCGCGCGGTACGGTGATGACGCTTCCGATGGGCACGAGAGATTGAGTGCTGGCTGAGCCGTTTTATATATTAGGAAGTGCGGGGATAGGAGGTGAAACAACGAGATTCCCGTTGATCAAGAAATGGGTCACGTTTGGATCCTGAAATTACGGAATCGAATTGTGATCCGACTCTTAGAATGTCTGTGACATAGACAACGAACCGTGCTGATCTTCAGTGTGAACGACATTTTTGGTACTTGCTGCGTATACTGTTACGGAAGTCAGATATGTTGTAGGTGAGATATTGCATGAACACTTGTTACATCAGTGGATGTCAAGGACTGGTCAAAAGCGTTAACTCTGGCTGCGAAATAGGTATATGAATACCCTCCTGGATATCCTGCTCGAGCATCATTTTCTTCGCAGTTGATGTTGTCTCTGGATCCGTCTGTGGCGCGCCCTTATACCTCAAAATTGCGGCGTTGATATCTGCATGGAGCAGTCGTGAATATGATGTTATACCGGAGGAACAGAAAGCGCATGCGCATATTGTACCATTGGTCGGAGAAACATCGACAACAATGGGTTTCGCCCGAGTCCGTAGTTGTACATTGCCTCGGTAGATTCGCAGATATTAGGCCATCGGGAGACTCACAGTAGTTATCAATACGTTGGTTGGCGCTGACTACGACGGAGACACGCTGCCCTGGGACACCAAATATAACCGTTGTCTCAGCGATCCCGACATCAAGGAAAAGTGTGTACCTGGCCAGATCGAAACTATGTCTACACCAAGAGGCTTTATCTCAATGCCATCCAATTCGATGACAGTCATGGAATGACTATCAATAGAAAAGTTTAAGCCTGCCTGGCAAGCGGTAGTCACCAGCCGAAAACGGTAGCGCACATCGGAGGTTACGTTGATGGCGGCGAGTGGACCTTCAGCTCCACCATCATATCGTCCAAGGCCATTGATCACAAACGAGTCAGGGTTACTGGTAAAACGGAGTCAGCGAGTTATTTTCGATGTTGCTAAAGATGGTACACATACAGTAGGTGCCCCTCGGAATGCCTGAGGAGAAACGAGATGGGACCTAATTGAGGATACTTTCAGCAATGAACACGAAAAGACGCGCGCAGCAGCGTACGGCTCCAGTACAAAGCGCACCATTATGTCCTGAAGAATCCGAAAATAAATTCATGGGCAGATTAATACCTACGACGGACACATAGCCAGTCTGCCCCGCAGTATTGATTACATACCTATTCACTCAGAAGGTAATCAGGACGTGATGACGATGTAGTGTATCTTGACAATGTCAACGACTCGATTAGGGTTCTCTAGGTCGCGCTTGACTTGTTGAGACGAAGCTGAAGAGGTGGCTAAGGGAGGAAACAGACCAGAACAAGTCTGGAGATTTATTGTATGTATCTACGAGTTTTTATACATCCAGACTTCATAAATCTACCTAAGCATCAATGACTCGAATTACTAAGTACAATGAGAGAAGAATTGCACCATATAGAAAGCTAGCCAATGAAATCAAGAACCATCTAAGCAATGCTCAAGAGTAGCGAATAGAGAGAGAAGGATAAGGAAATGGCTCAGTAATCAGTACAGTAATAATCAGAGGAGTATTACTGAGCAGTACAAGACCACAGATGACTCGAAGAGGACGATAAGGAACGAGGGGGAGATGATCTCGATAGAGATCAGTACTGTGGCCCGAGCGAAGTGGCGTAAGTAAGAACGCCGGACCGGTAGCCGGGTCAAATCATCGCTGATTTGACTCAACCGCGGCACTTGTGGCGAGGGTGTTTTCTTTTTTCTTTTGCTCATGCATTCGTAGGTAAGAATACTAATATATTTTATATTACTACAAAAAGTTCATAACAGACAATAAGCACCGAAAGTCATCACCTGCAGCTATAGGACACTGAGTCACCCAAGCAGCGCCATCTTGAGAAGGCGTCTTATGCTGCGCCAGCCCATGCCAATGCTAAAAGACAGAGAGAGAGAGAGAGACTTGGCCAAGACGCAAGTAATAGCAAGTGTTAGTAAAGGCGCACAATAGACGTTCCCTGAGTCATTGAAGCGTCTGTAAGCCTGTTCGCGATGTGAACCTATTGATGGAGTCAACACGCATAGTGCATAATGACATAGATATGTGAAGTTATGCCCCTCACCCGCAACTGATCTTTCTTTTGAGCACTGAGCAAAGGACCCGGAAATACCTGGTTGGCCAAAACGGAGCTAGCGAAGAATCAACATGAGTACAACCAAGAAGATAGTATGAGTACCTTCGACTGAAGTCATCAGGTGCAATGACCTCATTCGTGAGTTCTAGTCGATACCTACTCACAGAACAGACACAGGGTACGACACGACAGGCGGCGAGAATAGTGCCGAAAATCATCATGGGCGGGAAATATCTCCATGGATGAGGGGTCGCGTTGTGAGCCCCACTTGGTCAGCGTAGTCTGATATATGAAGTCGCTCTCGGACCATAACATGATGGTTTATCCAAAAAACGCGTCACATAATCAGTAGAGAAAATGATGAGCGGGAAGGTTCGATTTAAATGAAGTCCCATTTATTGTGATGCCCAGCATCAATCTCCGAGGAAAGAAAAATAATGTGTCAGCCTGCGATTGAGGAGCACACATACAGACATATACTGGGATATGTGCTCAGACCTTTGCCGCATGGGGTACGGCGACGAAACGCATGTCCAAAGTTGGGCAGGCTGTAATCGGCTGTCTTTAATTTGCAGCTGTAATGGGGTTTCCATGTACCTTCGAATCTAAGACGTTTCTGACGAATTATCTCGTGGTAAGGAGCCGTAGGGAGATGTGCATCATGGACGGCATCCACTACGTCCCGTTCATCAACAGAGCCGTGTGAAACCTGCATCTTCCTTCAGAACATGCGCAGAATCACTAATTCTGTGGTTCGATCTGTCGGATGGACGGGAATCCGAAAAGACCAATCAAGGACCTTTTCTTTGATCTGACAGGAAACGGGCCGAAAAATCGACTGCGAGCATAGTGTTGGAAGTATTTTGCATGAATAATGAACAAACGCGAGTATTTTATTGATTGGCCTTTATCGTGAGATGCGTGTATGACAGCTCGCATCAGCCAATATCATGCGATCTGAAACGGCAATTGTTGGGAACGAAATTTGATACGGGGGCGATAATGTACACGGAGTATCGAACTCGGACAAATGAAGAGAATGTGGCCTTGTACACGGACAGCTAAGAGCCTCGACGTTTAAATTTCTTCGCGAAAGCACGGAATATCTTCGCCCGAAGGCGCTTAGGCCCGAAAGGACACCGCTTCAATAGCCTGCAAAAATGTGCTGTCTCCACCTTCGTGGCGATTCACCTTGACGACCTTCCACCCGCAACCACGCAGAAGGTCGTTGATGTGGCGGATCGTTCTCTCCTGCGAGTTGAACAGCAAGAACATCTACGAGTTACCAGCACATCAACGTATGTTACATCTTAAAGGGAGGGGAAATACATACGTCGATATCGGCATTATACCCCATCAGGTTGGTGTGACCGTAGTTTGCGAGGAGCGGGGCAGGAGCCTCACGAGGTACTGCACCTGGAATATCATCATTGGCATCTCCGTGGCTATCGTGGCACGCAAATGGCATGACGCTGTCGACGAGTAAAAGGACTGTGTTCTTCGTGGCGGCCTCGCTGAGCCGAGTGAGGAATTTGACGCAGAACTCGTCGGACCAGTCGTGAGTGATCTGCTTGAGGAGGAACACGGACGCGTTTTTACGGGGCTGCGGCTTAAAGAAGTCGTGTGCTGGCAGCCAAAAGTGTTCAAAAGGATGCTCCATTAGATAATGAAATTTAACGGATGCACTCACCCTCGAGTTGTACACGACCGGATTTGAAAGCTTCGGGGTGCTTCTCTGCCCAGATCTTCGTAAAACGGCGTTGTAAAATTGACCACTAGATGACAAAAAAAGAGAAGTACGTACAGTTTTTCCTTCCTCAATAGCGCCCGGGAGGTCTTGAACGACAATCTTGAGCTGAGGGAAGTGGGTGGCGAGCGACATGGATGACGTTCCCACGCCACCTCCGACGTCGACCACTAAGGAATCCGCAGGAAGGCTCTTCCAGTCGAAGGCTGTACCCAAGAACGTGTTCAGCTTGCTACTCATTATGGATAATATTGACTTTTATTACCTCCAAGAATGGAATCGGGAGGCTCGAGCGCCTGGACCCCGTGCATACCAATGGCGAAACGCTGTTGACGGAATGACTCTTCCGGCCTCTCATAGAACTCCCAGAGTGTCTGGTCAGTTTTGAGAGCGCGAGCAAATGGAGATGCGTGAGGATCTCCGGATTTCCTCGTTTTCGGGTCTTCCAGCACCTCCCAAGACCACGCAGCCGCTTTGAATGCTTCGTCGAGGCTACGAGTCTCGGTCAGGGTGGATATCTGACAGATTATTTAGTATGTCAAACTCACTGGTGCGACAGAAAGGCGGGGAATCCAAAAGTCCCGACATGCTTGGATTCGGGTCTATTATCACGAGCGTTGAGCAATGACACAAACATCCAGGTCTAGGTACAAGACGTACTTCGCGATGATTTCTGCGCTTGGCTTCAACGTATCGAGCATACTGGAAATGCGTGTGTTGGCAAACACGTCCGGTGTTACCTCTCTGTATACATGATTCGTAGCGAGGAAACGGAGGAAACGGCCTAAATAAACGAATCCAGTCAGCTCCCAAACAACAACTCAACACCGATAATCTGATAGCTTACCGAGTTTTAGAGGATCCTGGCCATTCTTCGCCGCGATGTCCTTGACGTGCAGTCCCTAAGAAATCCGCATGTTGACCACCAAGTCGTCGTAGGTCAATACAGTGACTTACCTGAGGACCAGCTTCGCGTAGAATTTCGGTTACGTTTGCTGTGAAGTACAACGTTTAGGGTTAGGCTGAAGGAGCGCAAACAACACACCCAGCTTACACTCAAGGCAAGCACGAATGGCTGCAGCCCTAAAATGCTACATAGCACGGTAAGAGACGGTGGATTTGATTGAGATAGAATTAAAACAACGCACTCCGCCGGTGAAATGATAGAGAGTAACTTGAGGGGGGGTAAGAATCGCGGCGAGGTGAACGGCTGCAGCACTGGCGATGCTGGCGGCCTCTGCGACTTTCGGGTCCGCTCTGAACGCTTCGGTTGGTGGGGAGAAGGGCTCGTTCAACTCAGGAAGCTTCGTTCCATTCGTAGCGCAAGTTTGCTCGATAACATCGAGAGACTTGGTCATATGATCCAAGAGTTGGCGCGCCACTTGTATAGAGGTCATAGTTGCTTTGTAAAGTGGAAATTCGGTGAGAGGGGGAATTGCTGGCTGGTGCGCCAAGTCCTGAGTAGTGCAGAAAGGGGCGTATAGGTAACCAGAGGTTGAGCCCTGGGACCAGGGTCTTATCTTAACTTAAGTGGGTCAAGACGTGGCGCACTGTGAGTTCTGAGCGCTGAGACTCGACTGGAATGGAACCATCTATCGAAAAAAAGAAGGAATCGGTAATAATACTTACGAGCATCCGCGGCTCTCTATCGACGATCTGATTCATTTGTGTAAGATGCACACGTACCGCTTCGTGAAGTTCCGGAGAACAGAGATCGGGTGCTTTCCGTGAGAGCTCTAAGCCTGAAAGCGTTGGAGATGGCGTCAAACAGAGATGGGTTGGTGATATCTGTGTCGAGAAGTAGGCGCTTCTATCCTAAAGTAGCTGAACAGCCAGGACCCGCTGAGTCCTTGGATTCGAGTCTGTATCGCAGTGTGATGCCGGCCCTGGCAGACTCTTCATCAGAAGGGGCAGGCACGTTGGACGTTGAAAAGCAAGAGTACTGAGTACTGAGTGCTCGTCGACGCGGTGCAGGCTTAGTGCAGGCGCTTGTGTGGGGCTACAGCGGCCATCAGACAAGATGCCGAAACCCTTGACCTTCCGCGAGGCTCGGCTCCAGGGATTCCGAGGACCGGGCTCACCGGTCATGCCTTCCTTGCCATTTCGCCACTCGCTATTGTTACCTCCTGTGCATGTCCTACTAGTAGGTGAAGTGTGCGACCCATAAGATATTTTCTCCCCACCATCCAGGTTTCGGTAGACTAAGATGAAGCCATCTCCACACGGAAGTCCGCTTCGCTCCCCACATCCCAGAGGAACAGCGGGGCATCCGGCGTAGAGCCCTCTTTTTCATTTCATCCGATTTTCCGGGTCGTATCAGCACATGTGGCTTGAGCGACCGCTTCGTTAATTCTAGGCTCAACCGAGGCTTAGTTTATGACGAGGCTTTATACATAACGCAGTCCGGTCCAGTCTCCCGGTTCTGGTTTTGCCTTTATAGTATAACGGGCGCTCAACTGGAATGGTCGGGACCAGAAGCATAAATAGCGTGCGCAACTCTACTCTGCACGAGGTTTTTGATTCCCTTATTCACCCCCAGGAATATACAAGTAGCTCGTACTTAGTACTGCTCCAGTGGTCCTTCATCTTCTGATCCTTCGCGAGCCAAAGCAATGTCGAAACCCTACCGCTTCCTACCCTCTCAGCAAGAGATTCAGGCCTGTTGGGAGCTGGGACGTTTCCATAACAACATCGGTTTCTGGGTTGTATGGCTGCCTACTGGTGAGACTTCTCCCGTCATCATGTCCTCCCAAATGAGTATCTTAAACGACGGGTATGATATCAGTCTGGTCATTGGCAATGGTATATCATGCAAATCGCAACATTACCTTCATTGATGTGCTGTGGCGTGCTATCGCCTATATTCCTATGTGTTTTGGTGTAAAATCTCTGGTAAGTGACATACCATCGTGTTATGTGGACCATATGCTCTAATTAACGTCGTCTCCTATCCGTCAGATAATGACCGTTGACGATTTATTGGATAATGATGTCGATTTACTAGTAGAGCGGACCAAGAATCGCGCAATTCCTCGTGGGGCGATCACAATTTCACGAGCATGGATGTTCTTTGCCCTTCAGGCTGTGATAGGAATATGCTGGGCATTCAAAGCTCTAAGTCCGACCGCGTAGGTTATATCTACACCTGACGATAGTTATTGCTAACTGTCTAATTAGGTTGCGGACCTCTATGCTCGTATGGCCACTCTATGTGATTTATCCGACCTGTAAAGTAGCAATGTTTCACGACTTTCAAACTGGAAACTTCGAATGCTGATATTGTCGATAGCGATGGACATACTGTGCTCCTATTCCGCTAGTGAGATATACTGTTCATTCTCAATTATCAGAAATTAACTATGTCCATTTAGGGCCTCATGTTTAACGTAGGTATATTCATGGGTTGGAGCGATCTCAGTGAAAATGACATTCACTGGGCTACTCTGGTGCCCTTGTACCTTGGATCGACTCTATGGACTATCTGTTACGAGACGATCTACCAACACCAGGTCTGTCGCACAATTTCGCCCTTAATCCTATGTTCATGCGGCATTCGCTCACACTTTTTTTCCTGAATACGAAGGACAGAGATGATGATATCAAGATCGGAATCTATTCCATGGCACTTCTTTTCGGACGGGCCACAATACCAATCTGCGGCGCGGCTGCCGCCGGATTCTTTTCGTTGTTCTGCTATAGTGCATTCCTGAATTCGCACGGATATGCATTCTTCCTGAGCGTCGCAGTTGCGGCCACCGTGACTGCGGTGCGCTTATTACGTACAGACATTGACGTTCCACAGGATTGTAGAGATTTTTTTCTCGGGAGTACGCACGTCAGTTGTATTCTCGCATGCGGGTTGGTTGTCGATGGCGTCGTTGCGCGGCTGATGTCAGGAGGATCCATTTGATCCCGTGTTGGCTCACAGGAGGCGCTTGATGGTTCGTGTACTTATGTGCCAGTCATGGCTAGTCATGGTCGTTTGATTCGTAAACCATCGACCAAATTTATAGAACGTAATGTGTATGACTTGACGGCGCTACCTTTCAGGACATGCCCTGACTCCTCAGGGGGCCATCATCTTAATCCCTACTCTTCAAACCAAAGAAAGACGACGTGCTCAAGTACAGAACAGTATTCACGGGGTATACACTTTCCTGATGTCGGTGCCTCGCGGAGGAGTATGTGAAGTGTTTTGACATCTTCACGCGTTCTTGAGCGCTGGGAGTGGCAGCGCTTTTGCGGGACAAGCGATATGTAACGGTGAGGCACTGTCTGATGTTAGTAAAAAAAGAAGGGATAACATTTCCAATCCAAGAAGAGGATCCTGATATCGCAAGTGCGACACTGCAATACGCGGATCCTGTTCAAGTTGAGCCCTTACTATAGTGAAGGACACTAGGTGTCTTACTGTGAGATCTGGGAGACATTTTCAGACTTGTATCACGCAATACATCACCCATATTTCCGTTCGGAGCACAGATCAGACAGTAATGAAAATCATTTCTACTGACCGGCGAATCTCTGCCGTGATCTACAACTTGTTTGACAGGCTGACGAGCGTCCTAAATCGCTACGGGAGGACACCAACTTGTGCACGTGTAGTCTAAATACTGTCGAGGACGCCAGAACCTTTACATTAAGATCTAGGTCTAGAAGTGGTGACGATAGGTAAAGAGGTTGGTTGTCCTCGCACAATTTCTGACAAAACTTCGGCTACCCTGTGCAATTGATATATTTAATAATGCAGCTATCACAGATATGAAGATCAGATACGAACGAGACCTGGAACACCTAATGAGTCTCTTCATGGATCCACTGCGTAGTCGATCGAGCGGGACGCAGGCATGTTTCAGGTATGTACTTACTCCCACTTGAGTCCTGTAAAGTGTTTGGCCATACTTAATCCGGATACAGTTTCTCTAGCCGGCTAAGAATGGAAGGATGTCTAGATTGCCGCCCCTGTGATGATACGTACAGAATGACAGCCATCGACTCGCGATTGGTTAGAATAGGATAGTGAGTGATGCAACGGATCTCATCATCAAATATGAGAAACAGTAGGCGGTTGTACGCAGGGGTTCTAATACGACAGAACAGACACTTGAGTCCCCATAACTTCATCACCGACGTTTGCAGTGGCATCTTACAGTGCATCGCAGCATCAGTAACACAGCCGCTCGTCAGAATGATCACGCTTGGAATCCCCTGGCGTCCACTGACCTTTTTGCGCCACTGTTTCCATGATCAGTGAGATTGCCGAACGTTTGCCACCGATATTTATAGTCACAGAAGCATGGCCAAGGTTTCGGACTATCTCACGACACACAGCATGGGTTTGTTCCCCGGGGCAGCGCTTACCGTTCGGGAAACAATTGACGGCGTACGGGCAGTGCATTCAGGCAGCAATGATGTGATTGTGGATATCCTGTGATAGATAAGTCGGGGGGCAAGCACAGTGCCGCGTCACCTGCTGTTGACTCCCACCATGGCCGACTCCCAAGAGGATTCCATAGTATCGCTTGGTCGAGATCTGTGAGCTCTCATACGCTATACTGAGGAATAGGTTACTTACCAACTGAGTGTCTACGCAGGTTCTCCATGAAGGCTTGTCATGGTCTCTGCATTTATTGGATTTCGAGAGCTAACGTCATGTCCAGCTATACTGGGTGGCGATATCTGCGTTGTGGATTTACGATTACTTCCTTACCCTGGGAGACGAGGTGAGCTCATGTCACCTGGATTAATTTTCGTCTCCTTGAGCAGCTTCGCTTCCTAGGTTGCGTACGCGTGGAAAGGAAAGAAGACTGCTGGTAAAGAGCCTCACATAGCCAACGTAGATTGCATCCTAATACACATTCCATAGTCTTTTGGATCTTTATTTTGGTACGTGTATATGATCCTTCTAACGCGGTGCTGCACCATTCTGAGCCACGTTCATAGAATCGCTACTTAGCTCCTATATTCATAGTCATAACACTAACGGGTATGCGTATAACTTACAAGTTCGGAAACATCTCACATATTGTCCCCTTCACAGCTTACTTCGCCGATGCATGGACTCTGGACGTATGTTCTTCCCCTGATCTATCGTACAATCACTGACGTTTCTTGGTCATATAGGTGTTAGTATCTTGTCTAAATAATCTGCCCGTATTTCCGTTGAAGTTTACTTTCGTTGTTGGTTCAGGTGTGCGAGATACGGCTTTATGGAGACCCTGGAGACGATGCTGTTAACGTTCACAGCTGAGGTCGTTCTGACATTGCGGTATGCGCAGTCACGTCTCACATCCAATGCATCATAGTAACGATTCACATGCAGAGTATACGCTCTCGCCAACAAACACAGAGCAATTCTCCTTTTTTCGGCTACTATTCTTCTCTGGCAGTGGGGAATAGCTTTTTATGCTATGTCTCAAGTGCGTCCCACGCATTAAGTCTCTCATTTGGAGTATTCCGACGAGCTGCACCCATAGTCTTCGCAAGGCACGGACCAGCCAGCCCTTCTACTATCTCGAGACAGTAGCGGACCTCCCGGACTACCAGAGCTCCCACAAATTGACCCTTTTCATGGTATGTCGTCCAAGTACCATGACCGTATGTGGCGATATTCTCTAATGCCGGTCGATTAGTTTGCATCTTTATATCTACTCTCACTGTGTGCGTAATTCTATGCCGATACTCTGCGCATGTGAGTTTTCTAACACTCAAGGAAACCGTAGAACTCCATGGGTGGAAGCCTATCTTTTCCTCAGCTTGGCTTTCGATATCGTTATCTTTCTCACCATTATATATACGACATTCCGAGCAGCACGACATTTCACGTTGACACGCATCATGCATGTGATCCGACGAGACGGGATCATTTACTTCTTCACTCTCTTCTCTTCGAATCTGGTGTGGGCTCTCCTCCTACTGCATGCTAGGGTATGTTCTTCGTTTTTCTCAAACTGAAAATATCCTCACCGGCCTTATTTAGAACGGGTTGAAGTTCATGCATAATCAGTACGTCCTAGTTCTGACCAGCACATATCATTACTGAGGCTGTTTTACTTCCGTTCACTGATACAGACCTGCGATGGTGTACGTCTACATCTCTGTAACATCCACTTCCCTTCCATCGCTGATATATTCTGCTGAATCAGAATATCGTCCATCATGGTGAATCATATCACATTGAACCTCAAACGAGCAGCTGCGGAGCAAAAGGTGATAACATGGGGGATAGCTACCTTCGAAGATTACAGACGAGGCTCCGAGCAGAGTGACACTACACCTGAAGCCTCCTACCTCCGAGACGACATCGAACTTGGCAGGATCGTTCGTTGAAGACGATTTGGATGGTTTTCCCAACTGCAGCGGGTCTAGTGTCTGAGATGCACGGGAGATGTGGCGAACGGTTGCTTCAAATTCATTCATGTTGAGAGATAGAACGTTAGTCACGTATTATTATTGTTTCTCTTCTTGTCAGAATGGAATGTCATAACTGCATGATAGGGATACATAGGAGTGGGTCAGCATTGGTCATGAAAGCGCGAGGTGAACCTCTGAGTCTCGTTCAGACTGGTCACGGTTTTCCGCAGAGTATGATCTGAGCTTTTTTTTGTCAGGGTCAGTCGTGCGCGCAACCGCGACTGGCACTTCTTTCTACGGCATAACCATTTTAGAGTAACTCTTGACGATGACTCGTACAGGGAGAAGATGGAGGTAGCACGCCGACGAGCCCTAGCGGGAGCATTCGTTCAATTATCCGACTTGTTCATGAATGGCTGGGAGGCGAACTTAGTCGTATATATCGTTCACAACCTCGGGATTAGGGATAACTGCTCCATTTCATCATACGATCAAAGAGGCTTCCGGTTCTACTCATGATACAAATACCAATGAGTGAAACGATCAACAACCATATTGTCGGAAGACATCTGGGACGGGGAACGTCTCGATCTGTTGCAGGAACGAACCCTCCGGTCTGTATACCTGCGTTATTCTCCATCCCGACTCCTCTAGGAGAGAGAAAAAGCGGCCGATCGTTCTCTCTTGCGAGTTGTATAAGAAGAGCATCTAGAAATACATGACATCAAGGAGAAAAGTAACCGATCAGCTCATCTTCTTTCAACCCACATTGTGACACTTGAGACGAAACAAATAGGAGGGTTGGTTACGAAGCACCCGCACGTGAAGAGAGGCACATGGTTGAGACCGAGTATACATGTCAAACTCGATTCACGTCGATGCGATACTTTTGCCAAAGGGGAGACGTGAAGCCTGTCTCGAGGATGCCCCCGAGCAGAGTTCAAAGTCAACTCGGGGCTTATCATGGGGATTCGGGACGCAGGGCAACCCCGCGTCATTGCTCCCCGACTGAAGTCTGATAGATAAACGCGGCCTAAAAAGTGGGAGTGGGGATGATAGTAGTCACTCACCGAAAGATCTGTCAAATATTGCATGCAATTGATATTGCCGAAGTTCGCCAGCAAGTGTCCTGGAGCCTGAAGTTCGCCAGCAAGTGTCCTGGAGCCTGACTCGGTCGGGCGCCTGGGATCTCAATGGCATCATCCTCATCGGTTCTGCAAGCGTATTCGACGAGGCTCTCCACAAGCAGCAACTTCGTCTCGGGCGTGGCGGCGTCGCGTAGACGAGTCAGGATTCGCTTGGCATACGTGTCAGACCAGTCATGTACTATGTTTTTGAAAAGAAATACGGAGGCGTTTTCGACGGGCTAAGCTATGAAGAAATCATGTGCTGTTTCCAGGACATCAACATTAGTGAGTAGACTCTGTGCAAATACAGGACAATTAAACGACGAACCTTGTAACTTAACACGACCAGATTGCAATGCTGGGGGGAACTTCCTCGTCCAGACCTCAAAAGCAAGAATTGATTCAAATATATCTAAATAGAATCGCCGAATACGAAGTCCATTATAATTCACCAACTCAGCATTGTCAATAACGGGCTGCTTATCCTGCAAGATGGCGTGTAACTTGGGATGGGCCTTGCTCAAGACTAGAGAGGTCGCGCCTACACCAGATCCTACATCCACCACTATCGCATCCGTGTTTAAATCCGACCAGGCAAACCCTAACAAATCGATGTGCGAATGAGTTCAGGTCAAAACCATTAACGCTCAGTGATAGTTCACCTCCCAGGATGGTGCTCGGCGGTACCATCGACTCATTTATGCCGCGCATAGCATTTCCAAAGCGCTCAAGGCGAAGCTCTTGGCCTGGAAGTTGTATGTAAGTCCAGTAGGGCACCGTCACCCCAGTCGCCGTGTGCCAAGGAACGGAGTTGGGCTCATCTGAGCATCGAGTCTTGGGTTCGAGAAGGTTCGTAAGAAGGCACGATGCTGCAAGCATACGTTCGTTGAAGCTGAGGAAAGTAAAGCGTGTTCAGGAACAGATATAATACGAATAAGAACTTGTATGGCATACACATGGCTGGCGCTAGCGTTGAATCCGATGATCCTCTCTCGAGGGCTTGAAGGCAAATTAGAGCAGTGTGGCAGGCAAGTAGTATACGGGTACAACATACCTGCGACGTAGCTCGTCCACGGATTTTTCAGTGTCCAACATCGAGGAGATGCGGTTGTTGGCAAAAACATTCTGCCTTACTTCGCGGAACACGAATTTTGTTGCCAGGAAACGAAGCATCCTGGCTGGGTATTGCAAACAAGTCAACTATGACCCTATGAGAGACGAAACGAACACGTACCCTGCTTCTTCGAGTCTATCCCGTTCTTCGTTGAGATCTGGTCTACATGAAGACCCTGGAGCAGGCTCAGATGTACAGACCAACTGGGAAAATAGAAGCGCCAGGAATTCACCTGGCTCCCCGCATCTCTGAGAATTTCGACGGTTTTTGTGTCGACCAACGCTTGCATGGCAGAGGCTTGGTAGTGCTACTCACATCATCAATAGACGGTATAGAAGGACCTAAGGATTACGAACACCGGAGAAGATGTGTGCCGAGGATACGTGAGGAGGTTGGAGTATCGCGTTAAGCTTCTTCGCTGCGACAGAAGTAACGTTGATAGCATGTGCAATGGTAGGATCCAACCGGAAGTCCTCGGACGAGGGGTCGAAAGGTGAGTCGAGATCGGGTACGGTGAGACCTCTGACAGCACAGCTGGCCTCGATAGATTCGACCGAGTCGCTGATGAACACAGCAAGCTGGGAAAGTGTAGGATGCATGTTGATGGAGGAGGCAGGGGAAGGAGGGGAAAGATTGGAGATAGCGTGCTGGGATTTCAAATAAGGCCGACGAAAGAAGCTGCCATCATACCTGGCGGCAGCCCGGGACAGCCCGGGACTACCGGGACTGATCATCAGTTCTCGATGCAGTTACAGCGAAGATGGGGAAACCCATCCTTCTCAGAAAGGCGTGAAGTGCGTGGATAATAGAGAAGAGAGATACTTCGTGGCCTAAACAACACGCCAGATCTATCAAAAACTTTCACGAGGTAGTCATAAATTAGTTTTCGTCCAAACGCGGTCCGAGCCAAGTGAGACCCAAATCAAGCATCGTTAGTCGCTCGATCCCTCTCATCCCACAGAGTCTGATTGCATTACTTCGCACCACCAGGCTCACTAGCTCCAGTGCTGAGGACGAATCAATGAAATTAAGCTGTGGTAATGAGCAAATTCCCCAACATCCTTCGCAGGGCGCAAGCTCATATGATCGCTATGTAACGTTGCTCACGTTGATTGTACACTGGACCGCGTGCACCTAGGGATCTAAATATTCGCCGCCAGCCTTTCCCCGACTAGCGTGTTTTGAAAGTAGACCTGCGTATACAGGAAACGGGATATGTGAACAATTTTTAGCGACGGATCAAGAAAATGGCAGCGAGGTGGTGGTAAGGTAAAACCACTCGCTCCGATAAGTCCGGCACCTGCTCACGCTCAATACTTCTCCGAAGTCTGCTGAGATGACAACCTTATATTGTCCCCACATCTATCTCAACCGCCTCTGACGCTCAATACCGGTATTCTTCGGATTCTCGAACAGCACTGGATCCATACTCGTCGCTCGAGGGTAGCGATACGTGATTGTGACCACAACAGTCTAGAAACGGCGAATCTGCGGTAAAATGGCGGACGCAAGGCACCCAGAAATTTTCGGTACTTGATGAGATACCTACCAGGATTGACGCGACGAGGCTGCCAAGTACGGGCAACGGGAGAGACCGAGTACATTTTGAGTAGTCTGATGACAAATATGGGACAGCAATGAGCGGTGAGGGCGTAGAAGACGGCAAGGGCGAAGTTGATGGTGCAGACATCGATGAGCGAGCGTACAACATTCGACAAAACATTTGATCTCGAAGCCGAAGATTTCACACGTGGCTGGCACTGCCTGGTCACGTGCTACGTAACTGAATCGTTACCACTGACCAGGGCCAGGCCTCAATTTGGCCTCAATCATGTTGCTCTATCACCTACACTTTTCATCCGCCGCGTTCAAAAGCGCCTCTCCCCAGTTGCACTAGCTCACCACACAAATCTACGCTTTCTGTAGAATATGGATAGCCGCTGGCCCCGATGACACGCATGATGACGGCTATCGAGCACCGACTAGGCCGCTGAATTCTAGGTCATCCCCTCCTCTTCTCTTACTAGACGGGAACCTAGAATCTAATCCTGGAGTACACGTAAAGGGCATACGGCTCTTCCATCCAGACTGTTTATGGTTTTGCGAACATCTCAATGCACGGTTTCCCCTCGGAGTGCTCTTTACCGCTTGTGGGTTGCAACACTGCCTTGGCACACGGTTCGTCCGTCATTATATAATCTTCATCGTTTGTTACGGAAAAGATCTTACGGTGATCCAACATAAGAGATGCCCCGTTTGCATGGTACTCTGCCTAACACTTTCGCCTGCTCTTGACTGTCGGCGCCACGATTCCTGACGACCCTTCACGACTTCCCGCCTACATCTCGACGATTTCCTCATTATATTATTTCTTTACGATGAATGAGCCAGGGCGCCAAGCTATCATCGAACTAGAGTTCATCATTATTGGTGGGGGTAAGTCGCGGATACTAATGTCGTGGACTATCTTCATTGGAGTGACCAGATTCGTTCGGTCGCAGGCCTTACAGGACTGGCCACCGCACATGCTCTCGCCTCCTCTGGACATCGAGTTCGCGTCTTCGAGAAGTCCTCCAGTGGAACCTCCTCCTCGGTAGCAGGAGTCCGCGTACCGCCAAATGGTTCACGGGTGCTACTGCAATGGGGTCTTTCTGAGCGAATCAGAAAATGCGCAACGGAGGTTCCATCTCTCGATTTCGTAGACAGTGAGCCTTGGTCTCTTCGTCGAATCTTGCCGTAGCATTGTGTTTCTCACTTAACTCTCCTTGAACGCGAATTCGTAGTGGAAAGCGGAGAAAGATTGGGATATCTCGCTATGGCCGAGCAGATTATAGAGCAATTAGGAGCTCCACCTTTGGGCGCTTCGGTAGGCATGTTCCCTGGACCAGAACCTCATATGTAGTATTGCCCATGATCATTTATCTCGCAGCATCATGGCATTCACGACATGCTTCACGACCTCGCCACCACATCTGGTGTACAAATCACATACAACGCCCCGGTCATTTCTGTCTCACCATCCCGAGCTTCGTCTACCCCATCGTCACTATCTATTCCTTTATCCACCGGAATTGATCGCCCGTCTGTTACCCTTGCCACCGGCGAAACGTTCCACGCGGATGTTATCATTGGAGCAGATGGCAGGGACAGTGTTGTTCGTCCCGTTGTAGAAGATATACCTCCGATACCGCCACCGACTCCACTGGTCGTGTATACGGGGATCATTCCGATGGAAGTCATGCTAGCTAACGATCTTACTACGGATGTTGTGGCTATGAGTGCTCCGTATTGGACTGGAGATAACGTTTTGGTCGCCAGTACGTGTTAATTCACTCTGCGAACTCGATGAAGCGGTGAGACTGATTGAACTATCCTGTCTTCCTCAGGTTTTAGCATTGTGAGCCGTTTTCTTATCTAACAGTGAATTACCGACTCAAAAATCCATGGTTTGCTATGTCTCCTTGTAGGATGATCAGACATGGGCCGTTAGCATATTCGTGAATGAGGATAGTAACGAAGATGCTCCAACTGGATGGGGTGCTTCCATTTCTCCTCGTTTTGTAATCCGCCAGCCCCTAGAACCACGGCGAGTCGTATCTCACAATAACAATATATATTTCATTTCTAACATCCATTCCGTCTTTCTCCAGGTTGAATGCGATGATCGACCGACTTCCCACAGTCTCACGTATAAAGAGCACGGCCATGCCTCACGCCTCATCCTGGATCGACGCGTCGGAACGCATCATCATTGCAGGAGAAGCTGCCCATCCTTTCACAGTACGTCAGCCAGCTTGCGCCACACAGTATGTCTCACTCGGCTCAACCAAAACTGACCCAATTGTCTCCTCCCCAGCCATGTGGACTACCCGTCGTGTCCTCCGCCCTCGAGGATGCCTGCGTTCTCGGGACCCTTTTCTCCCACATTCGCCACCCATCCCAAATCGCCTCCCTCCTCTACGCATACGAAGAGATCTGTAGACCGCGCGCCCACGCCGGGCACAACCTCGAACTTGCCAATCTCACGTTGCTTCGTCTCCCGCCTGGCCCCGCACGCAATGTTCGAAACGAGATCTGGGCGACCGTGAAGTCGTTGAATCAGGAAGAGGACGCGCACATCCATGGGAGGTATGACGCGGAGCCGGAGGACCAAGAGTTGAGGGAACAGTGGCAGGGGTTGTTTGAGATTTGGGGATTTGACGCAAGGGATGCTGCGGAGGATTGGTGGCTTAAGTGGGGAATTTTGGAGGAGAGGGCTTTGGGTATGACCTGGGCGGGGGAGGACGACGCGTTCGTGGACGGGATGAAGAGTATGAGCTTTCAATGTGTCGAGACGGTCATTGAGTGACGAGGTTGATTCGCTTTTGAAGAGATGCTACATGGATGACAGTTATAACCAAAGAAGGTGAATTTCAGTAAACTATTAAGATGATTTTGTTGCGTGTGTTTGTGCTCTGCTTTCAAGTCGTGTACATATATATTTGCGAGTCGCCGTAATGTTCCAGGTAGTGCATAGATCATTGGAGGGGTATCGAGACGATACAATGTATCGATGTATACAACGGAATCCACTTCTCTACCCAGGAGGTAATCGCATCTACAGCCAAGCCTGCTGCGAGTACCAGAGAGACGTGTACAACCGATGTAAAATATCGCACAGTCCTCATCTACTGGTGTTCGCCAGCCTCCAACCGACAATGGTTCCAGTAATCATCACAGTGGCGAAGAATGGCCACCCTTGTCTAGTCAAGCTACCGTTGTCCGAAAAGAAGCCGGCAACAACGACGAGACATAAAGGAATGATTCGTCGTCCGAATAAAATGGCCATGGAGCGGATTCAGATCTGGATATCCTCAGGTCGATCCTTTCAAACGAGAGCGGCATAAGCGGGGGAACCTAGCCACGACGAAATATCAATGGACTCACTAGATGTCGACAGAGCGTCTCCCATGTTGCTCCTATGTGACAGGCCACAGTATACTTACTGCGTAAAGATGAACGAGCACAGACCAGTCAAGACCTTCTCTATCGAGCTCACTTCAACCTATAAAGACACCGATGTAAGCAGAAACTTGATTTCTAAATAATGGTTGGTGTACCCAGGGTGAGACATACCTCGCTGAAGCGCCTATATCCTGATAGCTGGAATGCCAGCATGAGCTCTACGACAGCTTGTGTCGACAGCTGGTAATGAGAAAAGTCACCAACTACGCAGAGCACCGATCTCTCTGCGGGGAATACTAAGCCACATCTTCGTACATTCGACAGAAACGTCGACCTCGTATTATCCATATCGAAATATCGAAGTATTGATGGATATTTCACCAACCATTTGACACCAACCTACATAGGGATGTATTTCGTCGCTTCTTAGGTGAGAGAAGCAAAGGTTGGTCGGAGATCTGCATGTTATGCCATGAGAAGTGACTTTACTGAGATAGTAGAAATGCCGCGGCCAGCCTCCAACAGATGCTCAAGGCCCGAGGAAGATAATAGTACTTGTTTGAAGGTACACAACCCAGAGACCAATATTGTTCTGCAACCGACATAGCTCCCAACATGCATGGATCTCTGCAGACGAGAGGACCCGGGTGAGGTGAGATAAAATGGCAGTGATGGTCATCGGCGGATGGACGACGAGCACCAGATATGGTATGACATGGAGCGGAGCAAGGGACTCCGTGTTCATCATATTGTTCTTATGAGCGGATGCAAAGAGCAAGATGTAACGATCGATATAGATGGAAGGTTGCTTTCTATAGTTGGTCATCAAAACCAATGCACTTATGTAGGTCGATACAAGTATAGAGAGCCCAGGAATGCTACCATGAGACTTTCTATATGATCCGAGATTCCCACTAAAGCGAATGGACATACTATATCGAGCGCGCCTCAAGAGCAGAAACCTGACATGATGAACTCAAAGGCGAAGGGAATCCAGGGTATATCAAGGGGTAGTCGGCCACAAAATTGAGTTCCGATGAGAACGAGAGATATGAATGGGATGGCTAGGTCATCGATTCTTCACATATATCAAGAAAATGAGGCTGTTCTCAGCGCTTTCTTAGGAGTATCGTTTGATGGACAATTTTGCTATGTATGGAGTATGGTATTCTTGCGACCAAACATATAAACCATGTTCGCGTTTGAGAAGATGCCGTTCCAAGTATACTGTTCTACTGAAACTCCATAGTTCATCAAGACAGAGATATGGTGATGGATGAAGACAGGGCGTTGAACTGAATGGGCGACATACCCGATCTCAGCGGACAGTTGAGCTCTAAGAATACGTTGGGCGTTGCGCCACCCATGGCCGTCCACCTTTCATCACCTCACCTTTCCGTACCTCAAATCATCGAGAACACCAGACGTGCGAGTGTACCATAAAGATCTTGTAACTCGACCCACTCAGTGCCCCTGTCCCTCGGCACTCCACCCGGCGTTTGAAACCTCATTCTCCATCATCCTAATCTTTCCTCCAGCATCTCCACTGCCCTTTCTAACTCGGTCCTCGGGCTCCCTTCACTTACCCAATCAATATTGCTTTGTAGGTCCTTCGCCAGTTGCCCTAGATCCCACTCCAAGGACGTACACCCAGGATTCTCGGAACTCTCACCATTCCTACGTCTGAGGGCGGATGAATGAAACGCATGCTGCATCCCAGCTCTCCTCGACCTCTCTTGAATATCGTAAACTATAGGAAGCCGGTATTCAGAGTATACTTGAAGCGCTTTGTGAACTCTTGCTAGTAGCTCGGATCGTGAGGGAGTGATGTGAGGAGACGGATAGATCCCGGTGGCAGTGGCGGACGTAGTGCTGGCGGAAGTATTGAGCAGAGACCGTTCGATGAGCGTTGAAAGGACATATGCATCTTCGATAGCTTGGCCGGCTCCTACTCCTTGAAATGGGGTCATGGCATGCGCCGCATCGCCGAGCAGCGTGATTTGGGATGATGGAGACGTGAACGAGGGAAGGTCTGTGACGACGTGAACGGCCCATCTCGATACTTGTGTGGACTTGATACACTATTCAAGCGCAGTTCTTGCTCATTAGTCTAATCTCAGAAGCGAAGCAGCGGGATAAATGAAATGTTGGCTCACTGCGACTAGTTCCTTCACTTCTTGCTCCCAATGAGCGAATGCGTCGATAATCGGTTGAGGATCTACGTCCTTCTCGACCCAGGGTTCGGGGTAGGAAGTGAACTCGCGGGAATAGTCTGCAAAGAAGATGACAATATTTATGAGACGGCCAGAGGAAACAGGGTATGCGGTTATGTGCTAATATACGATGTCAGAAAATTGATTACTTGATGCACATGAACATTTTGACCAAAGAAAAGGGTCAAAGCGTACCTGATTTCTTCCAAAATATTGCATCACCCTGACAGCAACAGGGTGGCCTCCGTTAACCGTCAGGAGTGTCTCTGCAGAAACAAGGGCTCTGTAGACGAGAACTCCACTCCACACCGGCATTTTCAACGATAACAACGCCTGCCTCTTTTGTCTTTCCTTTCCATCGAAACGGAGCGCCTGGTCGAGAGCCCGTGGTTCGGCCATAAGAGCAAGAGATTCGTACATGCAATGGCGGACGACGGACTTCAGGCCGTCTGCGCCAATTAGTATATCACAGGTGACCTTGGTGGCGTCGGCGAAGTTGAGAGTAATGCCGACGGAGGCTTCAGACTCGGACTTGTGCTCGGTGTAGGAAAGGAGACGCTTGTATGTGTGAGTGAAGCAGTTTGGATCATTCTCTAGACGAGAGAGGATGGCGGCGTGAAAATCTCTTCGAAGAAAGGTTGTGTAACCGCCTGAAGCAGAACCGTTGAACAGAATGTAGACGAGATAGACGGAGTGAACGAACCACGGGTCATCATATCGAGGATATCGATTCCGACGTTCTGGTCTGACTTCCTACATCTAGAAGCTATCGCTGTACCAAAATATTGTTTGGTGCGACCCTATGAGCATGCAGTAATAGTCAGACGTAAAAAATACAGAGACGACACACCCATATCATCATTAGGCGCCCGCGGAATCAGCTTGAGTAGGTCGTCCTGAAGGCCTAGAAGCTGGAGGACCGTCCATGCCCTCCAAGTAACGCCTATGCCCGCCCCAATCTCGGTGAACTCTGATGCAGCCTCAAAGACGTGAATCTCGATGTCTGCTTGAAGGAGGGAAAAAGCTGATGCGAGGGCATAGGAGGTGATTATTCCGCCAACGCCACCGCCACTGAGTGGAGAGGAGGACAGCTCGTAATTTACTCGGAAGAAGAAAGGAGCAAGGTACATACACGACTGCAATTTTAATCGGCTGGTGGTTGTCTCTGTGCGCCATAGTATTCCGGATAGTTGTCACGACTGACGACTGTACAAGTGGTTAGCGGTGACTGGTAAAATGCGGGAACAGCTAACGTACTTCTAAGGGCAAATATATTTCGGTTGAAGGCACAGCCCTGTCCAGCCCAAGTCCAGCCGTACCTAGCGAACGAAATCAGACCAAGTCCAAGTGTCTGTTATTGATGTGGGATCAATCTGCCGGCTCGGCCAAGATGCGGCAACCTGAGCGTCGACGCCTAGCAAAACCGGTCGCCTAACCATCAACTAACTATCGAGCGGCTCTAGGGTTTCAGAGCGATGCTGAGGAACGACATGATAGCCCTTGCCTGAGCAAAGTAAGTCTGGAGTGAGTCAACGCCGGTCGAGAAAATAGTCTGGAGCGGCGAGTGAAGTTCCCACACTCTTTCTTTCCTCGACAGAACCTTCGGAGAACGTACAGCCTCTGGCCTTTTTCATTTACCCAATGGAATTTACCGCTCTCCTGATGACCTTGCTTCACCACCCATTTACAGTCCACTTGTCAGTACAGTGTGCTTTCGAGAAGGCCTCGCTCTGACATCGACAACTTCCGTTTGTGAACGAAGGAAAACCATCAGTTAGCGCAGTGCTACGCTTCTCTTGTCACATATGCCGACGTACTGAAGAGCAGTGGCCATTCCGGAGCTACAAAGGCGACATCTCTGAGATCGAAAATAAAATAACGAACTTCATGGATACTCACATACGAAAAATACTGTAACTTCCAGCTGCATACCCTATACCGATCCATTCCACCCCCGAGAGCATCATCATTTCGCGTATTGCCCAATCGCATCTTCTCCCAAACTGTCTCTCAAAGATTGCTCCATGCTTTTGGGCTCCCTGCCCAGAATCCTTCGCAACACATCACTCGCTACTCCCGTCTCGCCTCTCGCCATCGCTTCGTATGTCTTCGCCCACTCCCTCAGGAATTCCTCACTACCCCATGGCGAGTCCTTCTTGTAGAAGCGTTGAACGTAGTCGTCGACCGTTATGGTGTGCAAAGAGATCGTCCGAGCGAGAAGTTTTGAGAGATGTATGCTAAGACTGGAGAGGGTAAGGTTGTTGGAAGGAGGGCCAGATAGAAGGAGGGTCTCGTTAGCATGAGAACCCTGTCGATGGAGCCAGATGAATTGTCAGAAACAAGTTCATGTAGCGAATATAGAGCCATACCTCCGCAATGAGTCGAGCGGTCGCCTCTCCGAGCTCTTCTCTCGAAGCCCACGCAATGAGCCCATCCCCAGGCACGTAAACGTCCGTGTTTTTCTTGGGGTCGAAGAAACCTATATATGCCACAGCGCGCTTGAGCAAGAGCACAAGGAGCCCATTGGACAGCGGCGGAGAGAGAGACGCACCCAGGTAAAGTGGATAACTCTCCGCATAGATCCCTTCCCTCAAAATTGTATACGTGACCCCACTTTCCTTCAGATACCGCTCCGGATCCAAATGCGCGCTCATCACAGCACTGACACTCTTTCCCTCGCCGTCCTTCTCTTCGCCTTTCTTACCAGCACCCGTCTCGCCAGCGAAGGCCAAGCTAGTGTAGTAGATGCGTTTGACGCCGACGCGTTTGGCAGCATCGATGGCGTTGATGTGCGAGCGAACGCGGATATCGTGGGCAATGGAGGGGTAGGATACGATGAGAAGCTTGTCTGCACCCTGAAAGTATGTACAGTGAGCGACGGTTGTAACAGCACAGTATCACTGAATCCGTCAAGACGATAGATACATACCTTGAAAGCCTCGTCCAGCGACTTCGGATCCGCGAAGTCGCCACGTCGAACTTGGATACCTTCGGGAAGCGTAGAGATAAACGAAGACGACGGGTTGGGATTGTAGATAGAGAGTGCGATCTCAGTGGGCGGAACCAGACAAGTCTGAAGCAAATGCTTGAGGACCTGCGAGCCGATACCGCCAGTTGCCCCAGTCAATACGATCATCGTTCAGACGGTCTAGCTAAAGGTACCCTGCTATTGGAGGTAGAGACAAGATGAGGTATAGTGTGAGAGCGACTATGACGACCCTACTGACGAAGTGGGGAGTTATATACCTGGGTGGATAAAATGAATAAGCCGTTAGAGTTGTCGAGAATAGCGTTCTCCCATGCTGATACAGACGAGTGTAGGTATGCTCACTCAGCCATTCGAGGGTAGACAAAATAGCAGAAGGGATTGTAAGCAAAGTTCATCTAGTAGAAAGGTGGATCGCCTTCGTCTTGAGGCTTGACCCAGCAGGGTAGCAATTTCCAAGTTAGTAAGTTAAGAAGAGAATATTAATACCGATGAGCTGATGGGTAAGCGCGGTTGTGGCGTGAGAGGCGTGAGGTGTGGCGTAGAGGTACTCATTTCAAGAAGCGCCACAGACTCCCCGGGTTAGATTCGACCAAAGGAAAGCTCGGGTAAACATATATTGGTGTGCATGGCAGATGAGAGGTAGCACTAAACGTCCGAACAATAACTGGGATACATAATCTAAGGAATGTAGTTGAACAAATTCGTCTAGATAGCCTGAAACTATGTCCTCCGGACCACGCAGCCCACCGAAGGCTTTGGCGTTACAGCGACCAAGCCAAAAGTCGCGATCCAGCCAACATTCGATAGATACTGGCGGTGTACAGGCGTCATGTTAGCGACTAATTTAACCTTCCTGCTCCAAATGCCCCGGCAAGTTATAACCCCTATAGTCAAGGTGTACGAACGCTCTTTCCACCATCGGCACGCTCTCCAACACATACTGCAAGCTTTCCCCCAGATCATGACTCTCTTTCAGCCTCAATCCCTCGTCACACACCAGATCCACCTCTACGTTCAGCTTATCGCCTGCATGGTACGCCTGGAGTCCTTGGATCTGTTTGATCGTGGAAGCGAATCGCATGGTGAGGTAGAGGAGGACGGAGTGGTCTGTTGGCGAGGCTGCCGTTCCGGTTAGATTGCGAATGTGGGTATGGGAAGTGCGGGACCAGTTTATCATGACGTAGAGCGAGAGTAGAAGTCCGCCAAGAGGATCTAGCCACCAGAGGGAAAGGTAGTATCCGACTGTATGAGGTGTTGGTCGAGTCAGTATTTTGGGTGACAGGCTAGATCGTAGAGAAAGGGCACACCGAGAGGGAAAATGATACTGAAGATGTTGAACACCACATCCGTCATCGCATCCTGCGCCAACGCCTGCACCGACGAGTTCTTTATTAACCTACACCACAACCAACATGCCAACTTGATCACCACCGTTCCTGCCATGATCCCAATGGCACTGATCGTCAACCTCACGATGCTGTCATCGTCCCCAATTAACCGCTTAGCGCACTCCAGTAGCACCTGGAAGAAACTGGTCACCATAATCACGCTGAATACAAGCACGCCGATAGGCTCCAGTCGTCTCCGTCCGACCGGGTAGCCGTATTTGTCTTTTGAAGAGCGACGGATGAGGTGCGTTGTGGTCCAGACAATGGCGGTGGAGAGAAAGTCGAGGGCTGCGTCGACGAGGGAGGCGAGCACAGAGAGCGAGGACGTGAGGAGTGTGACGATGATTTTAGCCACGAGGAGCACAGTGTTGGCAGCAAGGTTGATGTAGATCGCGAGTGTGACAATCTTACTCTCGTCTTCGCCTTCGTCGTCCTCAGTTTCCTCGTATACAGCCAAATGAGGATGCGATCCTCCGTTCTGGCCGTCGAGAAGGGGCGTGGTCTCATGCGGGATGCGGTATATGTCCCTGGCTGTCCGTTTAACCTTCTTCGGCTCAGCGTGAGCCGCCCGTTCGACAGAGGTCTCTGATGCTGAGGGTGAGGCTTCTTCGTCGATAGTCTCAGGTATGTGCGGCTGAGTGTCATATTGTTGAATGAGCTCGTGTGGAAGAGAAGAGTCGAGAAGACGATCGATGTAGATATATTGTTTGACGAGTTCGTTGTTCCGCTCGTAATAATGCCGACTACAGGGAGGGTCGTTAGGCAAGGACGAGAGCGGATAGAGCTGTAGTAGACATACACTTTCTTGTTCTTGATGGTTGACAGTTCTTCGGGTGACTTGATGTATTGTACCCTATAAGAAGAGAGTTGAATCAGCTATAATTTTCCGCACAGGACACCCATAAGGTCAATTGGGTTACGATCGTAGAATTCAGATCGCGACCACCCTTCAACGAGGGAAATCATACGTCTCCCGCAAAGGAAGCCCAAAATAAAGCGAAACAAAGAAACGATATGTAGACGCCAAGTCGGCCGACACTCACCACTCATATCTCGAATTCCTTGGTCCTATCAGCCTCATACTCCTCATTTCCGGCTTCTGCAATGCTGCGGCTCCGGCACTCATTCTCCTCCCCTTCAAAGCCTCTTCGACTCCACTAAATCCAACGATGCCGGCTTCGACGCGTGACTGTCCTGTCTCCGCATCATCGACACTACTCGACCGTTGGCGACGGGCGACGGGAGGCGATTCTATGAGTAATTGAAGGGTTCTTGTTCTGGTAGGGTATGGTGGCCTTGAATCGGGATTGAGAATGAAGCGTGGGGGTGGAGCGAATGTTGTACGAGGAGACGTTGACGGTGTTGTTGCGGAACGGGAAGGAGTGGTTCCGCCAGACATGCGAGACGACTGTGGGTGACATATATCAGCAGTATTTCCCTCCACAACGAGCATAATTTCGAATCTATCTCGGTTTAAATATGAATGCAAGGTCTGTTCACAATCTATCAGTGTAAACACGTATTCGCAACGCTTCCCCGCAAGAACTAAAGCTGAAAGGATTCTAAGTCATGGTCGCCACAACTCGTTCGAGCCATGATGCAGATACCACTGGAAAACCAGTATCGCTTTCTGTTTTACCGTAGAAACAATAAAACGCTGAATAACTCTCACCTCGAGCGTTTGGACGAGGGGGACCGCCAGAGTGGTATGTGGTTCGAATGTCGTGTTCAGTTTGCGAGTGGCTGTGCTGACGGACGGCCTATGTGAGGGCGTGGGAATGTGGTCCCGGCATTAGCCGGACATGGACTAAGTGCTACGTTTACCCCTAGCTCTCTGTACATCTGTTTACTAGGGGATATTTCATACATGGGCTCCTGCTGCAGCATCAGGCATCCCCCATTATTCGGAGCATGATGACGAATATAACGGTTACTTTGTCAGCCTCCATTGTTTTTCGTATGATAGTTTGTGAAGCTAGACTTATTACTTATTGGACGTCTTTTATCAGATCTAGGGCTCCGACAAAAAGTCCACGGCGGATGTTACCCCGTGTTATTAACTCGGTGGCCCCCGAGGGACTTTCTTACAGGTGTTAAAAACAGTTAAAAACACATTATTTAAATCGAATTAAATATTATTTCACCCCCAGGAGCTGCCAGTTTCGACTGGCCTGGAGGGCTTTCAGAGCACTAAGAGTTCTTTTGATCGCCCTTGATCACTACTTGAACCCTTGGAGCAGGCTCTACAGCACATACGCTCATGGTATGTCCGGTCGTTGGCGAAAACACCCACCGTACTTAAACTTGGACGTGGACGAGACTCTGCTGTGGCGAGCGAGTCGGACTGTGGAGTCAACATCGTGGGAATCGGTTCGTACAAAGGTGTGTCTAGGTCGGGTTAGGGGCTCGAGAGGATGGAATACGATGTCAGGGGTGATCAGGAACTCGAAAGCGTCTTCCCTGAACGCGTATCTACTCCTCCGGACGTCTAGATTTCTTGCACTTTCTTACAGCTCTATAAACCAGCGTGTCGGAAGGGCTGTTAATAACAAGTTATAAACAGTTATTAACAGCACTTTTTTACAGCTGTTATTAACAACCGACTTTTTGTCGGCGGAGCCCTAATCAGATCAAGGGTGGGACAAGCGTAATACCTTGCATTGAGTGCGAGTGTTTGGCACAAATATAGTGATGGAGTGTTATGAAAGGAAGCCTCGTGTCGCGTGACAGAACTATATGAAAGTGAAATTGTTGATATTCACTGTAGTATCTACTGACAGCTGCTTTCACAACTCTAGACAGGGGGCAAGATCTTTCGCCTGCACCAAACAGAAACGAGGATGGACCAAACAAAGCTAGATTTCACTGCGAGCGGATCTCAAATTTCTTTTCTTCTCACTCACGACTCCACACTCTTACATTGGTCGTGTGCGGATGCCCCATTCGGGCAGAGAATGAATGCAGAGGCTGTATGTTTGGTCCGTCAAAATTGATGTTTGGCACACCGAGAAGATTTCCTACCCTGTCTAGAGTTGTGAAAGCAGCTGGAACACCGTCAGGCTGAGTACTGTACTTTTTCGCGCACAAGTTCACGCCACCGCCCCTCGGCCGTTGCCGAGATGACATAATACGTTCGTGTCCCGGTTCGCTAGCAGACCGGGACAAGGGACAATGCTCGTGAACATCGACACTTTTCCAGGGAATACGACCTTTCACAACCGCTCAGCAGTCATTTATCCTATGAATTTGGGTAAAATATTTCACCCAGTGGCAAAATCTAGCCCAAAGTGTGTCTTGGGGGCCTTTCTGAGGTCACTTTAGGAGCATAGAATATATTTGCATTTTTGTCAAATTTGCACCAAATTTTGGTTTGTCCCATTTACAAGTTCAGTGCACGTCAATGGGGTGGGACTGTCCCGCGGCACGAGTTCGTTCGCGGCCCCCATGGGGCACGGGACACGAACTTGTGCGCGAAAAACTACAGTAGACGTGAATCAAGATGTTACGTATCTTCCTGCTACTCGTAGCTACCAGGTCTCAGTATTCTTTGCCGTGACGTGCTGCATGATGAAAACATATTATAGTGTCCTACTAGATGACCGATTTCTATCATGAGTGTCTGATTCTGATTTGTCGCTCGATGTGGATGGCGTATGCGGTATTCAAGGCGATGAAGAGACTCCACGAGACGGACGAAACTGTTCTCGCTGTCATTGATCAGTTTGATACCACGGGTTTGAAACAGTTTGTGCCGCGGAGGTAAGGAAGGTAAGGTAAGTTTCTTTCCAGATCAGTTTCAAGTAACGTCACGAGAATTCCGGTCAATGAACTGATTCTCCTGTACTGCCCTAAGTGGAGAATCTGAATCTGCATCTGTGCTCTGCCCCATCAGTCATACACGTTTGCTTCATCCCCCCATATCAGTGCACTATGATCTTTTCTCAAGCTGGGCAACATCATCACTGTCGGTGCTATATATCTAGCTCCTCCGATCCTTCAACCCTCGACACGGTTCAGCCATGGCATCTCTCGGGGAAACTCTTGGTGCAATCGAGCTTGGAGTCTTATTCGCAGCAATACTGTACGGGGTATTGCTCGTGCAAGTCCACAACTACTATCAGCAGCACTTCAACGACGGGATCTGGGTCAAGGGTTTGGTGAAGTTTTCTCTTCTTTGCATGACGTGGTATATGTTCTCATTTTTTCTTGTCGGTCTGAACAGTTATATTCTGTGTTGTACGTTGTAATATGCGGACGAGATATACACCTAATCATGAGCTGACTGCTCATAGGTCGATCGAAACTGCTCATATGGCTTTCATCATCGTCTACATTTATATCGTTACTGTCAAGTACTTCGCCGACGGTGCTTTCGCATGGACTGGGTATGTATGGCCATTAGCGTATTCAGTCACGTTTGCCAATATCAGCGCAGCACTTGTCCAGGTATTCTCAGCCCAATAGAATCTTCGCCTGTGTTGTTGTGACTGAATTGCTACACAGGGATTTTTTTCTTATCGGATGTATATGCTATCCAGGCGGTGGTACCTCCCTCTGTTCTCATGGACTTTCAATATCATTCGATTGGGAAGCGCAATCGCCGCCAGCGTCGTCGCCACAAACACCGGAGACCTACTCTCATTTTTCCAGGATCACGAGCTGTTGATTCTTTTGGGCCAGGGTTCTGGTCTTATCGTTGACATTTTCAACACTGTCTGTCTTTGCATTCTTCTTTGGTCTCATCGGCGTATTTCCAACAGGTAAGTTTCTCTCTAGATCGCCAGACACATGTATTCATTGTACGGGACAGAAATAGGGGGACTATTGATAAGTCAATCTTATGGACCGTTGGTACGTACTCCTTTTCGTTGATGGGTATGCCAGTTGAATGCTGATGTGTTATAGAAACGGGTCTCGTCACTAGGTAGTTAATCGTGATAGGTTCATCGAAAGAGCCTGCTTTGACCTATTATATGCACAGTATTTGCTCTATAATAATGGTTATCCTCGTGAGTAACTTCCTCTCAACATCTTTCGTCAATGTTCATTGAAACCGTATGCTTGTGTACGCTTTCGTCGCATAGATCAGCGTGAAACTACCAAACAGTCAGTACACCGAATTACCCTGAATTCGACATTAGTTCATCGACTCTTGTTCCAGCGATTTGGACGGTCTTCATGTTGATCATTGCAAGATGTATGCCCTTCGTTCTTTTTTCGCGGAGCACGATTAACAGTCCACACAGTGTACTCCAATAGTCTCATGGCAACGTATGATAAGCTCTTGGAATGTCGATGCATGTGCTCACCGTCCGATAATCATTAGTCTCAATTGTCGCTCTTCGCTCCTGCAGTCAGTCAAGGTCATTACCACTAAAGAACTCACCGCCGCAGCCTTGCAAGGAAACCCGAGCACAGGAGTGAGTTCTCGCCTGGATTTATACGATTGTGCGCTAATCGATATACTAGCACGCTATAGAAGTCCATGTCGACATACATCAGGACGGTTCTGGAAGAATGGTGGTGAGATCAAGACACTGATGGCGCTGAATTAGCAACGACACTTACATATTTCCCTCCACATAACAGGGTCCTGAGCAACGTTCTGATATCGAACTTGGTAGCCTTCATCGAGATGGATCAGACGAGACGAAATGAATCTACTATCGCTAAGCCTCTCCTCCTATGCATACAAGCAGTCCACTAAAGCCAATGCCAAATCATGATTCGGAGACATCGTACAGTAGATGCTGAATCAGAGCCGTGTTCATATGTATGATGCGATCTTTAGAGTCGCCGCACGCTGTTCATGTAATTCCAATATGTGAGCACATACAATCGGTGCACTCTAGAATATCAACGAGTCGGCGTCCCTAATTAGAGTTGGGTATACTATTCTACCCGTCTGTTCTGCCGACGTGAAGACGACGTCGACGTGACTAGTTGACCACCATTTGATGATACCGCGAACAAGAAGAAGTACACGCTCAATACAAAAGATAAGCATGATTGTGGCCAGATATGGGGCTGACCGATGCCTTCCCTCCGAGCTGCTCGCACAGGCCAATGCGACCCGCAGCTCACAAGTTGAAAGAAATGACATGGCACCCTAGTATCATGATGATCTGAGTTCCACGTCGAGGGGCATCATATACGGCCCATGTCGCCAGAGTTGTACCAAAGTCATCGATTCAGACCCTGGCGTAAAAACACACCAAAAATCCTGCGAGCATGAAAGCTATTGCATCTTGAGACTAGTTGACCCATAGATGTTGAGCGCTGAGCAGCGTCGTCGACGGCAGCGACAAGGCGAAACTTCGAAGCGATCTTTGAGCAAACTCAAAGTCAACAATCCGTCCCGCGTGGTCACGTGCCCACGGGACAGACGGCCCGGCCGAAAAAGTCTGGAGAGTTCTCGCATTTCTCAGCTCAGCCAACTTGCTCCCCAACCTCATCCTTGTCTCGCTTCTCATTCACTCCGTTATTATTTTCGACTCGTTATCTTCTACTTCATAACCTTCCGTCTCGCTCGTACTTCAAATGGTGCGCAATTTCCGTACTCGTTTTTGCTTTTTGGAGGGGTGCAGTCTACTGACGAAGACGTATGTTGGCTCGCATCGTCATGATTATTGGTGTTGTAGGCCGCCCAAGCTACCTTCAAGTCTATCAAGTCTCTTGTTCCTCTTCTTGACCGTGTTCTTGTGCAGCGCTTCAAGCCAGAGACAGTACGTCACGACCGTTTCCCTCATCCGGTTTCTTCCATCCTCGCGTCGCGTCCTCCTCTACGCGTCCTACATAACCTATTCTACTCTATCGACCGGTTGATTGAACACCCAACTTACGTATAATTCTGCTTCCCTTCGTAGAAAACAGCTGCTGGTATCTTCCTCCCCACTTCCGCAACCCAGAACCCGCTCCCAGAAGCCACCGTCATCGCCGTCGGCCCCGGTGCACCAAACAAGGATGGACAAATCGTACCTACGACTGTGAAGGCCGGAGACAAGGTCCTTCTTCCAGGCTGGGGTGGAAACGCGATTAAAGTCGGAGAAGATGTACGTGTTCTCTTGTCGTTGTGCGCGTGTAGCGAAACGTCGTGTGAGCTGACGAGCGCGCTCGGTGATACAGGAGTACTTCTTATTCAAGGACTCCGAGATTTTGGCCAAGATCCAGGAGTAAGCGTCGGCTTATTGGAGTTGCCATGATCGGGAGGTTTGGTCGGAACGGCTAGTGGGGCGCGGGTAGATGGTAGTGACCACTTGCGAGGCGGTGGGAGAGGAGGAAGACGGTGTCCACTCATCCAAAAGTTCTGTTGTCGTTCGCATCTTATACTTCTCTCGGGCTAATCATCGTACATACTCATTGCTCCTCGTTCATGTTCACTCATCCACATCCCCACTCAGTTATTATGCATATGCCTCGAATGCTTTACATGGTTCCATTCTGCCGCTCTACTCGGTGCTGGCTTTTTTGCGTGTGATGGATGGAAGAATGTTTGTGAAGAGACGAGAGTGTCCTGCATGGGACGAATTTCTCAATACGCTTGGTGAAGTGTGGCATCGTTTTTCAAGCTTGGTGAAGTTCGGTCTTCCTCTACTGTTTGCTTTTTCTATCTTCTATCTCTTTCGTCGTTCTCCCAAAGTAAGATGTATGCTCTGTAACCTCCTCCCGTGTAGTCTGCTCATGTCTCCTTTCGTTCATAGCCAGATTGCAGAACATGGGCGGAGAGAGTGGATCGCGCCACAATGGTGCCACATCAACTTCTCTTCCCACGGGGATTTCCGCCGAGGTCTCGACTTCCGACCTCTTCCGACTTCTTCCGGCTCACCCTCTCAAGGCTTGACCTTCCTCCTGGCACCCAACTCTCAGCAGGACTCTACGTGACCGATCTAGTCATCTCTTTGTCCAACTATGAACACTGTCTCGCAGAGTTGCTTCTTTCTTCCTTTGTTTCAATCTTCAACGAGAGTCCAGCGAACGCGGCTGACGTGCCCTCACCTTGACTCTTCGTGCCTTCCCAGCCTAATAGTCTGCTGGAAAGGGTTCCACCTTCGCTCGAGATTTGTTGGACATCGTAAAAGGTCGAAGTTGGTCCTTACGGTCATCCCGCTTTCACTTCATGGACGCGATGACTTCTCGTTATTAGAAGAACTCGATCTGTGCTGGCGCGACATACTCCTAGTCTGTCGTCAGACGTGCGACATTCGTCTTTCTGGGAACGACAGTCGTATTGATGCGTATGCCTGGACCCGATCTTCTGTGGTCGCCCTACGAAGGTAAGACAACTCGGTGACCATCTACCTCCTCGCACCGTTGAGACACTGAAATATGGACGTTTTCCGTTGCGTGAAGGGCTTGAGTGACTTTTTTTTACCAGGTTACTGGACATCTTTACGCCCTGTGAGCATCCATATCAATCGGAGTCATGATTTGACTAATGATCTGTACGGTCACCGCAGCTGTCCACCCCAAGTTCCGACCTCCCTTCGATCATCTCGTGAGTCCTAGGGTCATTTCTATCTACGTTCACGCATCACTTACACCTGTGTTGCCTCCCGCAGGATAATTCTCAAAACTGGCTCCCGAAGATCAGAAGGACGTGTGCCACCACCCGATTTCGAACCATCCAAAAAGTATTCCAAACCGTCTCCACTTTCTCCTCCTCCTCCTTCCGTTACGCTTACACCCTTCATCGCTGTCCCTGGGCACATCGTTCCGTAGTGGATACAGTTGTTTCTGAAAAAGAATACGATATGAATGCCCTGATTCGGCATTCTCTCACTCGAACGATGTATAGCATACAGTCGCGACGTAGACTTTCGGTACGTTTTACACCTAAATGGACAGGCTTCACGGTTGGTATGTCAGTGAGTTCGTTGTTGAGCTCATTGTAATATATATGCAGCTCGACTTTGAGGAGGTCATACCTCCCACTCTTCGAAGTCTGGCCCTTTTAAGCATAACGCGGGTCTTGGTGGCACCTTTATCGGGGAGATGTGAGTGAAGAGAAGAGTTCGAAATACACCTTGTAGACCGTTTCTGAGTGATGTACCCTGCCTCAAACTCCTTTCAACGAGAGCATCATTCGTAGGAGAATACTATGGACATGTATTTTTGTAAGGTGATGATAGTCCATTTTTGTCGCACCGGACAGAGGAAAGACCGGTAATGACGGTGATTGGAGCAGACGCAGTGGACTCGTGAAACATGGATAGGAATTCATGAGTGTATAATATCGCAAAAGTAATTGAAGGAGGTACATCGCGATGTGAGTCCCTCCGTGTAAAGAAGCATCTGCGGTCACGCCGCCGAATAGATAAATGCAGCCATTCCTCCCGGCTTCACGGACTCAAGTTTCCACCCCGTAGCGGCCCCAAGCTCAGCAAACTGGGCTATCGTTCGCTCCTGACCATCCAGCAGGTTCATCATCTGCCAGATATCTGAAGTCAGCCCGATCACATTTGACACAGTAGCTCGAGAACGAGACAAACCTGCATATCCAGCGCGGTAACCCACGCTCCGAGCCCAACACCAAGATTCGGGAGCATAGGCCAAGGCGCTGGAGGGATAGTGTCGTCGGTCACGTCGAATTCTGTCGAAGTTTCGGCGCAGGCGAGTGGTAGAATGTGTTCGAAGACCAAGAGTTTGGATGTTGGTCCAGCCGCTTGACGAATGTTTTTCAGGATCGTGATGCAGTCGGGAGTGGGCCAATCGTGGAGGATAGCACGCATGAAGTACACGGCTGCGTTCTGAACGGGCTGGAGGTCGAAGAAGCTATGGGCTAGAAGAACCTCAGGGTCAGAGGGCCGAAAGGGTGTTTTCAGGCAAGGTCGCTCTTACCCTGCAGAGTGACCCGTTTTTCGGCGAGGGCTTCGGGGTTGTTGGTGCGCCAATACTGAAAAATAGAATAAAATTCTTGTAAGAGCGGAGAAGTGGAGAAGAATACTACGACGAACCTGTTCTGCACCTAAGATGACGTTCGGAAGATCCTGGACCACAAAGCGAAGATGCGGGTACGCCGTCAACATATTCAAGGAAAGCATCCCGACATTTCCTCCTACGTCAACCACGACATCGTCGGGTTTGAGCGACAGTCTACCCAAAGCTAGACTCAGGTCATTAGTAAGAAAGACTATATCATAGCCAAGAACGATACCTACCTGACGTGAAGGACTCCAGTTTAAAGCGTGAGGTGGCACCCTTCATCGCTGCGGTGAATCTCTGAATACGCCACTCGTTGCCTGGTTGTTCGAACCACTCGAAGAGAAGAAGCTTCGTGTCGAACGCCATGTTCACCGGTGCTGTGTACCCCTTGGGATCCTTGACCCATGAGGCTATAGCTGAGCTGCCCTTCAGACCTTCATCGCAGCTAAACACGCAGTCAGCAATCAAAAACAACATCGATGGCCAGACAACTCACAAGTGAGCTATGGAAGCAGCCACTGGAGCTCCTTCGTAGTGATTTGCAGGACTGTCAGGAATGTTTGATGTCAGGATCCTGACGTTGAAAGTGTTGATTACGCACTCCTCCTTGATGCTCTGGATCGAGGAGCCTTTGCATAATACCGAAGACAGACGATTGCTGGCGAAGACGTTGGGGGCAACTTCCCGGAAGACATGTCGAGTGGCGAGATAGCGGAGGACATGAGCTGCGTATGAGAGTACGTGAGTGAGTATGACCCTAAAGGTAATGACGTATAAAGGCGAGGAAAGGTATTACCGGTCTTCTCCTCGTCCAAGCCTACTTTCTGAGCAATGTCTCTGGAGTGTAGACCCTGACGCGTTCTCGAATGGTCAGGGGCTGGAAATAATAATAAGACTGGAGATTGATGTACCTTCGGTCCGACGGATTCGAGTACGTCGGCAAAGTTACAGTCTACAGCTAGCCCGAGTGTAGCAGGGGTGTACATAGACAGAGCATAGTCCTGCAAGGTTTCTACAGGAGGACGAACAGTAGCGATTATCTGAGCAGCTGCTCCCACGATCAAGCGAGTTGTGGCGGCGAGTACTGCATCGTTATCCAGGGCATTTGGCACGAACGGCTCGTCGAGAGATGGAAACGAGCTTCCATTCTTTGCATACACAGACTCGAGAGTGAGGACACCGTTGATGAGGGTATTGGCAAGGGCAAAAAGTGGCGTAGTCATCGTTTGGTGAAGGGTAGTGACGGTGAAGGCAGAGAGTTCTCTCCTCTTATACGCCCCGGACAAGGCCAGTCAAGCCTCTGCCGTTACGTTCTACACAATCGACAAACGTCAGCATTGTCTAGAACGTTGAGGTTCATGCAGGCATTGATAAGCACGACGGCCCAGAGGAGCACATTCCGCAGGTACGTAGCAGGCGGTAGTGTCCAGATAGTCAGATGCGGTCGAATGGCCAGTTGGTTTCCTGGCAAAAATGCGACGGTCGTGGGCCAGTCGTCGATGAGGTGCCTCTGAACATTGTCCATTGAGCCACCGAACAGAACCCGTGCCCATGGAGGGTGCTTCGAATTCCCACCTGTTCCCTGGGTAATCTTCGCTTGATGCTGAACACTTGTGTGTCAAATGTATTAGCCCATGATTGAGGTGGGATTTACGTTGCACACCCGTGCATGATTGGATGACCCCGGCCTAGGAAAACCGCACATCGTGACAAACGACATCGAGGGATGGGGTCATACTTATTAGTATCACAAATATCTGTGGAATGGAAGTACGAAAGAGGATGACTGTACATAGCAAAAGAGATAGAACCAGTTAGTAAAACGATGTTACAGCGTGGGTTCAGGACGTGCACAAAGCGTTGATGAGTGAGAGGAACTCGCCCATCTGGGCACTGTGCGGGCCTCCGGTGCGCGTCCAGGAGCATACGACGAGCGGAAGAAGAAATATCAGCGGAAGGATAGTTCTGACGATGTTTGGAGTTATATAAAGGTTCCCACAACAAACGAGCGAGAATTCTGGCGAGCGTGTCACTTTACACGAGATGTATCACAGTGTTGCAGCGCGAAAGCAGGCTCAGTGGAAAGGACGTTACGATAGAGTGATAATAACCGGCCTCATACGTATGGGACGTATGAGAGTATGTGGCGAAGTCCGGACAGTTTGTGCTACGAACACGGGTGTGTTGAGTAAACGAAAGCTAAACACGTCATGCCCCATCCTTGTTTGTTCGTGTTTGATTCAGAAGCCTTTGCTTTCCTCTTCGAGCCTTTGGTGGCGAATGTGGCGCAAGACGAGAGCAACCTCAGCCCCGCATTTGATCCCCATTGAAGCCCATCCGATATCAACCATAATCTCCCTTAATATATATGGAACTGTGTAATCTACTCAGGTGAGGATCTAGTAGTAGTGTGTCACCATATGAACTTAGTTCAAGCATAGTGCTACACCGGATTCACTAAACCTCGCCAGAATGGTTTATCGCCATTCACGTAGAAAAAACACAGACTTCTGGTAGGTCAAGGCCGAGCCAAGCGTTTGAGTCTTTGCGTAGGCGAGCACAGGGTAAACTTCCCAGACTTTCCAAGTCCAACAAACACTACATAGTACTGCAGCTGTACCCAGAGCACACCCGGCCAATCACAGTACAAGCCATGGAGATCGTTCCAAAATGACGATTAAAATGGAATCAATAACGCTCCTGATTGCATATTCAAAGCGAAAATTGTCTAAAAAGCTACCAGCCCCTACAGCTCATGAAGAGACAATACTGAACGGCGACGACGTACGGCAAAACGCTCGAGTTCGTATATTGTCATCCATGGTACAACCACCGCACTGTGTGGCAATAAGACGGTCAATTGACAAGCTTCGAGAAAGTCATCTCATGCGACCCAAATCATCGCGCATGGGGCTTCGTGATAACAACAGCATAACCTGCATGACGGTGTAGCACTGCAAGCCACGGAGTATACAGCATGCGCATGAGATAGCCTTGGAACAGCATTGTGAGTGGCGACTAGTCTCTGAAGCTCTCGTCCAAGACAATCCTTGGCTACATGCCGTCATGCTCTTCTGCACGCTATGTATTGAGATAAGACAGCTTTGACATCAGCTCGAGAGACGCTGTTGGTTGGGTGAAGTTGGATCCGGGAGAATCCGAGTGATTCCAACCCTACCCCTAACCAGCCCTAACCCTCCTGCTTGTCGTTTCCTTCACCTCATTTTGATCAGTTGTACCCGAACAGCAACGACCCTCCTGGTACATTGCTATAAACAAAGATCTCCTGTGGACCATGTTATTTCAGACAGTCGGCTCTGCTTTCTCCAACATCTCCCGCATCTATTTCGCGGCATAAACTTTCAAAAGAGGTGCCCTTCATGATTCCTCGCTGATCACCGTCGATGAACTTGGCGTTGACACGGCTGTATGAGTGCGTACCCTCTCGTACCGCGCAGTATCTCCATACACGAAGTGTACGTCTCTGAACTCATGCGAATACTCCACGCTCGATCCATTCCACGTCGCTCGTCTTTCTTCCCCTTCATTGGGCGGGTCCCAGGTAAAGGCGCCACGTGGCAGTATGTTCAATTTTGCATGAGACATTCGTGCTCATCTTCAAGAAAATCTCAACCTCTGCTCCCTTGCTCGATGGTCTCGCATTTTGGTAACGACTCTCTGCTGATAGAAGCTTTTTATATATAACAGGGGAATTTCTTGCTATATTACGAGCTCGAAGCTTGCCCAGATCAAATGACTAGTTGAATACCTTGATCAGGTATGAAGAGCTCTCCTCATTTTTTTTTCTGAATATACCACGAGCGTATGTGACGCCCTGACGTCACCCTGAGACTTCGTACATGAAGCCTCTCGCTCCGCGAGACTGCGATGGGTGAAAAGCGAATAATACAGTCTAGCGTTCAGCTGGCCGTCTCGGTACTCTCCCAAAGGTTGAACCCACAGATTTCCCTCACATTCTATGGGACTTTTGCTCCTTCTTTTTTCGAGCTACGGCCCTTGTTCAATGCTCACCAACACCATATCGCCAGTTCCTCCGGCGCATGGTTTGCCCTTGTTCCACGCACTTCGCCGGAGTCGAGTGCTCCGCATAACCAACGCATCATAAATACGATGGCGACTTTGCGCCAACCTTTCTCGTACAGTTCCTCGTGTTCGGGATTTATTTGCGACCCTCCGTTAATAAGCTATAACCGGTGCATCATTTGATTGGTGGTCAAAAATTCCCATACACCCTAAGGACGTCTCTATTCTCTGAATAGCGTCCTGTGTGCAAGCTAAGTCATACCGCTATCATGGTTTGCGGGTGCGTCTTGCCTAAAGAAAGATTTACCTTGAGGAAACAATGCGCGATGCTGTACCTTTCCCCAAGATCTCTACTGTGGCATCCCAATATGGGCATGGACGTACGGTAAGGAAAGTGACAAGCCTTGCAGTACAGACTCCAGGATTCCGCGGGGTTCAACGTGAATCATAGTTCACGATCGGTTGCCAATGTCTAAACCTAGGTCTGTAAAGTTCATACCTAGTCTTCCTCTGGACCTTTCTCTCAGCCCTATTCCTTGGCATCTTCTCTCGGGCAATCACAAGCTGGTACGTCTTCTCACTCCCGAAATATGCAGAGTGTAATCATTCGCCCACTTTGTTCCCTTCGTTCGGCTCTGAGTTTGTATCGTTTAAAAATAGCTGGCTGATATCTTGTTCAAAGACCGCAACATCGTAGAGACCCCATCAGTTTGTGTCGAACTCTTCGTGACAGACACCGCAATCACTGATTCCTTCCGACATACAATGCCAGACCAAATCCTCCTGTCCGTCGACCCACTTGGGCGCTCTTACACGAAGTCCTTTTCTGCTGCACATGATCCCGCACAACTCTTGCCTCTAGTTGACCTCATCTCTAAATCAGTTGCTTTATTAGTCGAAGAATACAGGAGCGTGAACCAATCTGTTCCTTCCCTAGACTCCACTAGTCCGAGCCCCTTCGATGCTCCAGAATCGAACACTCCGGCCATGAGCAGGGCAGTCCAAATCATCGAGGCCGCTTGTGCCCAGCTGTGCTTCACCGTCGCCAGCCCCGGTCACGTCATGATAAATGTGAGCTCTTCACTCCCCACCGGATCGCTGGCAGGAAGCTGACTGACCCTCCTTGTAATAGAAAGCATACGCCGTAAGTGACGGACTCTTATCGGTCTACAGGAAGTCCTAGAACTGATTAGTGTATTAGTTTGAGGAGGCGGCCTGCCTCCAAGTAGTCACTGAGGGCAGAATCGCCGATCACCTAGTCGATGTCCCGCATGGGCTTTCTGTCGAGGCACTTGCTTCCAAGTCTGGACTGAACGCCGGCAAACTCGGCCGTATTCTCCGAATGCTTGCAACCAAACATTGTTTCATCGAAGGCGAGCGCTCCTGAAGAGATAATGGAGAACTACATTCCATTAACGGCCGTTCTCGCCCAGTATCCCCGAATGTCTTTGCAAACAACCGGTTAAGCATTAAGCTACTTTCTACGGACCCCGTCTCGAGCTTCGTTGGTCATCTGTGGGTGTATTTAGCTATTCACTGGGTTGTTAGCCTATCTGATCTTGTTCCCAACAAGGACGGGAGAGGGTATGAAAGGAGCATCCTTCCTAAATGACGCGCTAATGGATCAGGTTTCGGGCTCTTCAATGTCTCCTGCCGATGCACCATTTCGCCATGCTTACGGGGCACCGATATTCGACTATTATTCTCAGGTCTGTGTCTTTTCTCGTCATCAAGGGACTTACTTACTTACTGACCGGTTTGACTTCCGTAGGCTCCTCGTCGCATTGCGGAGGTGATTGGGCTCTGTCGTATTCAAGCCCGTTCCCCTGCTGACAGTTTCGAAGCGTTTCAATAAGGCTATGGTTGGGTTCGGCTTGGTGACAGGAACCGGAATGCTCCCCCAAGGTAGTGATAATTCCGTTCTAACCTCGATGTCTGTTGATTAATAGCCCGTATTTTAGCCTTCCCATGGAACATTTTGCCTAAGGGCACCACAGTCTGCGATGTAGGCGGTGGGAATGGCCATGCAACCCTCGGTCTCGCGAAATCTTTTCCGCACTTGCGCATCATAGTTCAAGACCTTGAGCATGTAGTCGTGAACGGCAAACCGGTGGGTCTCATTTGCCACATTTGACTCCCCACCCATGACTCACATATGGACGACCGATATAGCTTTGGGAGAAAGCTTGCCCAGAGGCCGTGAACAGCAAACACGTGGACTTTGTTCCGCTTGACTTCTTCAAGGGCGTCCCAGTATCCGGATGCGACTTTTACTATGTGAGCGAGCTCTATCATGTTTTGCCAGTTACTCTCAAGTGCAGCTCTCACATTTTTCTTTACAGCTCCGCCATGTCTTGTTCGTCTCTGCCTCTCTTCAGTGCTTTCCACGTCTTGACTTACTCGCCTGTTTAGGCACGACTGGCCTCAGGCCGAATCCTTGAAGATCATGTCGAACATCCGCTCGGCCATGAAGGAGTCAAGCAGACTCCTTATTCGTATGTACTCCCTTGTACGCATTATCCGGCGGCATACTGAGCTGCGGCTTGCAGATGAATTTGTTCTCCAACATGCGGTTCGCGACATGAAGTGTGGCCCCGGATTCTCGCAGGCGCCCGAACCCCTTCTCCCTAACTTCGGGATGGGACGTGTGCGCTTGTATGAGCAAGATATTAACATGATGTGTTGTGTCAATAGCATGGAGCGTACACTGGATGAGTTCGTTGAACTCGGGTAAGCCTTCTAAAGGTGTCTCACTACTTGTAACTGATGATATGCGATAGGAATTACACAGGCTATCGGTTTGTGAAGATTTGGGATGCTGGAGAAGCGAGCCTCGTTGAATTTGCAATCGCTTAAGTGCCTGTGAGCTGCTGTGGTGTAAGTGATGTTCGTTCTGGATCGCTTGTCGAGATCACCTCTTGAGAGCATCGGTCTCAGCGTGTCTAGGCCTTTGCTTCGTACATGTGGGCTTGCGCAGGATGACAGGCCCTGACAGGTTGTACTCATACCTATAGTCCTCGTGCATGAACTTGTGTCTGCCATATGATCTTCGTGTAAAGCGCGACGGCTCACGGTCAGCGTCTCTGTGACGCGTGGCTGAACATAAGGTCGTAACAGTGCAGTATGTGTGAGTAACTTATCTGATAGCTCGCACCGCTCGTACTTCTCTACTTCCTCATCCGCAACATGAGATGTGGTTGATGGGCTCAGACTGTGGCCTAACAAGTTTACCTTGCGGCCGCTTTCCATACAACGAGCGTTCATAGGCTTCTATTGAGCCATATCATGGATACGTAGTAACCATTACCCCAGCGCGGATAATTTCAGGTGGTCGCGGTTCCACCATCCTGGCTTGTGAAAGGATGTGAGACAGAAACCCGTGTACGTTTTTGCGACGTGAATATGAAGAGGCCGGAAGGTGCTTATCGTTACCGGTAGGCTTTTGACCTGTAGAGTTTAGTATTTTTACCGTTTTCTACCACGGTAGTAGGTCTATCCACGGGATTGTCTCTGCTCATTCGTTGCTCTTGGCGTCTCTCAGTGGGTCATGCGGGAAGCGCCGTGGCCGAATCCAATTCCATACACCAGATTCCACCTGCATCAACGGCTCATCCATGCGAAGTTGTAGAGTTGTATTCGGACCTTATGCGTTTGATATGAAGTATTGTGTCCAACACTAAGCTCTTCCTTTCACCCGCACCGAATACAGGGGTATCAGAATACATCTGCCGCGCAGATGCTTTTAGGCTAATCAAACAGGTCTTTAAGACCTATCACAGCGGACGCATCGTTTCTCGGGGGAGGCGCTATCAGTCTGCATCCTGCTCACAATTTGACGCACGCAACTTACCTGACAGATACGCCGCCTCGTTTGTGCAAGACCATTCTCCTCTAGCATGCCGGTCTCTAACAACTTGCCGACCTCATACGTCGACGTTCTCGTTGTCGGTGCTGGTCCCGCTGGTCTGTTGTGTGGTGTTGCTTTGGCTCAAGCTGGAATCAATGTGAAGATTGTGGACCAAAGGTATGGTGTTCACCTTTCATGACACTTCATCAGGTCTACCGACCATGATCCTTAAAACGGCCCTTTCCATTGTAGACCTGCCAGCATTCCAGCCGGCCAAGCCGACGGTATTCATCCTCGTACCATTGAAGTCTTACAGGTGAAGAAGAACGTGTCCAAGAGATTCATCGACAGCTAATAATACAATTCTGAAGAGTTATGGACTTGTGGAACGTCTCCTCAAGGAAGGAAACCATCTGCACATGTTTGTGCGTCTTCGTCTTTTGTCACTATGATCTCCCCTGCTTTCTTAACCGTAAAATGCACATGTAGGCCTTCTATAACCTAAGCAAGGATCGAAATGGTATCGAGGTTGGCTGCACTTCCAAATCGTGATCATTAACAGTGTCATTCAGCTAACGTTCTGGACTAGCGCACGAGCAGGGTGTCTATGGTCAACCAAGTTGTCGCTAGATACCCATTCTCCGTATGTTAAAGCCGAAAAACACTTTTTCAGCGTAGTTTACTGACGGTAACACTTTCCAGATTTCTCTGAACCAAGGTGGTATCGAACGCTTGCTTCTCGATGGCCTTCTAAAGGAAGGCGTCATTGTGGACCGTCCGACTCGCCCATCATCGATCATTCTGTCTGATGACGAGAGGGAATTAAATGATACGTCCAAGTATCCTATCACTGTGCGTGGCGCTTCTATTGAATTCATCATCTCGTCTGATGATCCTAAAGGTCGTCCTGGATCACCTGGAAGGAGAGGCTGTTCAACAGGAAATTGTTCACGCCAAGTTCCTCGTGGGCTCTGATGGTAAACTCACTTCTTATCTACACAATTCTTTCATGCTCATATTCTGTAGGTGCTCACTCGTGGGTCCGCAGAGCCCTGAACATTCAGATGGAAGGCGAACAGACAAGTGAGTTCTTCCTTCCATATTGGCCCTCGTGGATCCCACCATTGTACTGACTTGCTATGCAGACCATGTCTGGGGTGTGATTGATTTTACTCCGACTCAAGAATCTAACTTTCCAGACTGGAGGAACGTTTGCTCCATCAGCGGGTCCGACACCACTGTGCTTCTCATACCTCGAGAAGAGGGCAAAATACGCTTATACATCGACCTCGGACTTGAGACGGGACTTGTCGATACCGAGAGTGGACGAGTCAACCCAAAGAGTCTAGACTCGGACAAGCTTCTCGCGGTATGCGTAGCTGCATAAAAATGGATTCATACCAGGCTTATGACTTCGCTGTAGATTGCGAAACCTGCATTCGCACAATATACTCTCGAAGCGGCTGATATTGACTGGTGGACATGCTACGTTAGTGAGTGTCGTCTACGCCAGGGATACTATTGCACTATATATCGTACTCAATACCCTGTTTTCGATTGCACTAGTCGGTCAACGTGTTGCGACTCAATTCTCGCTTCACGAACGAGCTTTTGTGGCTGGGGATGCGTGCCACACGCACTCTCCGAAGGCAGGCGAGTTTACTTCCGACGTGTCCTCTTGACTCTTCGGTTTAAATCTTGAGCAGGTCAGGGAATGAACACTAGCATGAACGACTCTCACAATCTAGGTCTGTGCGCGAAATTGCATCCTTCTTTGACTCTCACTCACGTGTGCCACAGCCTGGAAGCTGGTATACACGCTCCGTGGATGGTCAGGACTGTCCCTCCTCCACACCGTACGTCATTTACCCTTCTAATCAATGCTGTACCGTTTCATACGTGTCGTGATTATTTCAGTATGAATTGGAGAGGCGCAAATTCGCGCAGGAGTTGATTGCCTTCGATCGGTGGTACTCCGCGGGGTTCTCGGCCAAGGCGCGCACCGGAACTCTGAGCAATGGTAAAAAAGCACCATCTTCAGGCTTTGAGTAAGTCATATGTCCGTAGGAGACTATTGTTTTAACCAATGATTCCTCTGCGTCCAGAGCATTCCGAGAATACAATGGCTTAACGTCTGGCGTGGGCATACAATACGACACTTCTCTGATAACCTCTAGCGGATCGAACAAGACGAAGATCATCGTTGGCCAACGATTTCCGCCCCAGGTTGTTCTTCACGCAGCAGATATGATACCTGTTGAGATCCACGATCTGTGCACATCCAACACCCGTTTCAAAATCTTTATCTTCACTGGGAATTTGCATTCGGAGGTCCGGTCACAGAATTTGGAGGTATTGGCAGAGAGATTGAAGGGGAAGGATGGTGTACTTTGTAGGTTTGATGAAGAGATATTCGACGTGATCCCCGTCCTGCAAGGTAAGAAAGAAACGGTGGACTATCTGGCGGTGCCACGTACGCTCAGGTCATCTTGGGACAAGTGCGTTTATCCATGTCTTCGATGCCTTCATTCTATTTCTGACGTCTAGCACTTCCTTAGGGTATTGGTTGACGAGACTGATGTAAGCGGAAGCCTTGGAGGGCGTGCATACGAGACGTATGGTATCGGCGAGGACGGCGCCATAGTTATTGTCAGGCCTGATGGATACGTCGGGTTAGTTACGGGGATCGATGAGGCGGACAACATCGGCGAATATTTTGGTGGTGTACTTGCAGGAAAGTTGTAGGACGAGGATGTTTCAGCTCTGTATCGCGGTCTGGTAGCCGAAATGGGCCACAAGCCCACGCAGCTGGGTGGCATTTACATAATCTTTGAGTGGCGCGATCCGTGGGATAAGATCCGATAAGATACAAAAATGACACGATTGATTGTGAAGTTGCAAAGTCGTTCAATTGTTTTCTGACTTCCACCTTCACTGGGCCTGACAAACGCCCTCTCAATCCTCGCTCACGGCGCAGCTCCAACGCGCTTGGAATACCGACAGCCTGGCTTTTTCTTGGGAACAGATGGGCTGGGAACACAAGAAATACGTATGGGGCTTGCACATCGTAAATTTGGACAGGCGTTGGTAGTGTCCCTGCTGCAGGCTACTGTGTTGAACGCGCCGTGACAGACTTTCGCCGGAGAAGCCGTTACCAGCCGTTACCTTCCTTGCGGCCACTGTCCCTGTATGCAAGTCGTATCTGGCTAGATGCAGCGATAATGTCTCCTTCCGAGAGAGCTCTCAGGCAGGGAGCGCAAACCTTTCATCCACCCAATCTAGCGGCAAGGGAACTGACAGTGATCGTTGGGAATTCGCCTTCGCATCCATGGGAGAAAGCCCGCCGTATAGTGGCAAATGATTTTTGCAAGGAAACATGATTTCCAATGACTTTGCGCGAGTTGATATAGACTCCCAGCGCATCGAAGTGGGTTACAGCCTCGGATTTGCATGATCTGACTCTGGATTCCATCTGTCTCAAAGTTTCTCATAAACACTCGCCAGCGCACCGCTACCTAAAGGCGTCGCAGCTGGGAGTCTTGTCTCGCTATTAGCAGCTTGAGCAAACGCCTCCTTCTAGTCGTTGTCTCCCTCTCCTTCTAGTCGCTGCCTCCCTCTCCTTCGCTCGCATCATGTCTACCACCGACTCAGCCAATCTTCTTCCGCTTGTCGACCTCATCACGAATGCCGTCAAAGTCGTCATCGATGAGTATGCAGCCATCAACCAGCCAGTCCCATCACTGGATTCGAATATTCCCGGTCCTTTCGACACCCCAGAGTCCACACCACCCCAACTGAGTAAAGCGATCCAAATTATTGAGGCTGCATGCGCTCAGCTGAGCTTCACTGTCGCAAGTCCTGGCCACGTTATGACCAACGTGAGTATGTCTTCCTATGATGTGTCACCTCACTTACTGAGATAATGTTTCACTCTAGAAAGCTTACGCGGTGAGTGCTAGCATTTGTACACCCATGCTCGAGAACTTTAGCATTGAAGGCCTGCCGGCGTGGTAGCTCGAGGAGTCTGCGTGCCTTCAAGTCATCACGGAGGCCAAGGTATCAGACCTCCTCCTCGATAAGCCCGAGGGCCTTCATATCGATGTGCTCGCCAACCGGTCAAATCTGGATGCCGGGAAGCTTGGCCGCATCTTGCGCATGCTCGCGACAAAGCACTGTTTCAATGAAGGTAAGGTCCCAATTTGAGTTATATAACTATCTAATAACTTGCGAACAACCATACAGTCCAACCAAACGTCTTCGCCAATAACCGGTTGAGCATGAAGTTGGTCTCCACCGACCCCGTCTCTAGTTTGGTAGGACATGTGTAAGAAATCAAATGTTTTCGACCTATACTGTTCACATAACAATCGTCACTCATCAGGACGGGTGGGTGTATGAAGGCGTCGTCTTTCCTCGCTGATGCCCTTATGGATCCTATCTCTGGGAGCTCCATGCTCCCCGCCGATGCACCGTTCCGCTACGCGCATGGTTTGCCGCTGTTTGATTACTGTGGAAAGGCATGCTATCTTATCACACTTACGTCTTTGTCTCCTTTACGATCATTCACAATGATATATGCAGGCACCCAGAAGTTTCCAAGAGGTATGTATGTGTCTGTCATTGTGTGTACGACCTTCTCACGCCATTGCTCGAACGACACAGCGTCTCAACAAGGCAATGATTGGATGGGGCGTTGTCACTGGTCGGGCCATGCTTCCCAAAGGTAGGCTATGGCTTCGCTCTCTCTATCTATCGAAGGGGTCGCTTCGTTCAACGCTCTTCGGCCTAGTCTACCCATGGCAGTCTTTGCCTTCCGGAACTACTATATGCGACGTCGGAGGAGGCAACGGACATGCTATGCTGAACCTTCTGAAGGCCTTCCCTCACCTGCGTGTCGTTGTTCAAGATCTTAAAGCTGCGGTTGAAGACGGACAAGAGGTGAGTATAAGTTCTCCTCCGTCAGTATTTACACGAATGTATGACTAACTTGTGTGTAGCTGTGGTCTAACGAGTATCCGGAGGCTTTGGAAAATAAGCTTGTCACATTCAAGGCGTTCGATTTCTTCAAGGATACTCCTGCAGAAGGATGTGACTTCTACTATGCAAGAGATCTAATATATTCATGCTTCGCCGCTGCTGATTTCTCTTTGTTTCTTCCAGATCCGTCATGTTCTGTACGTCTCCTTCTCTACCAATCCCAATGGGATAAACGACTGAATGAGACATGGCTAGCCATGACTGGATGAAGGACGAGTGTCTTACGATATTGAGAAATATTCGCACGTCGGCCAAGCCAAGCAGTAGACTCCTCATCCGTACGCTCCCCTAGTCAGCCGTTGTGGCCTGCAGCTCATTATCCATCCCCACAGACGAGTTCGTTTTGCAACATGCCGTTCGTAACAGGTCCAATCAGTCTCGGGTCTCAGAGGTGTGTCTTTCAAGCACTACTGCATACTTTTTCTGTCCAAACCCCAACATTTGATCGACCATTTCCAGGCTCCAGAGCCACTTCTTCCAAACTTCGGGATGGGCCGTGTGCGTCTGTACCAACAGGACATCAGTATGATGTCAAACCACAACAGCAAGGAGCGAACTCTTCCAGAGTTCGTCGAGATGGGGTGAGCGTCAATAGTTCCCCGTCGTGACCGACAACTTACAGCTTAATACTATATAGTGAAGAGGCGGGTTTCAAGTTTGTAAAGCTATGGGATGGAGGAGAAGCCAGTCTCGTAGAGTTCACTGCGGCGTGAGACATATTCGATCTACCGTTAGCGTGAAACTTTGATGTGTGAACGGTAGCCACTGTCTCAACGTACAGTGGTAGGACTCGATAGTGTCGGATGTAATATTATCTTCATTTACTATCCTTGCTCGTAGTACCATGCAAAAACGTGTCGCAGCACGGTAGACAATACGTCACGTTCAAGAGCTTGACCTGTCGCGCACGGTTCACGGCACTGCCGAGCAAGAAGTAGCAGATTTATCGTTCAAGCCGTTCTTGCGAAAGTTAGCTAGGAATTGAGGGAGTTCGTCGCGACAGTTCTTTGGTTTAGGTCGTTGGGTAAACATGCGGGAACTGAACACACAAAGCAGATGCCGCAAGGATATTGGTGCATTTGGCTGTGTCAGCCCGCGTACATGACCGTCGGTGATAGCTAAAAGAAACCAGATACTGAGAAGTAAACGGGGTCAAATGTAGAGACTGCAGTTGTTGACACCTACCGGTCGCTGCGAGAGAGATCGCGAAGGCCGTGACATCGTCTGCCATATCGAAGACGACCCATTTTCTATGCAGAGTGGCCTATTAGGCGCTCACGGCTCCTAAATCTGGCGAAAGGGCAGAGAAGTGAAAGGTCGCTCGGAGATGCTCCACCGCTACGGGTCGTGCATTCGAAGGAGAAGCGAAAGGTGCAATTATTCACAGGGAGCCAGACACAGTACAATAAATCCCTAGTACAATCTATGACAAAAATCATGGAGCCTTCAGTGGTTGCTCCGGCGCTATATGGTAAAATACTACGTACAAATCACAATTGCAGGGTGACTTCCGGCAGGATCACATAGCTCGTAAGCACGCACTCCAGAAAAGAAAAACTATACAAGCTCACTTACCTAGATGCAATCACAATTCGATCGTTTCCTTATGCTTGAACTTTCTACCTGCCCTCTCCGAAGCCCTGAACTGGAACTGGTTCCCATACAACTCGAACTTGATGTGCGGGAAATCATACACCGTCTTCGAGCGAACCACATCGTCGACGTTCATCCTGTCCGCATTGGACGCAGGCGGTGTTGATGGCTGCAGCGTCGAATACAACGGGACCGCAAAGGAGAACACTGAGTTCTGTTTTGGGACCGCTATTTTCAGCCATAAATTATATTTAGTTCATAGTGATAGTGGAATCAAAAAGCTCAACCATACTCTTCGTCTGATTTTTCTCCGTGACGACCCGGAAAGCGTTCTCCGTCTCATGGACCACAATCCCTGACAAACTAACCAGGCAAGGATTCCTTGCACGAACCACTACGCGTATGAAATACAATTAGCCTTGATCTTGACTAGAAATAGTGTTCAGATGAGGCAATACGAACCTGTGATGATACAGCCATGGTAATCGGCCTTGATCAGCTTTGCGTGCATGTTCTCTGCTTTCGGCATTGCTTCAGCGGAAGTCGGAGTATCGGAGGAAGGTGGTGACGCCAGGGCCAACAGCTCGGACATATACCCCAACCATAGCTGGTGAAGTGGAATGAATAGGTCGTATCTGTCGAAGGTGTGTTAGAGACGGTGAGGATATATGCCAAAGTACGATAGTATAGGCGAAAGGGCTATGTAAGCGTACCGCGCTTCTTCTTTGCTCAACTTCCAAGTACCGCGCTCGATCGCGTCGTCTCTTCCTAGTACACCCAACGCATTTCGTTCTTTCTCTTTATCCTGACGTCTTTTCTTAGCGACTGCCTCCTTCTTGATACGACCTTCACGTGCCGGGTTCTACAGCAAGCAGGACATATTCGTCCGTATCTAGCCCACGCATGTCATGACTGGGATTGTACGTACCTGTGTAATAGGGGTGTGTGTATATGTAAAAGGTCAGTGAGTGACGAAGAGGATCCACGAAAAAGCGTACCTCGAGGGGCAGAACACGTCGTTTGATACGCTCTTCATAATACTTCGTGGCTTTCTGAGATGAGGAGCCTCGTCCCTCTGGCACAGATATAGCCGATAATAAGTAGGTAGGAGTGAAGGGCGTCTTTGACGTATACTTGACGTGTTTCTAGAGACCAAAACCGGCCGGTCAACATCATAGCAAGATGCATACATTCAAGGGAAACATAGCATGCGTCCAAAGAAACTGGCTGATCGTATTCGGACAACTACTAAGGCAAGTGGCAAAATAGTCTCGTGAGAGCCAAATTACAGCCCTTCATGAGTGAACACGTCCGCTTGGGTACGCAGCTGCGAAGGATAGGGCACAAGAACGAAGACTCATCCTCCCGACGGAGGAAAACGGTCTGATAGGGGTTTCTTTCGTGCAACCAGAGGAACTACTACCTTATTACTTTTCGCACTAGATTCCTATATCAGAGGTGGTTTATAGATTAGTCATTCATCTCTGGACACTATTGCTGTGTTGACAGGACCGGGGAGCCTGGACTCACTGTATGGGGCACGATACCATCGGAGTCGGCCGGGGTCGAGATGGGGCTGGTGCGACCAAACGAGAACGGATACGCATATATGTGGTCAGGGACCAGTCCAGTATAGGTGTGCATTGTACAAGTCACGACCAGGATACGAAGCAGAGCAAACGATGACGGTCTTGGCAAGTCGTTGAGGTCGCTGAGAATTGCAGAAGAAGCGGTCGCGGAAACTGCCGATTTTCAAAGAAGCTACGGATGTGGCGCGCCACCTCTTTGTCGGGGTTTCGGGCTCGTGGTTCTTCAACTTCGGGGTCCCTTCTTCGTCCCGTCGACAACTCGCGCAGCTGCTTTCCCCAATCCCTGAGACCACTTAGCTTCATTCATCAGTACTGATGTCTTTGGGAAGTGTTACTATGAACCCTCGACGCGAACCTCGACGCGAATCTTGCTTGAATTCTAGGACCTACATACGCAACCTTTGAGAGTAATCTGTCTGATACTTGGAAGAGCTCAATATCTATAAAAGAACGTGCAGGGAGCGTACTGTTCCATGTTAAGTTCGGCCGAGCGTCGAACATGCTATTCCAAAGAGATTTTCCAAGCCCAGCCTAAACTCCGACAGCAATACTCTCGCGCCACACTGTGGCGCAAGTGTGGTACAAGATGACGGTGGGCATGACTGAGTTCTACTTTGGTTGTAAGGTTGCCCCTTGGTTTATAGATGATTCTTCACCGTCAGGAAATATGGCTATTTTCAGTAGGCTGACCAAAACCGTCTGTAGCTGAGCTGAAAGAATCGCATATATTAAGTACACGGGCTGAGAACACAACGTCGTCCAGGCCTCCAGTACAAGTTTACGCATATTGATGAGTTCATGTAGCATAGTGCTTGACTCTGATTCCGTTGACAATCTCCTCCTCGATTCCCGCTTCAACCTCACAAGTAGACGGCTCATATTGGTGCGACCACGATGAAGTTAAAAGAGACGACGAGAGCCAGCGGGCAAGGTGGCGGTTCGAGGGCAAGGAGGTCAAGAAGAAGAGGCGAAGTGTGGCGAGCGCGACGACTTTCGAATTCAACAAGGACAAATTCAACAAGGACAAACAAAGCCACGTGTAGTGTCTGTCACCTTCATGCCACCGCCACCCGTTCGCTACTCTCTCCGTTCAGTCCACTGGGACCCGGGTATATGGAGGGAGGGCCCAATTCCCCAGCCAGCGGGACTTAGGGAGGAAGTTTAGGTGAAGCGAAGGATCCCGATTTGGTCACCCAGACGAATTACCACCAAAATGAGAAATTAAGCGGTCTTAGACACCATTTTCAACCTCGATCTAGCTTTTGGGTCCATAAATAGTCCCCCGGGTTTCGGCCGAAAAAAGTAGAGATTGGAGGCGCCATCCCGCAGCGAGTTTCTATACAAAGTTGAAAGAGTCGCCCAGCTAACCCACAAAAATCCCGATTTGGGATTGAACCTCCCCCTCTATAAACCCAGGTCCTGTTGTTTTTGCGTCCATGGACTACCTACATTGTGCGCCTTTACATTGCCCGATTGTAATGCGTCAAACGAACAATTCGTACAATAGGAAAAAGCCACATATTCATGGACAGAACGAGGGCTACGGAGACAACTATACGAAACAACAAAATATCGTACACGACTCGGAACTTGAAGACAGGTCGATACACAAAAACCACAATTACAAGGAGACAATACTATACATCCAAAGAAAACAAGGCGACTCGTCGTTCATCGTTCGGCATTCAAGACTAGAGATAACAACTTCTTCACGGAAGAGAAATGTGCACGAAGGAGAAGAAACGAATCAAACGGATATTCAGCGTACCGATGAGACATGGATGAACAAACGACGGAGACCTTACAACCCCTCCGTGAACCGACTCTCCGACCTCTCAATCGGCGCCTGGCCCACACTCCCGCCAGAGGTAGTGGGACCAAGCCCGTCCACGCCACTTGGGCCAGATCCATCAGCGTCGACGTGAGCGGCGCGACCTTCGGGGGCTTTCTCCTGTTGGCGGAGCGAGGCTTTACGGCCTACGCCGTTCGAGCCCGAGGTGTGCTTCTTGTCGAGCTAAACGGATAGAAGAACGCATTAGAGGGGCAAGAAAGTCTGGATAGAACGTAGAAACTTACCGCATATCCGTTCGCTCCAATCTCGATCCCCGAGTCCCTGGTTGGGTGAGAATAACTGGGCAAGTCCTCTCCGTCGGTGACGGCGCCTTCTCTTGCCTCCTCGTATCTCTCTCCGGTGACTTCCTCGTCCGTCCCTTCTCCATCGATATCATGAGTCCCACCCGGCATCCTCTGTCCATGAACGCCAGTAATCCTTCCACCTTCCTCCTCTTCTTCCTCCTCCTCTTCCTCAACGCTCGAGCCCTCGTCCTCGCTCCCCTCACCATCATCCTCACTCGCATATCCAGCAGCCCTAACCGCCGCATGCACAGGCCCACTCCTCTCCATATGCTCACTCGCAACGAGATACCTCGCACACAACATCCTAATATCGTTCCACCACTCCATCATATCCTCATGACTCCTCGCCCTAAAGCTCCACGCATGTCCCGATCCACCACCCCCACCAACCCTACCCGTCAAACTCCTAATACTCCCCGTCTTCAACGTCCCGCTCCCGTCCTTCCTCCCCTCGATATGGAACTTATGACTCTTCGCGCCGATCGAGCTCGCCGGTCCAAGGGTGCACATCGGCAGGAAAAGCGAGAAGATGGGCAGCCCGTTGCCCGCCTTCGGATCGCTCCCCGCGTATTCGTGTAGGAACCCAGCGGGAGTGAGGACGTAGAACGACTCCTTATACGCGCGCGTATACCGCTTCTTCCTCTCCATCCACCCCTCATGCACCGGCAACACGCTCGGATCCTCCTTACTCGGCCACCTCACCTCCTCCCCCCTCACATCCGCGCTCCTCAACGGCGTCTCCGGGTCCAACAAATGATCGCTCCTAGCCGCAAAGGCAACCCATTCCTCGTCCGGGCCCAGTTCGGCGAACTGAGTGCCCATGGCGGACCAGGTGGCTTGGACGGAGGCGGAGAGGCGGGACTGCCATTCGTCGAAGGTGGCCCAGGCGGATTGGAGGGCGCGGACGATTCCGGATTCGAAGTGGGCGGAGTTTTGTTGCATGATGATTATGGATTTTTGGAGGGCGTTTTCTTCGTGGATTTGTTTTTGGAGTTGGCGCATGACGGCCTGGTTGGCGACATAACTGTTGAAATTTGGATGGGGTGGGATGGAGGAAGTGACGAGGAATGGGGATCGACGAAAAAACGTCAGCGAATGGAAATGATTGGGGAAGAGTTGGTGTCGTGATTATCGTGATTGAACGTAGGAACGTAGGCCGCCCTGAACGTCCCAGCGCAGGTTTGCAAAACCGATCGTATAGCTGAATCTAAGCTTTCAGACTGTGCGTGACGCAGGTCCCGGTATTCCCGGTAGAACGACGGTAAGTCGCTCACGGGTATGTGCAATCGTGGCCGACAGAACGTCATGCAGGCCAAGTGGTCCGTTCGAGATACTGATCAAGCCAGATGTTCGAGTACGTCTCCACAATACAAGTTCTGCATAACTCGGAGCCAAAAGGCGAAGGGACTCACGGATCAGTCTTCGACGTAACCTGCATAGGTGTGTTCTTGAACACGGAGATATTCGTCGAGAGCTCCGAAATGAGACGCGTAGAAAGTTCGCGCTCCTTGGCCACGGAGGTAGCGAGCTTGCCAGTGTCGTTTTGCACATTCTACATCCAAAGATAAATGACATGAGCACGTTGACGATGATTTGGGCAGCGAAAGTGGAGCTGCACAGAGACTCGCAAATAGGAGTCGATGGAACAAGAGCATGAGCGTAATGTAGAGAGCATACCTTGATATGGGCCTTGATCTCGACGCGGAGCTTCTGAAGGTGCTGAACGATGGAGCTGTCGATCGTACGGCCGAGGTTGGCGTGCTGGTCAGCGATGATGCGGGTCTTGTCGCGGATGGAGTAGTATACGTCCTATAGAATCGGTGGTTATCAGTCAGGTTGCTCGAGCATGAATGAGTTAGTAAAACGAACTTGGAGACCGCCTTCGCCGAGGAATTGGTTACCAGAGCGGAAGGGAACTTGGATAACGGCGCCGAGCTTCGTCATTTCCTTCGCGGTATTGTTCTCGATGTCCGCGATACCCTATACCACAAAAAATCCCAGGTTCATCAACGCCCGCCACCGAAGTTGTATTGTGAGGAATAGGAGACGGACCTCGAAGTACGCGATGAGCTGCTTCACAATGACCTTCCACGCAACAAACCTCTCAATCAACACATCCGAGGGCCTCAAATCATGCGGGGCAATATTCTTCTTGATGAGCGACTGGCTCCTGCTCACGGTCGAGCCCTGTCGACTCGCGCGCGAGATGGAGGTCTGCCGCGAGATGGATGCTGTATCGTTCATCGTTGTTGATGATGGTGGGGATAAGTAAAAGGTAGGTGGAGCCTGTCAAGCAGGGAAGTAGACTATTTATCGAAGTGGCGGGTGATTGAGATGTTCGAGAGCATCCGCACGGAAAGCTGCCCATCGACGACGTCATCTGCGCAGACAAGTTTGGCGCCGATATCCGTTGGAGACCCCTAACACTTTGCCACCAGTTTTGAGTGCGTAGGACCCCGGGGTGCAGCTCATTGAGCGCCGGGCGGGAAAAGCCGAACACGTCAGCTTGCAGGAACGACCGGGTTTTGCGCTGCTGAACGCGTCTGCTCCGCTGTCCACCACCTCCGTCGCCTCCTCGTCCGTCCCACATCACTCGTTGTCTACCAGGTTCGGTATCTCAAGATGAACGCTCCCATGCAAAACCTGGCTATTTCTCTCGGCGTCATGCAAGGTCTGTCCACAATTCTTTTCCTTTGACCATGTTGTATACGTGTTCTTATCGGGGTTCCGTTCGTTTTGCTGTTGCGCTTTCGTTTGGTGTACAGTGGCCCGAAAAATCCCTTTCGACGACCCGGACGTGTTGCTTTATGTTCGGATAGGATACGTGGTCACTCAGGCGATCTGTCTGGCCGTGTACTTCTATATCTCCCAAAAGGTGTGCCTTCCGCTCCTGCCAATTTTCTTATCTTTTCGTCCGGTCTGTGTAGGATGGAAAAGCTCATACTTTTGTGGTCGGGCGCTTGATTGGATGAATTACTGTCTGTGTTTCGCAGGTCAAGTCGAAGAACGACCAGACCGTGCTCAAGTATGGTACGTCACGCGACTTGTGTGTTTCGCCTTTGTACTGCTTTACTAACCTGTAGTCGTCTTACTAGTTGAGCCCCCTAATCAGATGGTCAGTCCGTCTCCAACATCTTCCAAGCCCGCCTACTAATTATAGCCATGGATCATCAGACGCAAGAACCTGGAAACCTGGTCACCACGACCATCCGCGATTATGACCTCGCTGAGGTCTCGAAACTCGTACGTTTTTTTTCTCGTCGCATTACGTTTATTATTCTGCTCTTGTCCTTCATCTTCCCTCAAAATATACGCACAACAATCAGCCCATACTATCCCTTTGACCATACCGCATCACACTTTCTCCTCCTTTCTTCGCCACCGCCACACTACTTCCTTCCCGTCTCCTCCACACCACATCATCTTCCCCACACACTCATCACTCCTGCCTCACACGATCATCCCTCCCCCCTCAGAATTCTCCTACTTACCAATATCTCAACACGCTTGCTAACCTCTCCCCCCCTCCCCACCTATCCACAGATCCGCTCAACCCTAACCTCCGTCGCAATGATGGGCTTCCTCCACCTCTACATGCAATACACCCAACCTCTCTTCGTCCAAGCCCTCATGGGCCTCAAATCGCTCTATGAGTCCAACGAGGTCAAGATCTACGTGCTGGGCAAGGCGCCGGAGGGCGATTTGAAGAGGCCGTTTAAGGCTGCTGGGGGGTTGTTTGGACGTGAGTGATTTTCTGTTTGTTTGATTTGTTTGGGGCGATGTGGTGTCGCTTGAGAGGGGAGTGAGATGGTTGGGATGTGATGTGAAGGGGTGATGGGTGCGTTGTCGCACCCGCACAAGGAACTTTGTGTGGCGCACGACACCACACCGATAGCCTTTCACCCTTCCTACCCTTTCATCCTCCAATCTCATCCCCCTACGCTTACCTCCATTTATACTGACCACTTCGTTACCTTTCTTCTCCCCACAGCCGCCGCCGGTCCCGCAACGGACAAAGCCGCAATCGACGAAGCCGAGAAGAGGATCGGAGGAAAGAAAGAGGAATAGATGGCTTTCTCATCTCCCTTCTTCCACTCTTCTGCCTAGCCTCCTTTCGTCTTTCCCTTTGCCGTCTTCTGTCTTTCCCATCTTTCCCTCTCTGCCGTCTGCCGTCTTTTGTCTTCCCCTCTGCAATCGTTGACGCCCTCTGTGGGTTCCGGTCACCTGATTGATTCTCGTGCTCGGAAGCGGAAGGGTGGGTGGACGCATAGATCTGTATAGCGACAGGCGACGACACGTTGACGTTGGGGTTCGGCGTTCGTGCAATATAATCCGGGCGGGACGTTTCTGGTGTCTGTTCTTTGTGTGTGTTCTTTGTTTATTTGCAATTCGCGACGGTCAAGACTGCGTGATGGCGGTAATGTAGAGAGGCTAAGATATGCAGTCGGGGGAGGCTGCCTCTTTGCCGAGGCGCAGAGGGTGTTAACTGGGCAGTATCGTGGGTGCGGGTCGTGTACAAAAATTGCCGAAGAAGAACGGTACGGCTCGATGCTAGATGCGCGGCGTCTACATTTGGGCATTCGGAATCTGTCGCTCGGTGTTCGAACGTCCACACTTCGAAGGTCGACAGTGCTCAGATGGCACTGTATTATTGCATAATACAAAGTGATAGCTGGTTGTGACAAGGTCGATGACCATCTGGCACGGTACCGGTTCGATCGGGGTGCCATTGTGCCAAACAGTGCCACCATGGCGGAGTTGGAAAAGTATAAAAACCCGCGTCGATACGTGGTCTCTTTCCCTTTCAACTCCCACAAGCACCTCCGACGTTTGCCCTTTGTTCAACCTTGACACTGCGCTCGCGTCCAACGACTCCCTTTCAACCCCCAGCCGCTTCTCACCGCGACGCGAACCATACCCTCTTCTACTTAACCAAGACATGCCACCAATGTATCAGCAGTCGACCCGCAACTCTCGAGGTGCAACATGGCATCGAAAAGGCTACCGCAATCATGGCTGTATGTGGCTGAACGTGAAAAGAGCCTTTCATATTGCTCCTTATGTTCGTGGCGCCGATTTTAACGAGAACGAGACGATGGAAGAGCTCATTAATGACCTCCTCCGTGAGTCCCTCGAGTCTCTTCGTCCACGCTTCTTTGTACTCACACTTTGTCGAATGATTTGATTTTGGTTGAATGCTTAATAGGGGAGGTTCAAACAGAAGAGGGCTCACAGCTGCCCGAAGGAGGCTACTGGGACTTCCAGGCCTTCCACGGAATGTCTCTCTTGAGCGGACAGTTCGAGTCCCAAGCGCGTATTTCGGTATACTTCGACGGCGGAGAGACAATCCATGCTAAGGTTAGCTCCGTGCTCTCTCCTTCAAACCATTATGTGATCTCAATAGTCGAGGCTGACTGCATGTTTGGTTTGTCGTAGGCTTTCGATGCGGACGGAAGCCAGATCGTGTGGGACATGGCAGTGGCTGGGTGGCAATACCGCTAGTTTCGACGAGTCTGCCTAGAAAACGCGTCCTCAAGCGCGTCCTGCATTTTTTTTTCTTGTTCACGATATGCTTCATCTATCCTCACGCCGATACGACTTAGACTAGAATTAATACTTTGAACCACTCTGACGTCGTCATCCGAACCTGTGGACGCGACTCGGTTTTGATAACGTTCATCGAATACACTTCGGAGTCCCTGGTGCCAGTACACCGTCTAGGGCAATAGCGTGGGTTATAGTCTTGCGGCACAAGGGGCACAGTTGAACCCGCCGAAGCCTGTTTCGCGCTCTCGTGGCTATGAACGAGCGCAATAGATGTTATCTGCAGCCTGAAAACCGAGAGGTTCTATGAGCTTCAAATTGGCTGCTTGAGAGCTCGTAAACTGCAATTTTTTTTTCATAGTTCGCTTCGAACCCTCGGTAAGTGCCAGACGCAGGCCAAATGGAGTCGATCAGCCAATCACGGCTGGCCTGCACTTTCCCCTTCGAACTGAAATTTTAGTTAAAATTCTCACTTTTACAGTTCGCTTGCGTCGCCTTGCAACTCAAAAGTCTACTTTTCAGGCTGCAGATAACGTCTAATGTCAGCGGAAAGAACTCACCGACGCTCAAGTTGAACATGCCAGAACATGCCATTCAGCGGACACCAGAATTAGACATCGACAAAGGTGTGTTACATGCCGGTGAAGATGGCGAAAGTTCACTCATTGGCGCAATAATAAAAAAATGAGCGAGCTAACTTGCTCGTGAAGAAGTTCGCTGATCAAGTTAACTCTTGGCCGAGAAAACCATTGAGCACTCAAAGTTACTCCTCCGTTACGGTTCAAAACCGTATGAGCCGGGAAAATTGTAGCCAGTGGGGAGATAAATTGACTGAAAACCAGCACAACCGTCAGCCTCCAGGATAAGAGCTCGAAGTTTCACCAGGCTATGACAAGAGTTCCCAGTCAAAAGTTCATCGAAGTCAACGATGCTTGTTCAGTGCCAAGAGTATCTCGTAACTCGTGTTACGCAGCGTGCTGCAACCCTAACCCAGCTCATACTTTTCACTTCGACACGGGCGTCCACCACTCGTGGTTTTTCCATACCACAACCAGCGCTCTCTTTGTTACAGCGTCACTCTTGAGATCTCTGTCTAAGTCATATCTTAGGTTGTCGGTGTATGTATTTGGAATCGGCGCTCTCCCTCTACCCTTGACCGATTCCACCTCAAAAGACGCTGTATTCTCTGAAATGGAATGGACTGACGACGCATCTGAACGAGTCTGGGCAGGCTATCTTAGTTCAAATCCAACTCGCATCCTCGACGTGTTCAGGATAAACCATCCACATTTACCACGCAACCGATGGGGTGACTCCTTTTTGGTCGGTACTCAACTTTCATCCAACAGCGCAATCAGTGTTTTTTTAGCGGTGTCTCAGACTCTCAACTGAGACACTTGACACAATAAAACAGGACATATTTCCCGCATTCGTGGTCCTTATGCGTGCGGTCCTCGAGCCATCATTTCTGCCAACATGGGACGGTCTTGTTCGCGAAGGTATCGTTGAAGTCTTGTGCAACCACGCGCTTGAAGCGCCACAATGGCCCACCGACCCGGAACAACGGAGAACCATCGCGTCGGATGTTCTAGCACTGGTATGCCGATGATCCTATTATTCGGATGCCCTGGAGGTAAACTCACCATATCACAGCTTCCCCAGGCTATTACTACCCGCTCGAGATTCTCGGACGATCAGTAACGCACTTCAAGGAGCCACTCTCGAATAGCCAACAACTCTTCATCTACACAGTGCAAAAGTACTGGACGCGATTGATGCAGAGGGTATGCCCTTTCTCTTCCTTCATCCACTTATGTCTTTCTGACCTAGCTATATAACACTAAGGTATGGGACGTACCAGGCAATAGTACGAAAGACGAAGAATATTTTGCTCGAGAACGCATTATAGTGGCACAACTGGTGTGGCCCATCGTGACCCATCATCGATCTTTTCTCACGTATGTACTTCTTCCTTCAGCTTCATCACTGATTGTCATAAATACTCAGACACTCCCATTTGTACCTCCTGCTCGTATACACAGAATTGTCGACGATCCCATCGACCTTACAATCCCTGTCCTTGTCCGCGCTTCATTGCACGGCACCCTTGATACCGAGCCTGATCAATCCGAGTTTCATATCATCACCGGAGAAGTTCTCTACTCCTTCCTCGTTGCATCGACGGATGCTTCGAGTTCACTTTCACCTTCGTCCCGCGCGGCCCTTCCCTCCCCGCAGAGCGTGCTACGCAAAATTATCAAAGGCGCCTCTGGCTCCATCGACACTCTCTTGACCAAACTCGCCTGGTATCTCACTTGGCTCAATATCGAAGAGACGTACATTTGCGTCAATCTCGTCGATACCGTGGTGCAGCTGGCGAAGAATGGTAAAGCAACCTACAAACGCGTCTTGAGGAATGAGGCGCTGTGGAGTGAGCTGTTAAAAGTGTTCAAGAAGACAGGAGAGAAGGGTGGCATGGACATCGTGAAGAACGACGCTAGAATTGGAGACCAGGTCGCGTTTGTCATATTCGGGATGATGCTGGATGGCCTGAGGTACGGCAAACACGAGGCGCCAGACGAATATGAGCCACTAGCGGCATTATTGGTTATGAACGAGCTAATCGAAACTCTCGACGTGTTCTTGTCGTCGCTGGTCGCGCGGCGAGACGCAGCCGTGATAATGAGCAATTTTGCTGGTATGTCAAGCCCCAGTCTTCTCTTGTTATTTCATCGTTCTTTCGAGTTTTAGTCTTCGGTGGCTGACAGCGGCATCCACTATAGTACCCATCAAGTTCCTGTTCGACTTTCTCCATCACGCCCTCTCGATACATCCTACACTGACAGGAGTTCTGCGTCCATGTCTGCCTCGCCCGCGTATCGTACGCTCTCTCCTCGAAGCTGCCTTCATTCCGGGAGGCCCTCGCAGCCTTATCGACTCGAAGCCCACACCTCGTGGCCTTGACCCGCCTCAAATATCAATCCACACGAACTATGAGAACTTTGCCAGATTGGAGAGGGAAGTGCGTCGAGGAACCGACGAGGAAGACACCAATTGTGGAAGGAGAGGATGCGAGGAAAGGGCTGAGGCGAGGTGTTCTGGGTGCCAATCCATCAAATATTGTGGAAACCAATGTCAGACGAGGTGCGTTCTGCTGGACACTGACGGTCGTGAGAAATACTAACGCTCATCCTGCGCCATTCTAAATTATATGGGGACGGTGACAGCGATTGGAATGAGCACAAGCTGGTCTGTGGATATGTGTTTGAGCGTTACATCCACGACGGGACGTTGATGGAGAGGATCTCCCTGCCAAAGACCATGGCGAAAAAGGCGAAGCTCGAAGATGTCAACAGACATATCAATAGGCTAGCTTTTGTTCCGCAAAACACCTAATACGCATCTCTCATTCCTCTGCTGTCGCTGCGTGATCACACGGCCCTCGACAGATTTACAGCACAATCCCGGTGACTTTCCTCCCTCTACCGCTCGAAATGCCAAACAGCTTCTTTGACTTCAACCCGCTCCACAAACTCCAGCCGTGGTCAATGGCCTACGTATATCAGTTACACCTTCCAACTGTGGGTTCAACGGTGGAGGACGAATCTGCTCCCTGAGCTTCGTCGCAAATTGGTCTTGAAACGTGTTTAGACCTGACCCCTTCGCGACCTCCCTGACGCTTTCACGTAGCATCGCGATGAGATGAGTTCGGTCCACGCCCAACCGTCTACTTAACTCCGCCGTAAGAAACGTCGACTGGTTGCAAAGGACAACCATGATGCAGCGCGCGCGCGAGACTCATTTTGGCCTGCTCATCAATAAAGCTGAAATACCTCTTGCACGATTTAGCGGTGCCTTCAGGACTGTAGGAATGCTCGTTTAGATCTCATTTATGTAGCTTCTTCAGACACCCTAAATACATACACATTGACCGCATCATCACAAATCTCGTGTATACAACCTACTTCATACGTTAAGATGCAGCAGCAGCCGGAGTCGACCAATCCGCGCCTTCCCAATACCCTCGAAGAAACTCTTCTACGGTAAGAGCACGAAGGGGAGGAAGCCTGCGGTTCAGCGTCGGTTCAACCTCCCAATGGCCAGCGGACATCGACTTGGCGCTCTGGGGAAACGTATCAAAAACAACCGTTAGGACAAAGGTTGAGGCCATCTATCGTCTCATCCCGACCCGAAGCTCACCTCAGAATAAATCAAACTCCCCAGTAACCTCTCCGCCCTCTCACCTCCTCCCTTTATCAAATATGTCCTCAAAAACGTCTTTCCTGTGATCCTCTCCGCAACATCCACCACCTCGTCAAACGTCTTCGTCTCACCCACGATTCCACTCAGCTCTTCCCATTTGTCCAAATCAAGACTCGCAGCGACAAACTTAGCAGTGTCTTGGACGGAGGTGAAGGTAATTTTGGTTGTGCCATCGCCGGGAATGTCCGCGATGCCGGCGCGAGCGTCGATAAAGAGATTACCGGGGTAGCCTGCGAGAGCTTCGCGTTCGGATGGGAGGTTGGAGCCGCCTACGAACATGTTGATGAAGAGACTGTATCATACATTCGGCAATCGATTGCAGGAAGTGAGTCAAACGCATCTCAAGAGGTCTGGAAGGTTTGAACTAGACAGACGGAACTTACCCAGGAACGAACCGCGTCGCTTCAAGGCCGGAGTTCTTCACGGCCTCCCAGACTTGCAACTTTGGCAAGTACATCAGTAGTCCACTGTTATCCTATCACAAGTCCGTCGTACGGAACATCATTTCATATACCAGGGAGATCAAAGAGATGGACCCAGACTAACCCTAGACGCCCACTCTGAGGGCGCAAACCTCTTGACCCCCACCTCCTTTGCCGCCTCCAGCAACGCGAGCTGATGCTCCACTGATTCCTTCGCATCGGCACTGAACAGCGTGACAATGACTGTGTGGACGTCTTGCAGCGAGGAGACCAGGTTTGCACGGTTCGAGTAGTCGACTGTGCGGACTTCGACGTTAGGAGGATCCGTAGCTTTGGTTTCGGAGCGGGAGAGGATAATGGGGATATGGTTGCCTACGGAAAGGATGCTTTGTTGTTATTGATGTGGATGAGACGTCGAGTCGTTGGAAGAGCATTAAAACGAGTGAGAATAAGAATTGGAATCGTATAGATGGGGAGAAACGTACGCGTTGATGATGTTCAGTCCGACGTGCCCCGATCCTCCCGCGATGGCGACTTTGACCATGATACAGGAGAATTATTGTGTGCAGCGGTTTCTGGCTTTGTTTATCGAGGACCGAAGCTGAAGAGATGAAAAACTTCCTGGCGCAGTATTGGGATCCCTACTTAAATATGTTCTCCACCGTGAGCACTGAGCACGACAACGGGAAACTTGAACCTGGGTGAAAGGTCTGACTGCGACGGTTCCATCGACATCCATCTTGCGTCCATCAGTCAGCCATCTGTCGCGCGCCAAAGATAGAAGTCAGCTGAACAGCACTGGGTGTAATCACATCCACGATATTGCACGTAGTAGTATCCATGCTAATATCGATGACGGAACGAGGGACATGGAGAACTTGAGTACAAGTGGCAGGCCAGGGCCCAGGTGGGTGAACTTGAAGGGTGGAAGGCGGAAACCCTCGAATAGGCACTAGAGTACACACGTCGATTACTGTCGTAAAAGACAATTCATACGTGCTGGGACACCAAGAAGACCGGATGCTGCAGTTCTCGATAGTGGTCACCCGAGCAAAGTCAACAACTTGAAGCTGGAGTCCAACACCGTCACGGTGGCGGTCGTCGAGAAAAGTTTGCCACATGTCGGAGCTTGTCGGGGCTTGAACGCCACCTTGGTGCTTCATCACTTTGGCGCCACAATATTCAAGCCGCGAACTCTTCCTGTGCGTTGACCATCCCTTCGTCCCACTCCTTCGACATATACACCTGGCTCTAATATTGAAACCTTTAAGATCTCATAACAGTGGCTCACGCACAGAATAGGACAGCCGGTTGAGATGCACAACCCCAATTTCGTCGCCTCGCGCTCTCGTATCTAAATGCAATGCACAGATTACCGTTTTCCTCATACTCTGTCCTACATGCCTTGGCCCTACTAACATCACGTATTCTTGAAGCGTCAGGATACTACGTCATCCATGTACTCATTCCTGCTCGAGCAACCACTGTATGCCAGCGTGCGTATCCTCCAAGGCTTGCATCGAAGCCTTCAACGTTGGCCAACAGTAGTAATGCACATGTGGCGCGCCCGGGTACCTAAATAATAAAATATATTCAGTTCCGTCCGGATACGTATACTACACCGCGGTAGTTCAAACAATGAAACTCACGTATAAAGTTTCGTCCTCACTCCTGCCTCTCTAACAAGACGTTCGTGCAACAACCCCTCGTCGCAGGTCGGGTCGACGCCCGAGACCATCGCGACAAGTGGAGGGAGGGACTTGCGGTCCGCGAACAGGAGGGGGGAGATCTCTGGATTGGCGATCGGCCCTTCATAATTCGTGAGATATGCGGCTGTGAGATACACGGCCGGGGAACCACTATTTAGAGTGCTCTAAAGGTGTTTCTAAAGTAATTTTCATATATTATATGTGGACTCCCCTTTGGGGTGTACTAAAGAGAAACTTTAGAGACCTCTAAAGGCAGGCCTATGCATTTTCTGTAGAAATACCGTACAAACGCTGAAGATTGACTTTGGAGGACGCTAAAGGCTGTCGAGCACCTCGGGCTTGCCTTATGTGGCAACCCCGAACCTCTTTAGTATCCTCTAAAGGCAATCCAGAGAATAATCAATGGAATTCACTATAGAGCTCGCTAAAGTTTTGCTTTAGAGAGCGCTAAATTGGCATCCCTATATGATATTTCGACCAAGGTTTAGATTCCACATTAGCGGGCTCTAAATAGAGGTTTGCCCGTCGTGATAGGTGAGATCAATATTGCGTCCGAGTTGGTGCTAAGTTGTGATAAAAAAGAAGTCGAAGGCCAGATTGGACGTACTGTATGATCTGCGTTGAGACTCTTCGGTTATCATCCCATCACCGTTTACGAACTTTGGGCTCCTGAACGAACGAAGGTAAGGTTTAAACCTAAGTATTCGAGACAATATCGTAGTCAGCCGCAGAAGAACAATTGGCACACTTCAATAAAAAGGGGCTGCTCTCACTCGTGAGGATACGCATCTGGGTGGCAGAGCATCGGCATACAGAGGATCTGTCCCTTAAGACGAGCATTATGGAGGGCAAAGAACTCGTCCTGGCTGGCTCGTTGGGCCAACACCGCGGCGAGATTTGCACCCGAGGATGTTCCGCCAACTACAACATTCTGGATCGATGCCGAGAGGAGATCGGCATTCTTGATGGCCTGTGAAACGCGCTGATCATGAGCACATGCATCGGTTCAGAACTCGAAAGAAAGGGACGACGCACCCATTTTAGTGCGCTGTAGCAGTCGTTGATGGCAGTGGGGAAAGGGTACTCTGGAGCGAGGCTGACGAGGTGATGAGCACTGGCTGAGTCGACCACAGGTTCTTACGGTAACGTACCGGTAGTCTACATTCACAACTGACATATTCAGACGCACGCAGAGATTGCGCATCCGGTAGTCCTCCATACGAATACTCCCGGCGGCCATTCCTGTCGTAAAAAAATATGAGCGAACGAGGGCGAGTGTAGGAAGCCAGCAGATAACTTACCACCGCCGTGCATAAAAATGAGAAGCGGGTACTTATGCTCCTTGTCCGAGTCAAACGCCGTAGGAACGAGCGTACGGACGCGGACTTCACCACTGTGCGAGCTGGGTATATTGTAATCTTTCATCCTATAGGTGTCCTCTGGATCAAGGAACCACAGACCCATCAGCAATCGTATGTCCAATAAAGGGCCGAGTGACACGGATGCAAGGCCGCCTAGGTTGAAGAGCAGGAATCCGTACCTTTAGGAAGGCGGGGTTCGTACCAGTCTGCAATCGGGTCTTCGAACATCGCCTGGTCGTTCGCCTTTGACTCGGCCATGTTCTTCGGCGGCGGAGGGGGGACGAAATTCGCTAACAAGGCGACATAGTCGGGGGCGAGAGGATGCGTGTGGAGGTCATTGTAGTCTACGGGAATGGGAATGTCGGTGGACATCGTAGACAGTATATCGGTGGTGGGTTTGTATAGAGCGAGGAACCTGGGAAATAGTTCTTCAAGACGATCAATGAAACAGTCTCTTATTATTTATAGGCGACACCTTTCTCACCTCACGAGAACCATGGCATGTGCTGATAATTTTCGGCCAGAAGATTGTTTCGTGAGCTATGGCCATGCTTACCTAGCGGACCCTGCCCGTGACGTTAGAGAATGTAAAAGACGAAGAACGTCCTTGTGGTACAGGAGGTCCGCAAACACCGGCATGCCGGGCGTCTCGGTCGTGCCCCCAGAAGGTAACTTATGCGCATGCTGAGACTGAAGTATGCAAGTATGCGGTCGGTAGAGGTACATTGTGTACATCGGGCGTTTATGGTCGGACTCGGGCGGCGAGGAGGAGAACGGAGGTCATCATGAGGGGAACGCTGGGGAACGACGGCGAAAGCTTAATCCCGTCAAAGAAGTGATGGGTTTGAGTGAATCATGATCACCTGGGAAGACTCTGGCACATTGCGTGCCCTGAGGCTGACCTTGTCAGCGAGGTTCACTTGGGACGATCAGTGAGTATACATGCCATTTGAGAAGAACTGAAACAGCGCCGCGGCGTTAATCGTATAGGTACTCACGTCGGGCGTTTCGTCCGCGTAGAGTACGAGGCAATAAACACCTCCACATGTAACATATATGGAGTGCGGAGGGACCGCTGGGAATAAGGAATCTCCTATATCGAGGCCTGTTACACACTTACTCACGGCGAGCTCCAAACACGATACAGAGACTATCGAAGAGCGGTTGGCCTCAATGGGTATCCCCACTCTGGCTAACGAGACACTGCAATTGCAAGCCAAGTGAACGTATTGTCAGCCTCGTTCAAGGTACGTTTCTAAAACACCGTGAATGAAATAGGTTCAACGGGCGCTCTGAAAAAGATGCTTTTGATTCGGCGATTTGGCACCGCCCCCAGGCGATCTACATAAGTATCGTACCCAGGAACTCGATGGTGACCTAACTACCGTCATGTCGCAATTCCCAGGCATCAGGACTAGCACTAGGCTCACGTACGATAACGTGGCGAAGCATGCAGAGAGAGTAGGTACGTTGGGTCTTGAGGGAATGCGAAGGAGGGCTAGGCAAAGGATCTTCAGATGGAAGGCAGGTCCTAATATTAGTCCACGACGTACGTTCCTCTTTCAAGAAGAAATGTCGGAAAACCTGCATTCGTTCGGTCGGAGACGATATATGTAGCTTCGTCCAGGTTGACCGAGTACACAAGTGGGTGGATACCCAGACTCTTGTCCAAGAATGAAGGCCAACAATATGAGCGAAGTTATGCATGACCAAAACCACAATCAGCTTGACCAAGCACGACCACGACCACGGTGGTCAAATGGTGTCAAGCCTGTTCAACAACATTAGTTATAATGTATCCTCTTTTCAGTTCGGTTGTTATGCATTTCCATGCCGCCACTTGCATTCGACTGCACGCATAGAAACACATGAGCGGAGTAACACGATCGAATTAAATACAGTACCATGATACATGCACTGGTGGCTACATTTCGAGTGTGAAGTTGCCAGCCATATTCCAGGGAAGTCATTTCTTCTGTTATCCTCGTCTTGGACGCACCTAACTCATCATGGAACATGGAGGATATGTGAGCAGCCGACACGAAGTAGGAGAGCGAATCGATGACCAGAATGGAAGCTATACCACTGCCTTCGGAGTTCCGAGTCGCTGGGATCAGACAACGTTTGTTCGATTGAGACATACGGAGGCAAAGAGCCTCTGAGTCACGTATCGCAAGAATCACACAGCAATAGACCGTATCTGCGAGTGAATTTTTGACCTCGCTAAAGCTCGCTAAGGCCCAACGGGACGCGACGATTGGCCCGATCGCAGTTTTAAAGCCGGTTCAAACGGTTGCAGATACGGTCTAATGGTGAGAAATCACCAATGGCCCTCAGTGGGCATTTGTATGAAAAACAAAAGGGGCTGTCGTCGGAAGAGGTCAAACGAAACGACGCACCATGTAAGCAAAATCTCCACCATGCGCGGAGCCAGAGATGTTCTCTCACGGACGAGGCCAGGTTCTCCCCGCTTGTCAAAGACAATGAACACAGCGAATAGAGCCGACATTGACGATGAAGGAGCGTGATGGAAAAAGCGGAGCAGGACGGGCCTGACAGCGGCAAGTGACGTCATCCCTCGGAATTCGCCGGAACTTCCTCAACTTGAGTAGGATGGAGTTCTTTGGTTCATATAGTTCAGTTGAAGATGCTGGAGTGATGATGCATGTGGATTCGGAGAGATGGTGCATGTGGATTCGGAGAGATGGTGAGTTGCAGATTCGGAGGACGCGCCGAGTTTGGCAATAAAAGACATAAAATACGTATATTGACGCCACCGGGTTTCCTTCATCATGCACAGTTTTCTGCACACTCCGAACTCGTCCGGACGAGGGCACTATGCGTGCTGTGATGGCAGGATTTAGTCGTGATTCATTTCTACGTCTATAGAAAAGAGGATCCTATGCTGTACACAGAGGGCTGGAACACATGCGGTGAGAGTGTCTTTATGACCACTCCTACTGGAATCTCGCTGTGAAGGATCATCTCATGCAGCCTTCGCTGAACTTTGCTTTTTTCCTCCACACATCTGATATTGATTTAAGCCCTCTTTTTTAGGAATCTCGTACTTATCCAGAAGTACTATGAGGCGGTTCGAGCCTCACCAACCATGAGAACATAATGTATACATTTAGATTTGATAATCAGACCACATACGCACATTTTACGCAGACGCTGCCGGCGTTGACCAGTCCGCACCCTCCCAGTAGTGCCCAAGATACTCTTCCACGGTGAGCGGACGAAGATGAGGGAGCTTCCTGTTTAGCGTAGGCTCCACATATAAATGGCCAGCTACAATAGAATTGGAGACCTAATTGGACACAATCGTCAATTAAGAAAGAACGGTAGATGAGATGAAAATGATTTATGTACCTCAGCAACAAACTTGTTCTCCAATAGCTTCTCTGCTCTCTGTCCACCACCCTCCTTCAGATACGTCCTCGTCAACTTCTTCCCGGTAATCTTGTCCACAACATCCACCACCTCATCGAACGTCTTCGTCTCCCCAGAAATCCCGCTCACCTCTTCCCACTTCTCCAGGTCCAGACTGGCGGCGACGAATTTCGCTGTGTCCTGTGCGGAGGTGAACGTGACCTTGGATGTGCCGTCTCCGGGAATGTCTGCTGTGCCGGCGCGAGCGTCTATGAACAAGTTTCCTTGAGTGAAGTGTGAGAGAGCCTCTTTCTCGGAGGGGAGGTTGGATCCTCCCGCGAAAAGGTTAATGAATACGCTACATGACAGTCCAGTAGGGGTCAGTCATTGTCAAAGTGTACCGAATCTCAAAGTAGGGTGTATACAATTGAATGGAGGCTTTGCGAGAATCGGGGACTTACCCAGGGATGAAACGTGTCACTTCGAGCCCAGACTGTTTTGCAGCACTCCAAACTTCAAGTTTCGGGTGATACAAGAAAAACCCTGTATTATCCTATGGATATGCAAAGTAAGGGGCATATCAGCATCTTCCCCGTAACGAGAGATCACACACCAATAAAGCGATATGCAAAAGCTCACCCTAGCTGCCCATTCCGAAGGTGCGAACCTCTTCACGCCTGCTTCTTTGGCGGCCTTGAGCAGTGCGACCTGGCTTGCGACTGCTTCTTTGGCATCGGCAGTGAACAGAGTCACAATTACTGTGTGGACATCTCGAAGCGCGGAGACGAGACTAGAGTTGTCAGAGTAGTCGACTACACGGACTTCGACTTTCGAGTCAATGGACTTGGTCGACCTAGAGAGGATGATTGGCGTATGTTTTCCCGTCTCGAGGATGCTGATATTATGTATCCAATTTGTCAGCATCAAACCAGGAAGGATGAGAATATTATGAATGGCCTACGCTTCAACGATGTTCGCGCCAATGTGGCCTGATCCACCGGCCACTGCGACTCGGACCATATTTGTCTTTTGACGTTTGAATGTACTGGAAGTATAGGTGTAACGAGAGTTAGAGAATGGATATGCCGGTCGTACGCTTCCTTTAAATACCCTGACCTTGGGCGGAAGTCTGGCGTCAAAAGATCAGTGGTGCAATCTTCGACATTAATGGCCCAAATGATGGTATCCGTCAGCACCTACATATCGACGCTTACTCATGTCCTATTCATCAATAAACGACCTGAGTACTTATATGGATAGTGGTTCGCACTAATGACGAAGGAGGGGAAGACTGGAAGTCACAAAAGGAGGCCGGGCGGGTTACTGTGCCATCTGGAGTTAGTTTCTCGGAAGCATGAGTGATGTGCATATAGCATGATACGATGACCCCAAGTTGCGCCATGCGAGCGAGTTCACAATGGTTCCACGATGGAGAGCAACTACTTTCCCCATGGGTAGAACGTGTGATTTTCAAAAGAGATTCTCAAATAAACGGAGTGGAAAACAAAAAAAAAAACAAGAATAGAGATGATGAGGGTAAGCCATCGCCAAACGCGTAGCGACCAAACGATTATGGACCAATAAGTATGTGAACATAATGAACCTGCCTCTGTGGTCCAGATAATTCTTGCTCTTTGAGGTAACCAGAAGAGGAGCGTCGGGGAATACTAGAAACGAACCGGATTAGGGAAAAGGGTTCTAACAGCGACACACCGTTCGAGTGTGATGAGCTACACCCGGGCCTCTCAAAGCAGGTACCTTACTTTCCCAGCGAGTCGTCAGCGAACGAGGATAAATGGTGTTGAAAGAAGGCTGGACTATACGAGGGAACATTAGTCAAGTTCGTCTGCAGAACAAATATTGTCGCACTGAGGGGCTGTATCGAGCAGTTCCGGAGCTCAACCGGACCCTCTAACGTTTCTAGAGATGCTACACTCTAAGTGAGCTCGACGAATTAACTATATCATATGAGCGTCGAGAAGCTCTTGATGCAGAAAAATGTTGGGCCATGACGGTAGAGGGTGCCAGCAGCGCAGCAGCGAAGGAAACTGCCGCCTTTTTTTGTTTCTTTGTTAGATACATGCGGTCCGGTCCTTCCCTCCCCAGGCATGCTCCGGATTCGAACTGGACACCTCTCACAACCTCGCATTCGTATGCATAGGAACACATCTTGCAAGTTCCTTGCTGCGGGCATACTCGTATCCAGACCTTCTCGTCTTCACTCATTCTTCAAAAACTTCGCTTGTCTCTGACAGGAGGACGTGCCAGAATAGTTCGGCGACACAGAACGGTGAGACGGGCTCAGAAACGATCCTGGTATACATAGATAAGTCACCCTAGCCGAAAGCGTGCATGTGATACGTGCATATGATGTCTTATAGACACTTCATGTTGGAGTAGTGTGAACGGGTCTCTGTACGAAGTAAATTCGACGCCAGCTCCAGTTCATCCGTTGCCTATGTTCCGTGGCCTACGCTGCGCCGTACGAGTCTCGACACTGAAATGGTTACAAAGATACCCGCGTAAGTAGGTCCTTTTCAAACTTCTCTAGAATACTCGTCTTGCAGATGATCGTAACGTTACCTGAAGGTTCCCAGCATGACGGATCTATTTTATGAAGTTCACGTGGTGTACCAAGGCTTCCGTCATGGAACGTTAATGTGCTCAAGCCACGTCGATATAGGATATTACGAGCTTGACAGCGAGAATGGAACATACACAGCACACAATGGTACGTTATCGTACTCGGCTCCCTGTCATTTCTTATTCAAAAAAAGACTGTGCTCTCTGTCCGCTCATCTTCATAAAGGATGTCTGTGAGAGGTCTTGTCCTCCAGCGAGCTGTGTAACATGCAACCTTTTAGTCTTCCCCTCCTATTCGCTGCATGCCTCGGACTCATAGTCCAGCCTTTGCTCCCCAAAAACGCTATCTCGCAAGGTAAGTCATCCAGTTGATTTATTTAATGGTCGTACGCGCTGACGGATTGTGTCTTCACTTGGTCAAATAGACGCGTACGATGATCTCGTTTTTTATCTTCAATATGCCTTCTCGGGGTCCGCAGACCACTGCCCCTCTTCAAACGGGAACACGCTCGTCTGCGAGGTAGGTTATTCTGATCGTCTAGGCTGCTTAGTTCCGTAGTTCCGCCGAGGTGCATGGGTTTTATATTACAGTTCGTCAACAACGTCACCGATACTCGAGGTTTCATCGCTCGCGACGACGCTCGGAAAGAGATCATATTGTCACATGGAAGGTATGTGCGAAACCTATGCACCCGCTTTATTCGTCCGTGGTAATAGACGGCTAAAGTTTCTCGTATTATCAAGTAACGGCCTAAAGGGCGTCATTACGGACTTGCTCTTTTGTTTGACAGATTTCGTGGTAGAGGGTACTGATCCTCCAAGTACGTTCCATGCAATATTATTATCACTATTCCATAATATTCTTCACATTGAACCTTCTTTCAAAGACGGTACACTTGTACATCACGGGTTTTTGACTGCGTAAATTCCATTTCCTAAAGCTAAATCTCTCAGTAGTACGCGAATTTGATTATTCCTTCATAGGTGGAATGGCGTGGTGGATGAAGTTTCGTCGGTCTTTCGTTCCCAGCTCGCCACCCATCCCGGATACAGCATCGTTACCACTGGAGCTTCTATCGGCGGTGCTCTAGCCTCCTTAGCTGGCATTACCCTCCAGCAGAACTTTCCGTCGACGTACGATAATTCGACTCACCTTTCTCTCGACAAGGTTATTTATTGTTGATTTTGTCAGGACGGTGCGGGTGTACACTTACGGGCAGCCACGGACAGGCAACGACGTCTATGCGTTATGGGTGAATGAGCTATTGGGTAGCAACGTCTACCGAGGTGTGCCATATTCTTGCGTTTCGTGAATCCTCTTGCATAATGACGAGTCTTGTCACCAACAATAATAGTCGTCCATGAAGCAGACCTGTTGGTACTCTATATTGGCTAAGCTTTGTACGAGCTACTCACGTCGAATTATGACTTTCCAGTGTTCCTCACATCCCACCCATAATCGTGGATCTCTTACCATACCGCCACCACGGTACGTCTACATCTAGATTTATATCAGCGGTTATCAACGCATTGACGTCTGAGTAGGTATTGAGTTTTGGCAGCACGACCCGCCGTCGGCTGAGAATACGACGGAGTGTGCTCCGGGCGGAGAAGATCCTACCTGTTCAGCGTCTGTTTTCGAGTGGAATGCTACAGCACATGGGGTGGTGAGTATTTCTGTCCACTTCGTTCTCTACGCATTGGTTGCAATACTGATTCGTCCTCGCCTGCAGTACTTTGGAATATCTTCTGGCCAGTTTTTTTGTAACTGATTCTGCTGCTTGTGTGTACGTTACGCGGTCCTCTGCGAGCGTACACTGCGATATGTATCCAACAGAGGAATGAAGTGCGTTCGTTGGGGCACAAAGCAATGCCCAAGTAGAAACAAGCCAGTTGCCGTGGATGTATGCCTCCATAATTCCTCGCCGTCTCGCATGGAGAGTATGTAAAGAAGACGAATGAAAATATCTTTGCTCTAGACATCCATTCCATTGGACATATCCGGACTCGAACCGGACTTCTCTCGCATAATTCACTCATCTGCATGACTCAAAGGACATAAGATACGAGTGTGATGAACTGTCTTGTAAGGCGGCAGAGTTATGCGAAGTAAGTTCGTACGCCACACGAACCTACTTACGCCACACTCGCCGACTTGCATCGTTCGTTCTTTCACATTCGTATTTGTTATTCTTTACGTTGTTTGTTCCGCACAAACAACTACTTCGTATATATGCGCTCGCGAGTAGTACATGTAGGGTATCTAATCTTGTAACCTTCGTACTACTCTGGAATCTATCCGCACCCAACAAGGGCTAGGCGGGTACCGTTCTTACCGGTGCGATAACCTCAAGATCAAGACGACGACCTCTTATACTTTTTGAACGTCCGCAATCCTCTAACAGGTGCGCATAGTTTTATTCTTTTATTCATATCATGGGTCCGAAACCGTCTCGCGGCACCGCGAGAGGAGCAGCAGCGAGTAGCTCCAATAGGGGAACGGGAGGCACTGGTAGACAGACCAGACAGCAGAGGCGAACGTCTGATACAGACGTAGAGGGTTACCTCCATGACGATGACGATGGAGAGGACCCTGAGCAGCCTGCTAAGGG